GGCACAAGCTGAAGCTGAAGCCCTTTGAGTAATCTTTCCCTTGAGCACGACCTTAACACTCCTACCAAGTGCTAACTAGTCACTGCCTCCTACATAGAAGTATATGAAACATATCCTGTACTTAGCTACTCCCCCAGTCTTAATATTACTTGTCTTCCCACTGTCTCTACTAGTGGGAATTCTCTGTAGGACTTTGCTCCCTCTCTGGACACAAGTATTATCTTGTTGTCACCTCCAACCCTCCGCTCTGACTCAGAGCCATGCTCTGAGTATTTACTCTCACCTCTCTGACTCCACCAATCAACCCCCTTGCTCCCCTCCGTCCCAATAAACTTCCTCTGCCTCCTCCGCTCCGCTCCTAGTCAAATCACCACTAGCAGCACTTACCTCCTGACTGTTAGGTACCGTGCTGGCTCAAGAAGCAGAGGGGTCGGGCTTGGCTTCAGCTCTTGCGCTGCGCCCTTAGCTAAGTACGTGCCCCAAATTTGGAGCAGGTCCGACATTGTTCGACAATAGGACGAGTGGTCCGCTTAGGTCCACTTTGAGGGTTGGGAGGTAAGTGCTACTAGCGGCGGGCCGACTAGAAGCGGAGTGGAGAAGGCAGAGGATAATGTGGAAGGTGGAAAGGAGCAGGGGGAATACTTGATAGGGGCAGAGAAGTAAGGAGAAGACTTAGAGCACGGCTCTAAGTCGGAGCGGAGGGACAGAGGTGACAACAAGGTGAAACTTGTGTCCTGGAGGAGGCAAGGTCCTACTGAGAATTCTCACAAGTAGAAACTGCAAGAAGACAAGTAATATTAAGACTGAGGAAAAATATCTAAGTACAGGATATGTTATATAATTCTAGGTATGAGGCAGTGATCAGGATAACTATGTTGTAAAGCTATGTACCAAGGATATAATTTGTAAGTACTTACACAGGCGAAGACATGAGTCAGAGCGGATATCAGTATGTACACATTGGATCAGTGATCAAGTGGTAAGAGGAATTACCGGTGATCCGGAAGTAGGGTCTATGTACTGAAGGGGAAAGTATATATCTAAAAGGGGAAAGAGGTTCCAGTTGAATGGAGACATTATGGAAGAGGACCGGTTGGGCGGTTGAGCAGAAGCATAGGGGTGGGTGTGGATGATGATTGGATGGAGTGGAGGATGGATGGAGCGGAGGTGGTCAGAAAGCGGAGCAGATATTAATATCAGAGCTGTTAGGTACAGTGCCGGCTCAGGAGGCAGAGGGGTCAGGGCTTGGCTTCAGCTCTTGCGCTGCACCCTGAGCCGAGTACATGCCCTGAATTTGGAGCAGGTCCGACGGTAGGACGAGTGAATCACTTAGGTCCACTTTGAGGGTCGGGAAGTAAGAGCTACTAGCGGCAGGCTGACTAGGAGCGGAGCGGAGAAGGCGGGAAGTGATGCGGAGGGTGGATAGGAGCAGGGGGAATGTTTGGTAGGAGTGGGGAAGGCAGAGGATAATGCAGAGGATGGGAAAAGGTCAGAGGGAATATTGCAAGGGGTGGAGAAATAAGGGGAAGACTTAGAGCACGGCTCTAAGTCAGAGCGGAGGGTCGGAGGGTCGGAGGGTCGGAGGGTCGGAGGGTCGGAGGGTCGGAGGGTCGGAGGGTCGGAGGGTCGGAGGTGACAACAAGTTGAGACTTGTATCCAGAGGAGGCAAGGTCCTACTGAGATTTCTCACAGGAGGTGACTGCGAGAAGACAAGTAATATTAAGACTGAGGAAAATATCTAAGTACAGGATATGTTATATACTTCTATGTATGAGGCAGTGACCAGGATAACTATGTTGTAAAGCTATGTACCAAGGATATAATTTGTAAGTACTTACACAGGTGAAGACATAAGTCAGAGCGGATATCAATATGTACGTGTTGGATCAGTGATCGAGCGGTAATAGGAATTACCAGTGATCTGGAAGTAAGGGTCTATGTACCAAAGGGGAAAGGATATATCTAAAAGGGGAAAGAGGTCCAGTTGAATGGAGATGTTATGGAAGGGGACCGGTTGAGCGGTTGAGCGGAAATGTAGGAGCAGATGCGGACAATGATTGGATGGAGCAGAGGATGGATGGAGTGGAGGTGATTGGAAAGTGGAGTGGATATTGGTATTAGAGCAGTCGGATCAGGTATATGACACTGACCCACCAAGCGAACCAAAGTGGTTCACCCATCCTATTGTCAGACATTGTTGGACCCACTCCAAATTCGGGGCACGTACTCAGCTAAGGGTGCAGCGCAAGAGCTGAAGCCAAGCCCCTGACCCCTCCGCTTCTCCATTTGAGCACGGTCTCTAACACCCCTGCTTGCTGTCTTCTTGTTGTGGAGTGGTTTCAGCAGCCCATATGTATCAAATTTAATCAAATCAACACTCATGCAGCATTTCAGTTGTGACAGTATCAGGGTGCATATTCTGTGTTGCAGTGGCTGGATCAGTAACTCTGATCATCATCAAAACAGCTACACATAGCATTGTGTTCTGTCATATACGTGATCTGACCCCTCCACCAATATTAATATCCGCTCTGCCCAACATCCTACTTCCCCCATTATCCTACCACCTCTGCTCCGTCTGCCCTCTGCATGACCCAGTCAGCTTCAGCATCCGCTCCTATGGCTCCACTCAACTGTCTCGTCGGTTGCCTTCTGCATCATCCATTCTTGTCATATACCTGATCCGACCGCTCTAATATCAATATCTGCTCCACTTTCCAATCACCTCCACTCCATCCATCCTCCGCTCCATCCAATCATCGTCCGCATCTGCTCCTACGTTTCCGCTCAACCGCTCAACCGGTCCCCTTCCATAACATCTCCATTCAACTGGACCTCTTTCCCCTTTTAGATATATCCTTTCCCCTTTGGTACATAGACCCTTACTTCCAGATCACTGGTAATTCCTATTACCGCTCGATCACTGATCCAACACGTACATATTGATATCTGCTCTGACTTATGTCTTCACCTGTGTAAGTACTTACAAATTATATCCTTGGTACATAGCTTTACAACATAGTTATCCTGGTCACTGCCTCATACATAGAAGTATATAACATATCCTGTACTTAGATATTTTCCTCAGTCTTAATATTACTTGTCTTCTCGCAGTCACCTCTTGTGAGAATTCTCAGTAGGACCTTGCCTCCTCTGTACACAAGTCTCAACTTGTTGTCACCTCCGACCCTCCAACCCTCCTACTCCGACTTAGAGCCGTGCTCTAAGTCTTCCCCTTATTTCTCCACCCCTTGCAATATTCCCTCTGACCTTTTCCCATCCTCTGCATTATCCTCTGCCTTCCCCACTCCTACCAAACATTCCCCCTGCTCCTATCCACCCTCCGCATCACTTCCCGCCTTCTCCACTCCGCTCCTAGTCAGCCCGCCACTAGTAGCTCTTACTTCCTGACCCTCAAAGCGGTTCACTCGTCCTACCGTCAGACCTGCTCCAAATTCAGGGCATGTACTCGGCTAAGGGTGCAGCGCAAGAGCTGAAGCCAAGCCCTGACCCCTCTGCCTCCTGAGCCAGCACGGTACCTAACAGTAAGTCCAGAGGTCAGACATAGGGGGAGTTCAGTGGAACTCTGGAGGGTCAGGAGTAACTACCATAGGACCACTATGGACAAGTCTAGAGTAGAAACAGAATGGAGGTAGACTACCCTAAGGTAGAGCCAGAGATATAGTTCAAGGATTGAATCCAAAGACTCAGAGATGGACAGGAGGTAAACTCAAGTCCAGAGAGACAGGAACGAGCAGGAACTAAGATGATATTCAAACTGAGGAGGTACAGAGTTTTACAGGAGTTTATATACTGTAGGTATCAAGTAAGTAATCAGTCAGCATAGTGAAAAGCTATGTACAAGGCATGTGGAAAGTCCATTAGTAAGTATGTTAAGATCTTACAGCTTTTGAAATTAAATCATATTTCCCTTGTCTCTGAGCTCATCTGCAGCCGCATTGTCCACCTCAATGAAGAATGCCTCAGATACATTGCATCAGAGAGTGAGCTTGAAGTCAATGAAGATGAGATCAAGGATGATCAGATGCTTGCAGGACACATTCACCTTGGCTCCCTGCAGCCTCTCATTAGTTTTGCCCTAGTAGAGGAAGCATATTATTCAAATTGCACGTTTGCACACTTCCAGAAGAAGTTCACTATATTCCTCAATGACTTCCTCCCTTCCAACAATATACCATTGCCTAACAGTTTGACCTGGCTAAGACGAGCAGCTGAGGACACAGTCAGTTGCTTTTTTCTTATTCACCAATTTTAACCATATTTCTGGATAGCTTCAAGAATACTGCTACCTCAAAGTAAATTGCAAGTCCTTCATTGACTGGAAATCGGCCACCAAATACCTTAGATGTAACCCAAGTTTCTATGGCTGTGAATGGTGCAATTGTGCAATGATACATACCCATGACAAGGATGGCAATGACCAAAACATTTTTGTTCAATTACTATTCATGTTTAAGTATGTTGTTAGTGAGCGACTTTGGACCTTGCTCTAGTTCAGTCCATGGACTTCCCACTTGGTACACAATGTACTGCAGATCAGGATCTGCACCTCACTCGTCTTTGTGCATGACCCACAGCTTTATCTGAGTTTATTTCCCTTCATTCAATCATTCATGGTGCTCTACTTGTCCCTGATTATGACAGTAATACAGATTTTTTTGTTGTTGACTATGTGGATACAGATATGTTCCTCCACTCTTGAAGGAAATTCTTTTAGGTTAGTTGAATTGTTCCACTCTTACTGCCCTTTCCCATGCTGATCATTGTCTACAGTGCTATCGGTTGTCTGTAGGCACTGGATTTCAAATAGCCCCCAGATTGATGCTCCCCTTGGCTCTTTTCCTATCTTCATCTCATGCTCTCTGGCAATAACTCTCTCAGTGTTGAGCTTGGTCATGCCCACAAAGCCAAAACTCAGTCCCAGTTCAATGAACTGTCATATACCAGATTCAGCCACTCCCAACACCATTCATAGACTGTCCCTACTATTGGTCTGACCCTCTGTTTCCCTGTCCGCTCCATCCCTCCTTCTCCGACAATGCATGAAGAACATCTCAGCAGGACTAGCCCTGCTACCTCCACCCAACTCCACTCTGCTCCTCCAACACTACCCCTATATCCTCCAACACTATATCCCTACCATCCAACCCTATCTGGAGCTCCACTCCTCCACCCTATTGGTCCACCTGATCCTACTCCTACTCCCTCCATCATCTCCACTTTTCTGACCCACTTGGTTCCTTCAGTTTCTCTTGTGTTGCTCTACCTGACCGCCTCACTGGTCCACTCCTAGACTAGGAACCACTCAACTGGTCCTATCTCCTTTTAGTATCATAGTTCATCCCTTCGGATCACTGGTAATCCCTATACCCAAGCGATTATTGATCTGTCGCATACATACTGTTCTCTGAGCCCTTTCTTGTATGTCTCAGTCATCTTTCCAGTAATTCTGTACACTCAGCACATAGCCTTCTGCTATGCTATGCTAATTACTTAGAGTATATAAACATATGTACATCTGTCTGTACATCTTTAGTCTGAATATTACCTTTCCTAAGCCCTGCTCTTCTGTCCTTCGACTTAGGCTCAACCCTAAGTCAACTCCTGTTTGCTGGCCTAGGGGATTGACTCCCTAGGTCGGCCACCTTCTCCACTCGTCTGACTTCCCGTGCCTCTGCTGCCTTTCCCATGTGTCGGACATGTGGCTAATACTCTTGTACCTCTCTCCTCTGTATTTCCATCCTGTGTCGGACTTCATCCGAGCAGTCTCCTCCACTCCATTCCCACTGTTAGCTCCGACTGCAGTAGCCCTCCAACTCTCCCCTGTAGGGCAGAGCAATCTCCGCCTGACATTCCCACACTCACCCAGTAGTCTGTCGGCCCTCCTTCAGAGGACCTCCACTCCAACGTCCTGTCGGAGCTCATAGAAACTCAAGTCAGACTACAACCCAAAATTAGGGGCACATACTCAGGTAAGGGGCGCAGCACACGAGCTGAAGCCAAGCCCCTCAGACTCCGTCTTACCCCTTGAGCATGGTCTTAACATGAACAGGTAATAAGCTCCCTAACCCATAACCATGAACAGAGTGCTCGTGAGCCTCTCCAGCACATCTGGCATATGAAGCAGGTAAGCTTCTAAGTTCATAACTATCAATGAAGCACTCATGAGCTTCTTTAATGCACCTGGTATATGAAGCAGGTGAGCTTCCAAGCTCATCACTATAAACAGAGCACTCATGAGCTTCTCTAATGCACCAGGCATACAAGGCAGGTAAGCTTCCAAACTTACCACGACTGGAGCACTTGTGAGCTTCTCCAGTGCACCTGGCATACCAAGCATACCAAGCAGGACTCCTTTGACAGCCCTGTTATTATGTACTCTTCCCATGAACTTCCATTGTCTGGTGGAGACTGGCAGACTACTCCTTCAACAGGGCTGTGTTAAGACTGTGCTCAGGGGTAAGGCAGAGTCTGAGGGGCTTGGCTTCAGCTCATGCACTGCACCCCTTACCCGAGTATGTGCCCCTAATTTCGGAATGTAGTCTAACACGAGTTCTATGAGTTCTGACAGGACGTCGGAACAGGGGTCCTCTGAAGGAGGACCAACAGACTACTAGGTGAGCGCAGGAAAGTCGGGTGGGGGTTGTTCCACCCAACAGGAGAGAGGTTGAAGGCCACCACAGTCAGAACCAACAGTAGAAGCAGAGTGGAAAGGACTGCTCGGACAAAGTCCGAAGCAGAGCAGAATGAAGGGGACAGATGTAGCAGGGTGCTGGGATCAGTTCTGACGCGCAGGAAAGGCGGCCGATGCGCAGGGAGTCGGATGAGCAGAGGAATGGAGGAACAGGGGAATGGAGGAACAGCGGAACAGAGGAGTGGAGGAGCAGGGGAACAGAGGAGCAGAGGAGCGGAGGAGCAGGGGAGCAGGGGAGCAGGGGAGCAGGGGAGCAGGGGAGCAGGGGAGCAGGGGAGTGGGGGAGTGGGGGAGTGGGGGAGTGGGGGAGTGGGGGAGTGGGGGAGTGGGGGAGTGGGGGAGTGGGGGGAGCGGCCGACCTAGGGAGTCAATCCCTTAGGTCAGCAAACTGTTAAGGTTGTGCTCAAGGGGGAGGTTACTCAAAGGGCTTCGGCTTCAGCTCATGCGCTGCGCCCCTTACCCGAGTACATGCCCTTAATTTCTGGTGGGCAGAGGGGAAGTCCGATGGAAGTTCAGGGAGTTCTGGAGGACAAACATCGGTGGAGTTCGGCGGAACTCCAGAAGACTATGTGGGGACAGAGTAAGGCTACTACGGAAGTCTGGAGTAGAAACAGAACAGAGGTTAGACTACCCTAAGGTAGAGCCGGAGGATTAGTCCTAAGGTTTAACCCCTAAGACTCAGAGGTGGACAAGAGATGAGACTCAAGTCCAAAGATTGCAGGAATGAGCAGAACTAAGATGATATTCGAACTAAGGAGTTCCAGAGTATTACAGGAGCTTATATACTGTAGGTAACATGTAGGTAAATCAGTCAGCAAAGGTAAGGGCTATGTACGAAGCATGTGGAAAGTTTATTAGTAAGTGTAACTGTCATATACCTGATCTGACTGCTCCAATATTAATATCCGCTCCGCTTTCCAACCACCTCCGCTCCATCCATCCTCCACTCAGTCCAATCACAGTCCACATTCTGCTTCTACGCTTCCGCTCGACCGCCCATCCGATCCCTGTCCATAATTTCTCCATTCAACTGGAACCTCTTTCCCCTTTTAGATATATACTTTCCCCTTCGGTACATAGACCCTTACTCCTGGATCACCAGTAATTCCTATTACCGCTTGATCACTGATCTGACGCAAACATATTGATATCCACTCTGACTTATGTCTTCGCCTGTGTACAGTACTTACAAACTATATCCTTGGTACATAGCTTTACAACATAGTTATCCTGATCACTGCCTCATACATAGAAGTATATAACATATCCTGTACTTAGATATTTTCCCCAGTCTTAATATTACTTGTCTTCTTGCAGTTACTACTTGTGAGAATTCTCAGTAGGACCTTGCCTCCTCTGGACACAAGTTTCACCTTGTTGTCACCTCCAACCCTCCACTCCAACTTAGAGCCGCACTCTAAGTCTTCTCTTTACTTCTCCGCTCCTATCAAGCATTCCCCCTGCTCCTCTCCACCCTTTACACTATCCCCTGCCTTCTCTGCTCCACTCCTAGTCGGTCCGCCGCTAGTAGCTCTTACCCCCCGACCCTCAAAGCGGACCTAAGCAGACCACTTGTCCTACTGTTGGACAACATCGGACCTGCTCCAAATTCAGGGCATGTACTTGGCTGAGGGTGCAGTGCAAGAGCTGAAGCCAAGCCCCAACCCCTCTGCTTCCTAAGCCGGCATGGTACCTAACAGTAACAGATCAAAGCAGTGAAGTTGGAAATGAAGTAAGAATGGACGGATCAGTAAGCATAGCGGAAAGGACATAACCAATAACCGGATCAATAGCTATTCTAAAAGGAGATAGGGGTGAGTCCGGAGATGGGAGCAGAGCGCTGGGCAAAATAACAGGATGGAGGACTGGACTTTAGTGGTGGGGTTCTGGAATTCCAGATCCGGAGGTATGGGATATGACACACCAGTTTGCCCTTAATCTAGTATCATTCTTGCATCAACAATTTATTAATAATGTACATGTCTTAATGTGATACCCTTGACCCTGCTTAAAGGTGAGCTATTAATTTATTACCTCAAAGTAACAATGACTTCATTATTCATCAGTGCCTCATTGTTGCACATACAGGATAGCACATGTTCAAACTACCAAATTCACCACAATGCACTACATAATCAAATGGTGTGTGACACATATTCAGAACTGATATAAGGGACAGTCTAAACTGAATTCTGCACACACAGCTCAAACCTTCCCTTGCTCTTGTTACCCTATTAGCATGTCTCAGCACCATGTACCAGAGGATATTGAAGTCATGGAGAGCAGCTCCACTGCAGGCTTTGATTCTGACTCTGACAACTTGTCATCAGATTCAGACAAGGCACTCATGAAGTTTTGTGCTGCTGTTGTGTCTTTATGGGACAATGCTTTAATTGCAGACCTTCATAAGGTAAGTGCTGTCTCAATCTTTTCTGGGTGTGTTACAGTCTCTAAGTTGGCTATCCAGGCGCTAGAAACTGCACAGAAGCTGCTGTTGAATATGCAAGGCCAACAGTGGGAGTTCTTGAAGCAGAATGTGCTTCTGGAAACTTCAGCAGCCAAAGGTCAGAAGAGACTCACTTGTAATGAACTCGAGCTAGCTGTCAAGAAAGAGGCTATAAGGCTGTTGGGATGCAAGTACTCAATCACACATTGCTTATAGATCAACTCTCAGATTTTTCCCTTGCGCGCATGTCCCAACATTGACATCAACAGTAAGGAGCGCTGGCTGTCTCTACTTTCAATTGAAGATGGTGTGAAAGCCGAGTTGTTCTTGTTCATTCCTGAAGCAGATCGTGAAATGATGAATCACAAGCACTTCAGTAGTCATGTCAGTGCAGTTGATGTCCTTAGTTTTGAGACCCTATCTGACTTCTTCAGTTTGTGAAAAGTATTGGTAATGTTTATCTGAAATGGTTTCAGACATCAAGACATGTGCCAGAGCTATCTTTGGTTTGAATCCTGAGTTCTTCCTTTGAGGTTATGATTGAGGCTCACAAGAAGAATGTCACATCCTTATCCATTCTTCTCATGGCTCCTACACCAAGTTTGCTCCTGTATTGTTCCCCTGTCCAAATAGTCTCTCACACAATGACTTCCTGAAGTTAGTGGTGCTGGTTAAGGTACTTTCTTTCATATTCTCTAGTGCTTATGATGAGGGTCTAATAATAAGTCATGCCTCACATTACAGTGGCTCAAAAAACTGTCCGCATGTTTTCACATTTTTCACTATCTATGATATTGTGTGAGAATGTACAAACACATCAAGGACATGCTGGTACCATATTGTAGTACTACTTCAGGGCTTCCAATTGAGCCCTATGGCGTGGGAATTGGTCGAGATATGGTGGAGATATGAGGCTTACAAAATGATGACTCATGCAGACAGTTTTTTGACTCAAGTATTTTACAGTGATAATCAGGTATTCTAGTACATTGTGTGACCTCCCTTGGCTTTAATTACTGCCTCTATCCTTCTAGGCATACTCTCAATCAATTTCTGGCAATATTCTGCTGTAATCCTTGCCCATTCCACTGCTACTCTCTCCCATAGCTCCTATACTCCTTTAGGGGGGGTTTCATAGGCTTGAAGCATCTTCTTGAGTATTCCCCAGAGATGTTCAATGACATTGACATCAGGGGACTGTGCTGGTCAGTCAAGAACATTGATATTATGTTCTTTAAACCATTGTCTGGCTCTCCTAGATGTGTGCTTGGGATCATTATCCTGTTGGAAAATGATGTCTTCTTCATCAATCCCTGAGTCAGCTATGCTAGGCAGCAAGTGGTCATTTAGAATGTCCACATACTGCTCAGCATCCATCCTCCCCTCAACTTCAGTGGGCATACCCACACCATTCCATCTCATACAGCCCCATACCATTAGAGAACCTCCTCCAAATCTGACAGCCTCACTAACCTCTCTGTCTGTTAGAAAATCCCTCTTCTTTTTCCATACATATACCTTCCCATCTGACCCAATCCTATTGATTTTGGTCTCATCTGAACATATAACATGCTTCCAGTCCTCTACAGTCCAGTTTTGATGGGCCAAGCCAAAGGTAGTCTTTTCAGCCTATGTTTAATAGAGATAAGAGGCATTTCTTCTTTGTTACTGTCTTGAGATGAGCTGCCTTGAGAACATTCCTCACAGTTTGTGAAGAGACAGTGGTGGTGATGGTGGAATTGGTATAATGGGTGGCTTGGAGGGCATTATTAGCCTTTCCTGTAGTGATATGTTGGATGATAGCCCCCTTATTAGCAGAGGTGGACGTCCTCCACAAGAGTTTTCCTTGTCCAGGTGGCTTTCTTTGATACACTTGGCTGCAGTAGACTTGCATACTTCAGTTCTAGAGGAAATTTGATGAGCAGAGAGGCCAGCATAGGACAAAGAGAAGATATTATCCCTTTGAGTAGAGGAGACGGCTTTCATGGTAATTATGACCATGACACATGAGACATTCTGGTTTATATAGTTAGATATAGTTTTAAGAGTATGCCTAGAAGGATAGAGGCAGTAATTAAAGCCAAGGGAGGTCACACAATGTACTAGAATACCTGATTATCACTGTAAAATACTTGAGTCAAAAAACTGTCCGCATGAGTCATCATTTTGTAAGCCTCATATCTCCACCATATCTCGACCAATTCCCACGCCATAGGGCTCAATTGGAAGCCCTGAAGTAGTACTACAATATGGTACCAGCATGTCCTTGATGTGTTTGTATATTCTCACACAATATCATAGATAGTGAAAAATGTGAAAACATGTGGACAGTTTTTTGAGCCACTGTAGATCCTCAAAGTGTCCATCCATGGCAAAACTTCATTGTCCTCCAGCGTGCAACGCTCTAAAACAAAGGTCAAGATCTGGAATTTACAAACCACAACACTAGGCATAATTGCTGCCACTGCAATTGTCATAAGTCACTCACCTTCATGTCAGAGTATCCATCACTTAATATTCTCTTACCCAAGGCTATCTACATGGTTTCAGGTGACAAGGAACTGCTTGAAACTGGCCAGACAACTAAAATCTCATATTGTGCCTACCACAAATTTTACTACAAACACCTGATGATGGGAGGTGTCTGGGCATGCCAGGTTCCTGTATTCTTCAACCAGGCCCTATTTCCATCTACTTCCTCACTCACTCCTGCTCCTGTTCTGAATGAAGGGGACCCAGCTCAGTCATGGGAATTAGACTTTGAACGTGCCATAGACAAGGGAGGAGAGCCGCCAGTGATTAGTCATTACTTCCAATGCTCTCCCTGCAAGTACTCCCCCTTCTCTGATGAGATCATCATCTGTCACGCCCAATCTCATGGCAGGACCTGTTATACAACCAGATCTGAATCCAGCTGCTATTTTGAATCCTTCTGAATCAAACTCAATCTCTACTGCAATGGAAGCTCTTGCTTTGGCACATGGTCAAGAGAATATTGATGAGCCAGTAGCTGATGATTCTGGTGTTTTAGCCACAACAAAACCAAAACCAAAATGGAAAGGGAAAGGGAAGCAGGCTGCCACTGCTGTTGCTGATGGAGATTTATCAGCTAATACTGGAGTTCAGAGGTCTAACAGGCATGGCAAGGAAATTTAAATAGGTTATAGCTTTGACTGTCATTTTTTCTGTATACATTGTTGTACATTGCCCTTACACTTAGAGCATTGCAATGCAATTGTCCTCCAATGACAAGAATCTTATTACTAATAAGCACATTGAAACTCATTTGAAATTTCTTTGTAAGCATCTGAATTCAGTTTCAACTTCTTTTAAGCTGAACTCATTGATATTCTAATGAGTCTGACTGAATCAGACTTGTTGTCATCATTCAACGGAACCACTCAAGTTCACTTTTAATTCTGAATCTGAGTCTATTACAGTGTGTCATGCTGTCCCAGCACATTGTCAGTGACCCTGGACCAATGACATTGTCTATTGTTGCTTCAGATCTAAGTGTCCTATTGATGACATCGACAGTTACTGCTATTGATACTGTAAGTCAAATTTTTGGCAATTCAGATGATGATGGACATCTAATTAATTTTTTTTAAAATTCTGACTCATTCACAGGTCATTTCAACCACCATAGGCCCACCTCAAAACCTCTCAGTCACTGACGAGCTCTTGGATTTACAGTGTCTGATGACACAGACAACCTCCAACTCCCAGCCTTACAAATACATTCCCTTGACAACACTTGACTTATCCACATCCACCCTCCTTAACACTTCCACATCCCAGATATCCACCATGCTTGCCGCTTCCATGGCTGATACAATGTCTACCCTCAATGCATCTGCTATATGGCGTATATTGCCTGACAATCACTACTGCCCTGATTCAGAAAATCATACTGGTAAGTCTCTAACCTCAATTTTACTAAAAGCTGAATGACGAAGTTCTCCCGATACCATGTGTTTTGAAACAGAAGTATTAATGAGATCTCTATTTCTTACATTTGGATTCTTGCTGTTGCAAATATTATCATATTTCAACCATTAGGAGTTACAGTACATCATAATGCATTGAAATCCAATATTTATTATCATCATTTTTAGACACTCTTGAAATTGTCACCAGTAGGATTGAAATAGACCTTGAAGCTTTGCAAGGAGACCTCAGTATTGCTTATGTTTTCCTCTGTAGTAATACTTACAAATTGAACACTCAGCACATAGCCTTATGCTATGGACTACTGATCACTGCCTCCTTACTTAGAAGTATATAAACATATCATGTACTTAGCTGGTAGCCTCAGTCTTAATATTACTTGTCTTCCCTCAGTCTCTACTAGTGGGAATTCTCTGTAGGACTTTGCTCACTCCTGACACAAGTCTCATCTTGTCATCACCTCTGCTCCTCCACTCCAACTTAGAGCCATGCTCTAAGTTAAACTACTCTTACTTCCCTCCATCCAATAAACCAATTCCCTTGTCCCCTTCCACTTCAACTCACTTCCCCCACTCCATCCACCCCACTCCTAGTTGGCCTACCAGCTGGTAAATTGAGCCCTTTCAAGCTATTGTGGGATATTCCAACCAAAAATAGATTTTTCTGACACAGCATGCATCAGCCAAACCAAACTGTAACCACACTGCACCATCAGTGCAGTTCACAGTTTGGAACTGGTTTGGGCAGTTCTGAACTGCACCCCAGCAACTTTAGGTCTACATGTGGGATATGATGGTTGTGTTCATTTCAATGTGCTTGGTTCACACATCTGTTCATAGCCACACAATGATTTTTATTTGCTTTTAAAGGGGAAAAATACATTAGACAGCAAGCAGGAGACTTAGAACACAGTGTGGTGCTATTGAGGCACTGCAAATGTGTGAGGCAGCACTGTAAAGTGCCAGTAAGGTGGTGCATGCCATGTACAGAGGGCATGAGAATCTTCACAACATTAACAGTCAATTTTTTAAAGTTTTTGAGGTGTCACACTTTATACACTCTACCCTGCTAAAATACTACTTTACTGCACTTTACAATCATTTTCCCAGCCAGCTACACATGCATTTTACCTGATGTACGCGCACCCACTCCTGCCTTTCTCAGCCACAAGGGATTTAACCCAATTGGGACACATGATTGAGATCATGTGATGTCTCATGCTAGCCAAGCATGTTGACAGTTGGACCTATACTTGTACGCTTTGGTTCAAATATTAATTTAAATTAAATTGAGGGGGAGGAGGAAGCAACCACTCAATAGATTCATTCAACGGCTGTAATATACATAGGCTGAGAACTGACAAGAACATGAATTGAAGCCAAGAGCACTAGAATAAGTTGACTACAGAGAAAGACCAGTTATGATATTTGTAAGTTGAGAGTGGTGATTTGGATTGTGGGAGTTCAATCAGGTGCAGCAGCAGACTGCACTCGCTGCGAGGACACGTCATCAATGCCAGCAAGTGTTGAACATCAGAAGCTCACCTGTCTGGCTCCTGCATCTGAATCATGAGTGATTTTGATGGGACACTTTGTCATACCCCAACGGCCAATGCACTCCTTCGAACAGCAGTATGTGCACGTCCAAGCCTTCCATTTCTTTGCTGTTCTTGGTTCTTCATCAGCTGGGTTTGGTGGAGCAGGACTGTTTTCAGGACACCTGATTCCCAGCTATTGTGCTACCTGAAGTGGCTGGCTCATGCCGATCGGTGTAACAGTATTGTACAGCAGATTGTGCAAGCCAGTGATCCACAAGCACCTTCTGCAGTTGCCATGGATTGGCATCAGACAGGTGAGGGATTTGATAGCTGAGCAACTGTTTCTGAGAGCAGCTGAGGCAGTGCAGCTGAGACTGTGGGCGGAGAACCTGTCTGGGAAGTGAGGAGAGAACAGATCTGCTTGGTTGCAGCAACACTGAGGTTCCCAGACATTTTTTTGTTGGTGTAGTCAAGCCAGGTCTTCTAGTAACCACTTAGGTGCTCTGGTAGCTGAAGTAAGACCTTGTGTTAGGTACCGTGCCAGGCTCAAGAAGTGGAGGGGTCGGGGCTTGGCTTCAGCTCTTGTGCTGCGCCCTTAGCTGAGTACGTGCCCTGAATTTGGAGCGGGTCTGACGTTGTCCGACAATAGGACGAGTGGACCAGCTTTGGTCCACTTTGGGGGTCGGGAGGTAAGTGCTAATAGTGGTGGGTTGACTAGGAGCGGAGCAGAGAAGGCGGAGGATAATGCAGGAGGGTGGATAGGAGCAAAGGGGATTATTGATAGAGGCAGAGAAGTAAGGGGAAAGACTTAGAGCGCGGCTCTAAGTCAGAGCAGAAAGTTGGAGGTGATAACAAGATGAAACTTGTGTCCAGAGGAGGCAAGGTCCTACTGAGAATTCTCACAAGTAGTAACTGCAAGAAGACAAGTAATATTAAGACTGGGGAAAATATCTAAGTACAGGATATGTTATATACTTCTATGTATGAGGCAGTGATCAGGATAACTATGTTGTAAAGCTATGTACCAAGGATATAATTTGTAAGTACCTACACAGGTGAAGACATAAGTCAGAGCGGATATCAATATGTACGCATCGGATCAGTGATTGAGCGGTAAAAGGAATTACCGGTGATCCAGGAGTAAGGGTCTATGTACCGAAGAGGAAAGTATATATCTAAAAGGGGAAACCGGTTCCAGTTGAATGGAGGCGTTTTATGGAAGGGGACCGGTTGGGTGGTCGAGCGGAAGTGTAGGGGTGGATGCGGACGATGATTGGACAGAGCAGAGAATGGTTGGAGCGGAGGTAGTCGGAAAGTGGAGTGGATATTGATATTAGAGCGGTCGGATCAGGTATATGACACACTCCACCTTCATCTCCGTACTGCCCACTATCTCCTTTTAGAATAACTGTTCTCTGGCTACTGGTTATGTTCTTTCCACTATGCTTACTGATCTGTTCCATTTGTGCTTCATCTCTGACTTCACTGCTTTGATCTGTTATGCACTTACTAATACTTTCCACATGCTTCATACATAGCTTCTACCTTGCTGACTGATTTATTTACTTACATGATACCTACAGTATATAAATCCCTGTAATACTCTGGAACTCCGCAGTTCAAATATCATCTTAGTTCTGCTCATTCCTGCTTCTCCGGACTTGAGTCTAACCTCTTGTCTACCTCCGAGTCTTAGGGTTAAAACCTTAGGACCAAACCCCCAGCTCTACCTTAGGGTAGTCTACACTCTGTTCCATCTCTACTCCGGATTTGTCCACAGTAGCCTTACTCTGTTCTCTCCCAGCCTTCTGGAGTTCTGCTGAACTCCCCCTGCGTCTGACCTCCAGACTTCCCTAGACTTCTGTCAGACTTCCTCTCTGACCCTTGGAAATTAAGGGCACATACCCAGGTAAGGGGCACAGTGCACGAGCTGAAGCCGAAGCCCTTTGAGTTGTCTTCCCCTTGAGCACAACCTTAATATACTCCGAGCCTCCTGCCAACTCAAACATAGTAGTATCAGCTCACCTTATAGAATATTGTCAACCCATCTGCATGCATGTTCATATCAGATGCGAGCACAGTAAAGTTTGGTGATTGCAAGCGAGAAAAATGTAGGGATGTGTCAGCATACAGTTGGAAAAGGGCACATTCATTTTACATATGGATGGGAAGGACAGCAAAATGAGTGCCCTGGTGCTGGCTGAGAAAATCATGTTGAGGTTTCTGCTGTTCTGAAAACACATGACTGTAGGGGAGCATTGAAAAGTGTGTTTGAGTGTTGCCATTGAATGGTAGAATGCTGAATGACTCCGCAGTGCATCGGTAGTTGTTTGCATTAACTCACTGACCATATCCAGCCTGCAGGTCACAATTGAAGTGCCATGATGTGCCTTCAAGGAGAGTAGAGACACGGTTCTTCAATGAAACATCAAAATGTCCAACATATGAATGTCCAGTATGATTTTCAGTGCCAACCTGTACATCGAACAATGTGTTGTGCCAGTGAGTATCACAATTGAATCATTTTGTGAGAATTATGCACCTGCATGTTGTGGCACGCAGCATAGTCCAGAATCATGTTGACGGCTTGACAGGCTGACATGTTGAAGGACATGAATCACTGAATAATGTTCTGGTGCACTCCACCCTCTAAGTCATTTGTTCCACAACAACAGTGATACAGGGTGAGGTTATTCTTGTCTTTTCCAACCTTGTAGTAAAGAGATATGCCTGGTGGATCTGAATAGTAACCACCCTAAATATGCTCAAGAATTTTCTTTGTGACCTCCCATGCTTTGTCATTGAACAGTGGCTGCGCCATCGTGGAATCCTTGAGAGGGCCAAATGTTTTGATGACAGCTGCTACACAGCTGAGCAGAATCTCTGGTGGGGGCACATAGCGTCAGACATGAGCCAGGACCCACTTCAGCTTTGAAACCAGTTTAGCTTCATAACTGGTATTTGACTTTTGGAGAACAGCTTCAACTGTGTGTTTATCTCCAGGATCAGTGAAAAAGATGGCAGCACTAAGTGCATGTGTCATATACCCGATTCAGCCACTCCCAACACCATTCATAGATGTCCCTACTATTGGTCCGACCCCCTGTTTCCCTGTCCGCTCCATCCCTCCTTCTCCGACAATGCACAAAGTGCATCTCCTGCTACCTTCACCCGACTCCACTCCACTCCCCCGACACTACCCCTATTTCCTCCGACACCATATCCCTACCCTCCAACCCTATCTGGAGCTCCGCTCCTCCACTCCATTGGTCCGACCAATCCTACTCCCTCCACCATCTCCGCTTTTCCGACCCACTCGGTTCCTCCAGTTTCTCTTGTATCACCTCACCCAACTATTAGTCCGCCCAACCACCTCACTGGTCCACTCCTAGACTAGGTACCACTCAACTGGTCCTATCTCCATTTAGTATCATAGTTCCTCCTTTTGGATCACCGGTAATTCCTATACCAGAGTGATTGCTGATCTGTCGCATACATACTGTTCTCCGAGCCTTTTCTTGTATGTCTCAGTCATCCTTCTTGTTAGGTACCGTGCTGGCTCAGGAAGCAGAGGGGTCGGGGCTTGGCTTCAGCTCTTGTGCTGCGCCCTTAGCTGAGTACGTGCCCCAAATTTGGAGTGGGTCCGACATTGTCCGACGATAGGACGAGTGGACCGCTTAGGTCCACTTTTGTTAAGGTCGTGCTCAAGGGAGAGGTTGCTCAAAGGGCTTCGGCTTCAGCTTGTGCGCTGCACCCCTTACCCAAGTACGTGCCCTTTAATTTCCGGGGGACAGAGGGGAAGTCCAACAGAAGTCCAGGGAGTTCCAGAGGACTTAGTGTCGGTGAAGTTCGGCGGAACTCCGGAAGGCTTATGCGGGGACAGAGTAAGGCTACTATGGAAGTCCGGAGTAGAAACTGAACAGAGGTTAGACTACCCTAAGGTAGAGCCGGAGAAGTAGTCCCAAGGTTTAACCCCTAAGACTCAGAGGTGGACAAGAGATGAGACTCAAGTCCGGAGATTGCAGGAATGAGCAGAACTAAGATGATATTCAAACTGAGGAGTTCCAGAGTATTACAGGAAGCCAATCTTAGGGCTGTAACAAAGAAGAAAAAGCCTCTTCTTTCCATCACTCATAGGAAGAGAAGACTAGCCTTTGCCCTAGCCCATCAAAACTGGACTGTAGAGGACTGGAAGCAGGTCATAAGGTCAGATGAGACTAAAATCAATAGAATTGGGTTAGATGGGAAGGTACATGTGTGGAAAAAGAAGGGGGGCCCTCTTACAGACAGAGAGATTAATGGAACTCTCAAGTTTGGAGGAGGTTCTTTAATGGTATGGGGATGTATGGGGTGGAATGGTGTGGGATTGCTTGCAGAAGTTGAGGGGAGGATGGATGCTGAGCAGTATATGGATATCCTCCATTATCAGCCTTTCCTGTGGTGATATGTTGGATAATGACCCTCCTATCAGTAGAGGTGAGTTTGGATGGACGACCTCCACTGGAGTTTTCCTTGTCTGGGTGTCATTCTTTGATGAGGTTGGCTACAGTAGACTTACATAAACCAGTTCTAGAGGCTATTTGACAAGTAGAGAGGCCAGTAGTAGACAGAGAAAGGATATTATCCCTTTGAGCAGAGGAGATGGTTTTCATGGTGATTATGACTATGATATATGGGACACACTTCATTATATACTTAGAGATAGGTTTAATAATGTCATAATGACACCACTTCATAATTTATTTAATAGTGGCATGACTTTATGGTGTCATAACTAATGATTTATATAATTTTAATCTAGGGTCAAAAAACTGTCCACATGAGTCATCATTTTGTAAGGCTTATAGTGCCACCACATTACCATAAATTCCCACAGGAAAGGGCTCAAATTCATGCCCCAAAGGAGTACTACAGAGTACCCCACTGGCATATCCCCGGTCTACCTGTCCATTCATATACAATAATGTAAATAGTGAAAATAGCACAAACATGTGGACAGTTTTTTAAGCCACTGTAGATGGCGAGCATGTTCGGAGGTGATTGGCTTGACATAAGATGATAAATGGAACTTTGCCAAATTCGGAGAGTGGTGTGGGAGTGTGCAACTGCAGGAGGGAGCCAGATATCATATATGCTGGAACTAAAACTTCCCGCACAACCATAACAACACGAGTCTTTGTCACATTTATTCCATGGAATGTGGCAGGTCGATCAAGGGCAATGACACCTCTTGCAATCTCTCATCCATCTGGGGCAAACATCATGACTGGTGTCCCTCCTGGTGTCAAGCTACTGACAGGCTGAGGTGTGCCTATGGTGTGAAGGGTAGAGTAGATGTTCCATACAGCAAATACATCCAGTGTGGCATGGTTCACAAAAACCTCAGCAAGAATTTTATTGCCCCAAGATGTGCTGATGCAAATATGTGATTCTCTAGGAAGCTGATGGCAAAGGATAATTGCACTCAGCATTGGGAGGGTTGTGCACCCTCTTGGGGCTGCATTGCACCACTTTGCCAGTGTTGTGAGGTCAACATGTCCAGCAAAGGGTGCCAATTGAACAGCTGCTGAACAATCTCCATGCAGCCTCTTGAAGTCAGCACCAATATTAATGCCAATTTTGGTGTATGTTGGGGACTGCAAGAATGTTGTGAGCCCATGGGGAAGGGAGATAAGTCCATCCCACATGAAGTGGACAGTCTATGCAAATGAAATCAGATTTCCTTTCAACACAAATATCAGGGTGGTTGCACACCTGGATCAAGTACACAACCTTCTGATATGCAAACTCAAGCAGGGCCACTCGGCCAAAGACACCTGTCCTTGTGTCAACAGGCCACTGCATGCCAAAAGCAGTGGCGACAGGAGAAGCTTCAGTATGCTGATTCATGATAAGGTTGAACCGCAAGTTGATCTGGTGTGTGTTTGTGAGGTGGACAATCTCCCAGTCAGATGGGAGTACGAGAGCTGTGAGTGCAGCAATTGGTTCAACAGGGGTAACACTGATAGAAAGTGAAGGGAATATTGAGAGCAGCTTGTCCCTGTCAGCACGAATGTTGTCCGTGAATACCACCTTGGGTTCTGGGTGCCCATAGTCACGAAGTGATGGCAGAATGGCCTGCAAGACAGGAGCCCAACCATCATGGGCCTTTGATGGTGTGAATGTCATGCCACATATCTCAGAGTACTCGTTGAGGAAAGTATGAAGTGCAGCAAAAAAAGCCACACCACCCTGCTTCTTCATTTGCTTAATGACCTAAAGCCACAAAAATGAGACTCTCGATTGAAAAATCAATGCTGTCCAATCCATACCTTAAAGGAATGGTCATGTTTCAATATATTAGCAGGGCATGAAGAGATAATTTGCTGAAGCTCAGGAGCCTCGTCCTCGACCATCATGTCATAGAAGCGTCCAAAGTAACCTGAGGATGGGACATGACCAGCATAACCTTCACGGTCACTGAATTCACCAAATGGCTCCTTGCTCGTCCAACAGTCTCCCAGAGAGCCAACACTGTGATCAGCAACCATCTCCAAAAATTGGCATTGGAGCTGGTCAAAACAATGATAGTGGAGTGCTTGGACGACTGTGGTGAATACATGTGGACCCACACCTCCCCGAGAGAACTCTCGCAGTAGCATAGCAAGGTGGTCTGTGAGTCCACCACAGTGTGTGAGGCAGAAGGTGAAATGGTCTGATATGACAGGGGGGAGTACTGCAAGGATAGACGGGCTACAGCTTTGGTAGTTCTTGCAACAACCCTTGTGCCCGCAGCAATATCGAAATCCAATGATAAAAATGTTACGATTGACATCAACCACCCATCATGGGCTATCAACAAAACCATGTTTCTGCAGATACACTACTGATGTCTTCGAGCCTTCCTGTTTGGCCTCCTTGCATGCTGGGCATGGTATGCGATCCACCAAAAGATGCGGCAGCCACAGAAAGTAACGAGGCTGGTGGAAAATGCCAGCTGCAGATCCATCATATGAAGCTCGTGCTGCAAGAAAGCAGTTTTCTGCTCCGTCGTAGAAGGAATAGCGGTCGTAACATGTGGGCATTCTTGACGAATTGTGTTTCATTTCGTGGATCAACCAGTCCCACACTCGTAGATAGTCATTCTTTAGCCACGTCGGCATAGATGAACGAGGCTGTCCAGGTGTTCGACCATCACTGGTAGTACCCGAAGTACCTGCATCCACAGTATGGCTGGTTTCCGCCTGCTCTCCATCTGGCATGTCTTCATCATTCCAGGGCATGAACTCATGCTCAAGCTCACGCGTACTATCCTCTTCATCGTCATCATCATCGCCACCTCCGGTCATTGCACCTGCAACCAGGTCAGAGCCATAAGGGTTGTCGACAGTGGGGAGGGACCATTGCGAAGGTGGTGTGCGAGGAGATGCACTGCTAGCTGAGGGAAGGGGCGAGACTGTGCGGTATGGTAAGGACGTGGCCGGATTCACAGTAGTGCCGGTAAGCTCAGGTTCCGGGAGACGCGGGAAGGATGAGCTACTAACATAGTGATGGGGTGAGACTGTGCGGGACGGTAAGGACTCTGGCAGATTCATGGGACGGTTGGGAGAGCTCGCAAGCTCGCGTTCCCGCAGGAGTGGCTGAACGGCCTGATCGTGGCCAGGAAGCCCTGCTGCAGGAAGGGGGAGGGGTGACACAAGGTCCACGCGTGTACCAGGAGTTCGAGGTTGGGCTGACGGCAATTGACCACTATTCTCGTGATCTTAAGCCGATACTGACGCGACTGAAAAGGAAGTCAGTGTCGAGTAGGGATGCAGGTGAAAAAACGGTACATACCATGGTCACTCGCAGGTGCTACAGCTTCGGAGTGGCTACTATTACTGCAGTTTGGGACAATAGCGAGCTTGCCAAATGCCGTTGTCAATTTCGTTGACTCAGATGTGATGGTGCAGAGGGAGTGTTCGAGCTGGGGTTGGGATTGTCACGGCGACTGGTGCTGGTGCTGGTGCTGGTCACGGACACTCCGTGGCTAGTTGCCGTGTCGTTTGCTGCTAAAATGATCAGCTTAAGTGTCAGTCACACTAACAAAGCGCTAATCACTTACCATCTTCAGTATCATGGCGCTGTCTCGGTTGAGGTGCACGCCCATCCTTTCTGGGACGTCCAACGCCCGTCGTGCCGGGCTTATTCTTTGTGCCCCTTGGGCGCCCATGGCCGCGTTTAGGCACCTCGGACATGAAGGGTGTGGGAATGAAAGCAATGAGAGAAGCTTTCGAAGTCGACGACAGTCGGACGAACTTCAGGCAGGCAAAGGCAAAGGTAGAAATTATTACCGGTCCGGGCGGCTCCGTTAGGACCTAACCAGCGTACAAGTATAGAGCTACCGCCAGCGTGTTTGAGATACTGTATTATAATGGAAGAACAGTGTACACGTATGCCATGTAGGCATGATATGTATCATCACAGTCAAACAACCCCATATTTTCAAGTTTTGAGCTGCGCACGCAAGTTTTGCTCCAATGGGCCTCGAGCACGAATAAACTGTACATAAGCTCCATCCCTGCGCGTCAAACGAGTCAAAATAGAAATATGACCAGACAACCTGAAAGGATACGCACTGCAACACTCTCTTCTCCTCCTTGAGCTTCATGTAATCCTCACGAGCCACATTCGTGAAGCCCCACTTCTTCGAGACAATGATTTTCTGGCGGCCGGGGAACTTGTAGCGTGCACGGCGGAGAGCCTCCTGGATGACGGCCGAGTTGGAGTCCTTGCAACGGATAGAGAGGATGATCTGGCCGATATTGACACGGGCGACGGTGCCGTAGGGCTTGCCCCAAGCACCACGCATACCAGTTTGTAACCTGCACGAAAAAATGTAAGTGTCACCGCACGAATTCACACCCGAGTCACATACCTATCAGCGCCAGCACAACTCAACATCTTGTTAATGCGGATGACGTGGAATGGGTGCACACGGACACGCATGTGGAACGAATCCTTTCCAGACGTCTTGGTGACGTACTTGTTGGCGCAGATGCGGGCTGCTTCGAGTGCCTCGGAGCTCAACTGCTCGTACTCATCAGAGACGAGATGGCAACAGAAGGGGAATTCGTCGACGGAGGCACGTTTCCGGCCGAGATCGAAGATCCTAATCTGTGGGGAGGTGAGGATTTGGGTGACTAGGCATGGGCGACCAAACCTTGGAATCAGGGACACCACGGTTGTACCGCGATTTGGGGTAGGGCTTGTTCTTGCAGTAACGGTAGCAGCGGGCGGGACGACGGCCCATTGTTGTAATCTGCGACGCGAGAGAAAAGTAATTGTGATCAGTACCTGCCTGTTCCAACGGAACAACATCCAAGGCAATTGGACGGCATCCACCCCAACCACTCGTAATCCACCGCTCCTTCCAGTTCAAATCACATCCAACCAATCATCCTGACAGAATAATGCGGAACAGCGACACTCACATGCCACACGGGGGGATCTTGACGGTGAGTGTGATGTGCGGTGGTGCACAGACCGTCGTCCAGCCCCTTCGGTAACCTTAGATAATCAAGCTGACTTTGAACTTACTAACGAAATCCATACGGTAATTAAAGATGTTTATAGACTTTTGCCAGTTGCCTCGAACTTGGCAATAGTAATCCATGTATCAATATAAAAAACAACATCGAAGACACACCGAGCTTGCGCTAGTTCCTTTATCACTCCGTCACCAGTCACAGTAAGCCTATCTCCCGAAGTGATTGCATAGCTTGCATTTAGGTAGTATCATATGCGAGCAAATCATACAGAGGACAAGAAGAATAATGCAATAAAACCCATCTAACCACGCTTCTTTGACACACCGACAGTCTTCCCGCGACGGCCTGAACGACGCTCGAAAATCAGATAACAGCGAGCCAGAACGAGCAGCCTTACCAGTAGTTTTTGTGTGCTGACCACGCACCCGCAGGCCCCAGAAGTGTCTTAGACCACGGTGGGCCCGAATCTTCTTCAATCGCTCGAGGTCATCACGCAACTTGGAATCAACACCGTTAGACAGGATCTGGGAGTCCTTGCCGTCTACAATGTCCTTCTGTCTGTTCAGGAACCAAGTCGGGATTTTGAACTGAGTAGGATTTTGGATAATCGTGACGATACGCTCAAGCTCGTCAGAGTTCAATTCACCGGCACTGTACAATTATGTGAACGAGTTGCGTACCATAGAGTGGAAACACATACCGCTTATTGAGGTCAACATCTGCCTTCTTACAAACAAGGTTGGAGTAGCGACGCCCGACACCCTTGATCTCTGTCAGAGCGTACATAATTTTGCGCTTTCCGTCAACATTCGTGTTGAGCAAACGCAGAATGTGCTGAGGAGATCGTAAGTCGAAAACAGACACAAACCTGAGGGAAACGGACCTGAAATTGCTGATGTGCTTCAGGGACAACGAGGGACATGATGGAAGCGTTCTGCAGGTAAAGATTCGGTAAATCCGTGTTATCCACAGGGAAACCCGTCCATCCAGCGAAAAACCAGACAAGATCTGGCTCAAAAATCTTCTAATTCATCGCAGCCGGGCAATGTGCTTCCTAATGAATGGCTGCGTGCATGAAAATAAGCTCACCTTTGTTCAATCGGTCCTCAGGATAGCCTTGACACTGGGTATGACAGCGAGCGAAGGGTGAACGGCTGAGAACACCGGCAAATTCCGGTATCCGCGGTCACGTGGCCCATGTTACATTCGTGTGCCACTGATTTGAACTTGCCTGTCACTTCATTTTCTAACCACATCTTCATTACAACGTTCTAATACATGTCCAAGAGAAAGGTGGGTGGTGCATTACCTATCATTCTTATTGCTCTCTTATAATCCCAGCAGTGTATCTCTCCAGCAATTTTAAACGCAGAACTTGAAGCTGTCCGCGGCAAGGTCTCCCTTGAAGAGACAGAGGAGTCATGGGACAAGATCGAGCAAGGCATTATGCAGCTCACCCAATGTTGTAATAACGGCGGATGCGACTTTGCCACAGAAATGGTTGCCGGTATACGCTCGCTTTCAAGACCACTCAACCACGCTATGAACTCGGAGCGCAGTAGACTGTCCGGTTCTACTATTGAGCTTGTAAACGCTCTGTTGGCGGGTTTGGGCCCCTCATTTGAACCACTCGTCTCACTGTTTATGCCGACTCTTCTCGGGCTTTGCGGCCGGACCAACAAGGTGTTCACTAACCGAGCGAAGGCGTGCATTCTCGCTGTGATTGAAAATACCCAATTGCCTTCCCTTCTGCCATATCTCGCGGATTCGCTAAATCACAAGTCGGTTCTTCTTCGGCTAGTGGCTGCAGAGGGCATTCTTGCTTGTCTCAACTGTTTCAATCCTCCTGATATTGAGAAGGATACTCGTGCCCGTCTTATCGAGGACGTCATCAAGTTGTCTGCCCGGGATGCTAGCGCAGATGTTAGAAGAGCGGGGAAAATGATTTTTGAGGCATACAAAGCCCTTTTGCCTGATCGCGTGGAGAGGTTGGTCTCTAAAAATTACGCTTGTGACAACGTGCCTCACATGCACCATTCAGTTTCATTGCACCCTTAACCCCTGTTATCAAGAAGTACTTAGATGTGCAAGGCACAGCTGCTTCGCGGTCGACTTCGCAAGCACTCTCTCGTGGTCCTGCAGTGACGGCAAGGGTAACCTCGAGGCCAATCGGATCCCTCCAAGCTCAGAAGATGAGTTCTCATTCTAGAGCTACATCCATGCAGCGCGCTACTGCCGCCGGAGTTTCATCGGAGCGACCAACACGACCTCCTAGCTCTGAGCCACAGCGAGAGGTGACCGCAGTGAAGCCGCGTGTTGTATCAAGTCAAGTGACCTCCAATGCAAGCGCAGGGCCGTCGGTGAGAGAACCGCCTCGCCAAGGCGCACTTCGTCCCCCTTCGGAAACAGGCCCATCGACTATACAGAGTACAAATCGACGAAAGGATATTCCACATCATGTAGTTCCCACTACCCAGGGCCCTCAGCGGGTAGGGAACATGCTCTTGAAGCCACACGATGAGAAGCCCCGTGTTGGAGGTGCTCGAAGAGTTCTCATTCCCACAGCTCCTGCACCAGAAGCTGACGAGAGTGTGATGACGCGCACGGTGTTCAAGACCGGTCCTCCGTCAGTCAAGCCGCCCTCAGTTAGCTCACTCGCACCAGCTCTTGTCTCGAAACGTGATCCAAAGAATCACCTCGTAACCACAAAGATTCACTCAACTGCTACCGCCAGGCCATTGTCTCGAACGGGACCACGGACAATGACGAAATTAGAGCAGCCGCCAACCAGGGGTACAAGCTCTCGGCTTGGCCAGTCGCGGTCACCGACCACGGCAGTCGAGCAACAAACGTCATCGCAGACTTCTCGCAAGCAAGTTGCTGCATCAAGTCGTTCCAGCCAGCAAGCCGTAGATCAGAAAAAGCCGGTGTGGGGAGGACGGTCTTCCGCCAAAACCTCTAAGCCCGTTGTCAAGGCGCTTTCGATACATCCCAAGCCGGGCAGTACGAAGAATCCTGATACTAGCAAGCCAGCACCGGAACATATACCATTGCCGCCCAGCCCCACTATATGCCCTACCACAGTGCCTCTACCATCTTCCCCAGCCTGTAGTCCCCGTCAGTCATGCCAGCTTGAGCTACCAACATTAGGAGAGTCATCTACACAAGTCACTACTGACGACACGCACGTTGCGTGCCCTCCTTCCATCGATGCTACGCCTTCACCACGCATCATTGACTTTCAAGAGTCCCCCTCCAAAACTCCCATTACAGCGCTCCTTTCATCCATTCAGCGCGGATTCCTGTTTACGCCTTCGTCGCCGCTCTCACCTCCCCAGGCTTATGTAACTGAAGTTATTGCTCATACATACCGCCCGAACAGCCCAACAGCTTGCAAAGATATAGCCTGGGTCGGTATGGTTCAGGACAATGCAGCACGACAAGCATTAGAGGTGGTGGATATAAATTAGCTCATATGCGCCTTCGTAGTTAGTTGACTTTGGATTAATGATATATGCAAATACTAGGGCACGGTGTAGAACTCTAAAAACATCATCTTTATGTCCCTGGAAATCCTTCAAGTTCCCTAGTTGCTGACCTGGGCAATGAATCTATGGTCAATTGAGATATCAGACCAGAAGTAAAAGACATGCCATCGCCATGAACTCTCAGTGACTCAAGAACCTTCGTCCCTTGAATAGTCGTCTGGCTAGAATTTTTCTACCGGTTGCGGTCTTTTTCCGAGCAAGAAAGCCGTGTTTTCTTTTGCGCTTTCGTTGCGAAGGCTGGTACTCGGTGCCACGAGAGGCAAAACGCCTCTGGCCGAGTGCATCACATAGTGAAGGTAGCGGGAGCGTATATCCAGTTTGTGGGACAAGGAACGAGCGATTGATGAGGATAGAGCGCGACGCTGGGATGATGCGGTTCACTGCGGTGAATGATGGTAAACTGAGTAACGGTCTACGAATTGCTCCAAGAAGTGGAAGAAACATGTTCAACGCTAGTGCTAAGTGCAGGCCAACGCTAAAATTTAAAGACATATCATGCTCATCCGTAGTCACGTGACTTTATAGTCGTTCAGGGTTGTAATGCTCAGGACACCTGCTTGAGCCTGCTTGGGATCCTTTCATGCACTGAAGAATGTCGACAACGCCAGGCAAACCCAGAATATCAGGTATTCCAACTCCTGGAAAGCCTACCGGAATACCTACTCCAGGCAGATTTCGTTCTTCGTCTTCCGTTAATCCTCATCTTAATGCCTTTGACTCTGATGTGGAGTATATGTCTCGTACATTCGCAAATGCAATCAAGGCCAACGATCCAGCCCAGCATCGTACTAGCACCGCTTCGAATTCATCCCCTTCATCAACTTCCCCAATGTCAAATTTTGCGTCACTGCAATCTGGCCGTCGTTCTGTAGCTGGTCGTCCTTCCTCGGTTGCTTCAACCTCTACATTCGCGCAGAACAGATCAAAGACACCCGCTCCACGCCCTCCAAGCAGACAATCAGATGTTTTTACCCGTAGTGTGAGTCGAGCTGGGAGGACGTTCGAAGTCGGAGATAATGTTAGAATAGAGTCTTTGGGGTACGAGGGCTGCCTAAGGTTTATTGGAGAGATCGACGGTAAATCGGGCCTGTGGGCAGGCGTCGAGCTTGGTGGCGGATTTTCAGGCAAAGGAAAGAATGATGGATCTGTTGGGGGGTGAGTCTTCTGTTCGCTGTTAACTGCTTGCTATGCTCGTGTGCAGTAACAGTTGTTATTCTCAACTCTGCTCATAGATTATCTTGCTGAGTGTTTTTCTTCAGGAAACAGTACTTCGTGTGTCCTCCAAACTGTGGTGTATTCGTTGCTACCACGAAACTATCTGCCCCCACCATCCCTTCTAGCTACCGGCCCCCATCAGTCACCTCCTCTCGCAGTGGTCGCGTAACACCATCTTTTTCTGGTAGAGTCACTCCCTCACATTCGTTATCTTTTGGAAGCGGGCGCGTCACACCGTCGAACCTCTATGGCCGCCCCAGTGCTGGCACAACTCCTGCAGCTCGCAAAACAAAGCCAACTCCGCAGTTAGGCCTGTCGCAGTCGCCACGAAGACCTGGATTAGAGGCTCAAATTACCTCAGGTTCGAGGGCCTCCAAATATATTGGTCTCACAGCCAAGCAGTTGAAGGCCAATGGCGATGGAACCCCAGAGTATACTATTCGTACTCCATCGTCACCATCGCGCGGACCCCTAGATTCGAGTATACACTCTTCAGATTCTCCATTTACCACACCAAAAGCCGGTGCTACTTCTCGTGCCCCTAATACCTACAACGGCGCACACACCCCTGGCCTCAAAGGCCGCCCATCTCTAAACACCCCACGACCAAGGATACCCAGTGCAGTTGCTATGCCACCACCTGCCTCACCTGCACGAACAGCATCCTTCACGTCTACCTATTCTTTGAATGATGGTCCCGATCTCGCCCATGAGGACCTCACATCACGCATCCGACCGAGTTCTTCGATGGATCTGACTGCTTCTTCACAGGCTTTGCAGGATAAGATTAATCAACTCCTCTCAGTGCAGTCTATTCCGCTACCCAATACCAGTGACCCCAGTACATCGCGACCCTCCTCAGTTGCTTCTCTTCGATCTGCTTTCCCCGACAACGACGTGCAACAGGATGTTCTGCATTCTCGCCTACAAACTCTCGAGCGCGAGAATGCTTCTCTTCGTGATGCTGCTAATGCAGCCCGTACGGACGTTGCGCTAGTCCGCGCGCTCGAATCTGAGCGTGATGCAGCTCTCGCCTCTGTTTCCTCTACGGAGAACCAGCTCCGCACTCTCGAGCGTAAGTGTACCGAACGAGAATCAAAAATTGAATCCCTTGAACGCACCGCGCTGAAAACAACGTCCGAACTAGAACGGTTCAAGAACGAGAACGAGGTTCGTGTCACAGACTTGCAGGCCAAACTTGACACAAGTGAGTCACTCGTCAAGAGTCTTAAAGAGGCAATCGCGGCAAAAGAGGGTGCCGAGCATGACAGGGATGCGCTGCTCAAGGCTAAGAATGACGAAATTGGGCTTTTGGAGGGTCGATTGGAGACAGTGTCGGGCGAATTGGAGGCTGACAGGAAAGAATTAAATGCGCAAATTGATGAACTTCGTCAAGCTGGCCAGGTCAGCTACGTTGCATTTGAATTAGCATGGACTGACCATTATCTTAGGAAACGATTGCGCTATATGAAGAACGTCTCAGCGCCTCAGATTCGCGCCGATATGAGCTTGAAGACCGGATCGTATTTCTCGAGGACCAAGTCAAGAAGGCCACCACTCCTCTCTCTCCAAGCGCCGCCCTCCAACGCGCCACTTCCGCTGCTGAAATCGACAACGAAAACCTTCGCGAACAAGTGCAACACTTGCAACGGAAACTTGCCACACTGGAGGACTCTCTTGAAGATGCTCGTGCGGTATCTGAACGGGAGGAAGCTGCCGTGCATGAGCGAATCAAACGGTTCAAGGACAAGGAAGATGCTATGCTATGCGAACTCAACGAGGGGCGCAAGACTGTTGAACAGGTTCTCAAAGCTGAGGCTCTCGCTAAAGGTCGCGTGGAAGAGGTCGAGGAGGCTTTGCGAGAAAGTACTCTTGCCCTCGAAAATGCCCAGGCTGAAATTGAAAATCTGAGATCCGATGTTGCTGTGAGTGGCGTGCTTTGAGCCGCTCCACATTCTAACGTAGTCCACCAGGTGGCTGGGCTCGAAACAGACGGTGTTTCCGACTCGCAGAAACTCAAAGCTGGAGAGTGCGCGCGCCTCACGGAGGAGATTCAAGAACTGCGTGACCAACTCGATCAATTGCGATTATCTACATCAGAAATTGCATCTGTCTCCTCAACAGCTGATGTAAGAGGCCGCCTTTTTTCGCATATAGCCATTGATCTCGAGTGTAGGACACGGTCAATTGGCAAGTGAAGTATGAACAACTGCAAAAGGAGGTGCTTGTTTTGCGCAAAGCTCTCGAGGAGCGTACTTCGGAGCTCGACACTGCGAAGAAAAAACTCAACCGCGACATTCCTGTCAATAGCATCCAGGAGCCACCAAAGATGCCAACTTCGTCTAAGCAGGAATCTGCTGAATTAATGGGCTTGAAGTTGGTTTTTTGCCCTTATTCTTCTTTCCGACACTCATCTTTCACAACAGGCACATCGTTCAAGAATTGCAAAAAGAGACTTCAGCAGTGACTCAGCGAAATAAGTTACTAGAGTCTGAGAACAGACTCTTGATGTCAGAGACCGATCAGCTTCGCCAGGTACGACTCACGCCAGGCAACTAACGAATTCTCCTTTACGTGTTTATCGCAGGAACTGAAAATCCTCGAGGAGAACGTTGAGCAGAGTTTGTTGCGTGAGGAGGCTGCTCTTGGAAATCACACGACATTTGCATCTGGTGACGATCAGACGGCTAGGTTGGAAGTATGTCAACGCGTAGCGTATCCAGCTCGTCGAACTGATGCGTGTCGCAGAACGAACTGGAGCAGTTACGCAAGCGCTTAACTGAAGCTGAGATGAAGACCGCCCGTGTCACACATGATGTACGTGCCAGTCGCTACTGCTATACCTTCTTAACCAGTATTTGATCCAGCTGAACAAAGAGATTGGCGAGCTAGAAACGCTCGTGGAGTCGAAGGTACGTGTCACTACTGCATGTGGAGCAGACTATGATTCGACTTTGATCCGACTTGATAGATTTATCGCGAAGTGAGTTTTATCCTATAATATATAGGTGTGCTTTCATGCTTATTTACCTTCTTTCAGGATGAACTCGAGCAAGAAGTCGAGCACCTTAAAGAGAAGCTGTCCCGGAACCACAAGAAGTCGTCAAAGAATAGCCTCGAGCCCATAGATCTGCCTCCTCGCAAATCTTTATCCACCTCAGGCGTCGCGACTAACAACTTTAAACAAAGTTCTAGCGAAGACGTCTGTGAGATCTGTGAGAGACCGGGGCATGACATCTTCACTTGCGACCTCTTACGAGACGAAACACCCGCTGCTCGTGACAAAAATGCAGTCATGCAGATGAATGGAGATCCGTCAGACTTGCTTTGTGTTGACTGCGAAGGACACGGACATGTAGCTGCTGATTGTCCACACTCACTGGATGTCTTCTAAACGAACCTAAATTTGCACCAGTGTCATTCCTCGTACCACTGTTTTCCAGGCTATACCTTCATGAATATTCTTAGCGTATGTTCCGTTACAGCTATATTTAGCAGCACATAATCTGACATTATATACCCTTTTCTTCGAGGTTCATTCCGACGTGTCGTAGGAACATTGAAGAATGTTGATTGTCTCAGACTGAATATCGTGTGGAACGCGTTACGTGCATACTGTGTGTCGATTACTAAGCGAGTATGTGTGAAGAGATTGGCATGAGGTTTCGGGCGAAGGCATGTAGCGCTTTCCTGCCCTGAGGGAGGGATAAGAAGAAAAAGGTGAGCTGCGAGGGCGGGTGGGACCCCCTGCTAGTACCTCAGGCCTCAGGCCTTAGGGCCCAAAAGATATCATCAGCTGGTGATAACGAGGCGCGGAATATTAATGTACAGTGATGAAAAGAAATTTTAAAGGCCTGTCTCCTATGACGTAGTACGATGACGTCACACTGCTTTCTGCAGTACATAAACATGAGATGGCGACCATACTATTCGTTGAACGTCTTAGTTTCTGAAATAACGTCGAGTTGTATAATATGTCCTACGCCTCAGTTGCTGCTCGTGATGCTCCTCCCCCGTCTGAGCAGGTACGTACTTAGGAGATTTAGAGTTCTGTAAAGTCGTGCTCACCATACCGCTCAGCCTCATCCAGATCCTGCCCTCCTCACAACCAAACAATCCACTCCAAGTAACGTTATCGACGACACTTCCAAAGTTAATGTAGTTTCCAGAGATTTTAAAGAGAACCCTGCGACATACACATCCGAAACATATGTTCCAGAAGATACTGAGGGTGATCTCATCGACCCGGGTAGGACACCCGGAAAAGGCAAACGCAGCAAGCGCCTTCAGGAGGTTCAAGCGGAAGGCACCTATTTGTGGGAGGTCGCAAAGCAATACTTGTTACGTCCAGGTGTTGCTGGTGGTCTTGTTGGCCTGGGTATGATCCGTTGCTTCCAGATTTATGTGTTAATTGACGATTTTATCCAACAGTAAATATCGGTCTTTTGTCCAGCGTGGGCTACGTGTTCTATACCAAACCTGAGCTTCAGCGGAATTTCACTGCCATCAGTTCGGCAGCGGCAGGAGCTGTACTGTTGATCGGGACTGAAGGCTGCGCAGCAGAGAAGTATCGAAAGACCCCTAGAGGCCGCCAGGAAGAACGACGTGCACGTGAGGAGGGCACTCTCATTTACAAACAGTTGCGCGAACACGTCTTTCGTCCGGGTGTTTTAGGTGGTTTGGTCGGACTAGGTCAGTGACAAATGCATCTACAGATGTTTTAAAAAATGTTTACCTCTACCCCTTCAGCAAATACAGCGATTATTGGAGCAGTGGGGTATTACAGCTACGCAAATTGGCACAAACCCAAATGGAACCGGGATGTCGTCACCGCTGTTTCATTGAGCCTGCTCACGCTTTGGGGTGGCGAAGGGTGAGGGCGTTAACACTGACTGCCTTGCATTGCTGCAGACGCTAAGACTTACTTGCAGATATCTTGCGGAACACTATCGTGCGGAACAGCGCAGGCAGTGATTACAATAGGCCGTTACTGGATTTTGGAAGAGAGCACTTGTACACTATGTCAGCTTAATTCGATGATAATCTTTTACTGAGCAACGAGTCAGTGTGCTCGCACTAGACGCAGCATCGAGTCACCTGAAATATTGCCAACACATTGCTGATACCGCAGTGACCACTACCTTCAAAAGTCGTATTGAAGAGCAACGTCTGCGCACATACCTTTCACATACGCTTGCAGGACTGTCCCACCACTCTCCCGTCTCGCACATTTTCTACTGTCCACTCTTACTTCGATGATTGGTGGTATTCTGCGTCGGGCATTCGCGACCGCAGAAGCTTGCTCAGGTTATTGCGCACAAAGTCGGTATACATGCAATGTTGAGCAGAACGAAAAGGGCCCTGCCTTGATGGTAGGTAGGTCGAGGTGACATTTGGCTACAAAGTGAGAATAAGCGTTGTGAGCCAACTCAGAACGTCGAGGAAAGGGGGGAGGACACAAGGCGAAGATCGCGATCTGCAAAAAAATCAGACGTTTGGATGAATGATGTACACACTCAAGTTCTGTATATGTTGTCTGTGCACTGGGTACATGCCTTCCACTGAAAACTACGTGGTCCTTGGTGGTCAGTCTTCGCCTTCGTCGCTTTCTTCCTCTCCTGTACTGTCTTCAACATCACCTTCGCTGTCTTCCGGTTGTGCAGCCCAGTCTGAAATGTCAAGCTTTTCGTTTCGCACTGATTCTATCACGAATGTTTAATTTTGCCGTTGAGGTACGCGGGGGGTGGTTGGCTTACCATTATCTTCTACTTCGTACCCAGCCTGGGTAACGCATCTTATCAACTCTGCTTTCGAACCTACAGTAGTATTTTTGCCCAGAATGCAACCATCGAGCTTCGCCCTGGAATAGGATATATGCAATTGTCAGATACTAAGTCGAGAATCACTTACCCATCAGAAATAACACAATGATCCAGGAGAACGCATCCCACGATCTTCACCATCTTGCCGATAACACAATGCTTTCCGATAGTAGATTTTTTAATGGTTGACTTCTCCTCGACACGTGTGAAGTCTCCGATGGAGGTGTCAGCTACAAACTGGTGTATCTCATTTTCAGTGATAATCTGATCCGCAAGACAGAAGAAGACAAACATGACGATTTGCCTCGAGGTACGCTGGTAGATTGTTGACGCGAACAGCAAAGCCGTCATCCGCTCGATGAATTGTAATTCCTATTCGAAGGCTCGTGACATATTTTTCCTGCTTAGTTGATTGATACTGCAATTTGCATAACCAAGGAAAGAAGTCTTCTCTAAGAGAGTCAAACCGAGTTTTCTGGGCCAACAAGTCGAGCACATTGCGTTGACAAACGTAAACATGTGAGTCTAGCAACTTCGAAGACAACTTTGCCTGTGGATATCTAAGGAATGGATGAATCATCACACACACTTGCCGAAGGATATGAGTCACCTTGAGAGTAAGGTCATCCGCAGCTCCAGTTCATCGCTATTTTTGTCTGCTTCACGAGGACTATCTACATATAACAGGGTGCCGCTGAGGTGATCCCATACGATCGGAGTCGGTTGTGCCGGAGAACCCCACTCATCTGGAGTAGATTGCTTGTCCGATCTGTGCTCATACCAGCACGTAGTCACGATGGAACCATCTAACATCGAGTCCGTGCGGAACTTGTTGAGCAACTTTGATAAAGGTAGAGAAGGCGGCGGTATGAAATCGCAAGGGAGTAGAATGAAGTCCTCCTTGATGCGGTTGGCGAAATGGCGAAGTACGGAGCATGTCCCTGCACTCAGCTCTTGTGATTCATCGAAAGTCTGGAGGTCAATATGGACGGAAGAGAAGGATGCAGATGAAGACTGCGAGTGAATATAGTGAGATATTGCGGGGCGGTGGGATGAAGGACATATCAAAAGGACATCTGTGACTCGATAAGCTATTGCTGATCCAGACAAATTGTATGAAGTCCACCTTTGATGCCAGACTGCTCGATCCATGACAAGGGATAGTCGAGCATAGGTTTGTTTGAAATAGGAAGTAACGCCTTTGGACAAGGCTCGTCACCATGTTCACCAGTCAAAGGGAGTAGTCTACAAGTCAATGACGAAGTAGCCAATCTCATGGGTTTCAGGACTTACTCATTTCCAAATCCCGCGAGGACGACTGCTACAAATTCACGAGTGACTACTTCAACTGGAGTGACGTCAAAGTTCATCATGGCGTGCAGGGGTGCGAAACGAAGGTCTCTGACATTATGATCGGTATCTCCTCCTCCTACTAGCTGTGACAGCGTTACGTCACGCATAATTTAGAATTATGCTCAGATAGTCTGCCTCATCGATCATCCCCAGGACGTCAACGTCGTGCTTGCCGCAATGGCTTCTCAGCCAACCGTGCATCAACTATTCAGACGCCTGGAAACTGTGGGCAAGGGTGCCTACGGTTCCGTCCACAAAGGCGTTCATATACCCACAGGAAATATTGTGGCCCTGAAAATCATCAACTTGGACACTGCTGATGATGATGTAGAAGCCATTCAACGTGAGGTAGCTCTATTGACCCAGCTTCGCGATGCTCCGAACGTTACCAAGTATTACGGTTGTTATCTTGACGGGCCTCGCGTTTGGATCGCTATGGAATTCGCCCAGGGTGGAAGTGTCCGCACTCTCATGCAGACCTCTAAAGACCGCGTTCTGGAGGAACGGTTCATTGTACTCATCAGCCGTGAGGTCGTCATTGGCCTCAATTATCTACACAAATCCGCCATCATCCATAGAGACATCAAAGCCGCTAACATCCTCATCACTGCCACCGGTAAAGTCATGATTTGCGACTTCGGTGTCTCCGCACTCTCTGCCACGACCACAAGTAAACGAAACACTTTGATGGGCACCCCGAATTGGATGGCTCCTGAAGTGGCACAGCCCGTTCCAGCGTACGATAGCAAGGCCGATATTTGGAGTTTAGGCATCATGATTTACGAGATGGTGAAGGGTGCACCTCCTCACTCAGATTTAAGGGATGCAATCAAGGTTATGCAATTAATAGCCAAGGTACAACCCCCTCAATTGGCTGAAACAGATGGTAGCAAAGAAATGCGGGAGTTCGTATCGCACTGTCTCAAAGCATCTCCGAGTGAGGTGAGTTATGGCTTTTGACGCTGCCTTGATTGATGGCATACTTAATTCATGGGACAAGCGGTTTTCCGCTGATGAATTATCAAAAACGAAATGGATTAAATCGGCGAAGGCTAACGTGTCTGCTCTACGGGAGCTGATACTCCGGTACGATGCTTGGATGCAAAATGGGGGCACTCGCAACAGCTTAGTGGAACCACTCGACTGGGAGAATGAGGAGATGAAAGAGTGAGTGCTGTTCGTCCAGCGCTCCTTCCTGACTAAAGTTGTTTCAATAGCTTACAAGGTGTGGTAGATGAAGAGACAGACCTCTGGGAATTTGACACAATAAGACGTCGAACATTTCAAGCCGCATTAAAAGAAGATTTACTGCCAGATACCTTCCCGAATGACTCGTCACTAGCAGTTCCTACTGTCAAGCCTTCAGCTCGGGTACCTACATCCTTGCGTGGCCTTTTTGATGATGATTCCATGCATCTTGGAGTTGAAACTCTACGGGCTCCGATGCCACCCCCTCCACCACGGCGCGATACTCCGAGCCCCACGCCTCTCGCATCTTCCTCTTCGTCACCATCACGTGATCGTACGCCGTTCAAACGCACATTAGCCCCTACGGACAGTACAGATGATGTCCAGATGGTCAAGTACAATGATTTCGCATTTCCTCCCCGGAGAGCGAAGTCGAAACTCTCCACCAGCGTCCCAACTTCTATGGATGTGGAAACGAAAGATGAAAACGCTCTTCCAGAGAACAAGGCCGAAGGTATATATATTGTGATCAATCTCCAGTTGTTGTCGGCTTATTCTTTGTCACAAGCTTCTGGTACCGTTATCGAGACGGCTCCGACCTCTCCTCTTTTGCCACCCGTCAGGCCTTTTGTGGCCCGGGAGAGGAGTGGCAGCTCATCAAGCAAAGGCAGTGATGCCAGCAGCTCCGCAGCAAGTTTAATTCTACCGGGACTCAAAGACGCAGTGAAGGTAGCAAGCGACGGCATATCATCGAAATGTTCACTCAAGTCATTTTAGGTGCCTACCATTACATCGGAGCACCAGTTGGGTCTAACAGATTTGCTCCCCCCTTCACCTTTGGCCCTTGTACACAATAAAAGCTCCTTTGTTCATTCTCCCAGTGCACTCGGGTCACCCATGATGACAAGCGAAAAGATCTCCGTCGGTCTTGGCTCCATTCCTGCAGCGAATACTTCCAGCGCTTCCCTGACACTTTCACGAAGCCACTCTCCCTCTGGGCCTTCGAACCTGTCTCACTCTGCTTCATTATCTCACTCAGGTACATCGGCACAATTGCCAACTATTGGGCCTCAGGTTCTGCCGCTGGATCTCTGTAGTCTCATGAGCCATGACGCCACGAACGCACAGCTGGTGCGGTCCGTCAATGATTTGACAAAGTGGCTGTCTGTAATCGAAGTTGGTTTTACAACGATGCTCGAACAAGCCGCAGTAGACTCTATAGCAGAAGAGCAGGAAGAAGTTGCTATCGAAGGAGAATCTTTTACGGAGGACACCGACGGTTGGAAATGGGATTCTGTAACTGATATCGTCCTGGAGTCCAGCTAGCTCTGGAAATTTGATCACCCTGAGATCTTAATTGCATTCTACTCTCCTGACATTCTATGTAGCCGGTATATGGACTGTATCAGTATGGGTTCAGACTTTGCCAATCTTGGGTGACTATGAGATATAGTTGTGCTTGGTGAGGTATTTAACGATGGTCTCGACTGCCATAGTTACATCACATTCGCTTGTCTTGATGTGTATATCAGGATTTTCGGGGGCCTCGTATGGCGCAGATATGCCAGTAAATTCTACATGCAGACTTTCAGTGCCTTAACTTACAATGAGTCTCGTTGTGAGGACTAACCCTTGATTTCTCCTGCACGAGCTGCTTTATAGAGCCCTTTCGGGTCACGCTGTTCAACCACACTGAGAGGGGCATCAACAAACACTTCGATGAACGCGAGGCCTCCTTTCTCATGAAGTTCACGGGCTACTTGTCGATCAGCTTTGTAGGGCGATATAAAAGCTGTGATCGCAATGCAAGCAGAGTCTGCGAATAACTTGGAGACCTTGAAGGAAACGTAAGCACGTGGCTGCTCATAGCGCCAAGGTATAGTACCTCGCCTATGCGCCTGATATTTTCCACTCGGGACTTCTCGTCAAAACCAAGGTCCTTATTGAGCCCAAAGCGAACGTTGTCTCCATCGAGCCGGTAGGTAAATTTGTGTAAGTGAAGGAGATGTTGCTCTAGAGCGCATGCTATCGTTGACTGTGGGATTATCAGCGTATGCATCGGTAAGATGAAAGGGTAACAGACCTTGCCACTAGCACTAAGTCCGGTGAGCCAGACAGTAACACCCTTCTGTTTGAGTAAGCCAACGCGTTCCTGGGCGTCAACAGATCCTGTAAATATTGGTATTTATTAGTGGAACAAAGCTGTTCCAGGGACACACCTGGATGAAAAGTAATGTTTGTTGACATCTCAGTGGGGGAGTATGTAGAATAAGCAGCTTCAGTGACTCACTAGGTTATATCAAGCTTTCTCGGCTTCCCGACTCCCGATTGTAAGTACCCTGTGATATGTTGCACGGAGTTTGAAACCTAATATATCACTTCCTGCTTCAAGTACGAAGTATTATCCTCGACACGAGGTCTTTGGAAGAACTCTTTATTTTAGAGTTTCTGTTTCTCTCTCTGCAGGTGGAGGAAGCGAGATGTCTTATATGGTTTGTAGATATGAACACGAGTCAGGTGGCCAATGCGATTAATAGCGGGAGGGAATTACGGTGGGGAAGCACACGCAGGAATCTAATGGCTCTGTACAAAGCCTTGTAATCCAAATATGAATGCATTCCAAACTGAGGCTACGAAGTCTCAACAGGCTGTGCAGCAGCGGTGGGGGCGGGCACTTCTGGATGTAAGACTAAATTTCCAAGCCTAGGAGGTGTCGAACGCGTGATAAACTCCATGATGGTTGGGAGCTTGTCTGCTGCTTGTCGTAAAGCTGTGAAAGGGTGAGTTTGGATAGAAGAGAGATGGGTAGGAACATCCTGCCTTCTCGTGCCAACTCTTCTCTTATCGGCGTGCCTCCAATCTCGAATATGACGCGACCAGTGGGAACGCTGCGATCCATGAGCCTCACGGAGCACGAATGCAAAAGAGAACCTACCGAGTAGCCCAAAACTCGAACGTTCCTTTTCCTTTACCCATACGAGTTTCATTTCCCTTGAGTTCAACGGCATGAGTCAAAATCGAAGCAAAGAACGAACGAACGGATCGCAAACCTTGATGCAAACTGGGATATCAGGGAAAACTCTGAGATAGACTTTTGCACCTTTGACAACCTTTATTTTGCGTTTTATGACTTCCTCAGCAGTAGTGAGCTGTTTCGCGCTGAAACGGACGCCCATGCCCTTAATGCGGATGCCCCATTCGCCATAAGCAAGGGTGGTGCCTTTTGTTGAGCCGCCTATGGGTATTGGGACGCGACCTTTGTGTCGTTTGATGTGTTGGACTTGACGAGGCGCGAGTTGTGACCGGAAACGTACGCCGTGCGGGAAAGATGATACGCTCGTTCGAAGTGTTTGAAGTGAGAACATCGTCAATTTTTGCTAGTCTCCCAGACTCCGAGACTGACCAGTCCGGACTACGTCTTTGAGATGTTCCGTGGTAGTATGAGCCAGGCTGGTCACGGGCTTGTCACGAGCTTAGAAGGAAGTAACCCCCTCGACCCCCCTTGAAGTACACTCTAGAGTCAACAACGATGAGCGACAAGAAACGAACCTTCGACGGTAATGGCGAGTCTCCATTAACAAAGAAACCAAGAAGGTCAGTAAATCCTACTAGCTATTATTCAACTGGCTCATGTCTTGTTTTCAGTGATTTTGTGAGTTCACCTTTCTTTTCTCAAGGTGAATTCACCTCTACATCGTTCTCACAAGTCTCTATAACCTTTTACTCATTACAGACCCCTTCTAATGGAAGCAACACATCAGCAGCCGTCAGTACTAATCTCCCTGTCAACTTCATGTACTAATTCATTCTCTCAACAGTTATCTGGAGATGCTCTCATCGCGCAAAAACGTGCAGAGATTGCTGCGAAGGTAGCTGCCATGAAAGGTGGCATACCAAGTCTTGCAAAGGTTACTCCACCAGTCAAGACCGGTAGCCCTTCCCCAGCGCCAGGCACACCGCTCCAGAACATCGATGACCTCTCTCGCAAAGTTGCAGAGGCCAAGCGCCGTGTCGCAGAGGCGCAGACAAAGCTTGCCGTCAAGGACAATCCATATATGGTGAGCCTCTCCACTCTCGCACATCCACTCGCTTCTGAATCTGCGTCCAGTCAGTGCATCAAGTGGGCAAGAAGAATAAGCCAATCGAACCAGCCCAACAAGGCGCTGGCTTGAAAATGACCGCTCATCCCCTTCTCCTCGACACCGCTCCCGTCGCTCCCCAGTCCAAGAAGGACAGATACAAACCAATGCAGCCCAAGTTCGCTTCTATCAAGGTGCTTACCCACTCCCTTACCCATATCCTTCCAACTAACGCCATTTCAAGGCAAACATCCGAAACGCCCCAACCCCTCCCCCGGCACCGACCCCAGTTCCCATTGTTGAAGTCAAAGCCAACCCCTACGCCTCCACCTCAAGCGCAGCCAAAGAAAGCGGTTTTGAAGGCGTACCAAAGGAGCGTCACGGTCGCAGTTTCCGCTTCATCCAGAAAGGCAAGTATGAACAGCAAGCCGAACAAATGCGTCAGGAAGCAGCACTTGAGGCTCTTAAGCAACGTATTGCCGAAGGCGCGCGTAAAGCTGGTTTGGATTCTGAATTTGAGACTTTAGAGAAGAATATCAAGGTGCGTTTGGAATTGATTGTTCGTTTCGGTTCCTAACTGACTGGGGCTCTTAGCGTGAACCTCCTCCGGCAGTGGAGTGGTGGGATGCAGCTCTGCTGCCCAACAAGAACTATGATGACCTTTTCCTTGGGTTTTCGCATCTCAACATCCGAACCCAGGACTCGCCGGTCACGCTATATGTCCAGCATCCTATCCCCATTGCTCCAATGGACGAGAACAAAGTCGGCTTGAAACCACTCATGTTGACCAAAAAGGCGCGCATATATTCAGTCGGCGTACATGGGATGACTCTAACATGGCACAACAGGAACGAAAGAAGATGCGGAAGCAGCGCCGTCAAGCTGACCGTGAAGATAAACGCGATCGTATCCGTATGGGTCTCATCCCTCCTGATCCACCCAAAGGCACGCACCCTTATTACACTGAAATTCCTTCCTTTAACTTACTTTTGTCGTCACAGTCCGTCTGTCAAACCTGATGAAAGTCCTGACATCCGACGCAGTCCAAGACCCCACTCGCGTTGAAGCCCGCGTCCGCAAAGAAGTCGCCATGAGAAAACACAACCACGAAAAGATGAACGCCGAACGTAAACTCACCGACGAACAACGCCGAGATAAGAAGGAGAATAAGAAATCTGAGGAAGAGAAGAAGGGCATCATGGGCGCTGTATTCAAGTGCGTCTCCCTATAACATAACTACGCCATTTCATTCAGCTGACCATATCTCACTTTTTTTTTCACTTTTGCAACAGAGTGAAAACGCTCACAGACCCATCCCACCGCTTCAAAGTCCGCAAAAACGCAGAACAGTTCAACCTAACAGGTGTCTGCATCTTCAACCCCGCTTTCAGCATGGTATATGTCGAAGGCGCTGCCAGACTCGTACAGAAATATAGGCATTTAATGATTGACCGTATCGCATGGACCGAAGCTGCGCGTCCGCGCGGTGGGGAGGACGTTGTCATCGATAACGGGGGCGAAGAAGAAGAAGCTCAAAGCAACAGCGGTGCCGATGGCAGTAATGGTGGTGGTGGTGATGGTGCAGGCAAACAGCCAGAAGAAATGGCCTCTCTCGAAAACAACGCATGTTATCTCGTATGGGAGGGTCAACTGCGAGACCGGGCGTTTAATACGTTCAAGCCTAGGGGATGTCCTACAGATGCGATGGCTAAGGAGGTGTTGGGTCAGAAGTTGGCGGGGTATTGGGATCAGGCGAAGAATTGGAAGCCGGAGGAGGAGGAGCTGTTTTGAGGTTGGAGAGAGTTATTTTGTTGATGTCCTGCTTGTACTAACTTACCTGCGACTTTTTTCGAGGTGCATGATGACACTATGGGAGATAATATCAACGATGATGATTTATAGACTTGATTTACGTGCGCATGTGAACGTTTGGGTCTTCTGTTAAATCCATCGAAGGTACTGATCAACACAGTTCTGGTCATCATCGGCGCATCATATCAGATGTTCGCATGTCTTGAAATCCCAAAGGCAAGCCAAGACATCAAGAGCACGAAGATAAACATCGTATATGACTTGGCCACATAACTCAAGAGTCCCGCTCTACAACCATTCCCAAACTTCAAAGTGATTCATTCGCTCTCGGTAATGAATCCAGGCTCTATCACCTCCACCTTCGATGAAAAGCTTCATGTACTTTAAATCAACTTTAAATTGCTGTTAGCATGTCTTTGACGTAAGCTGCAAATCTTAATCTTCAGTTTCAGTTTCTCTACAGTTGTAATGCAAACTAGATTTGGGGGCAGGCCTTAACATTTGGGTCTTTGTCTCCAGTGTGAACCACGACTCTAATCATTTTCTATGTCAGATTCTAACGGACTGTAGAGATCGTGTATGGTATCTGCTCTTACTCCAAAGTCCCATGTCAATTAAGTAGATGAAAGCGTGCACTTTGAAGCCCCATATAACCAGATCACAGACTGCTTAATGGCTTCTGTTACCTCTTCTGTGCTCAACGGCTGGTCAACAGGTGGACAATGTAGGAAAAGGACCTTAGTAGTCGACTTATCGGCTTTTCCGCTTGCCCGTTTGCTCTCGGCTAGTGAGCAATAATATATGAAGTCGCAAAGGTAATGTCCTGCGTCCAGGGACGAATATATTTGCTTCCAAAAACCATGTCAGTATTCCTGACAAGATACACCCAAGTCAATCTCACCTCGATACCCGACTTTTTGAGGTGATGCACAAGCTTCTCGACATCAATTTCTGTGAAGATCTCTTCAGGAAACGACTCGTATCCCTTTCCAAATCCACGCTTAGGTGGTTCTGTGCCATCAACAGGTGCGTCAATGTCGTATTCAATTAAACGTGCTCTTTCCATCCTCTCCATCTCCGAGGGTTCTGATTGTCCGCGGTTGGGATTGGAGCTTTCGTCACGCGTCACGCGTACGATTGGTGCAAGACAACCAGTGGCATCCTTCATGTTGTAACCAAACTTATGGCCAACCCTCTCCATTCGCAGTGGTCCTCTCCCAGCAACACCTACGTGAAAGATGAGATCGAATCCATCTGGTGGCGGTATGATGTCTGGTAGGTCAGGATCTGTAGAAGAAGGGAGGACAGGTGGCCGCGCGTGTAGCCCAGGGACAATTGCGAGAACACCTTCATAGGTTACGGGGACTTGGAGTGTCGTTAGATGGATGTCGCGTACGTCCTGGATAAAGCTGTTTTCTTCGGGCATGGGGGTTTGATCATCGACTGTAATGGGTTCAGTAGGCAGATCGATGTGTAAAATGGTATTGTGAAGTGGCTTGACGGCCAGCCATGATGGATTGATCGCATAGCGAGAGAACGGCTAGGCTCACGGATAGTCAGGTGCGCGTTTGAAAGGGTGGGGGAGAGCAAGGCTCCGAAGTAACTTACACCAAAGCCAGTGATAAGAACACGGTAAGGTCGCACTTCCAACGCAGGAAGACCGTTTACATCGACAGCTGGCATCGTTCGCTCGAGATATGCGAAACAACGACAACAAAATTGCAAAACCCACGATCGCGAGCAATCAAACCCACTACTAGAACTGGGACCCGGGACACGCCAAGTACACGCTCTTGGAAATATTGTCAAAAGGCCTCGACCTCGCCTCGACCGGAACCTTTTACTTACTAACCCTTAAATTTGACAAGCTTTTGAGCTCAGCGAGCGTTGAAATCAAGAACACCGTTATTAACATATCGAAACTGGCAGTTGCAGGCAGAGCAGAGCTCACCACTTTCACTCTGAAGTTTGAACGACCACATGCCTTCTGGTGCGGGATATTTCTCACTCATATTGCAAGATACTAATTACAATGTTCCCGACAGTATCTTGGTTGGTCACATCGGATAAACTGTACATCACCCTGCTGAGACTTTATTATAAGTCCAATATGCCTGCAGCCTGTTTTAGAGGAGAACATCAATAAACATCTGGACAGCGGCTGCAGTGTTCACATGGCACCTGATCAGCGTCTAGGAGAATCTTCCTTTCGACCCAAAAACGCGACAGCGTCCAAGAAGTTGGCGCCGATATTCAGCCACACCCGTGACAAGCACACCAGTACTTTGGCTGCCGGTCCTTCAGCACTTACATCGATGACTCAAGACACGCCCACTACTACTTCCAAGAAACGGAAGTCTGAAATGCCATCACTATCTCGAATGACAAGCAAACGTCTCAAAGGCACGCCTTCTGACTTCAAGTCTGCCATACCTCTTGCGGAAAGGCTTCGCCCGCAATCCCTAGACGAATTTTTTGGGCAGAAGCACCTGACTGGCCCCGATTCTCTTCTGATGAATATGCTGGACAGTGGTATAATTGGCAGTCTTATACTATGGGGACCACCTGGGTGAGGGAATTCAACCATGTTTTTGTCAGATTTGGTATTGACATACTTCGAGCTGCGGAAAGACCACTTTGGCAAGATTATTGGCACGGCACGTGGACTGCAATTTCAGGGAGCTAAGCGCGACTTCTTCAGGTACGAACGATGTTCGTGCAGTATTCGAAGAGGCGAAGGCGTCTCTATCATTAATTGGAAGGTAAGGTCATGTTTTCTCGTATCGACTTCATCGACTCCATGTGCTCTAGAAAGACGATACTGTTCTTGGACGAGGTACATCGTTTCAACAAGGCGCAACAGGTACGATTCTTCTGAAGGCATTTGCAGCTATTTCTGAAGCGGATGAATAGGACATCTTCCTTCCATTTATTGAGCAAGGCCAAATCCAGGTATGTAACGCAAGGTAGACTCCCCAACTATTAACAAAATAGAAGATGATTGGAGCGACGACTGAGAATCCGTCATTCAAGCTGACCAGCGCCTTGCTGAGTCGTTGCAGGTGAGTTGAGTTGTTAATGCTTCATTCAAGCACCGAATTTTTGCAGAGTATTAGTACTCGAACGCTTGACAGACGATGACATTCGAGATATTATCGCCAGTGCTGTAGAGCGAGTCTTAGCATCCGGCCCCTCATGAACAACCAGAATCTGAAAGAGCATCTAGCCCACATGGTGGGCACAGAACCTACGACCTCGCAAAATTTGCTATCTCAGTCCTGAGTCCTCGCAGTCGTCTATCAGCTGCGATCGTCCCATTTCCGTCCTATCCCCAACTTACAAACAGCATCATCTCTTCCATCGTATCTCTTTCTACAGGAGATGCACGGACTGCATTATCTTTACTAGAAGCTTGTTCTGGTTACTAAGCCAGATAGAGATGAACATACTCTTCTCACATCATTACGCCGAAGTGTCTCGGCTTCATATGATCGTGTAGGAGATAGCCACTTTGACATGATTTCAGCGCTCCATAAGAGCGTCCGAGGTAGCCACGGCAGTGCAGCGATGTACTGGCTAGCACGGATGCTCACAGCAGGAGAGGATCCGTTGTATATCGCAAGAAGATTGGTCGTCTGTGCTAGCGAAGATATTGGATTGGCTGATACGCACGCTCTTCCTTTGGTAAGTCGACCAATGATTCAAGTTAAGATTCAAATCGAGCATTTCAGGCAATGGCAGCTCTTCAAGCTTGTCAGGTTATTGGGATGCCTGAGTGCCGAATCAATCTAGCACATTGTGTAGCTTATCTATCAGAAGCACCGAAAAGTACCCGTGCTTATGAGGCATACAAGAGGGCGGAAGAAGCGGCAAAGTTAGACCTGACAATGCCCGTGCCTGTGGCGGTCCGTAACGCTCCAACAGCCCTTATGAAGGAGCTTGGCTATTCAGAGGGCTACAAGTATAACCCAGATTTTCGGTGCGCCAACACTTGTGAAATATTTATTGAAGTGTTACTTAATTCGCCTGCACCCACAGACATCCCGTGCACAACGACTACCTCCCAATTGCGTTCCGTGGCGACAAGTTTTTAAAGGAAGCTAGTGACATGTCGGACAAGGTTTGGAATGAACAAGAGTTATTGCGTTGGGAGCAAGAGGAAAACGGCGGGCGGTTGTGGGAAGGCCGCTCATCTGTTCCACACCAACATTGAATGTGCACAGCATCATTTGGTTGATACGTTTGATCCTATCTACCGGAGTATATTGGAATTAAACTCTCCGATGAGTACGCTCAAAAAATAATATGCTTCGCAGAGATTGAACCGACTTTTTCCCGTTCACACGTTTCAATGCGAAATTGCTCAGCACAGTATTCCTATTGCTTTGAATAAAAATTGCCATGCGCTAAGTAGCATTTGTCAGCGTGAACATACAACTCAACGGTTATCGTAATAGTGGATGAACTAGGTAGAGAACCGTTGCGGTTACAAGTACTCACCTCGGATACAACCCACCATAGAAATGTTATGCGCATGCAAGTGAGAACAGCCTTATAAGTTTTATGCAAGCCATGCGGAGATAACAAAGTCCGGTGAGAGATCGCCCGGTATTGCCGTATTAGAGATCCCACGTAAAACCAAGCAATGCCGATCATGGACGCATGACAACGCGAGAACTCGGGAGTCGGATTGTTTGAACCGCCTCGAGGCATTAACAATACCTTGCGGGTGCAATGCCAGCAAAAAGTAAGATCTTCTTCACCACATGCAAGTCCTCAATTAATTACAGTATATTACTCAGGTATGTTCCCCACAAGTACTAGTTTGTCTAATGTTCCCGCAGTTTCAGTGTTATTTTCGACCTTGATAGGCATGGCTCCAACCTTCTTATCTCACTGGACACGAGACATACACACATGAAACCACGGAATCTGTCCACAGTCCCGCCACAGGGCCTATGATGGAGCTTGATCGTACCGAATAACGGGTCTTCTGTTTACGAGAATAGTCACTTATCCAAATTACAACGGGTTTGTGATATACATATAGATCGCAGAAACTTATCCACTTCTCTTGCGGGTCTGTCTTCTTACCATGAGTCTGACCGCTGCAGGAGTCATCGGCGAGCATACTGCGCACGAGCCCGATGTGCCCAGCGAGAAAGCTCTTAGCACTAGTGACGAGAAATCGTTCGATGGGAAAGGCGACGTTGAATCCACTCAGGATGCTGACAGCGATGAAGCCGTACTCTCCAATGAACTCGACGTTGCTACCCACGTCATCTCGTTGGACGACGACCCCACTCTGAACCCGTGGACATTCCGTGCATTCTTTATTGGTCTTGGTCTCTCAGCCTTTGGTGGAGTACTCGGTGAGCTTCTTTGGGTTCTTTTTTTTTATTTAGCCAGCGTGCTCATCGATGTCAATTTGTAGCGGAAATTTATTATTTCAAGCCTGTGCGTAGTGAAATAACCATGTCAACTTTTGGTGCTCAGATCATTGCCGCAGCAAACGGTTCTAGTGTCATTGATGTTCCTCGCCGTTATCTCCTACGTGATTGGAGTCTTTATGGAAACCTTTATTCCTCGACGCGGATTCTTCCGCTATCTGAACCCCGTAAACCAGGTTCACCATGTCTATTACTTCATTCTCATGGTATCTTTTTCCAGGGACCATTCAACAAGAAAGAGAATGCTTTCATTGTCATCATGGCAAGTGCCTCTGCTAACTCCGCCTTGGGCACCGAAGTTCTTGCTGTTCAGCGGTCAGTGAGCGTTACTCATCTTGTCGATGGGATTTACTGACATCTGCTAAAGATTGTACTACAATATCACGCCCAACCCTGGTGCTTCGATTTTCCTGCTCTTCTCCTCTCAACTCCTTGGGTACGAAATATTTCCGTTGAAATTTCTACCGAACGCTGACAAGGTTTTTAGGTATGGAATCGGTGGTATGATGAGAGGTATGTCCACCTGTGAATTTATCATTGAACCCGGTATTCATATACCTCTCACAGGCATTCTGTTATATCCAACAAAGATGTTGTATCCCGGTGTACTGCCATTGTTGTCCATGTTTGATGCTCTCTACGAGGGCGGGGTGGCAGCACGGAAGAAGCTCAGAGTATTCTACATGGTATTTGCTGCGTGAGTCCTTCGATGAGGACCAGCCATGAGTGCATATGCTAATTAAACTCAGCATATTCATTTGGGAGCTTTTCCCAGAATGGATCTTCCCCCTTCTGACAGGTTTTTCGATTATATGTCTTGCAGTTCCCAACAATGCTGCCGTCTCGCGAGTCTTCGGTGGCAGTAACGGTAACGAGGGTTTGGGGCTCCTGTCTATCTGCTTTGACTGGCAAGTGAGTGTGAACCCGAATTTCGACATGAACTGCGTTACTGACTGGGTCTGCAACAGTATATTTCTGGTGGTGTAAACCCTATGACTATCCCGCTCAAAGCACAAGTATGACTTCTTCTCAATTTTCGCGGGCTAGAAGTCTCACGTACTGTTTTGAACAGTTCTCGAATTTCTTGGGTTACCTTCTTTGCATGTATGATCGCTTCGCTCTGATTCGAGACCCTGCATTGACATACTTATAGGGTCGTCTTTGTTGCTGTGTATTACAACAACATATGGAAAGCCCAGAACTTCCCATTCGTCAGTCCACCATCAGATGTAGCCGTAGAACATTGACGTCAACTTGCACACAGCTTTCTCAACTCTTATTTTATGAAAACGGAACAGAGTACAACCAAACGCTCATTCTCGATGCCAACTACCAGGTCGATCCCACGCTCCTTGCTGAACAGGGTGTACCTTACTATGCCAGCACTTGGGTGGTCTACTTGCTCAGCTCAAATTTGGCAAGTTCACCACATGTCAGCGAGAATCTGTGGGGCTGACAGTTTGAAATTCCAGGGATTGGCGGCTACGTTTACGCATCTTCTCCTCTGGAACTGGGATGACTTGCGCTCCGCATGGAGTTGGATGACTCCGTCAAGCCTCAAACAAATGTGGGTGGAATTCGACTGGAGGTTCTGGCGGGCCGATGGAATGCGGAAGCAAGACGTCAACGACGAGAACTTGGATCCCCACTACAGGCAAATGCTGAAGGTTAGTTTCGCAGTTCGGTGTACTCATCTTACCAACCTGGATATGTCTGTACAGTACCCCGATGCTCCCAATAGTTGGTATTTCGCTGTTTTCGTTGTGTCCTTCATCGTTTCGCTGGTCGTTATATACAAAACCAACTCGACTTTGCCATGGTGAGCGGCTTTGATTGGAAATGTGTTCCAGGCTGATGAGCAATGAAGGTGGGGCTTCGTCATCTCGCTCATGCTGGCGACGGTTTCCATTCTATTCTTCGGTGCTCTCTTCGCAATCACAGGGCTGGGCTTCATCATCCAGCCGTAGGTTCCTGAAATCAATTTCAATCTTCCTATCTCAATTTGCATTCAGGTTCGTCCAGATGATTGGTGGTTACCTTCACACCGGCAAGCCAGGTGATTACCTTGCTCGTCATTTATTCAATATGTAATTGACGAATGCGACAGTGGCAAATATGTACTTCGTTCTATACGGATACAGTATGTGTCGGCCTTGCAATAAACCAAGAAGAAGTCGACTGACCCAATTTTGCAGACACTGTCACGCAAGCCCAACTTCTCCTCCGCGACCTCAAGATTGCCCAATGTAAGCATATCTCGGGCTCATGATGAGAGGGCAATTTGTGTTGACCGCCATTTCTAGATGCAAAGCTGCCACCTCGTGCTGCTTTCACCGCCCAGATCATTGGGACGCTTCTTGGTGCTATTTTGAACTTCAGTACGCATGCTACGTTATATGGCTATAAAAACAACTGACAGTGCAAATATAGTCATGATGAATTCAATTATAGACAACCAACGTGAAATCTTATTATCTATTCAGGGAACCAATATCTGGTCCGGCCAACAACCGCAGCAGTACAACTCCCAGGCAATCGCGTGGGGTGGTCTCAGCCACGAGCTTTTCTCGGCCGGTCAAAGATACCAATGGGTTCCTTGGGCGTACCTGGTTGGACTTTTCACACCTATTCCGTTCTGGGTCCTTCACAGGTACTTCCCAAAGCTCCGTGCAGATTATTTGTACACCCCTGTTATCGCGTACGTTAAAGGCTACTTGAATGACTGTGGTCAACAGCATGCTCACATATTTCACAGCTACTACATCGGATGGCTTTGTGTTGGGATCAACTCGTCTATTCTCTCCTACTTCGCAGTCGCATTCCTCTCACAATGGTGGTTGCGCACACGCTACCCTCGCTGGTTTGCCAAATACAACTACATCATCGGAGCTGGTGAGTATTCTCGAATGTCCTGGGAAGCCCGAATCTCATGAAGTGGTGTAGCCCTTGACGGAGGCACTCAAGTCATGGTGTTCATCCTCTCGTTTGCGGTGCAAGGTGCTGGTGGAGCGGCGCACCTGTTCCCTGCATGGTGGGGCGCGAACCAAGGAGGTAATTATGACCACTGTGCCATGCTGAACTGAGGTACATAGTGGACATTGGATGATCGTGAAACTTATCGCAGGTATTATTAGTATTACTACAAAGTGGCTCCACTGTATATGTCATACAATTCATAAGAAAATGTGCTGTTGATGTGCGTGGTGCAGCGGTTTCCGCGCGTTGAACACGTTATCTGAGACGACAAGAGGAGCGGACAGGAAAGTGCCCATTGGAAGCGTGCCAGCGCAACACTTGCAGTGCTGCATGATGCATCCGAGGGGACTCGGCCTAGGCTAGCTAAGGTACACGTGTAAAATGATGCACTGCCACAGTGCTTCTCATCCGATTTCGGCACAGGCATTAAATTACCTTTTCCGCCACTCGGAGTCGTATTCGAAGAATTATTCATGGCTGCACCTACGTTCTCCGTCCCCTCTCCCATCTCTGTCTTTCACCAGCTGATTTCCTCATTATAGGCCCATATAGGTGTCTTGCTGGCAGCTGCGCAATTTTGTCGCAACGGAGAATAAGGAATTTCGTAACACAGGTTTGAACAACAATAGGAACGGTTAGTACAATGGAACAATAAACAACACGCCTTGAACACGCATCTCATTTGGAGCATCCTTTATCACGATTCACAGGTGAAAATCCAGACTCAGCAGGATCTACGGCCCTTGTATCTATCTCTACTTCCAACACTACCACCACTGGTTGGTGTTTTCAGTTCATCATGTTCTCCCGTATCGCCAGGTTGCGGTACCTTGCACCCCTTCTTCTTACTTTCTCTGCCTCGACAGCTGCCAAAGATGACTCTTTATGTGTGTAATGTCTCCTCTCTAGCCTCGTAATACACATGCTCACGATTTTTACATGCTCAGTCACGTCTTCCGTAACTTATTGCTCACCGCCGGAGACTCTCCTCATTCAGCAGTTTGACATCGTATACTTCGCACAGAACGAGTCCATATGGTTTAACATCTCCGCAGCAAGTATCGTACGTGGTTCCCTTTCTCAACAATTTTTTTTATTCATTTCTCTCTCAAGGACCCCAACGTCAATGTGACTGCCAATGTAATGCTGAACGTTTATGGAACGCATTACGTGAACTTCACCATCGACTTATGCTCATTGTTCAATGGTGCCCTGTGCCCGTTGCCGATGTACAACTTTACCGGCTCCGACTCCATTCCTTTGCCGGCTTCTCTCGGTGTTTCCGGAAAGATCCCTAGCATTGCTTTCCAAATACCAGATCTTGAAGCATATGGTATGTCCTCACCACATCATATTGGTATTTGCGCTTATGTCAGGTTAGCACAACTGTCCCTCACAGAAGTAAACACCGGAGTTCTTAAGGCCTGTGTTCAGGCAACCCTTTCTAACGGCTGGTCAGCACACCAAGTAGCCGTGGAATGGGCAACTGGTGGACTCGCACTACTTGCACTTCTTTCTGCGGTTTATTATTCGTTTATGCCAGACACCCTGGCACCCTTCCGTCTTTTCGATCTTCTCTACCTATATCAGTGGGCAGCATCAACAGCCCTCCTGGATCTTAATTATTCCTCAGTCTACCGGGCATTTTCAACCAACTTTGCATGGGCGATGGGTTTGTTCTCCGCGTCAGCGACCTCTCCTATCCAGATTTCCATCAACAACATGCGGCACCTTACCGGAGGCAACATGGCCGATGCCACTAGTAACTCTGCTGTCGCTCTCGTAAATCGGAAACTTAGCCCATACAACTCCATGACTACGTCAACTTTTCTTGATACTTCCTACCAGTATGCGATGGAGACCCTGTGGGCATCTACCAATATGACATCGGCCAATTACGTCTCGCATACTACCTCGGCCGCCTCTATTCAAGAACTCTCCACCGTTGGTGATGTACAGCTAGTGACACCGGCATCCTCCAATCTTCTTCAGGCTGGTGTCCCTATCTATGTCAACTCCGTTGGCATCGCCACGGCCAACGCTTTCATGACCGTCTTCTTGGTCGTCTTGATGATCGCCGCAATATTGCTTGCGGTCCTCTCTGTCGGCTATTGCGTCCTGGCCGCAACATCTCGATATGGCCGACGGCAGGAAGGGTACGTTGCTGATTGGCGGCATCGATATCCTTCATTTGCTCGTGCCTGGCTGCTGCGCATCGTGAGTATGTCTCCGTGTCCGTTTAAACATATCCGCTTACTCGGTGCTCTAGTGCCTCATTGTATTCACTCCGGTGGCTAGTATTTGCGCTCTATCAGTGGACACTCAAGGATTCATGGCTCTCCATCCTCCTTTCAGTAATTCTACTTCTTGCGGTGGTTGGCTACATCCTATATCCTCTCTTCCTCACATATCGCCTCGCCCTCCGTTCGACGCCCTATGCGCTGTATACGCAACCTGATTTCGTAGCTTCTCATGGTCCTCTGTACGCCCTATACCGCCCAGAGCGGATTTTATGCAACTACTCCCTTGATCTTGGCTATTTTCGTCAAGGCTCTCTTTATTGCCTTTTCTCAAGCTAACGGTTTCGTGCAAGTCGTCGCAATCCTCGTCGTTGAATGCATGGTCCTTGCCTCTCTGTTTACCCTTCGACCGCACAAAACAAGAGGTGCTGATGTCCTCGCAACCTACCTTGCTATTACCAGAGTGGTTTGCACTGCTATGATGGTCACTTTCGTGGAGAGCCTAAATTTAGGAGCAATACCTCGCGTGGTGATCGGCATCGTGATGGCTGTTATCATTTCTGTTGCGGTTATCGTCATGTTCATCAACACGCTCGTGAATATGGGCATCATGAGGCTCATCCCGGCATGTTGCAGACGGCGCCGGAATGACATTCCCAATGGTTCGGATGTAGAGAAGGGCGCCGAAATTGGTGAGAAAGACTTGCGGCCGCGAAATCCTACGCCAGAGCGGAACATTCCACTCGATCCGGATGTTAATCAGCCATATCCCGACAGTCTCTCCCAGACTTTGACGGACCGTCACAGTCTCTATTCCGAGGAATCGGGGTCAACAACCCTAGGCTCACTGCTCCCACGGCAGTTGTCAATTCAAGCATCTCAACCCTCATCCCACTCGCGGTCCAATTCTCAATCACAGTACTCGCCGAGTCAATCAAATCATTCACCCTCCCAGTCCAATTATTTCTCAAACGCCTCATCACCGCGGCAGTCCGTGCCGCCTTCGCCGCTTCACACCCATACCCCATCGCACAGTAGACAGCCCACTATAGACGAACACCCTTCGTATTCATAGACGTTCCTTCTTTTCTTCCTCAATCACATTCCGCAGAGTTAAATCACTTTCGCCGCATTGCATGTTCTCATTCCTCATATCGTTTCACTCGCATCCACTCACTCTCATTCGGACAATGAAAATTTGGTAATGCATGTAGATATCCCGTCATGATCGTGACGATGGGTCACCTTACTTATCTTTATTCTCTTAATGTTGCTTTTGTGATTGTCCTACGGACTAAATAATTAGTATCCGTGGCAAACCAAGTAACAGTTGTCGTAATGCAAATGAGCAACAATTTCAGGACAACTCGACAGTTGCAAGGTCTTCCGCGAGGAGTAACTGTTCGACTTCGCTTACATAAGTAGGATGAGAGTGGTGATGACGTCGGCAGTATAAACTTCGATGATGAAGGGGATGGCACGATGCCCTTCATCATTTAAGTCAGAACGCCAATATAGTAAGGATGCTCGCCCGGGGCATTAAGGTCTGCTGAAATCTTGGGAGAGATTGGACAACCGTGATGACTGCAAGTTTCGGACACGCTTCGGGGCGTCCACTGTGACGCGTTCATTGTACTTACCGGCATTACACGCGTACGTACTTGAGGAGAGTTTTAACTCAGCTCTGAATAGATCACGTGACTTAGTACGTACGAGTTTTCTAATTGCAATAAACAACGTTTACAGTTCACCGCGACACGGCAACGATGAGCGCGAAAAATTCGTCGAAAAGAACCGCGAAAGCGAAGATCCCTGAAAGAAATTTAAGGGTAACCGACTTTTTTGCCAAGAGACCAGCCCAGGCCCCAAGTTCATCGCCTGCGGAATCTTCTCAGCCTCGCTCAGTCGCGTTGGCCACACGTTCGCGTCGAAGCAACAAATCAAAGTCCTCGTCTGAGACTGTCTCAGTCTTTAACAAACAGTCTATGGCTAGTACTAGCACTCCTATAATATCTGTTTCGTGCACGTCTTCTTCTAGTGATTCTGCTACTCTTGTTTCTCCACCAGCTACAGCATCTAGAACTTATTCTTCTGCCTGTCCGAAAACACCGACAGGTATCATGGTCTCACCTCCTACCACCTCTATCGTCCCCAGGTCTTCTCAAAAACGTCCTCGTTCACCAGACAAGCGCTCTAGCGCTTCTCACCTCCTGAGCGCGTCTTTGACTTCCAAATCCAGAACACCCGATAGGACACCCCACAAGCGCAAGAAGAAATTCGACAGTGACTCCGAGAGTGAACTTCCCAGCGCTGTTATCTATGTCCAGAGACAAGGCTCTCCTTTGAAGCCATCCACACTAGCACCTCCACCCACAGGGCCTCACACCCCTTCATCCAGTAAGCATCTCATATACAGTAGCCAATCTGACGAGATGGAACTCGTCGTACCTATACCAGACACCCGTGGCCTCACTCAAGTCAAGGAACAAGTTCACAAGTGGCGCCAAAACACTTTAGTCTCCCCGTCCTCTAGCCCCTGTGACGCAGGTACAACAGATGCAGGCCCGCCGAAACCTGTCATTTCCCCATTGCAAACCAACCACGGTGTGCGCTCGCGCTCTGCAACGGCCCAGACCAATTCACCTCCTGAGACGCCCCCTCAGCCCTCTGCCTCACTGCCCTCCCCGCCTGACACCGAAGGCGCCCTGCCACTGCCTGCCACACCTGTTGCGTCTGGTGATACCGCTCAGCTCATTGCGAGTATCAAAGCAAAAGCATTTGCTGACAGCCCCCTGAGTGACGAGGAGAAAAACTACTCCTTCCGTGAGCTCGATGAGAGCAGTGACGATGATCTCGAAGATATGACCCTCCTTCACGACAAGAAGGGCAAGGGCAAGGGCAAGAGGTGTGTTTAATTCCATACCCCTCAATGTACCATATTTTGAATTCGAATTCTCTCTAGCTTGCTTCTTCCTGTCCTGAAGATGAATAGCCTATTTGATTCACCCCTATCCAGTCTCCCATCCTCTCCACCAAAACCCTCTACTTCCTATCATCTCCGCAACCGTTCTCCTTCTGCTTCACCTACGTGCCCCCCTGTTAACAACCGCAGGACATCCCGAACTCAAATGCACACCCGCTCTGGGCGTACAAGCAAGCCCGCGCCGCCCCTGTGCCTTCCTACCGTCGTCGTCACCAAGAACGTTTCTATACCTGCAAAGCCTAAGAAGTCCATCAACCCACTTGAAGCGCTCCTCCGCGAGAAAAAAGCTGCAGAGAAGCGCGGGAACGGGAGTGCCGCGTTCCAGCGCGCTGAGGACGCTTTGCATGCCCGCATCTCCTCAGATGTAGATGCGGAAGTTGATTTGAACTTGGCAGATGAGAATGCCGCGTGGCAGGCGATCCAAGACCACGCCAAACGCAAGTCGAGTAGCCCCGTTCATGGATCATCGGAAGATGATGTGTTCATGGGCGAACGCGAGACCAAAATTCTTGGTCAGGAAGCAGGCGAAAAGATCAAAAAAATACTTATCAGTGACAGGGACAGTGAGAGCAAGAAGCCGATGAAGGAAAAGGCTCTCGGTGTGCCGTTCTGGCAGGAGGGCGCAGGTGATGACCGAATGGATGTCGATGAAGAGTATATTGTGAACTTCGGGGATGGCAGTAACCATCCTGTATTGGCACTTTTGCAGCATCTGAGTGGGATCGGAGGTACGTGTGTATATCGAAGACAGACTTAGAGACTCACTTTCTGGTCAGCCGCCGATCAGCTGGCTTTGACTCTGTCCTCGGGAGTGCTGGGCGCTCTGGGTGCTGAGGAGAAATCCGTTCTTGTTTCTCCTCTTTTTAAACTGGGTACGTATACTCACTACTTGAATATGAATTGTTTGCTCACGCTGTGCGTTTCTAGCCATCAGCCCCATAGAGTCCCTGCCTCTCAGGCTGCAGCATACAGCGCCCTCCATAGTTTGTGGAATGCAGCATCCTCCACATCCAAATCTCCGCTTCGCTTTACCGACATTGCCACTGCGCTCGTCAACCTTGGTGCACGCCGCCAAGTATCAGAAGACCTCCACTGGACCATCCGTAAGGATGAGCATCCGTTACATATCGCCACTGAAGACCGTGTGCGTGTTGTGAGTAAGCTGGTAACGCTGGTGGGCATTGCTGGTCGGTGAGTACCAATCATTCTTCCAAAGATAAAGAAACGTACTCATGCGTGGTGTGACAGAATGGAAAATTTTGTAGCAGAAGATACTCCCGACATCCTGTTGAGCCTGGTGCTTATTGGCCTCGACAGAACCACGTCCAACGAGCTGAGGGCCAACTTAAATCTTGCCAGTTGACAGTATCTGCCAGACCATCGATACGTCAACTGTGAGTACACCTTTCCAACCTTCATCGTGTTATTTGTCTGAGCAGTCTCTTAGCACTATTCCATCCATCAACGACTTCTCAACTACGCATCTACGCTTATGCCAGCTAATAAAGCACACTTTAGTTTCCTTCTTTAGCAGCGGCAGTGGTCGCACACGTCACATCGCACAATGGCTTGCATACGCGCTCTTCCTTCCAAACAGTAGACCTTCTGTACGTATCTCTTCTCCCGATATTTGAGTTCTGTTTCACTGATCGATGTAACTCACAGGATGCGCTCCCCCCACTCGATCCGCTAATCCTTCTGCTTTCACCTACGCCTGGCTCTGGTGAGCCTTTCGACGTCACGAGCGCAGAGGCAGACTTTGAAGACCTCGGGCATTACTTCTCTATCGTTAGTGTCGCGCTCGCAAACATCGAGCCGTACGTCCATGAAGAGAACTCGCTTACCCAGCCGCTTTCTCGCCAATCGTCCATGGCGGACGATAGTAGCCCCCGGAAGAACCAGAAGCCGCTCGTTCCACTCGAGCTACTCCTGCAGGTTTTGGAGGTCACACAGGGGCGTATTGGTAAGTATCTTCTGTATGTGGTCGGGTTCATTATTGACCGTGGTTTGGCGCAGTCGATACACGTGCAGCGCACCTGGAACGCTCACGCACGAAGGCAGAGATGCATCGCCTCCAGATGCGCGTGTATTATCAGCGCCAGGCGCTCAAGCCCCCCGGAGGGTGGACAAGGACAGCCACCATCCAGCATTACTTCGGGCCCAAGTAATTCCTAAATCACACTATCATGGGTTTATTCTCCTTTTCTCTCCTTTTCAACCTTTTTCATACATACCTCGCTCTTCTGTCATGCAACTTCGTTGTGAATGTTAACTTTATTCTCTACGTATCCACTTCATCACAATGCCCCCTTTCGTCGTCATGTTTTCTGACGCCTATTACCTAGATGATGCTTTCTTTGACCTGTATGAGCTACCGACAATGCTACCCTCGTCTCCTCGCCTGCTGCAGTAACGTATTATGTCCATTATAGCACGCTTATTGTAGATGACCTTGCTGTCAATCAGCCTTAAATCATGTATGCTCGGTACCCTTTGCCCTCCCTCGTATTCGTAGTTCGATCTTAATGGCCATCGCCTTTTCGTGTGGCATGTTAATGAGTCGATCATCCATTATAGTCTGCGTAGTGAATGTGCAGATAATTAAAACCAAGTGTATGACCCCAACTTTTTCACAACGTATGTGCCTCACTCATCGCTCAGCGAGCCCCCAGCCTTCCCGAACCCCTTCTTAGCAGCCAGCCGTGGATCCACGTCCGCATACAGATCATCATCGTTGAGGTCGAGCTCGATATCCCATACTGGCGATGGCTCACGTGGAGGAGGTAGGGGCCCGGAAGACGCGGCGGGCGAAGGACTGTTAAGGTCGAGTTCTATGTCCCATACTGGACTCTGGGCGCGCCGGGGAGCTGGTTCTTTTCCCTTTCCTTTGCCCTTAACTCCGCTTTGTGCAGGTGCCGAGTCCGATAGCGCCTTCGAACCTGACGCAGCAGGTCCTGCAACCTCCGGGAATTGCTCTCCATTGACTGTGGACACGACCTCGTCACTAGCACTCTGTGGGACTTGCGAGCCCACAGAAAATACAGCGTTGGTGGCTCGATTTCGAAATGGTTTGTCGAAGGCATCTTTGATGCGACGGACTTTCACAGGGCCACAGCCTGGCAAGGTCTGCAGGCGATCGGATGGGGCGCGAGCTATGTCGGCGAAGCTCTGGAGCGTCAGCTAAGTATGTTTACAATTCAAATAGTGTTGAGATAACATACCCCAAGCGACGAGCGCAACGTCTCGACGTCCGTTTTGTTCACCTTGTTGATGCTAGTAAGCGCAGTACGGAGGAGCGCATTGTAGTCCTTATCCACACGTTCCTTTATGAGATCCGGCGGCTTGTGCTCAAATTGCTTGAATGTAGAGACGTACTGCCCGGCTTCTTCGATGCTGCAAAAGTGAGTCATTTACTTGGTCGTCTAGTTAAGATAGCAGCGAACGGATACCTCCATGCAACGATGATGGTGACATTATTGATGAGGCAGACCTGCATGAGTTGTCATGAAGCTGAGAATTGGTGGTCATCATGAGAGGGGCAGACCTTGGTAAGCTCGCGAATTGGTTCCTGATGCTCGCTCTACGGGGGTAAAGGAGTTTGAAGAGCTCTGGATGGGAGTTCGAAAGCTACTTACAACGTCGCACATGATGAGCAATATCCTAAGATTATAGGCATGTCCGAGTTTCTCTATGCGAGTATGGATGTACTCTGGGTGGAGGCGGTGATACTTCAGACTTTATTTCAATGTCAAGGATGCGTTTGTATGATAAGGAGTAATACGCGCACCTGAGGAAGAGCACACAGGTAGTACGCCCCACTTGAAAGTCTGGGACAATGTCACCAAATTCTTTGCCGACATTACGAATGCACTCGAGAACGGGGTTCAAGCGCTGAAGTTTTGCACATGACATTGAGTCGGGATAGTAGAAAGGGGGGACTGACCTGGTTAGGATTTATGATAATGTTATTACCTGTGCCAGGCTGTACGACAGGAGGTTTGGCTTTTTGAGCAGCAGATCCCCCTGCTGGCACGCTCATCATAAGTTATGAAAGACGAAGGAAGACCCGAGTCGCGTCCGACGCGAAGTTCGGTTACGCGTCACGGGTACGTGTTAATAATAATTCCTCATCCGTATGACCACTGACAGTTGTAATGAATTCCCAGCTAATCTTCTATTTACTGCAGTATAAGAACTAGCGTCTAGCGTTACTTACTGTTCTTGCTCTTGTCCATCTCCTTGGAATGGACAAGCTACCGATATATTCCCCACCGGTCGACCGGCTGCGACCAAGGCGGAACAGGTTGACACTGACACTTACATTGTGTTGCCTATCTGCAGCCGCCTTTCTTTTATCTCTGTCCCAGCTCGCATTCTTGGGGGGACCATCCGTTCAACTCCCCCTCCATGCTGAGCAGATACTGCAGAAATGTCAGATGCTCCACGCAAAACCTGGCCCACCTCCCAACTTTCACCAGCGTACCCAGTCTGACCGTTTCGCCGAAGGAACCCGCGCGACTCTCATTCGAAACGCGTCTATTTGGACTGGAGATGATGAAATCTCCCAGGGGGACATCTTGCTCGACAAGGGCATCATCAAATTTCTTGGACATGCAAGCCCGGATATGTTCAGCGAGTTTAAGGACTTGGTCACTTTGGATGTAGGCGGAAGTTGGGTCACACCTGGGTACGCGCCCACATGATCAAACATCTCTTACTCTTCTCTAATCCTACACCCAGTATAGTTGACCTTCATTCCCACCTGGGCGTTGACAGCGCCCCAGCCCTCAATGGCGCAGACGACACCAACTCATTGAAGGGTATATTATTCTTACGTCCCAGTATTGCATAAATGTTCATATCCTTCAGGTCCTGTCCTCCCGTGGCTCCGCAGCCTCGATGGGCTCAATACGCACGACGATGCCTACAGACTTAGCATCTCCGGTGGCGTAACTACCGCAAATGTTCTCCCTGGCTCCGCTAATGCCATTGGTACGATCGCCTTGCTTCTTCTGTCAAGACGCTATTAACACCTCATACAGGCGGTCAAGCCTTCGTTATCAAGCTTCGCCCCACTGCAGAACGCTCTCCCTCGTCTATGCTTCTTGAGCCACCTTATACCCTCAATGGCACGCATGTTGATCCGACCTTGCCTCCACGATGGAGACAAATGAAGTGCGACTCCTTTTTATTTATTTCTTGAAGCACATGTCCTCATTCATTGTAATCACAGGCACGCGTGCGGCGAGAATCCCAGTAAGATTTCATCATTCCTTATCTCACAAGCCCTTAATCAAACACGAATATGGAGGTCGTGTCTACGGTAACACGCGTATGGACACTTTCTGGGCTTTCAGACAGGCGTGCGTTCTACAGCTTCTCTCTTAAAATTTCTTCCCACGAAAACATTTGTGTCCACAGATATGACACGGCTCGCCAGCTTAAAGAGCAACAGGATGCATATTGTACCCGCGCGCTGGCTGGTGAATGGGAAAACCTCGGCGAGTTCCCGGACAACCTACAGTGGGAAGCGCTTGTCGATGTGCTGCGTGGACGTGTCAAGGTATATTTTAGTCTTTCCTGTAAGAGGATATGCTTAATTTATCCCCTCGAAATAAGATCCACACACATTGTTATGAGGCGGTTGATTTAGACGACTTTGTCCGTGTGCGTGACGTCGGAGGAGTTGTGGTGTGCTGCAGAATGCTGATGAGGTTGAACAACAGCTTACGAACGAATTTCAATTCCCCATTGCTGCGTTCCACCACGCTCATGAAACATACCTAGTCCCGGGAACTCTCAAGCAGGCGTATGGTACGTCGGATCTCACTTGCTGACCCTTCATTGCATTGATGTCTCCTGCAGGCAACACCCCTGCGGCAGCCATGTTCGCTACGAACGCCCGGTACAAGCGTGAAGCGTACCGCGGGTCTGAATTCGCTCCGCGTATTCTGGCTGACAACGGGATCGACGTTGTGATGAAGGTCCGCGCCTTCGCGTTTCCACTGACTCCTATTTTGATGTTAATGTATCGCGTAGAGTGATCACCCTGTCCTTAACTCCCGCTTCCTGCTCTACGAGGCGCAGCAAGCGCACATGTACGGCCTTCAGGCGAACCTCGCTCTTGCAGCTGTCACCTCGACGCCCGCGCGCATTATGGGGCAAGACCATCGGATTGGATTTGTCCGCGAAGGTTTGTTGCTATCTTTTTGTGATACATCCCACGCTAACTTATTTCTAACATCAGGGTATGATGCCGGTCAGTCCACTCGCTGCGTCTCTACTGTGAATTGTGACTGATACTAACCACCACATACAGATCTTGTCGTATGGGATAGCCACCCTCTCGCGTTGGGCGCAACGCCGCAACAAGTCTGGATTGACGGCATCCCCCAGCTGTCTGAGCCCGCTGTCTCCTACAAACCCGTGTCCTTCCAACAAGTCCCGCGCACACCAAACTTCGACCTCGAGGCTGCTGCGGCCATTAAGTATGAGGGTCTCCCACCCCTGATGCCGAAGAAGGCAAAAGATTTGGTGGTGTTTATGAATATAAGTAGCATGTTTATGGCGGATGGAATAGGTGGTGTAATGAATGTGGTTGAAGGAGGGGAGAGTGTGGTGGTAGTCAAGAAGGGAGTGATGCAATGCTGGGGCATTGCGACTAATTGTGCGAACCAATTCCCCCCGGAAGATGCTGAGTGGATCGACCTCGAGGGCGGTTCTGTCGCGTGCGTAATCACCACTTTCAGCCTCCTTGCCTATTATCCCATTTAACGTGGCTGTCGCAGTCCTGGCCTTATCTCTTACGGCTCTCCACTCGGATTAGAAGAGATTCAGGGCGAAAAGTCCACGCACGACGGCAATGTCTTCGACCCTCTCATCGGCTCTGTGCCAAGCATTCTCGCGGAGAGCGAGCCCATTAAAGCTGCGGATGGTCTCCAGTTTAGTGGGCGTGATGCGCTGTAAGCCTTCTCTCGACTTGCCACTGTCGAATCTACCTCACAATCCACTCCAAAGCCTCGCCTACCGCGCAGGTGTCACAGTAGGTATCACCGCGCCGAGCTCAAATGGCCTCATTGCGGGGCTGAGTACGGCGTTCAGCACCGGTGCAGCTCACAGACTCCAGGATGGGGCTGTCATCCAAGATGTTGCGGCACTGCATGTACAAATTGGTCACTCAAACAAAGGACCGAGCGTCAGCACGCAAATCGCAGCATTGAGGAATATACTGCTGGGTAATCAGAGCGGCAGCAGGTTTGCAGAGGCTGCAGAGGTGTGTTTCTGTCCGTCTTGCTATGTGTTGTAATGCATGTTAATGTATGTCACATAGGGCACAATACCCCTGGTCGTGCAAGTTCAAAACGCGGATATCATTGCCTCGCTTATTGAGCTGAAGAAAGAGGTCAAGGCATCCACCGGCACTGACATTCAGCTCACTATTGCAGGTGCTGCTGAGGCCCATCTCCTCGCGAAGGAACTCGGTGAGGCGGGTGTTGGTGTCATCGTCACGCCTTCTCGTCCCTTCCCTAATGACTGGGAATCGAAGAGGATGTCAGTGACTATGCGTTAGACCATGTCAATAAACTGATTCTCTGCCACAGATTGCCTGGTCCGCCGTTGACCAAGGAGAGCGCGATTACCACCCTCTTGGCTCACGGTGTCACTGTTGGTGTCGGTATCGTAGAGCAGTGGAGTGCCCGCAGCACACGCTTCGATATAGCATGGGTGCGTGGATTCTCTCCCGTCCGATCTCTGGCTCATAGTATGGCTGTCAGGCTGCTCTCGAGAGTGATGACAAGATCTCAAAGGAACAAGCTCTCGCACTTGCATCAGTCAACCTCGAGAAGCTGTTAGGAGTCAAACCCTGTGGAAGACTCTGTGACATGGTCGTAACCCGTGGCGGCACAGTCCTCGACTTGGAAGCCAAAGTCGTCGGCGTGGTCTCACCTCGCAGGGGCCTCGTGGACCTAATCTAGATAAGCATAGGATAGCAGGAGGATAGCGTTCAAGATAGCAATACACGGCGAGGATGCGCCACGGAGCCCAGCGTGACGCGAGTTTGATACTTAGGAATAGTGCCTCTACTGCGGTTTTCCTACGAGGGACTGTTTAATATTCTCCTTGATCACAGGGAGCGCTTTCATGATGAGCTTGATGGGTTTGCTCTCGTCTACGGTAATCGAATCAGATCATAAACGTGGTTGCTTGTAAGAGGCACGAACCGATCTGAAGGACTCTGCCATGTCTCTTGAGAATCTTCGCTTCGGGAGCAAATGCTGGATGCTCTGGATGAACGATCACGATCGAGTTCTTTGTAGCACATGATCAGATATGCCAGGTGCAACTACAAACGATGCAAACCTTGGAGTACCACGTTCGGAGCCCCTCTGAGTCCTTGGGTATCAACGGAATCTTCATGTTTCCCACAACCTGTATCACCGCATTGACATAACGGATCATGTTAACTGCTGCAGCAGGGTAAGCTTTCTGCAAGTATGTTGTAAGTACAAAATACGTACGACGGTGCTCAATAAGTTCCATCAGCGCATGACAACCGGGGCCATGACCAATGAAGATGATGTTTTTCGCTCCCGAAAGCCTGAAAACAACTTGGTTTTGCAACTAGGAAAATTGTAGAGATGACCAACTGAAGATAGTTATCCCATAGGTATGTAAGAACGTCTCGTGACCACGACTCTACAGGTTTGTGATTGCGCTGACAGGTCATATGGATCAATGATGAAATGAAATGATTACTAGCGCACGTACCGGCAAGGGCGAGGCAAATGGTCTCGGGAAGACATTGACATCGAGCAGGGCATAGTTTTCCTTCCTGACCCATGAGATGAGTTCCTTCGAAAAGTCGATCTGGAACATGTCAGTATAAGTTGGATGCACGATATGTCGTCAATGATGAGCAACTGACTAGGTACGAGTTCTCCATCTGCACGTCGCACGTGGGTTTTCCATCTAGTTCTATGCGCAGATTCCCGCTGCGATGAAGTCAGCACTGAATAGCGGGACCACTCGAGGAGTGCTCACAATTCATGGACGAATACAATAATCGTAGGATTCTCTAAGAAGTCACTCCTGCGTTTTGCTCAGCCTAACGAAGTAGTAAAAAAAAACTGAACGACGCACGTGCACATAACTTGAGAGCCGAAACGCTCTTCGAACATCTTGGTCATCAGTGGAACCTGGAGCATTTGGTATTGCGTGTAAAGAAAGTGTTGTCTGTGGCCCTTGAGAATTTCTGCAAGAAATTAACGACAGGTGAAATGCACGACCTAAGTAGAAGGGAATGTTTACCTGGGATTGAGAACGAGATTTCTTCGACCTCTGCAAGTAAATTTGTGTAAGTACTCGATCGTGTACATCTGGATACAGGAGACAAACCTTCTCGGGGTTCACAGGCCTTGGGGTTCACACTCTTCCAGTATTTACTCTGCTCCATAGCGACCTGCCAAACCGTTTCTGTCCCTGCTTCCGACGCAACCATCGGGGGAAGCTCAGGAGGAGCCTCGCCGAGAAGTGTGCGAGCAACTGCGAGAGCGGAATTAGATATAGACTCAAGGTTATAGCCACCCTGTTGAAATTGGAATCGGAAATTCAGAATATCACGGTTAAGCTACGTCGTCATTAGACTTACTTCCAAGGCGACGACTAAATTTCCACCGGCGAGTCCCGCTAACATGTGTGTCATGTGTGCGTATCCCGCTGGGGTAACAAAACATTCGCCAAGATCATCCCCTTCGGCAGCGTCAAAGCCGGCAGAGACTTTGTGCAGTTAGCACGTGGGCAGTGTAGAAAATGAATGAACACACTAATCACCAGGTCCGGAGCAAATTCCATTCCTATTGGCATCACGATTTGTTGAAAGGCGTGGATGTAATCCGCATCTGTCATGCCCTTTCGCGGCCAAGGTATATTGACAGAGCTGCACTCATCAATCTCTGCGAGGCTAGAAGGGGCGTCCACTTACTAGCCGAGACCAGGCCCTTCACCACAAGATTCCATGCTGCCGAACGATCCACAAGGGTAGAATTGCCCTCGCTCGTAGCGATGTAATGAGACATACAAAACGGAGTCATCATCATTGAAAGCACGCTGCGTTCCATTTCCTAGACGGGGTTTGTATGATGAAATTCATTTAGTGATTAACGTACCATGATGTACATCCCTTCACGAGAAGTGAGTACATGAATAAAGAACGGGTCGTGAAGACCTACCAGTCGAGTATCAAAATCTTTCTGACTGGAGTCAGAAACTGTGTCACCTTTGCGGCGACAGCAACATTGTTGAAAAAACAGAAACCCATGTGCTCCTCAGGCTCAGCATGGTGCCCTGGGGGTCGTACTATTGCAAAGGTCTTCTTCAGCTCACCACGAGCCACTGCGAGACAAGCCTCAATCACGCCTCCACAACTCAAGCGGGCAGCTCGAGTAGTACCACTCGTAACATAAAGAGATAAGGACTCATAATAAGCTTCTGATTCAAAGATTTCGGACTGTGTCATTGCTGAAGAACAGGTAAATTCTCGAAGTAAGCCATGTATCTTATCGTGAAACACTAGTGCGGTGATGATTTACGAGCCGCGACTCACATTGTATCGCAAGAACCTTGTGCCAGTGTTCTTGAGAATGGACAAGAAGGGCTTCGTCTCGCTTTACAGGACGAATCGGGATTTGTTTCATCTTCTGCAATAAATTCGCGTCGCGAATTGCCATACGAATTCTTGATATTCGCTCTGGCTGTTCTGGGTGTTCCCCAGTTGCTGATGAATGGAGCATCATGTCTGCAGAATAGACATAACCGACGGTGAAATGAGGCAGACGGTGTGGCACGGAGGAGGCGCGTTGTACAGGACTCAATGAACGCGAGATTGGTACTTGATTTTGGTGATATTCTTCACCATCCACGTCCATTGAAGTTCCTGCAACTTGTCCGTCCATGATGAGCTTTGTGCCAGCCGCGCTCGATTAGAGCTCTGAAGAAGAATGAAGGAGATAAGTATAATAGATTCAAAACCTTAAGTAGTTTAAGTATTGACAAGGAGGGAAAGTGACCAAAACAAAGTCAAATACCGGTTAATTATCGGTAACCAAATGTTATGACGCTTTAAGCAGCATATGACTTCAGCGCTCATGTCACGGTACATGAACACCGCTCATCTGAATTTTCCTCTGAAGGTCCCAGGACCAAGCAAGCGCTGAGCACAGGTAAGATTTATATCACCATAGCAATCATAAACGGTTTAAACTATGTATTTTTGCTAGCTCGAGCTTGCACAGCTGTTGTTAACGGTGAGCATTCCACCAATGAATCGAGTCCCGGATCACTGCCACGTACCCTTGAACTTCCTTCTCAGCCCTGCGTTTTATTTTTCACTCTTCCCCGCACCATTATTCACTTACATACAACCTTTTCTTGGTCATCACTAGATCTGACATCTTATTTGCTGTTTCGATCAATATTACCAACTACGTTAGCGCCATGCGCTTCAACCTCAAAAACTACCTCTTGTATTCCACATACTGCTGTTGCTGCATACCCGTGCGATTTGGATTCGTGCTAGTGACCTTTCTGTCCTTCTTGTTTTCTGGTGTACTATCCATTTTGGTGTGGTTTGAACTCTCTCGTGCGTGTGCTCAGGTCTGTCATACCATAATGATATAACACTGACCGTGTTCCTAGATTCTTATTCGCTCACTAGTAAGGAGAAAACTGCGTTTTGGGCTGTGGGTATTGTAGAAACCATATTGTTTGCTGTGTCCATCATGGGGTGCGTTCCATACCTATCTCATGCTCTCGTTCTTGCTAACTTGTATCATTCGCATAGATTCATTGGCGCAGTCGCACGCAAGCAACGGTTTGTCAAGATCTACAACTACTTCATATATATCCATCTTTTCCTCAATATCATTGTCGGCATATACTTCCTCGTTACCATCCGCCAGAGCAACCGACAACAATTAGTTGACGAATGTTACGCTTGGTTCATCAACAATCCGTCCCAGTCAAACTGCCAAAACCTTATGAACGTCTCAACATACGTTTTCATCGCTGTGGTATCGTTTGTGTTACTTCTTGAACTATGTGCGTTCCATGCGTGTCCATCTGCTCAATATTGATGAATTCCAATCGTTCATTTAGACGGTGCTCTCATCGCCACTCGTTATCTGAACGCACTCACAAAGCAGAAGAAGGTCGAGTACAATCGCACACTGGGCTTATACCACGCTGTCGCCAACATCCCTCCCCGTCATTCTCGCAATACCAGTGGCATGTCTGATGACATAGAATTGCTTCATCCTCGAGACAGTAGTGGGACTACTTTTTCGTCGATCGGAGCACCGTATGACCATGGTGATGAGGTTCTCGACATAACCCATCAACCTACAACCTTCGAGCCTGCTCCGACGCATAACTCCGACATGCTCTCCCACAGCCAACAGCCATCACAGTCGTCGAGTTCTCCCGCTCGTCGTCAGCTACCATCTCAGCCGAGCGCATGCCCTTCATCTAGTTCTTCTTCATCTTCACGAGGCTTCCGTGCACTTCCCCCGCGACCTTCGAGTAGTCTGGTTACTGAAATCTCATCGACTCGCAAGTCGTCGCAGGCACATGCACATCGGGCAACACATTCAACGAAACCCTCTGACCCCCCATCGAGCTTCTCCTACGAGAGCCGTGATCCATCATCGCAACTGAACAATGACGTCGATCAACGGTCAACGTATTCGACGGATGTTTCCACAAATGCACATGCAGCATTAATGGATCATGCTTCGTTGATGTGGTCAAGATTTTTTCCACCATCTAATGCTCCCCCCGTCCCGGAATTACCGCCACCGTATCGTTAGTCTCGGACATAGCATGGAATAATTCCTCGATGTATTTGGACTTTGTTTTTTTAATGCTTTCATCGCTACCACACACCGTACTCTTACTCTGTTGAACTCAATGTAGATCATCTATAATGGAACAGTGATACCAGAATTTTGGCTAAATCTTTGTAGACTATACTATTACTATAGACTCTCCGCTTGTCAAAAGCTGTTTGAGGCTGTTGGACAACAGGTCCAAACACCAACCTTGATGCATCTTTCGTCCACGGAGACAGTACTTGGTAGGGACGAATATTATAAAGACTATATCTACAAGGCGAGACATACTAGATGACATGCACAAGCGTCATGACGCCCAACGACAGCACATCATCGACTCTGTAAGTTTTCTGTCAATGGAGAGTGTCCATTATGCTCACAATGGGTCACACAGCTCTATGACCTCTTGTTCCAATTGCATGCCGTCTCCTTCTTCCTCGCGCCCTCGCTCGTACCACTGGTTACCAGAGCCATGTTTTGTCAGTTCCTGTGCTACAAGCCGAGGGAGGTCGACCCTAAAGTCTCTCTACGGGCGTGGTTCCTACTCACTTTCATCCTCAATATCCCGAGCTTCTGGTTACACGCACGAGAAGGTGCAGTTGAAGGGCGGACGGTCGTGTTGGATTTTGTCGGAATGGGTGCGTTCATTAATTTTGTATATTTACTAGCTTTCATGAAAACCAAAACTATGACCTCACAGAATCTGCACCCTCCAAAATGCACCTCCTTCTGCTCGACGTCCTCATCTTGCTCCTCCAGTTACTTTTGCAAACGCTCACATACGAGAAGTCGCTACAGCAGTCATCCTCTATCGTCTCCGAGGTTCTCCTTCCACATCCTCTCGTCACCACGCCATTCTCATACTCGATCGAGGACGAGCAGCCGAAACCCTCTCGCAATGAGCGAACATACATAGTAGACCTCCGACTCGCGCCCCTGATCAATCGCATCCGACGACCAGCTCCAGAGATAGTAGAGCGGCCCCTCGAGGCACTTCCACTTCCTAATACCACCAACATCCCCATGATACCCCTTGGTCTTCGGGCATTCATGAGAGCAAGAGGACGTCATTTGCAGCCCCAACATGATCCCACAGCTTCAAATGGACAGGAACATACTGAGACAGAGCAGAGGCTACCTGGGAGCATGAGCACAGACGACGTTGACTAGTTTAATTGTTGTATTATAATGGCACGGCGTTGCACAAGGATCCAAATCTACATCATTTCACGGATGTCTCATCTTCGCATCCATTGACTAGGCATCACCATTTGCGTTTCATCTTGAGACAAAAACTCGGTCAGAAGATATGTCCTCTATCATCACGAGGAGTACGTACAACTTCGCGCAAGCACTGCCCGAACTTTTCAAATTCTTGCTTGCAAGAATCTTTTCTAACATCCGTATAAGCAGCAAATATGCATTTTCCATATGCTGTTGCATGCGACGAGCATGTGGTAGTCGAATGCAGTGCTAATTGTCTGAGAGGCGTGTTTGTAGCCTGTGTCTTCGCTGACTGCATGGCTGGCAGGAGAACTGCTTGTCCGCCTGGCAATTTAAATTGCTGATGTAATCAGTGACACCCTGCAAAGTGCTTAAACGGCGAACTTCCAGCTGGCAGGACCATTGAAAGCTGAATACATGATGCAGCTCTAAACCACCAACCACCAAGTCCTAGTACGAAGCAGTTCAACATCAGGCGCGGAAAGCGGGCTATACATCGGCCACATCGTTGTGGAACCTGTGAGAGTCATTGCGACATGTTCAAAATTTACCTGCTGGTCACTTGCATCTGCGTGCTCGTAGCCGCAGTCTTCTATACTTTCTACTGGAACCGCATGATCTCTGTGTTCATCAGTCTTCTCTTGCGAGTCAAGTACTGGCGACAAGGAGGCTCGAGTATATGGGTACACATTGGTCGGTTTTCTATTAAACTTGACGTATTGACACCACTTAATGTACCCCCCAGGATCCATTCACTTCTCAATCCTCGCGGGACGCATACTACTCAAAGATGTCAAATATCATTCCAGTAATATGACCGTCAAAATCGTGACAGCCCAAATATCTTGGAGATATTGGCTACGCATGCCAGCTACAGAGGATGACTTGAATCGCGCTCATGTTGGTGGTGAAGAATGTAAGACTGCATTTATTTCACCTCTTCGTGCATCGGGTAACCAGTGCGCGCTCTGATAGTCAACCATATGTCACCATTCCCTTCTTGCCGGATCAAGGTCTCTGCCCAAGGATTCGAGTGGTTTCTATACAACAAGACTGCAGCATATGATCACATCATCTCCCAAATGCAGGCCAAGGCATCTCCAAGTCCAGAGTCCTCAGAACCGCGTAGAATGTTTTCTCGAATGTCGGGAGCTGAAGGTAAGATTCCACATACTTGTTGTTGGTCTGACTTTACATATTTGAACATAGGGCTGGGTTTCTACCCACCTCCTGCACTGGCAAATATCAAAGCGCCTCCCGTCATCCATGCTGCGCTAGCCTGGATTAAACGTCAGACGCCATATCTGGACCCGAATGACCTTTTGCCCATCGCACTTGAGCTATCCAAAGTTGCTATCACTTGCGGTAATCCTTCAACACCAAGTCTGTTAGTTGCAGAGTGTCATAGAGCAGAAGGCACGTTCGGGATTGTCCAGGTCGGTTTATTCATCTTTGGTATGCATATTGATACCGACATCGTGGGCAGGCGAGGTCGAAGTGCGACCTCTATAAGCAGCTTTTGAATCTCAAATTCCAGAAAGTGCTTGTGCAGCTTGTTGAAAATGACAACTACCAAGGCAGCATGCCAACAATGGGACATTCTATTCGCGAGAAAGCAGAAGTGTCGAGGTTCGTCGCCTTTGTATATGCTTAATGACTTCAACTGATGTCATTGCTGTACCGTATCAAGTCGGTTCATAGAACTCGTTCCATTGGCTTATCTTCCGTTCCGGGCATTCTCTAGGGTTTGGAAAGGGCTGAAGTTGTATTCATCTAGTCGCAGTTCGTTTATTCACGACCACGGTGCAGCTGAGAAGTCTCCTGCACTTATGCCAAGCAGAAAATCAGCCAAGACCATCGACGAAGAAACACCTATTGGCGCTGACTTTGCTGCTCTAGAGTACGCCATTGAACGGCGCATTATCGAAGCCCCCATTCTGGAGCTATCATATTATACTGATGTCGTCGGCGATGTGCCTGATGCACAGGATGGTCCAAGGGGCATGGGATTAGAATCATATGACATCGGCAATGGCGACCTACCTCCTGAGTGGGGTGTAGATCTGGTAATAAGAAACGGGACTCTTCGTTATGGACCATGGGCCGATCGTCAACGGTAACGGCATTCTTGGATTCATGAAGATAGGATCATACTTATGGTTTGAATTATATTCTCAGAGTCCATCTGCAACGGACATTCTTCCCGCCAACGTATCACGATCTGGAGGTGTCAAAACACCTTAAACCGGGAGATAAACGCACTTGGACTGCAATGAAAGTGTTTGTCGAACTTCGTGACGAGACAGTCCTCTACGTTCCTTTTCGGGAGCCTTCGAAGGTAAATCTGTGGTATGAGACTCGCCTATCTTTATTAATCCTCTCTTAGAACTGGCAATGGGATGGTCTTAGCGATTATCCGCGTCCGAGGAAGCGCGACCATGCAGCTCTGCATTTCACTGCAGGTGATAGCTCCTCAATCAGCTACCTTCTGCCTATGGTTACAAGTCCCGAAGGATATGAACCTCGTTTGGAGGTTCATCTCGATACAGTTTCTGTAGCATCGAGCCTCAACGACATCAAGCTCATCGCGGCTGAGTCCTGTCGCGTTAGTATTTATCCTATTCCATGGCGATTGTGCTAAAAATTACTCAGGTTCATGCGTCATTTCCATCACCGCTTGTATGGAACGCTGAGCGTCGTTGGTCATTTTCCATCTCTCTTCGTCAACCCGTTATATACCTCCTGCGAGACCACGTTAATATGTTCACCGATTTGACGCGGGACTGGACTTTTGGGCCCCCTACCGACTGGAATCTTTTTGTGCCGACTATCTATATACTCGAACTTGATCTGCACCACTTTGAGCTCAACCTCTATGCCAACGACCAGAATATCATTGATAAACCTCTGGACAAGGGAGAGAACAGTGAGTGGATCCTACTACCTTTTCAAAACTACCATAATTCATGGCATTTTAGCGATGGTGACGATCCGTGCTTCGCGTTTAAAAACTGAAGTTACCATCCCGTCAAACAAATATCGACCTGAGGCGACATCCATTCCATTCTCTATTGATGTTCCAGATGTAACCGTTTTTCTGTCCTTGCCGCGGTGGAATACACAGTACCTCTATAATTCAGGGAAAGAGCATCGCATACTCCACGCGGCAACCTTCCGCATCACATCCTCGTATTACTATTGGGCCGATGTTGAAGCTGAAAATATCGATCAATTCAAGCTCACGGTCGAGGTGCGTCTGACCTTCACGGATCATCTCCCTTACTCATTGTCGCTAAGACTAGTAAAGTTGCATACAAGGCCCTCGGATGGTCTGTCAGGTGCTTGATGGTACTTCGGGACAATTATTTTGGATCTTTTACCCACTTTTCTACGCTTGTGGAGTATCTCGACAAGCAGAGCAGGTTTGGGTTTACTGGAGATCCACTGGAGATGAAGTATCGAGCAGGCAAGGTCAGTGAACCAGGCTGTATGTCTTAGAGCTGTGCTAACAAACGAGTATAGGCAAATTCACTACAGGTTCAGGTGTCGTTACAATTGCTTTCTGGAGCAATGGTTCTACCTGCGGGTTTACCTGGCTACGAAGTTCGCGTAGCAAGCGACGGATCGCCCGACGATATTGGTGCATCCACGGTCATGGCGTGTTCAGTGCTTCAACTGGACTTACGACTGCATGACTATTTTATGGGTAAGCCGTTTATCAGACGATTAAATCATAACTATTGAACTGTGTAATAGACGTATCACTAAATCTGAGTACAATCAAGGGTTCTATACTCGACGCTTGTTCCGAGCACGCTTTCTTCGGCCAGGGGCATCAACACTACGAAGCCTCATTTTTAATCGATGGTACTGTCGATTGTGTTTGTTCTTCCGAGCTGATACTCATCTTCTATCCGAAGGTCTGAATATCACTGCTCACAGACTATTTGGGCCACAACCGCGCACCCGTACATATGTCTGTGTATGGGAAATTGGAATTGGAGCAGTGAAGGCCCAATTGACATCTCACGAGGGTCGAAATTTAGTGGCATCTTTAAACACCTTCCGTCTTAACTACATGGACCTCTCCAACGCTCCCGCGACCGAGTTTGGAGTGCCAGTAGATCCAGATGGTAAGAGAATGGTCTTTGGACGAGAGCATCCACTGATAAATCTATTCAGTAACTTTCATCAGATTCTCGACTGGCCATGTGAACGCCACCTGGTCTGCTGGTGCGACAGCCGTAAACTTCTCAATTCCTTCAGGCTTCAGTTTGCACACCAATGATCTGGAAGGCCAATTTTGTGGCAAGCTCACGAGCGTCAGACTCCCCCTTGCGTCGCTGAAGATTCTGTTGTCGTCAAGTGATTCTAAGACAACATGGTGTGAGGCGGCCGATTTGTCTACGGACATCAGCCTGGATATATACAAATCTCCAAAGACCCGCGATCCGTCACAGATGGACTTCATAAAGGAGCAAGATGAGCTGACTCTTCGGGCACAACATCTGCTTGATGAAGTAAAGAGGGCCCGAAGAGCCTCTTTCCCTACTAATCCGCAGTCGCTGCAGCGTACGCGTTCCGGTCACCATCGCAATGGACTCTATCTCCCCCCTCCCCGCCTTCCACGTTTCCGCAGAGCAGAACCACACCCTCCAACACCCCTCACGAGCGTTCCACATCCCAAGAGCTCGGCTACATGGTGGCCTCGTCTTTCTTATCTCTCAGAATCCGACGGAGAAGAGAATGTATCCGAAGTAGATCGCGATGCACGTCTGGCGTATGTTACCCGTTTTCTGCTCTATTCTACTAGATATAACAGTTTTTACAGGAGAAGTCGACTTGCGCCACCGACCGCCGTCGACGACGACATGTCTGTGTCTGGGGAGGAGTCAGACGACGAGGACCTAACAGATACCGAATCCTCGACAAGTGGCTGGTCCTCGACTAGATGTGAGTCGTTCTCGAATGCTGAGTGTTGCGTCTGCTAAATTCAGACAGGTGGGATTCAAAGGCAGTCATTGATTAAGCGTTACCGTCGGGTCACTAGGTGGTACCGCAGCGTCGACCTCGGCGACCTCGACAGCTGGGAGGACTCGCCCTTTGTTGTAACGAAGGTGAGTAGACGAACCCATTTTTTTCCCAAACATCCATCGATCAGAGGACAGGAACCCAGGATCGCAGCCCAAAAGGACAAGGATTCGTCCAGAATACGTCCGACCGTACAATCTAACGACAGAACCAGCTATGTCCACTCCACGACTTTCCGCATACAGTGCAAACGGGAGATAATGGTTCGATTAACCCCCTTGGCTCTCTTGGCAATTAGGGATTTGGTGGAAGACCTGCAATCGCGGGTTCGTGTTATTTTTCTAATTTGTCGCGTTACCTTGATAGTTTCCTGCAGTGGCTCAGTCCAGAATTGACACTGGACTTGGTAATGGCGAGACACATGACGATGTTCAGCGATTCGCCAGGGTCCCCTCTCTCGACGGCCTTCGACGTTAGTATACGGTCCGCTCGTCTTCAGGTACTTGAACACATATCCTGCCTACGTTCCTCCTCCTTCAAGGAAGCATTAACTCAAAGAGACTCGATTGTTGCAATCAACTGCTTGGCTTCCGGATGTCATCTCGCCATTTCTCAAGGGACCCAGAAATTGGCTTGCCACCTAGAAATATCTGAAACATCGATTGGAGTAACGGATGACTTTGGAGTTGCTCTGGGTTCTAAGTGTTTACGAGCAAATAGTCCCGTATTATCTCTTCGTCGCCTTCAACTGAATGTCACGCAGAGTCATGCTAGCATCTCTGTTGGGCGCTTTGCAGTGGAAATTCAACCTGTTAGCCTCGAGTGCGCTGTCGCCACGTTTCAGGCATTGGAACAGGATTTGCAGGACCTCTCACTCGGCCCCTCTATGCAGTTTGGCTCAACTACGCGCCTTCCGGAGATTGTCTACTCTATTCTGGATCTCATCAAGGATAGGCCAGCCGTCGATTCACTGTCAACCATTCAACCTTCTTTCCTCGTCCAACGGGGTTACCCCCAAGTTCTCCGGACAGATGCTACCTACAAATTTCTATTTCATCTACGAACTGCACTCCAGGTCGCCCGTCTTCAAGGAGATATCGGGACGAATAGCCCATCCATTGCAACGCACGACGTGAAGGCTTTGGTGGACTCGTGTCTCGCGGACCTTATGCTGGACCTAGAATCTTCCAAAGAAGGTATACCTAGTCCATTGGAAACCATTCTTCCTCATACCTCCCCAAAGTCCACGACTAGCGCACGATTTACCGTCGGCTCCGTTAACTTGACTGCTGACCTTATCAGCATAATCGTTGCAGACGAGGTGTCAACATCCACCAGTCGCCTAGACATCAGCTCTTGTGCTTTCCGGCTTCGCTCTTCAAAACTAGCACACTTCTCGGAAGGAGTTCAATTACCGTCACAGAGCCCTTCCTTTGTGAACCATGATGCCACCATTCCACAGACTGTATGCACCCTCGCCGTAGGTGACGTCAATGTCACCGTCTCCCCTCACTTGATGGTCTTCGCACAATGTGTACTTCGCATACGGAGGGTATCAAGTAAACCGAAGCCAGTCTCGAACCAAGCACTTCCAAACTCTGGGCCGTCTCACCTCATTTTCACGGCCGTTCTTCGTCGCGTTAACATCCGCGCTGCTGCTGAAAAACTTGCATTAGAGATTGGGACCACGGATATGGACATCTTTCTCACCTCACTCAAACGAGTCGATCCGTTGATGCATACTGAGGTCCACTCTGTCAATTACACTGCTGGCTTTAGCAACGCTTTCATACGTGCGAGGGCTACCGACATTGGACCAGGAATTTGGGCCCAGGATCAGAACGTTCTTGCTTCCTTGACCTCCTCTGGCAAGCTTAATGTGCTCTGGCGTCAGGAATCATCCACGAGTACTATCCGTCTCGCGTTCCTCTTATCTAGCACCGTTTTTTCCGTACCTCGTAGCGCCCTTCGTCTTTACCGCTTCGTGGAAGAGTGGGAAGCGGACTTCCTTCCAGGCATTGAAGCCACCACCCAAGCCTTTCTAGCAGAGTTGAAGGAAGGGAGGGGAGATCATGCGCAGCAGACAGCACTGACGCGCCCTCGTGCTGTCAAGAAGAGCGCGTTAGTAGCCCATGTCACGGGACGTATCTCGGAACTTGGTGTTTCTCTCCAAGTCATGCGAGGAACTTGGTTATCATGGAACATACATGATCCGACTGTGTTCCTTTCGTTACCAGGCGGATCGGGATCCAAGTCGTCCACGTCCTTTGGTATTCGATTTGGCAAGCAAACCTTGGCCATTTCATACAAACTACAGTCCGCTGATGACCACGCGGATACGCCGCGGATCAAGGTGACGCTCCCTTCGCTCTCGTTGACAGGTCATCATGGCGGCGCTTTCGTCAGAATCCTTGCTTCTGTGGACTTTTTGGATGTTTTAATCAAGCCTTCACATTGGGATACGCTTCTCGTCGTCCAACAAAAATTCGGTCAAGATTTTGCTGATTTGATGGACCTGATCCAACAAACTCGCCAACGAAGGTTTAATCCGCCTGGATCGACGTCGGATGCATCTCGATCTACTCTATCGTTCAGTGGACACGTCAATGTGAAGGGATTCAGATTTGGGCTTGAAGGTCGCTCCTCCACCTCATATCTAGAATGCGAAGATGTCGGTGGCGATATATCCAGCAACGATTCAGGTATTGCATGGCGAATCAGGCTTCGTGACCTGGCGTTGTCGCTTGCGCCTAGAGCGAATGTCGTGTCACGAGAGACCACCTTCAATCGGAACCACCGATCTGCATTTGTAATCGTAGATCTTCGCGCTAGGGGAAACACCCACAAACTGGATTTCCGCGTCCCAAAGATCCATGCCGTGATGCAACCCAGTTCTATAGGAGAAGTCGCTGACTTCTTAGACCATCAACAGGTGCGAGAGTCACCTTCGGGCATTTGTCTTACTTCTCAACTTTTCTAGGCCGAGTTGCTTATTCGGAGAGATCAGCGAGCTGCGGAGTTGGCAGCGTTCAAGGAAAAGACTCGCAGCGTTCTGAAAACGTTTGATATGAGAACGAGCGAGGCCATTCGTGACCAAAAGCCCTCTTGGCTTAGCGAACGTACTATAAACGTAGTCATCCAGAAGATTGGAGTGGCCTTCCCCCTCAGCCTTGAACAAACGCTGGAGCTTCCCCGGACGAACTTCCATGACGGCCCTTCCGTCAGGGCCTTCTTGTTTGCTATTCGGCGTATCAAGTTCAGCGCACAGAGAGGAGAAGCGGGTGAGATGTCAACTAAAGAATTATCCTTCCAGTTTGTGCCCAGGTAGGACTTGGTATTCCAGCAAGCTCATCACACTTATCTCTGATTATGGCACTTTAGTTTCAGGCAATCTTCGTCCGAAGACTTCGCAGCAGACCAGCATAAAAGCCGAAACCGACTGGTGTACCCCCACATGACTGCGCGGCTACGATCGGATACATCTTTGTTCAGTCGTCATATCTGGTTCTCTGGAAACGTCAGTGGATTTATCTTGGACTTGGACTCCAACATCCCTGATTACATATTCTCGCTCATTGATGTGTACCGTCAAGGAAGAGAACGAATGGCCCGCATCGCCGCAAGCCTCCCCCGTACTACTACAGCGCACCTCGCGAAGGACGATGTCTCACCACGAGGCGGGCAGCAAAATGTTCCGGCGTCAACCATCTTTGCAAATCTAGTCTTCCAGAGCGGAGAAGTACGCATTCATAGCGATGCAAAACGTGCACAGGCTCCGTCTCTGAGCGCTCACCCACCGTCGGACGGCCAACTTCGCCCAGAGCAGGAGACACTGAAGCTTCCAGTGATCTCTGCTTGGGTTGAATATCGCGCTTCAGGGATGCGAGCCGGTCCTGCAGCCCTGATATTCAAAAGCACCATTCATTCCAGCCAGAACACTCTGAGACCGAGTCTTCTCCCTTTCATGACCGAAATCGTTGACTACGTGCAGTTGCGCTTACGCAAGACTAGTCAGGCGAATACACTACCCATTGCACCATCTCCTTCGGAAGATGAATCGTCCTCGCTGCTGACCTCAAGTCGTCTGGAGAATTTATCCGAGGCATCATCGAGTCTTCAAATCAGCTTCAGTCTCCGCATAGACAAATCAAAGCTCGAATTGACCTGTCAGCCGGATGTCAATGTAGTGGCAGCTTTGCATTGGGAAAGTGGTGGTTTCCTTGTGAACATCTCGCCGGGTGCCCATAGTGTGACGTTGACGGGCACTGTAGACGGCCTCACGATCGGCCTCAAGCACGGGTTTTTGAGTGACGACTGCGTCAATATCGCAGCTCGCAATCTTGCGTTTGTCCTTGCATTTGCCAAGAACGAGGACCGTACTGGAAATATCGACAGTACCGTTTCACTGGTGGTGGATACGGATATCTCTGGTGGTGTGCGTTTCTCCCGCCTGCAGGATGTTTTATGTTTCAAGGCGGTTTGGCTCGATCGCATCCCTCTGTTTGTTGCAGAGCATGCAAGCTCCGACAGTTCACGCCCGCCGACAGCCTCTCCCTCCTTGGCTAGCACTCCTGTGGTAAGACAAGAGGTCACCACTGCACTCATCATTCGCATTCGCCAAATCCACTTGGATGTAGATCTGGGACAGTCCATCAGCAGTGTGACTCTGGATCTCAGGAGCGCACTTATGCGAATACGCTTCTCCGAGATGTCAACGGAGGTATCGCTCTCAGTGGTAGCAGTCTCCATCCTTGCCAGGGGAAACGTCGCGGGACACATGAATGTGCCAGACTGTGTCTTTCAAACGATCCGCAGGAACGAAGGCGCTTTGCCTGATGATTCAGGGACAGCTAGAATGCTTGAACTCAGCATGACTAGTGGCCCTCTAAGCGCTGAGCTCGAGTCAGACCACCAGCGGCTGTTAATTTACAGGTAATCATCATTGTTATGATCCGCCACATCTTGATCTGACCTTCGAGTATCTTCAGAGCTGATCCCGTGCAAGTGGATATCCACGATGATTGGTCGCTCGTCTCCTCCGCAGACAGAGGACAAGACCGGCCTCTGCTGCTTACATTCGCAGTCAATGGCAAAGAGATCATTGCTCTTGCTACCATCGCAACCTTACCGAAGCTGTTGATGTATGTCAACAAGTTCCAGGCGAATATTGCCGCACAGCGTGACGGCGCGAGCCAGGAATCAGCCGCTTTCCGCGCTACTCAATCGCCCAAGCCTGACAATCCACTTACCGAAGTTGCATCGGCATTTTTCCATTCTGCTCGTAACCGGTTCAAGGAAGCGGACACGGAGCTATCGCATAAAATTCGCCAGCAGTTGAGCTTCCGTCTGGAGACACTTCGCCTGATCCTTTTCCCCCGCACGATGGGTGATACCGAACTCGCGCAGTTTATCGGACGCGATGTACATGCGAGCTTGGAGCGTGTGGTGATAGACGGAAAACCACCTCATAGGGAGATCCGTTTATCATTCACGGCCTTGACAATTTCGAAGTTCACACAGCTTCAGCCACTTCTCCCTTCGACAACAGTAGTGTCCGATGACAAAGCTTGGGTGGATCATTTGTTCAAGAACCCCACAGAGGCTATCATTGTGGGTCTGCCCACAATGAATATGCTGATGTTCACGGACGAGGTACTGGAAGAACTTGGCAAGTACATCGACTACAGGTTTTATAGCTCATTCGTGCGAGGCAAGGGCACCAAGGAGCACGAGGACATCTACATCACGCTCAACGTAGCACTCTATTCCTGGCTAACCAGTCTTCGCAAGAATTTGTCCAGGGAATTAGAACAGGTCCAGGGATCTCAAGACTCGCGTAATACGGCAGCGGGTCCATCGTCGCGCAAAAGAGCCGCGGCTACGGAGCCACCTCCGGGCATGGATATTTCTCAGAACGTGGATGTATCAAGTCTAGTCAGCTCCACATCTAGCCCCTTGGTATCCGGGAAAACTGTGTTGCTGAGCCCAAAACCATCTGTCACAGTTTCGTCTCTGGCGACAACAACGAATCAGTTTTCTTCCACACCCTCAGAACTCTCCACACAGTCATCACTGCCAACTTCCCAAGCCCGTCCCTCACCAGATTCGCTCGACCCTTCTCCGCCGCCTACACTTCCAACCACCACAAAAACCGCCGCCATCGTATACAGGTCTCGTGATCGCCGGATAGAGCGACTCACCATGCGGCAACTTGGAGAAGCTACTCCGGATGTTATGCACCCATTTTTCATGAAGACAGCTGGTTTCAACCTCGAGGACTCTCTTCCACAATACGTTCATGAATATGCCACAATTCCTCTGGAGGAAATCATGGAGGCCCTGCTGAAGTTGTACTCGAAACAGCTCAGAACCGACAAAGGGACAGGTCAAAATTAAATCAGGTTATAACAGGGACATTATAATTGGGACATAGTGGAGACATAATGTAGATTTACCGTACTCCAAGACTAATTCTCTTATTGACTCGATCGTGCAATAGGCATCAGATTGTGTTTCCCAAGGCAAGGAGGTAATATTATGCTGGAGGGTGTGATTCAAGTATCTATCTGGCTGAGCTCCCTGCGCCAACATTAAATACACTCAGTAAACCGAAGCACCCATAGAGAAGTGCGACTGGGTATGCGACAAGAAGACGTTGGTCCGACATCCTTAGCACAGCTACAAATATTCCGGAAGCAGCAAACGTGCACCATATGATGGACAACAAGGACAGGACATAGCCAAGGATGCCGCTACAACAAAATAGGTACTGGTGAGACGATTGAAGACTGGGAGCAAAGTAATGGATCACGCACTCTAATGTAACAACCACGCTGATCGCCCCGACGCCAACCATTGGCAATAAGCAATAGCCTAGCACAGATACTACGCGGTATGCGTCGATGCCATTTTCCGACATGAGGTTTAGTAGCGTGTAGATTGAGACGGAGCCGAGCAATCCAAAGCCATATATGTATCCAAACTGAGGCTTCCCGGACTATTGACGCCAGATGAGACACGTTACCACTGTGTCAAAGAGTGAAACTCACCAGCAGCAGAAGGACTCCAAAACAGAAAAAGAACAAAAGGGGACCAGCGAGGTCTGCGTCATCCATTATACGCTCGTCAACACGTCGTAAGGGATTGAGAACTGTCATAGACTTGGCACGTATATGAGAGAAGTTGATCCCCAGCTCTGTCACGCTCATGATTCTGTCACTCGACAAGACGTCTTAATGAAAATTGCTTACCCTCCAGCAATGGTGGCTCTCCTTCAAAACCACCAGTTCCGAAGGCGGTCCACCACCCTCCCGGTTGTTGCTGAATATTCCCTCCAAATGCTGGAGCAGCACCTCCTTGCCCTATTGGTGCCTGCCCACCTCCCATATTCCCCTCCAGACTCGAACGAGATCCCGGGTAGAACTGCCCCTGGTCTGGTCCAGGCGCGTAGAATTGAAGGGGTACACTTTGTTGCGGGGTTTGACCATAGTATGGGTTATGTGACGACGACGCGCTGTACTGATTGGTAGTGTCTTGCCACATGAAGGTTTGAGTCGTAAAAGAAGAAATCAGAAAGGCTGGAAGGGACGTGCCACGTTTGCGGCTGCGTTGTGCTTGTCACTCGTGTCTGCGCAGTGTGCACGCCAACTTTAGTCTTTCATAGCGCTCCGACGGCAATTGCCGTCGTGTCCAAAGGTTCCTTTCGTCTAAGACAGTCATGGCAAGTTCTTCATTTTCTCATTCGAGACTCTACTAACATCCCCCTGCTCTGCTAACAGCCGCAGGTAAAACATTTTTCGTATCCAATAACTGGCTTTCATATACCAATGTCCAATTCTAGAACGAGTATATCGAGGAACACATAAAACGCCATGGTAGACGATTAGATTACTACGAACGCAAGTGCGTGATTCTTATTATCGTGGCCTTACCTTTCCGTGCTAATGGCCCCGAGTACAGACGTAAAAAAGAGGCTCGTGCTGCCCATAAATCATCAGCAGTAGCCCAGAAAGCCTTCGGTCTTAAGGCCAAGATCCTGCACGCGAAACGTCACGCAGAAAAGGTTCAACTCAAAAAGACCCTCAAAGCTCACGACGAGCGCAATGTCAAGCAGGCCGACACATCTGCCGTTCCAGATGGTGCATTACCTACGTATCTACTTGACCGTGAAGGCCAGAAGGATGCCAAAGCTCTTTCAACCGCAATCAAGCAGAAAAGAAAGGACAAGGCGGCTAAATTTGCGGTTCCATTACCCAAAGTCCGGGGGATTGCGGAGGATGAAATGTTCAAGGTGATGAAGACAGGGAAGAGCAAGAGCAAATCATGGAAGCGGATGGTTACGAAAGCGACATTCGTTGGGGAGGGATTCACCAGAAAACCTGTCAAGATGGAGAGATTTGTTCGTCCTATGGCACTTCGATATAAGAAGGCCAACGTTACCCATCGTAAGTCTCGATATCTTGTTGCATACCAAGCTTGGACCTGACCATCCCTGTAGCGGAGTTAAAAGCCACTTTCCAACTTCAAATTCTTGGGGTCAAGAAGAATCCGCAGTCACCAATGTATACTCAACTCGGAGTTTTGACCAAAGGCACTGTCATCGAGGTCAACGTGTCGGAGCTTGGAATGGTCACGACAGGTGGTAAGGTAGTATTTGGGAAGTATGCTCAGATTACGAATAATCCTGAGAACGATGGGTGCATAAATGCTGTTCTTCGTAAGTTCTTCCACTTGGTTGCAAGCACATCGCCCTAATCGAACTTTGTAGTTGTATGACCTCTGACAATTGCAGTGTCGTATTCAAGAGGTCCCTTCAGTGTTTCAAAAGTAGTTCACTATCACACAAGTAACTCCCTTGCATCGTATGAGGTGCATACGTTTGTTCAGGTTGTACGGATCTCCCTCTATGCGCGTTAGAGCGCAACGCCATGAGAAAATAGCCTTATGGTCTTCATGATACGATAAGTAGTCAGTCTCGCTGTGTGCTTGTATCGTTAAATCACTGGTAGCTTAAATAACGATGGTCGTGTTGCACAAATAAGACGTTGATAAGACATTGTTGTGGTATGTTTACCACTTCTCTTGCCTAGTCGTCCATGTCAACCTCGAACACTCCCGCATCGGCTTCAGATTCCGCCTCACCGGCTCCTGATGCTGCGAGGCGTCATGTACTCACTGCTGTCGAGCGCCAGCGCTCACAACTTGACCGACTCCTCAAAGATCCCTCGAAGCCGGCCTATGTACCTCCTGCACCGAAGGACAAGACTATTCGCCCGGCTCGCGAGATGATGAAGAATGTCCAGGGATCAAGTGCTGGAGCTGGAAGTGGCGAGTTCCATGTATACAAAGCCAGTAGACGCAGAGAATATGAGCGACTGAAGATGATGGAGGATGAAGCGAGAATTGTATGTGGAACAGCTCTGTAAAAATATGTCTCCTGAATGTTTGACAGGAATCTGAAACAGCAGAGTTTGAGAGAAAGCGGAAAGAGGCGGAAGATACAGCTGAAGCCAAGACGGCCAAAAACCGAGCAAAGCGACAAAAGAAGAAGGAAAGGGCAAAAGTCAAACCATCAGAGAAAGGCGACGGCAAGGATGGCGCACAAGAAGCTCCGTTGAAGAAAAGACGATTGGTGAATGGAAAGGAGCTCGTGTTTAGGAAACCTGGGGAGGAGAGCGACGAGGAAGATGCAGACGATGCCACAAATCACAATGAAGTCGGTTTACAGGAAACCCTAGAGGCGGAGGTTCCACCCGAAGAAGCACCCCGAATTGCGCAAGAGCAACGGATAACCTTTCACGAAGATGACTAGGCTCGCTTTCAGCCTGTCTGTGTCCTCAGTTTTCATCAGCTTGGTTTCTGCTCGACGCCAGTCCCTGATATTTGCAAGGACCTCTGCCGCACACCCTTCCAGTCGACACGATCAAGTCATAAGTACATTAATAACGCACTTCAGTATGTACGCAAGTTCCCTCCTTTACATATGTGCTGTTGAACGTCGATTTATTCAATGAAGCGCCTTTTGATTCGCACGGTCCCATCCAATAACCCGCCAGCGATCATTGCGATGTGGGTCGTCAGAGGAGTGATAAAACTTTGCATGATCGTCCAGAGTGATTGCAGAGGAACGCGCGCGAACATTGACGTTTCGGAGTTTGGGAGTTGAACGTTGATCGAGCAGTGCTGCTCGGTTGAAAGCGCTGCTAGTGCTAATGCCTCGTAATCAGCAACCTAGGCTCACACTGCCCATGAGCTAGCTAGTAAGCACCAGCGTCTATCATGCCCACTGAACTTCATCCCTAGTCCCAATATTCCTTCTCGTCCCACCACTCAGCCCGTCGACCGTCTGTAGCATTTGTCATTTTCTTCGTCGCGCTATCATACCTGGAAGCTTGGGGCGATTAACGATCAATCATACTTGAAGATGGGCCACTCCATATGACCTTGGTAATCGTGTGGTGGTCTTGACTCTTCACGCTCCATCTGCGGTAATCCGCATTAAAAATTCTCAAAGTCTCCTTCCACATACCCGCGGGCATTCCATGAAGAAGTCATTAAAGTCATGGAATGAGCTGCTCAACCGCGAGCAAAATTTCGGTAAGCAAAACTCGATATCAGGATATTCGATGGTCAAAGGCATGCACGCATTGAAGAGTCATTGACATAATCGAACTCTATCCAGTATTGTTTAGCACACGGAGGCAAACCCATGGCCGCTATGAGCCTCAGTGGACTAACACCCCGTCAAGGTCAACACCACTGACCGCGACTCGCGAGGGAGCACCCGATTAAGTTTTCCGGTACCTATTTATTCAGTGAACATCTTTGCAGTTCTGCACGTGTAGCTAGCTAGCCAATGCCCTAATTTAAGCGACGAACATTTGTCTCTTAGAAAAGAATCTTCAACTTCACAAGTATTTGCTGTTGATTGTCCGATCAATCTTATCTCTATTTGATCTTTATGGCGCTGGAGCAACATTAATACTAACCTGACCGCTTTCCTACACCATCATCTAGCAAACAGTTTGACCCCTTTGGCTTGCCGAATACTCTGAGTCTTACCGCGAAGAGTCTACAAGCGTACTTGACCTCGATGAGTGAAGCGTTCGAGGACGACTTTGAGATCACTGACGATGTCGACGACCCCGAGATCATCGCGCTGACTGAGTTGGGGACGACTCTCATCCAGGCTATCCTGGAGAAAGAACCTATGTCAAACGTGCAAGATTTAATAGATGCAGGAGCACCCCTGTGGTATCAAGACGAGGAAGGTACTTCAGCTCTGCATGCTGCTGTCTACGTCGAAAACGAGCGGCTTGTGAGGTTACTCATCGAGGAAGGCGCCGTCTGGAACACAGGTGCAGCAGATCTCACCAAAGGAATGCCTCCGTTGACTAAGTAGGACTATAGTCGACAACTTGCAGAATACTGCGGGTGACGTTGCCTTGTCCCTCAACAATGTGGTGTGTTACAACTTAATCCGCGATGCAGGCATCCGATCAGGTACTATTCTTGGTTTCACTTTCGAGGAGTTGCTCATAGATGTCCCAGAGTTGCTTTTGACCTTACTCTCGTCGCAGACATCTCTCAATCCCACCCCGTCAACACTTGTACTTCAAGATGTGGATGACTCCGCAGCTGGGTCGACAGATGCCTTTTTGTCGTCTAAGTTGCGCTACACTCAAGATGCCCATGGCCAGGATATTTGCCTGCTTGAACTTGATGATGGCCAAGAAGTAGGCGTTATGATGGGATGGGAACGGGAGATCAGTAAGTGCAGCCCTGCGAGTGCAGTGTAATGTCGAATGAGGTGGTTTCTCAGTGCAGAAAACTGTGGAGAAATTGTGCCTCGATCACGCAAAGCGGGACCGAGGGTTGAAAGTCCTCAACGTCGGGTTTGGTCTTGGTATCGTGAGGACCGCGCTGAGTTAGCAGCGCAATCTTCTGACGCATGGCACAGATCGATAATTTCTTCCAAAACCTCAGCACACCCCCCGCATTGCATGTGATTGTAGAACCTCACCGTGACGTTCTCGCTCACATGAAAGAACAAGGGTGGTACGACAAGAAGGGGGTGAGCATATTGGAGGGCAAGTGGCAAGACTGCATTGCCAGCGAAGCCCTCCAAGGATTTGGGAAGTTTGATGTTGTCTACACGGATACCTTCTCAGAGAACTATAGCGGTGAGTCAATACCCATCACTAGTAGACAGTGGAATATTAATGTTTTCTTGTTAAGAACTTCATAAATTCTTCAAACATCTACGGGAGCTTCTGGCGAGTCCTGAATCGAGGTTCAGCTTCTTCAATGGTCTAGGCGCAACGAGTGCGTTTATGGTCGAACTTCGTATTCCTGCGAACTAAACATATCTGCAGATGCGCTCTTTTATGACGTGTATACTCGGTTGTCGGAACTGCACCTTTCCGATGCCGGAGTAGATGTTGTCTGGAGTGACGTGGACGTGAGCTCTCAAAAAGATGAAGAGAGATGGGGGGGAACGCGGAAGTACTTCTCTTTGCCAATTTACCGTTTACCGATAGCGCGGCTGAAGGAAATTTAAAACAATAAATTCTTTTATCGCAGTCAAAGGTAGTCAATCCAAGATAATGATCATTTGACAAAACCAGGATGTTACAGACTATGAGCTCGAAAAGACCCGCCAATCTAGATTCACTGCCAGCTGGTAGACCGAGCTTACCGACGATAATGTCTCATCGAAATCTAGGGGCGTGCGCTGATAGGCAAGACTATCCTTTTGTAGAATCCTTATACATGTCTTGTTTGCAACGTTGCTATGCCAGTTTGATAGTCCTCACAATACAGTGCTGAGTGGACAACTCCATCACAACACACCGCCTTGCAATTGCCAAACCAACCGCAGCGCAGCTCCTCAAAACTCAAGTACTCTGACCTGACTCAAGAGCCGGCTCTTACTTTCTATCCCTTTCTCACTCACAAGCAGGCCTTGTAGCAGAATTGACAGGCTCAATCTTGCTTTTCCTCCATCTCACTGATCACGATCTAGTTTGATACAATTTTGTTGCGGGGCCATCTACTGCATTTATCTGAACGTCGCCTTTGCTGATTTCCTTCGAAATGGCATCCAGTCCTCCCAAGTACGATAGCATGATGCAACCTACACTGCCCCTTTGGTCCAGCTCCAAGACCCAGAAGAATGAGGTGATAGTGGTGTGTAGTTCATCCTCTGCCCTCAATGAAGCGATTGATGGATTTCTTCTAGGAACTATCGCGTACTCAACCTCCTCCGCTATTGCCTATCGACTTGCGAGGCTACGTGGGTCCAAAGTTTCATACGTAGGAACCTCACAAAGTGCTCATCACCTGCAACTAGGTTTCTCCCGATAAGTGGGAGACTCGCATACGTGCTGCCACGCGCGTTGCTTCCCGTTATTCCAAGCCAATGCTGGAAAGAACCTGGATGTTCATAGTCCTGATGTAAACCCGTCTCTTCTTTCTCTCTATTTTTCTCTGATATCCCACTTTAGGTTGACGTTCATTGCCCCGCTTGTGGCTTACTACGACACCCTTCATTATCTCAACAATGGACAAGATTTCAACGATGAACAGGAGGATCGTCAAGATGAGTTCATCTGGAAGGCCAGGCTCATCGCCCTTGGTATTATAGTTGGTCTTTGGTTCGTCATGTTTTTGCCCGTTGTCATCTGGAAACATGTGGTGAGCTTGGATCTGTTGTTTTATAACTTCAAGTGTACTGAAATGAAGTCCGGCAAAGGGACGCGTAAAAGTAAATAACATGATTGATTCCTGGTCTAAGGATGATGTCCGGTCTGCCTCTTCTTATGCGGCTATTCCCACCTGGAAAGTCACCATGCCCGGCATGTTCAGGGACGTGATTGTAGGTCATCTTCTACATGCTCATTACTCAACCTCAGTTTCATATTTCTGGGCTTCTTTAGGTTCTAGCTGTCTCCTACCCTGCGCCACCTAGTAACTTTGACTACGAGGCCTACCTTCCTCCAGTAAGCATGCGTATTAATTGTCTATGCTATGTGGCTAAAGATGCACTAGTACATCGCGCCTCCCACTGAGGCTGCGCCGTCATACGAGGTTACCAAACGGTTATCAGGTCTCCAGGGGGATGGTAAATTCGGCGACATTCCACTCTATGAAGACGCCAAGGAGATCGCAGTGTAGAATAGCAACAACAGATACTATAGCTAGCGTCATAAAACTTAGAATGCAGGTCATTCTCGATGATATTGATCGTGGGAAATATGATACTTCGGTCGAGAACTTCGAAGCTCAAGCAAGTCTCCTGAGGTCCTTCCTCCGACAGTAGCTCGTGCAATGACGATCTATAGCTTATATATCTACGATAGGTGAGCAAATTGGCTGGTTGGTCAGTAGATCATGTTGTCCAACCGCCGAGTCAGACACTGCGCATGTGTTTACTATCAGGACTGGCACCGAACCAAGCCGCCAAAGCGAGCCGGAGAAGGAGGTGGCATTTTAAATGCTGTCTCCCAAGCTGTTTCCCCGCTTGCGCCAGACAGTGCAGCTCCTACCCCATCAGCATTTAGCAGTCCCCGAAATACGCTGTCTTCGACATCGGGATTGGTTGTTGCTGTGGGCGAGGATCCTGTAACGCCTTTACAAATCCCGACTGAGCATGCAAGGTCAAATATCCTTCCTTTTGATGAAGAGGCAAAGCTAGTATATGGCGTCATCCTGTCGCTCAGGAACATGGTCAGAAAGATCTCCGGAAGGTATGCATTTACCTGCTTATCCCATCCAATCCTAACCTGATAGCATGTAAAAGAGACGAGCAGTTTACCAGCTACCGCACATCGGTATACAGGCTTCACTTGTATGAAACCGTATCTGGCTACAAGTTCGTCATGTTGAGCGACGCAGCTACTGACGGTCTTCGCTTCGTCCTTCGTCAAATCTATAGCGGCCCTTTCCTCGACTTCGTTGTCCGCAACCCTCTCGTCTCGATGGACTCTCGTTCTCAGGGTATCGACAATGATTATTTCCGTGCTAGTATCGATCGTCTTGTCCGTGGACTCTCAGTTTTTAATTGATCATGATCCGAAAACGGCTCACTCTATCAATATCTACATAACATACCATAATCAAGATGGTAAATAGCAAGCAAAATTACCAATGAATGGAAAGGAAACAGAGCATGTTGATAATCATTAAGAGGACGGTGCGGGTATTTGTCCAGGTCCGGTGGAAGCTCCCTCCTGTCGTTCCAACTGTTTCCTCAACTGACCCATGAGCGACTTCTTGATCTCTTTTTCCTGTTTGCTAGCCCCCTTGTCGCCGTCAGCTTCCTCGCTTTCTCCTGCTACCGCTTCGTCGAGGGCGAGCTTAGTCTCCCCAAGCCTGAGCATATCTTCTTCAATCGTCCCGCGACTGATAAGCTTCACGACATCGACATCTCGCTTCTGTCCAATGCGATAAGCGCGGTCTTGCGCCTGCCGATCATTGTGAGGATTAAAGTCCTGGTCAAACCTACGGAGCATGAGAAATGGTCGCTTGTACATTGATTATATCACTCACATGACAACGACGCTTGCAGCTGTCAAGTTGATACCCATGCCACCTGCCTTCGTCGAAAGGAGGAACACAGGTATCGATGCGTCGTCAGTGAACTCATCCACAAGCGTCTGCCGCACATCTACGGCAGTTGAGCCAGTCAAAATTAGATACTTGATGTCCTTCAGCTTTAAAACCGCTTGAAGAATGTCTAGTATCTGCGTGAACTGTAAGGAATATTGTCAAGTGAGAAACTCTTTACTAAAACATGGGGACCACGAACCTGAGAAAATATCAGAACCTTTCGATCCTCCTTCCCATAATCCTCGAGCAACCGCAATAAAACTGATATCTTTCCAGCATTGAGATAACAATTCTCGTCCTGGAGAAAATTTCTTGTGGACTGCGCAGCGTGAGTACCCTGCATCAATAAAAAAAAGTCTAGCTCCGACCTTATAGCCCTGACAAAATAACTGAAGTTCTGCGTCGGTCATGACTTCCATATCCTCCTTGACGTACTCAAAGACTGCGCCACGCTTCTTGAATTCCGGCTCCTTCAGCAGCTGTTTGGCTATCGAAGACAACGCCTGATCATTATACAGCTTGCGGAATAACATGGGATGCGAGGCTGCCTTGCGCAAATCCATAAGCACGTTGGAGCTGTTTTCCAGGTATTTGTCCTTGACACGGGTATTGGCTTTCGTCTTCTTCTTGACGGCTTTGCCATTCGTGACTGGTGTCGATGTACCAGATGCGTCGGGAGTAGGACCTTCTACATCCAATATCGTTTTGCGTGACCGTTGGAGAGCATCGTTATATATCGATCGCTGTATGTCGGTCATTTCACACCATTCTATCCGTTCGGTTTTTAGGGGAAGGTCCTTAAGAACCTGTCATAACAGAAGGTCATATTTCAAGCATGACTTGCGCGGCAGCGTCATGGACTTGCCTGATCCTTGCGCCGTCGAAGGACAAATGGCGTCATCATTTTCTTAGCTCTTGAAATACGCTCCTGAGACAGCAATGTAACTTTGGCATCACCCTTCGTCTTGAAGATCGCTCGCAAGGTCTCTAGCTTCGCCGAGAGCATATCGGGAAGGATGAAGTTCATCAATGACTAAGAACGTTTGGTTGACGTGAAATCGAACTGAGCAGGTCAAAGTATTAGACTCACCACCAGCTCTTGAAGGTTGTTCTGCAAAGGAGTGCCGGTCAAAAGTAGTCGCCATTTCGCCTCAAATTTGAGCAACGCCTGATAACGTTGAGACTGGAAGTTTTTCAAGACGTGTCCCTCGTCGAAAACGATAGTCTGGACCACGTGTGAAGAACTCGAATGATACAAGGCGCATATGTTGACTTACGTCCCACTCTATTTTTCTGAAGAACTTGCGGTCTCTGTCGTCGCCTTGAGCAAGGTTGTAGGTAGTGATTAACACCTCCCACCCCGTCCCATTCTTGCTTGATCCCCGCTGTGTGTCAATCAGCATCTGTCGCAAGTTTGCCCGCTCCTCTTTTCCGGCATAGAAAGTCTGCACTGATATCGAGGGTGCGAACCGAGCAAACTCTCGACACCAGTTTTCTAGCGTTGATGATCTACAAGAAACGATGTCAAGGGAAACACGCAATCAAGGAACGGGTCAAGCATACGGAACGATGACGAGGTGTGGACCAAAGTTTCCACGTTCTTTGAGCAGAGCGAAGAAGCTGATGACTTGAATGGTCTTTCCGAGACCTGCGTACTCCCGTGAGCGTTCTTGCTTTTCAAACCGAGGGAGGACAAACCCATTTCGTCGGCTAGAATACTACTGTGTCTTTTCCTATAGAGCAGCCACAACCAATTGATGCCAAGAAGTTGATAGTCTTTGAGCGTTATCCCTTCCGCAATAATCGAGGGTTGAGATGAGACGTAGCCCTTGGATGCAGCATCGTTTGAAATTTTCAATGAACGCAGGCTTAATGAGTCTTCCTCGATCTGATCCGGGGCCAGTGATGCTTCCTTTCCTTTGCCCTTGTTTGATGAGTCTTCCGTAGTCCAAGTGGCAATAGCAGCACGTAGCGTTGAACCAATTTTCTCGCACTCTTGAAGGATGCCATCGACAGTGTCATAGCCTGCAAGGATCTCCTGGCAGTCTTCGAACATACGGGGGCTGATTCCGGATGGTCCTGCCTTTTTCTTGCCTTGGTTAAGCTTCGTATTGAGGTCCGTTATTGAAGAATAAGGGCGAAGCTCGATGATCTTTTCGGCTTGCTCTGGGGTACAACCTGTTGTGAACTGAGCAGCTGCGACTTAATAGAGGGAGTAGGGAAGGTGTACCAGTTAATTCTTGAATAGCATCTGCATTGGCCTGGTTGAAATACTCAAACGCTGTCCTTTCCCTGGAAATCTCTCCATTTTGGCTGGCTCGCGGAAGCTCCTCTTCGCTCTCACTAGCTTCGGCCTCGTCGTCAGAGATGATCAACTTCTTTGGTCGCTTGCGGCGTGGGGCTCTAATGGCAGGCGTGGATGGGGATGTAGGCGACATGGCTCTGGGTATGGCGATGTTGGTAACAGCAGGGGATCGCGTGGTATCCAATGTAGCCCTGTTAGCGTAGATGGATGATTTCTTGGCTTTCTCCCGGAGAGCGGCGCGTATGGCTTTGGTAGCTTCATCTACCTCTTCCACTCTCCCAGTCTCGACAGCAGAAGGTTCTGGTGGTGGCATGGATGGTGCTTTAGTAACAGTGGCAGAACTGGATGGAGTCGATGCAGGTGCGGGCTTCCATGACGAATCAGAGAGGAGCAAGGATGCCTTGTTGTCATTCCCTCTGGCTTCGTTCCAAGCAGCCTTGAGGGTGGCCAGGTCACGACCAGGGTGCGACAGCTGGAATACCGTGAACTCATATGAGTCAGCATGGTCTGGGCGCCGAACGATCCGCTTCGAGGGTCCTTCCAGCGACGACCTGACATCCAGCATCGATTCATCTGACGACTGCGACTGCCTTTCTGCGCTCATGTTCTGTTTCCGCCTTTGTCCTGGGCGTTGGATGTCGGGAGAACCAGGGGTTACCATCCCGATTGGTCGAGCGTCGGAGGGTGTTCCGCGATTTATACGCTTCCTCGGTGGACCTTCATCCCCCAAACCATCGACTTCTGATAACGGTCTTACATCTCCCGCCCATGGACGCGACGGACGCGTGAATGACGCGTGAGTAGGGCCACTGTGGACAAACCCACTTGATGAGGACAGGACGTCGGGTACGGTTGAGGGCCCGGATTGACTCCACAGATTGTACTGACCAGGACCGGTCGCTGAGGAGCTGCCTTGTGTGTACTGAAGATGATGTGGTTGATAAGGCTGATGATAGCCTGCATCTGGAAGTAGGGGGCTAGAATTGGGGACAAGGACGATGCCTCGTGACGGAGTCGCGGGGGGATGGTATCGCGCTGGTGCCGTAGCATCTCGAGACTGAGGAGGAGGTACAAAGGAAGGCAAAGCGACGTTGCTGGGTGCTGCTGAAGAGGTAGTGGCTTCAGATCCATCTTTGTTGGGTTTCTTCTGAAACCTTAGTCCGCCAACCGAGCTCGTTTTCTGTGGAAACGACGGGCGCTTTGTGAGAAAACGATATAAAAGCTGAGCTCTCAACTAACTCTACTGTTTGCGACGTCGTCGACAGACATTGACGACGACATACTAAGTTAAATTTTCGAGAAAGGATGAGAAGGACCCGAAGGACCTGTAAGTTGTTGCCTACAAGTTGGTGGGAGACAAAGTGGACGTAGCCAGATAACTCGCAACGTCGGAGAGTCAAAGAATGTGGCACAAGAAAACTATATTTCACTAGGTAATAGACAAGAAAAGCCAATTGGCTGTACAATAGGTAGGTGTAAGGTATGTAAGGACACTGTAGCTGTCGCGTGGATAGCTGTGGATGGGGAGTAGAAGACTTGCATGTCCACCGTGTACATGCTGCGGTAGAAGGTGCATGAATTGGGAGCGAACACGTCCGCCATCGATCATGTCGAAAGAATGAAGCAAGATGTGGTAGTACCAGATGCACGCTGGCCTCTTGATGCAAATAGTTTGATAGTTGCATGCTACGGATTGCGAGAAGTCGACGACAGAAGACAGACAGGTTTAAAAGATTTATTGTCGGATGAACTACATAAGAGTAATGAGCTTGAACGGAGAAGTGACGACGTACGTAGAGAAAGAGTTTAGCATGTAGGTGATGTGCTACACAAATACTCAGAATCGATCAACAGATCAGGAGTAGATCAAGATCGCACACCGAAATGTCCCGGATACCAGGACTCGAATAAAATTCCGACTTAATCGTACCAAGTTCGCAGGGAATACTAACAAATATCTGCTTTGCATAAAAGAGAATGTAAGCCAAGTGAAGGAAAATAAGCCTTGGATCTACTCACATCAGTAGAGGTACAATAATGATGTCCAGATCCAACTGAAAATTTGATATACAAATAAAGGAGGTTACCCTCTGACAGTTTATCATCCACATTAGATATCACGAAAAGCTCACGAGAGGCAAGACAAGTCGTCCTGTAGCCATAGTATATAGAACTTTGCGTCTAGAGGTTCATAGCAACGACAACAACACCTGGGAATTTTCGGAAGAAACCGGACGACGTAGAAAACGAGCCCAACCTATGAGCTCGTTGAAGGAGACTGTCTCAAACATTGTGACAGATCAGCATCGGCAACAGAAGTGAACACGAGTCACTAAAAACGTTGAAAAGAAAAGAAGAAGAAAAACAGTCAAACTAAGCTTAAGCACAGTCAAAACTGGGGATGGGCCAAGATTGAAGGTAACATTGGGTGTGGGAGATGGTGGTAGTTTGAGTTCAAGATGGATAACGCCCAAATTACCACTTTGGCAGTGTCAAAGGCACTTGCCGAACCGCAGGCACTGCGCACGACGCAATGTCAGCAGACTAAACTTTAGTAAACGCTTCCCTCGTCGCTTCCCTCCTTATACTACTGCAACCATCATGCTTAGTTTTTCCGATGTGATATTTGTGCTAGGGACCTTGGGCTTGTCATTGGCAATCTTGGTACCACTAGCTGGCACATTGGTGCGCTTCAGGGCACACTACAACCCAAAGGGTCTGCAACTTGACTCAGAGGGCGGCGTGCAACCCCATACTGGTCCAGTCATCTCATCCTTCTTTGCAATGTTGAGAAGGGTACACAGAATCGAAGTAGGCATTCCCGCATGTTCAGATGAATATCGTTCTGACTGTGCAACGTTCTTAGGGTTGGCTAGGACTATACAAGGGATTGAGTATGTTCCCAATAATAATCATACCATCATGCGACATCTGACACGTGTTGCCCAGTGCCTTCGTTGTTGTCAAGTCTCGTCATCACCTTCTTCTTGGTAATTTTCTTGAGTGACAGTAACCTTCGCCACGGAACATACAGCGCCCCTGATGCTGGCGCCGTCGGCATACTCTTCTATAGTATTTTTGCCATGCTTGTATCTCTTCCGCAGGTAATCATCACGAACCGGTTAGTTCATTTCATTCAGCTCATTGTCGACGACCTTCAAACTTAATTTATTAACTCGGTTTAGCGCAATAACCACACCCCATAAGCTGCCGTACTTGAACGCAATTTACTCACTCCGTGTTCTCCTGACACCCACTGAGCGCCGGAAACCTTGGATTCTTTATCTCACGCCTGGTCTCCTAGCCGTTCAAGTGGCTCACATCGCCTACGTCGTTCTCGGTCTGCGGACCATCCGGCAGCTCCTTCTCCCAGGACTCGCCAATCCAGGCTTTCCCAACCGAGATGAGATCTCTCCCGTCAAGGCCACCATCTTCTTGGTCATCGCGCTTCTGAGCACAGCCATTCTTACCCCCTTGGAAGTCATTGCCATCAGGCTTTCTATCCAACGGAACCACGCAGCCCCTGAATTCAACTCCATCTCACAGGAAGAGGATGGCGACGCCGAGGAAGCAACGGAGTACGCCGGTGCTGACGAGGATGTCATTGGGTATGTGACATCATCTTTTTGGTCCGAGTTCCCCAAGTTAACGTTTCATAAATGTAGCCTGAGAACCGAGAGGGAGCCGTACATCGGCTTGGTTGATTGTGCGAAGAGGATTATCGAAGAGGAAGGCTGGAGCGCGCTTTATCGTGCATGGTGGTTGACGACGTTGGGCAGCCTGAGCGGCGCACTTTCATAAAGATTCTCATTTCTGATCCATGCCGACTTTCCACAACGGACCGTATCTCGGATCGCGAAGACGACGTTCGAATCGGAACACACTCTGTATTAACGTTGTACTTAGCCGCCGCCCATTAATTCATCTGACAGTTGCCTGCATCATGTTCAATGTACGTACGTCGTGCGTGAGATGGCCGAGTGCGGCATCGTCTGATTGATCTCCTGCGCAACTCTTGCGTACGAAACTGTCTACTCAATGTGCCGAACTATTAAGAATGTAATGGACGCGACCGAGTATTCATCTGGATTGGCAGTGTGCATTAATGAGAACGATTACAAATTAACTTGTCTACCTAGTGCAGAAAGGGGCGGTCCCGTAATGCACGACTCTGTACTGTCGCTTCTTAATTGACACTTCAAGCGAGTGCTTTCCAAGAGACCCTACCATTTTATAATGGTAGGACTTCCTCTTGATTGATGGCGGAACTTCGAAACGTTTCTCTCACGTAGTACTGTCCTCGATCTTCGCACCAACATTCGCACAGTGATACAAGCCAGCGTGATAATACCGCTTCACGTTGAATTATGTAGGCCAGAGACTTCGCCAACATAGTAACTATTACTATAACTCGCATTACCTTATTGCACGACCGTAGGTGTGACAAGAACAAATGTCCTACCCATCAAGCTGACCCATCTCCCTGCTCGACTACTCCAAGCGTGCCGTTGTCAGCCGTATGTGATGAAGCCGCGGTGTCCGACGTAGCAACAGAAGAAGGCTGTCCTCCTGTCGTCGAACTAGTATTCCCTTGCCCAGAAGACACACCCCTCGACATCATAGTATTCAATAAATATGCCAACCCGCTCACTTGCGGTGACTGTAGCAGCGACACATTTATCTCTAGACTCAAAATTGTTCCATTGGAAGTAGACCCTCGTAGCACAGCTGCTGGCTGTGGCTGATCTGGAGGCGGGAGCGACGCAGCGGGGATAGGCACTATTCCGAGAGCATGAAGGGAGGACAACGAACTAACGGGTAGCTGTACTGGAATTGCACCAGAAGTCGATGTCGTAGTGGTAGCGGCTGAAGCAGTTGATGAGGGCGTCGAGTAAAAACTCGACGTTGTAGTCCCTTGAGAGGTATTGGTATATGGTTGAGTGAATGCGTATGGGTACGTGCGATAGTACTGGGCTTGGGAGGCTTGAGGATAATAGGCTGGGCGAAAGGAACTGACGGTAACATTTGCCGCGACGCGTTTTTCACGTTGTGACGCGTCCAGTTCGTTCCGTGCGTTGCGTAACTCGGTGCTGACAGATGAGGTTTCTGCCCGTTCGTACTCTACTACAGCTTGAGTCAGCACGTATGATTGATCGTCTGGCGAAGGTCGCTAAGGATCACATAGTATAGAGTCAGCGAAAAGAGCAGCGGCTGCATGGAAAAAACAAACCACGCCGGACTTCATTTTAGCGCGTCGGAACCGCGCCTGAAGTTTTCTCAGTCGACGGTGACATTCCAGTGCAAATTGAGTGTCTATATGACAAGCAAAATAAGACATTCCGCCACCGTGATGTAAGATACAGTGCTGTCCTACCTTCAATTTCATCCCGGATGACATCGTGGGCCTTCCCCTTCCCTTTCGCACGTCTCCTTTCAGTGACAGTCCTTAGGTCTTCTTGAGGTTGTTGAAAGACGTGATATGGAAGAAGCCGATGAACAACATCCACTGCATCAACAAAAGGAGAATCCACGTCAGGATTCAGTACCGCTGCGTGATCAGCAGCAAGGCACGAAGCAAAACTGTCCAGTGCATCAGTAAAAGCCATGCCATGAACTCCAAGACGTACCCCTCCGCAGTTTCCCTTATGATATGCAGATCCTCGGCGGTTCGATTGTGCAGATAGCTCACCAGACTGGATGCTGTATTACTGATAGATCCGTTTACGGTGGGAGTGTGTAGGGATGATAGACCTGCGACGGGGTCCTGCGATGAAGAAGAGGAAAAACTTTGAGGTGGCGGATCATTTGGTGACCATGTAGCCGTGCTGGATGACTGTTCGACTGGTTTCAGAGAGAAGCTATGCGCAGCAAAAGAGGTCTGCGCATTCAACATTTTCTTGACTTTGTTGTGTTTGTGATGCTTTGCCTTGTGACAATCCCCGTGACCGCGCGAACAGGAGAATTTAGGGCAAGCCTCTTCGAGGAGTACGGTATTCAATTTTCGTTTTAAAAAACATTACAGGTAGGTACTCTCGATACTTCAACGGTCAAAATTTTCCTCAGCAATTGAGATGGGTGGCCGTGTGATGAGTACAGATTTTAGCTTCTTCAGCCAATCAGACGCCTGAGCAACTTCTTCAGCATTGCTATTTGCAACACGTTCCAGGTAATCCTTGGCAAGCAGTAAATCCCCTCCCGCAATCATCATGTGGTGGCGGGCGACAAATATACTCGACTTGGCATAGTCTTGGACAGGTCGTTCTACAGGACTGAGGTGAGTTGGTGTAAACTTGGAGAACAAGAACGAACCTTCGATGCGACATATTTCCACAACCCGTCGGTGGTAGGCTGCGGCCTCCGCTTGCTCCTCCAGCTCTTCATGCAATTTGGCCAGTTTCAAGTGAATGGTGGTCTCACGAGGGTCAGCACCAAGCAAAGCACGCTTCAGACATTCAACGGCCTCCTTTAGCCTGTGGGTATTGTACCTCTATTAGCGGCCCCTTTTTCAAGGAAAGGAAAAAAAAACGGACCTGCCGATTTCTTCGTAACAAGCACCTTGGGCTTGCCACAGGCGGACATCATATGGCCTTGGTAAAATGTTGACTTCTCACAAATAAAATAGGACATCTCAGAAGCTGACCTGAGAGCGGTCGCGTGCTGATAGTAATAAAGCGCATATCGGTGCATGCTTAGCAATTCATAAGCCTGGCCTAGACCGTACCACGCCCTGTAGTCTTTCCGATTCACATCTCGAAGACGACATATAATTAGCATTCAACCGGTTTGATATTTCACGCATCGGAGGGACACATACCAACTGCTCGACGATAGGCTTCGATGGCGGCGTGCGAATTCTTCATTTCAACGTACTCATGGCCCATCAATGTCCACGCAGACAAATAAGTTCGATCCAGCTCGGTCGCCCGTCTGAAATATTTGACCGCTTTCTCGTGCTCTGCACGAAGGGAATAATGATTTCCTGCGTTCCGAAGGTCAACATACATGAGCATTTGCGACTTTATGTCACGACTGACCAACCAAGCAGCACACTTCCTGGCCGATCTTTGTCGAGTTCGAGAAATTCATGCGCTAGCCTAGAAAGCTTCAGCCGATTGTCGGTAACATAGAGTATGTTGGAGTAGACGTCGATATCGTCGAAACGGTACGGAGCAATCGCCAGGATTTTTTCGAACTGTTTTTCTGCCTGTCCGAAGTCTTTTTCATCATAATCATATAAAGCACTTGTCCAAAGGCAAAGGACCGACCATGTAAATGGTATAAGGCACAAGCCCGTAGACTCATGACCCAAGTACTGTCGCGGAAACAGTCATCCCCAAGAAGACGATCGCACATGGCCAGCTCGTTTTCTGATGGACTGTGGAGTTCGTTCATCGTTCGAATTTGAAACATTATAATGAGGGGATGAGTTGCAGGAAGAGGCAACAACGGAAGGAGTGCTGATAACTGATAGTAGTCAAAAAAAAACGGAAAGCTCTGACATGCTCTCTACCAACCTCATCGCCATCGCCAACACAGCTGCACAAGAGGGTCCATACTGACCAGTTCCAGTGGTAACCACTGATGGACCGTATAATACTTTCAATGGCTTCCTCTCGACGGTTGAGCCGTGATAAGAACACAGCTTTCCTAAAATAAAAAATGGAACCAAAGATTCTATGGAGATGGCACGAGGAGCCTGCGGTCGTGAACTTACAGGAAAAGAAGCCAAGGATCTGTGGCGTTCTTGACCCTTTCTAGAAGAGTTGGAAGCAGACGATTTATGGGAACGGGGGGTTGACCCCGAGTATCTACCAAGATGTTTCTAAAGGCAATGGAGAGCATATGAATATAGACCCACTATTTTGTCTGTACCAATCTCGCTGCGCCTTGCGTTCTGCAGCCTTCATAACCATGTCAGTTGTTGTCGGAGGACATGACTTGCGTGACAAACCAAAAAGCAACTATAAAGGTAGATAAATCGTGCTTTGGCACTCTTGCAATTCTTTACGGTGAATTCGACCCTTGTGAACTCTTTCGCTGCCATGAAAGCCTGGGCAGCAAATAAGGCAGCTTCATCCTGTGCTTCCCACTCAGTTTCTTGAGCACGGACATCAGGGGAGTGTGGCAGAAGATGGGTCTGGTTTCCAGGAGTAACAGGGATACATAGTGCAGCGGCGGAATCAAGTGATGGATCCACAAAGGACAATGGGGGTCTAGGAGAGCGAGAGCGGGCGGGAGTAGATGTCGAGAAAGTGGCGAATGCTTCGGAAATCAAAGTGTCGCGTTTGTTTGAAGGAATGGCGTAATAGAGTTCAGAAGACCTAAGAAAATTCTGAAGTTCAGCCACCCGACTATCAGCTTGAAAAACGATACCATTTGGATGCAACTGTCAGGCCTCTTTCTGCGCAATCTTGAATCGATTGCCGCAAGTCAGTAACAAGTCTAGCATCCATCAGAGGTACTGAGGATGACATGATGACGTCGGCCGACGTTGATTCGGTTAAAAGACGTGATGAATGATAAATGTGTAAGCTGAAACCGACGGTCCGACTGGCAGCCAGAAGGCAGCGAAGGAGTAAGTTTTAGCTCCTTACGGAACAGATATGCGGGATGTGACAGATGTAGAAGATCAGAAAGAAAAAAGCCAAGACCAAACTCAAAATGCAAGTTTGGATCTAATCGGAGCCTGTCAGAGGTGGTTTCTGGAACGCGAAGGCGGGAATTTTGGATGAACTTGAAGGATATGCCTGCTCCCACTTAGAGGTAGTTGAAGTAAGTACTTTACGCGGCATATCGCGTATCCCACGCTTTTGGTAATTAACAAACTAAGAACATGACAGTCTCTTTGTATAGTATAATCAGATCCTTATACTGCAGGCTTGACAGGTCAAAGAACCTGTTCGCAATCCTGACAGACATCTATTCGAACCTTCCTCAGTTCAAAGTTCAACCTAGTAGAATCAGAAGTGGCGCCACGATGTCCAGCTACACAGCAATCATCTTGTTAATCATCCTGTTCTTCTGTGTCAGGCTATTTTCTACCGTATTTTCTTCCAGACCTCGCAAGCTCGCCACAAAACCTCTACAACCATGCAGCGTCGCCATTTTTCTCGGTTCAGGTAAATCCGATTATTTCTTTTGTACCGGTCCTCCCGGACAGCTTGACCCTGTCGATTTTAGGGGGGCATACCGGTGAAGCATTGAAGCTGGTTTCCGCACTTGATTTTAGCCGCTACACCCCACGGACTTACATCATCAGCGAAGGTGACGTCTTAAGCGCACGGAAAGCTCTCGCATTGGAGCACCTCAAGGCCACTCAAGATGTTTTCTCCGACGTACGAAATTTATCCCGCGTTTCAAATCCCCATCTGATTCGTTTCAGATAGGATCATTTCATTCCACCGCCGTATAAACTCTTGACCATTCCCCGTGCGCGCCGCGTCCATCAGTCGTTGCTTAGCACACCGCCAGATGCTGTCAAATCACTACTAGCCTGCATTTATCTCCTCTCGGTTCGCCCGTTGTTCAAGAAAGGTCCTTTCCGGCACCCGTTCGCGGACCTTCTGATCCTCAATGGTCCCGGAACATGTGTCTTTTTATGTGCAGCGATTCTTCTCAATAGGGCAAGTTCTAGATTTCTTTCAAGCCATCACTTGCATAATCTTGATCTGTGATGCAAATCAGCTTATCGGACTACCTAGTCCACGGGTTATGTACATTGAATCTTTCGCCCGTGTCAAATCTCTCTCACTTTCTGGAAAGCTGCTCTATCATTTTGCCGATCGGTGAGATTGACATCTCATATACAGGGAAATTAACTTATCCGCTTTCCAGTTTCGTAGTCCAGTGGCCAGATCTTGTGCAGCCCTGGCGGTCGAGAAGATTATCGTGGATGCCTTGTATGATTTTTACACGGAACCACAATTGTTATTTGATCGATCGGCGCACATTGTTTGCATTTCACTGATTAAGTCACACGTCCTCACTGAGTACTCGGCTTTGAGGCTAAGCCCAAACACTGCATTTACGTTGTGTATACAGCCTTAGTCGTCGGGGGTTTTCCAACTCGCTTGGCAGGCCGCAGCATTCATATCTATTCGTGACCACGTTGACCTTCAAGGCGTTTCTGTGAGAACTCTTGGGTACCACAATGATGAAATGGAGTACAACTAGATTCACATCGTGTCCACAAGATGAACAATTAAGCTAAACCCAACCGAGGTGCCGTGAGGCCATTTGGCCGTGACCACACTGGACAGGTATGTGGGGTAGAAACTTCTACTTCCTTGTCCAACGATCTTCTCCATTACTTCCACCCCTTCTGGATGGGCTGGCGCTCCTGGCGCGGCCGCCCTCCCTTCTGCTCGGTTCCCACCCTCCTCCACCGCCTTCGGTCTTGGAAGGATGAAGTCTCCTTTCTAGTCTTTGTCCTGCGCGGAGAGACGAAACTAGGTCTTTTGAGGCGAGGCGGAGATGCATGAAATTACAAAAACCACCACGGTTACATTCACCATTCTCGTTCTGGCGGCAACATGCCTCCCGGAAGTCCGTGACAGGGGAGAGTTCCGCGTATAGCGGGCGTCCTAATAGGCGAAAGTTAGGTAGGTACCCGGGTCATAAAGAATTCCATGCCCACCTGCATACCACCGATCATTCAAATTGTCTACAGCTGCCTGTGCCTCCGTTTCCCACTCGTACCGAGCGTAAACATTACCGATTAAATGGTCCCCGACATTGTCGCAAACCTAATGGAGTAGAAATGCCACGAAGGTGTTAGATTAAGGACAGGTACTCACATGTAATTCCAACAAGTGTCCAAACTTTGCTAATTCGCAGTACAAATCTTCATACACAGCATCAAATCCTTCTTGGAGCTCGGCTTCGGTGAGCTTGCAAATAGGATCATGGGCGGGGTTATGGTACACGTTTGGAAGTAAGATCGTTTGCGAAAAGGGTGGCCTTATGTGCTTTCTTGAGCATCTGTCGCCGTGTCTGCAAGCACCAATCTAACCATTGGTCGTGAATTGGGCGACTTCTGGGCAAAAGCAAATCACGCGTACCTTGTAGTAGAAAGAGCAATTTACACGATCTTGCTCTGTTCCGAAGATGTTTGCCTGGTAAACGATATTCAATGATGTAACTAACCACAATAAATGATTGACGCTCACCAAGTGAGATGCCATGTTCGATGATACAATTCCGAGCCGCGAAGCAGTGTAGTACTAGTTCGTTGGAAGGAACTTTTGACGAGCACAACAACAGAGACAAACTAAGATCGCGGAGTCCCAATATGTCCTGGATGAGTAAGCATAGTGAATTTAGTAAGTATGTATGTTCTCGAGGTGACACAAGTAAGTACCACCAAGAGGAGTACAGCACAAGGCGAACGGTTGATTTGGCACAGCTGATCACATTTGAACTTATGTCACCAGTACATTTGAGCTCGTACAATTATCGTGAGTGCATAACCGCATCAACATTTATTCTATCTTGTTCCCCAGATTTCTGGGTGATTTTGCGGCTCAAGAAGGTATGGGCTTCTTCCGCTAGGCGGCACCGAGCGCTGCACAACTTATTGCCCTCTTTGACATGGAAATTTTAATTTATTAATCACATCCGAGGATTTCCACCAATTGTCTGTACCCAACTCGACAGCCAGTTGACCTTACTTGACGTTTTATGCCTTTTCTAATTCTAGGGTAGGGCACGTTTATCTTTTCTGATTGGAACTTGCGCTCTCCGGGGCCCAAGAAAACTAATGAGCTTCTTTACCAAAGCGGACTTCCTGCTTCGCATATGCCTGACTGATGGAAGGTCCATAAAGGGAGCTCCTAGCGGTGTTGCGCCTGATGAAGAGAATCTGATATCAGAAGATACAAACCAGAGTTTCAGACCTGTGTCCTCAACAAAGACGATCAGCATAGGCGTCTCCTTTGAGCGCAAGGCTTCACAGCCCGTTTACAAGACCATTTCTCTTCCAGAAGAAGTGTGGGTTCAGGGACTTCCTGACGGCCCACGACGTGATCGATTAGTGTGTGGGAGCACAGTTCTAACGAGTTAACAAGCAAACCAAATACTCTATGATTGCTTGAAACAAACTGTAGCTGACACTTGCCATTTTAGAACAACGTCAAAAGTTTAAAATTGCAGGGCGTTCCTGTTAATAGATCACCACTAGATTGCTTATCAGGAGGCTCTGAAAATCCGGCATTCGCTTTGAGTCATATTGTTTTATTGGCGGAGAGGGGGTCTCATAAGACCGACCGTGTGGTATGTGAATAGCTCCTAGGGAACAAGCATGTATCTCGCACGTGGAATGTGATAAGCTTGATACGGAGGAATTCCAGAGATCGTATTGCTCGTCAGTATTTTGTACAATGCCCATTACTACCAATCCACACAGTACGTAGGAAGCGGTCACAATTTTACACGCAGAGGAACACAACCAAGAAAATGAACAGATCAAATAATGTAACTGCAGTCTAAAGCCTACAACAAGAAAAATCATTCCTCCAAGTCAGCCACGTCGTGAAGGCTCCCATGACATGAAAGAGTCTTCACAAGCAGAGGATGAATCCGACACAGATGACATAATGTCCCAGGAGCGAATTCCTTGCAGAGTCTGTGGAGAGACTGTCGAGGTAGGTATAGTGCGGCCCGATGCTGTACTAAAAGTAGACGATGGTGGAATGCATTTATGGGAGAGCGGACGTTGTTGAGGGGATATTTGATTCATATCGTTAGGCGATGTAGCAATATTGCCTAGTGTCGTCCTGTCGAATGATGATAAGTTGATGTAGAAAAGTAACCATGGGCAAACTCACGTAGCAAGAGTGTCAAGTTCCATAACACGTTGATTAAGGGCACAATTACCAGATCCAAGATGGTGATACGCTGATCGGTTCAGAATGTCCGCAGCTTTACGCAAGCGCAGAGAAAGCTCGAGCACTACATTGTAGCTCGATCCTTCAGTCAAACAGCCACAATGACCGTCTGCGGGAGCATCGTAACGGTGTTTAGACATGCAGGTGTCGTCAAGATGATCGTTAATAGCATCGCCTCCAAGAGCGTTGTGTCCCAGGCTATCTTCACACCCTATCAAACCAGGATAGGACATGAAGATAGAAGTAAAGTCGAATTCTCCGGTGAGCGGTTGCTCACCCGCAATGAGAACCTGAGTTCGCGCGTACTCATCAGTCGGCGTCATTAGAGAAGGAGATGGTGTGCTTAAGGGAGATGATACGGCACTGAAGTAAGGAGAGTATGATGGTGATGAGTGTGTCAAGTCGGGAGGTGGTTGAGAAAATGTCAAGGTAGGATGCGCATGTGTGGGGGAGGGACGTGACTCGTCCCTAGGGCCTGAATCTGAACCAGCTGAGCGAGGTGGAGACACGTTGGATGAAGAGGTGCTTTTTATCTCGTTTTGATGTTCGGTCTGCTCAGCAACCGAACGAGACTGAGAGCGGGCATGCCACTTCTCAAATTCTACTTCTGGGGTAGAACCGGCCTGGACCCAACGAGGGTGAGGCTTGTTCTTTAACTGTTGTGGATATTGAGCTTTCAAGTCTTTCTTGCGACGTGATCAAACAAACCTCGCGTATCACTCCTTCGAGCTCGGCAACTCGTTGCCGAAGGCGCGAACTCTCGTCTTGAACATCGGTTCGTTGGGAAGGATCATCCACTTCGTAGACACAAAGGCCAGTCTATTAAATACTTGCCATCAGATAATAGTAACTCATGCTCTGTGAAAAGGTCCTTACCAGACCTAGTTGTGTGCAACGGCCACAAGGACGCTTCCGGTCGCACTATTGTATAGTATAGGCTTAGAATTCCTCCTAGGATGGAGGAAAATTTTACGTACCATTCTCTTAGATGTGTGACAGTTAAGGCAGGACTGAGTCGTACGATTGCGTCTACGCTTGCGGTGGTCTCCCTCAGAAGCTGGGGTGGCGGCTTCTGAGGTAGTCCGCTTTTTGCGAATAGCCTTGAGTTCTGTGGTCATGTTAGAAGTTGGGGGATTCTTGCTCCATGAAGATGATGAGATGTGAGATATTTGTAGTTGCTCAGATCACCGCATTTGCTTGGCATCCGGGAAAGCGAGAACTTAGCCATTGACGCAAATCGCAATAGATACCGGTACAAGTACAGCGACATGGAGCGGAAGCAGAATCTGATAAGGTCAGTCAGGGAAAACAAACGAGACGGGAAGGAAATCGGCGCAGCGCTAATCTTCCCATCAACTTGGAAACATCAGAACACGAACCAACCACAAAAGGACGTGAGAGCATTAAGAACGACTGTATGTAGCATACGTGGTAACGTTAACCGCTCATCACTGTTTGAAGCAGATTGGAGCAAGAAAAAGGCCTAAGTCCGATCCGAAGACTTGGCTTTCGGGCATTCAAATATCCGTATGACAACATTGTCAAGTCATTAATACCCAGGACGGGTAGCTTCGTCGGTCGATTGCAAGCTTGTTCAACGTTCACCCACTTTGCTTCCTCAGCGTGATTAGCGACAATTCTTTACACACGCTTGCACGCCGTGCGTACGACTAGCCTGACGTCGGTAAGACGCGGTACTATGTTAGCTTTCTTTGAGAGTCCCCGAGGACAGGCTTAGTGCTTATTGTTAGCCACATTAATATTTCCTCTGTGGAAAAAATACACCCTCGTCGGCAGGTGGTACTGACAACATGTGATGGTAGTACCAACGCGAGAGCTCCGAAACTAACTATGTAATAAGTTGCGACCTACTAGCTCGAATTCAACCCGTCATGGACTTGCCCAAATATGATCACTATGAGCATTGAACTCGGGTTAGGATCTTTCCCCGATCATCGGGTGTCGTTTAACGTCAAACCAATAGGTCCAAGTATGGGATGTTCAACCGGTGGGAATAATTCTATTTGGCAGCCCCGAGGTGCGCCCAGCATTGGACCTTGTATTGCTTGGTATTTTTGTCATCGTTGCAAAATTGATTGGCTGAATGGTCTCGAGTAATAACCTCCCAACCCTTCCATTCACGACCTTATGCGCCGACCAATAAGAACAGGGTACGTGTTTTAGTATCTATATGATGCAAACAAAAAGAAATGGTGCGTACGATTTTTCAAGTTGAGTCAGACGGCTTCATAATGCCTATCAAGTTGTGCTGAGACTCTGACGTGAGAATTGTTCTATAGGATTACCGGCCAAAGCACCTTGATCCCCACTCTGCTTGCCCGCAACAAATTCTATCAAAAGTATTTGACCTTTCCCAAGTTCAACATGTGAGTTTGACATATGTGACACCGGACATTTCCTTGTAAATCACGTGTGGAAGTTCAGCGTTCATTTTTTATGTCTTAAAGCGAATGCCTCCTCGGAGCGGAGGCTATTTTGTTGCAACTACGACGACCATTTTCATTTTCAGGAGACATAACAGATATAGATCAGTTGTGATAACGCTGGATTGCTCTGACATCAGTGCCTTATGTTACTAGGGTCGGGCGTTGCCGACATACACCTTGCTTCCATGCAGACGTTAAAATGTGAGCTTGGAAACCCCGAATCTTCAGCGCGATGCTCAAAAGAAGTCATAGTATGATAGTACTTGCAGAGGAACTCGCAACAGTGAACAGCGATCAAGTAGCGATGGTCGAATAATTGTTAACGACCAATTAGTATTATGTCACGTTGCCACAAAGTTGTTAATATTGTCCCCGAGGCAAGTACCAAGGTGACTTTGGATTGTTCAACATCCTACATCAATCCTACATGGCATCCAGACTCTTCAACGTCGTATCATGGGTTTTCTTTGATTGAAATGATCTGCAGTGCAAATTGCCTGAGGCATACCCCACTCTGTGAGCCCTATCAATCGTCTATCCCAGCCCCCTCGCTAAAATAGCTTTGTTTTAAAATACGAAATGTCTCCGCGGGGACCTTAAGCGTCGCGCTTGCACCGCATGCGTCAATCAAGAGACTATTGGGTGTTACAGACTTCGCGACACACATGATTGGACTTAACAGGTGCTGAATTTAGAAAACTAAAATAATCAATGTTACTGCACATCCCCGCATCACGCATGTCACCGACAGGGGACAGGAAAATGTCAGGACCTCCCACGCAAGCCAGTAATCATTGTGAATCCCTTGATCGCGCGACTATCGCGGCCTATGTCTTTGTTGTCGCCGACAATTTATAAATGCCTCCATAACGCTTTCAGCAGCTCGCTCGCCATCATCTTCGGGGTATGATAGACAGATAATATCATAAGAGACGCAGCGCCCAGACTCTCGACGCGGAATTTTGATCGGTGAGCCTTCAGCTAGTACCGAAGAAGCAGACACATGGATTATGTCGGATATTCTTTTCCAGCATGATAATGCTAAATAGTCAGAACTGATGATCAATGTCAGTCAGTATAAACACAAGTTTATGAATAGGATGATTTTACCAGGGTCCGGTTGGCGTTATAACATACGCTTACCTATTCTCGAATGAAGATTTGCAACATGACCACACGAGGTGTTATATTGCAGGTGCTTCTTCTCTGTTATCATCTGCATTGCCAGAAATTTGATATCGTTCAGGTGATCGAAGGACTGCGTGAACATTTCGCAGCGACACGAAAAGACCGTGCATGGATGCGAAGTTCCGCATGTCGTCCGTTCATGGCCACCGATTTGTTATTGGTAATCCTATTTGTTCTTTCGGTGTGCCTATAGGGTGCTCCTTGCACCGTCCGTCTGAGGACGTATAGCAACTCATCAACCATCAGCTTTTTGCCGATGATCTCTTAGACTCACAGAAAGCTAACATCACTCGTGGTTCACAGTAATGACCTGCGTCAACTGTGTCCATGCCTCCGTGAATGCCGCAGAACTCTCCGCATCCAAGCGAGTGCCACTAGATATTGCCGATCATCCGCGCAGGTTTTCCCGCCACCACGAACAGGACTAGATCGGGATTTTAAACAAAAACCCACTTCCTGCGCTAGTGTACATTTGCTAGCTTGAACGCAGTAATCAGCGCTCGCTTGTTGCACTTACCTGGGATGTAGATCACACCTCTGGAACAGTAACCCCCGGCTAAAACGCCTCATTCAGTAGGGGGACTATGGATGTAGATTTGAAAACAAGGTTTTTGCCAAGCTCCTTCAATCACGCGTGAATTTTTCGAACTTCATCTGAATCCCCCACAAATACAATGCTATTCATCACTAGAAGCCAATAACCATCGGCAAGGGAGTAACGAGCGAACAGTGAGATGAGTCGCGGCGTCCGCGTCTTTCGATGATGCCGAGTCTTCTACCGCGAACGGCGGATATTGAAATATTTATGTGTAGCTAACCCTGAATTCGTTGTGCGCGTTTCGTCTTCCGATGTCCACCCACTCGCAAGGCTGATCATTGATGTTTACCAATGACATGTGGGATTCCGGCGGCTGGTGTGTGAGGGGAATAAGGTTTCGCCAAGTCCGACAGTCATCACGCTCGAAGCGCTGGAAAGGAGCCTGTGTTTCCGCCGAATGTAGCTTCCTGAGTATCTCTGAGTAAGCTTAAATATTAATCAATGTAAGCAAACCAAGTACTCTTACCAAACTTCAGGCCTCAGGAGCCCTCCCAGGCCCTCCCGCGGGCTAAATTCGGAGCAAATTATATCACACAGTATTGACTTGGTACCCACTGTTGTATATATGGATCAGCTCCCGGAAACTGCGTCAATCACTGTTCTAAGCAAGCGGTTGTGGCCGCCGGCCCATTGTATAGGCTTCACGCAGGAACCCGAAAGATGGCTACTTAGTAGCAGGCACTCCAAGGCACTCCAGCTCTCATCGCTTCGCATATCCCGTTTGATCGGTATATCATGGTGATCTTTGGCTTGGCATACTTTGGCTTGGCATATCTTAATGGTTACACTTTCCGGCGGAAGCTTAACGCATCGAGCTAAGATCGATTTCGAAGTGGTGGCACAATCCTTATCTTGGCCCATCAATATAATCCTATCTGAGAGCGAGATAGGAGAATAGGAGTAAGTAAGAGTGCAGACCGCAAATTCAAATCAGCTACATAGTATACATAGTCTTGATGCTGCGATGAACCCTCAGTTACCAGACACATGGTTAGCCGAACGAAGAAAAATGGCCGTTCTCAAGGACTTCTTCGAAATTGACCCAGCGTCTCGCCGGAGATCTCTGGATCATGGAGGAAGGTCGGTGAAATGACGCGAGAACAGAAGCGGCAGAGTTCCCAATAATTGTTGATATGATTACGCCCGCAGCACAAGGGCCGCGGCGGTGTGCCTGCGGTCACCCCAAAGTGAACTTGCCTTTTTGACTTGATTGGACAGGCCTCTGGACATCGTTGCAGGGAACCTCCACAGTCTCTTTAACGTTAGAAAGTAACCGGGAGTCGGGACCGATTTGCAAACACGACATATTCTCAGGCACTGTCGACGAAAGGTGTTATTAGAGTGATGATTAAATAGGTCAATCTGCAAAAATACCCGTGGATTAGCACGATGGCGTACACAAAGTTCAGCTACCTCCGATAAGCCGGGACGTCCCATTTAAGTGCGTACTTTGATATCCAGCAAAATTGGAATAGTAGTAAACTGATTGAAATGACCGATCGACGAACGAAAGCGGACCTCAAGACACAGACAGCCAGTGAGGTAGTTGTTTGTGAAGTTCAGGAGACTGGGAAATGGCTAACATGGTCCCGTAGATATCAACCATATGCATGCAATTGGTAGAAGGAAAGTATACGTAAGGCGAGCGACCATCACAGGTTCCATCCACTGGCTTGTTGAGTTGGGACTACCCCAGCCCTGCTGAGCAGATGCCCCCCAGCCACTACCAGACGCTGCATTCGGACTCGAGGCACCTCCCCCCCAGGTTTGAGCTGGACTGGTCCCCCAACTACCGGAAGCTCCTCCGGAGTTCTGCGCGGGACTTGTTACCCATGCACTGGTATTTCCCCCAGTGTTTTGTGCTGGGCTAGTGCTCCAACCACCACCGCTACCGCTGCCGCCGCCAGCGCTCCAGCCGCCGCCACCCGCGGGACTTGCATACCCGGCACCAGAGGCAGGCATTCTGACCCCATCCGCCACCACCTGGTTGGGGTGCCCAACCACCAGCAGTGGAGCCATGACCATTCACCCCAGCCTGTGCCGTATCTCCTCCAGTCGGCAGCTCCACTCCTTCCTTCAAACCAAGAATGAGATTTGCAAGTTTAGTCTGCAGTTCTGCAAGACCCTGTACCATGATAACAGTCAGTACGAGAGGCAAGTGAGTTTGCTGACCATAACGAAAGACGAATTACAGGTCTCGCACCTTCATGATCACCTCCTGGGGCCCAAGGCTCCCGTCCGTCTCAACCTCAAAATAGAATTTCCGTGGCTTCGCGTTGAAGTCAAAAACTTCGTCATCTCTTGGTGCTTCTTCTTCCTTAGCGTTTTCACCGACGGGCCACTCAATCCGTGGATCTGCCTCGTGCCAATATGTCGTGTGTCGCAATTTATTGTAGGGATCGTATTCGAATGCAACGGCTGAGCATGGCGACCACTTCGCGTGCTCCTTTGCTATACCCTGTCATAACTGTGAGATCCTGAGAACTACCTGAAGGTGGCCGCTGCGCACCTTTTTGGCAACACAACGTAATCTAAGCTCTTGACCTTTCCGTATTTTGCAGATGAGGACTGGTGGTACATCAGCCTTGTCTGAGTAGCCGCCTAAAGTAAGAATATGAATCCTATGAAGAGAGTAAGGGCCATACTTTTCCCCACTGGCTGCCCGAAATCTTCTCCACGTTTCGTGAGCTCTTCGCCAGGATTATCCCCTCCTTCACTATAGTTGATCGGTATGACCTCAAGATGATTGCTCGTGACGTCCATCGTGCGATTATCATTACACAAAACGTCCAGTCTCAGCTCTATTGAGCAATATCGACAACCAGACAAACACAGGCAATCCTGCACAAGAATCGTGAGGTTGACCAGAGGTGAAAGCATACAATTTGGCGTACTCGAGTGTATCTTATGCCTTCATCACAGTTTGTGCTCACCAGCGGAACCATTCCAATGCGATGTGCTATGAATTCATCAGGTAGCACTGTTGTATTTGCTTCTATCTCGACCATGTCAACGGCTAGGATGAATTAGCCAAGACACACACTATCGACGTATTTGAGGGGACCGACCAACGGTTGGTATGTCTGCCTGTACTACACGTCGAAAAGAATTTGCGAACCTGTGTGCTGTCAGTAAGGTTTCATCACATGCAGCTGCTACCCGTACGCAAGGTCGACATTCTCAAGCATAAAATTCACTCGGTCCTGCTTGTAATCGCGTATTCGGACAATGGGCTCATTGTCATCGTATGTCTGCATGATTGGTTGTGGACGAAGGCCTTGTATTACAGTTGTGGTTCGAGGGGGAGCGGGATCTGAGCAAATTCTAATGTTCGGTGGACATTTGAGGTAAGAGGACCCCGTGCACCCACTGCAACAACCACAAACGTCACGGTAGAAGTATTCTGACCAAGGTGAACAAAAAGATAACCAACCGCTTGGTGGAAGCAACAACGTTGAATGGATTGCCAGCATACTTAAAGCTTTGCTACGACACTCTGCTTCTCGTCCTTAATGCGTACAATAGCCTTCCCCCATGTCTGCCGTCTCTCCAGCGCATCCAGCCCAACTGTGACCTCGTCCAGGGAGAAGATCTTGTCGTATATTATGGGTTTAACGCGACCAGATGCGAATAGTCTCAAAGTAAATGTGATTAACCGGTGAGAAACCAAGATAAATGCGACTCACTCTAATAGTTCCTTCCATACTATTGGGATGCGAGACGGTTCCTTGTCTATACAAATAGAGGACGCTGTTTAAACTTAAGGTGATATGAAACGTACTGGTATACAAGCCCCAGTGGAGGCCCATGACAGTAATATTCTTCAGCAGTACTAGGTTTAGCGGAAGCTGCAGACGCGCTTGGTGAGCAGTCATGTATGTGTGGTAAACAACTTCGCATACCTTCTCAATCTGGCCCGCGGCGAAACCGATTACGAGGGCCCTCCCTTTGAAGGCGATGCATTTCAGCGATTCTGGTAGAAAGGAGAATTATGGCTCCACATCCTACCCGCAAAAAAACAGCACTCACCGGCGATTCTCCCGACTGGATCATAGACAACATCTACGCCTTTACCACCCGTTATCCTCAAGACTTCTTGCTGCCAGTCCTTTGCAGTGTAGTTCACCGTATAGTCAGCTCCCCCGTATGTCTTACAAATGTCAAGTTTAAACTGTGACCCAGCTGCTGCAATGACCGTAGCACCCAATGCTAATGGACAGGGTGAATTCAGGACAAGAAAATAGTTTCGAAGGGGATAAACCTTTGGCCAATTGAACAGCAGCAATACCCACACCGCCGGCAGCTGCATTGATGAGGACAGATTCACCTGAAATAGATGGTCAGCGCATGTGTGAGATACGCGTGATCGCTGAACCCACCTGGCTTGAGCTCTGCACGACCAACCAGAGCCTCGTAGCTGGTCGGCCATGTAATGTATAGTCCTATCACATGTGAAAGTTTGGATGACCAACCGTAGTTCATGTCTCGACATACCTGCACCCTGATCAAAAGTCAGGTTGTCCGGAAGTGGATTCACAGACTGCCACTCGACAGCCACTCGATCCGCAAAACATCCCTGTGCACTGCCAAAGACTCTGTCACCCGGCTTATAGGGACAATATTTTGGGATCGGAGAGCCTTTGGCAACTTTGCCAGCGAACTCCGCACCAAGTGTGAAAGGGAATGGAGGTTTGATTTGGTATTTCCCTTGAGCTTGTAATATCTAATACACGTAGAAAATGTGTCAGAGAACAGCTGGCATTAGAGGCAATGCATCTCTCACATCGAAGAAATTCAGAGCTGATGAGTACACATCCACGAGTATTTCGTCCCCTGTGGCTTCTGGCTCCGGCGCATCGTCGAAAAGTTTGAGCTCGGACGGATGGACCCACTCATTCACAACATATGCTCTCATGGTTCCAATAATGAAGCGACTCTCAAGTTCAAGGCATTGCGAAGTCGCGGTTCAACGGGAACTGACATAACCGGGAGCCCGACGGGCACGATAAGACGGAAGCAAATACATGTACTTAGTGGGCAGATAGGCACAGTGCTGAGAAATATGCGGATGTTATATACAATGTGTGGTTCTACATGTCGGTAATCGATCATAATCAAATGGCTGTTTTCCGAATCAAAGATACTCTACATCATGCAAATCCGAACCCTTCCCCACCCTCGTTGATGGCGAGTAGTAACTGTTGTCGCAACATCTCATACGAAGAGTATTGCGGCAAGTCGATCTGATTGAAGCCTAAAAGACATATAATCAAAAGACGAAATACGTCCATCGCGCAGGGGTCTTACAAGTGTGGGCCTGCGGCAATCGATCTGGGTCTCCATATGCGCGATGAATGGAGAATCTCTGAACGCCCTGGACACCTTGCAGATCCACGAATCCACCAAGTGGTACCCGCGAGGTACCAGTGGCAAAACTAAGAACCTTGGCTCGCTCTTCTCGATTGAAGGACTTCAGGGCTCTCCACCACCACACTATCACGGGGTCAGAGCTTGTGTAGCCACTATACTCAGTAGCTGCGCGCCATTCGTCCACATCGATATCAGGAGTGCCGGAAATGAGCAACTCAAGTTCTTGCTCGTTGAACTCAAGAAAACGCGTGAGGATGCATGCCGTAGTCGGTCATGAAACTCGCTTACAATGGTAATAAGATCATTTGGAATGATTTCCTGGAAGCCGGCCACGAGGTTCTCAATTTGTTTGCTGATCGAGGAATACAGTCGGAAGTTCGCAGAGAGCTGCACGAACTCTCGCTTGTTCTCCTGCGTTACGGGTATCGACTCTCCACCCTCCTTCAGAGAAAATATACGATTCACGCCAAACTGTTTGGAAGATTTAGCCATGAGTGGAATGCAAGAAAGCTGATCAAACCTCGTCCGCTTCCACGCTGAATGTCAAGTCCAGGGGTGTCGGATCATTGTCCAGAATCCAGCACAGCGAGTTATAGTACTCAGGATCAACCCACTCGACATCCCGATAGTCCACGGGTTTTCCCAAGAGCTGTCTGTATATGCTCTTTGCAAAGTAGGCGTCTAGGAGACGGCCGTCATAGATCGCCTTCCCAATGATGCGTCCTACAAATTTGAAGAAAGATAAATGTTCGGGGTTCACCCATGAGTTCTTGTTGGGCTGGTAGGTGAGGCGGTCGGCCGCACAAGGTTGGAAGAGAGCATTATTGGGATCGAACATCTGACGTGCGAGGATCTGGAACCATTCTCGAGTAACACCGCCAGCATCCACACCCTCCTCGTCATAGAAGCGCACGCTGAGCTTGCCATGCTTGATCTGATCCCCTGTCTTGCGCTGAAGATACTGGAAGCTGTCCTCGAACACTCTGGCTCGGCGTACGTTAAGCTGGAGTGTGCCCTGGTGTTCACGGGAATGCGGGCGACGGTGGAGTTGCTGAGTGAAATAATTTCGCTTGTTGTCGAAGTCAAGGACACGGGGATTATGGACGAGTAAGGAGAATGAGCCGCTCATCAAAGATGGGTTGTTGCGGACCATGAGATTCAACACCTTGCGGTGTGCATCTGTAAAGGACACGAAGAGGTCTTCCATACTCTCCCGAGACGTCGTCGGAGAGCGAGGGGATGCTGCTGTTCGAAGGGCACGAGCCGCGGCTGACTTCGATCCCACGTATTTGCACACCACCATCAGTGCCTCGATCAAAGGGAGCAACACGATGGCCATGTGCTCCAGCTCCGGCTTCTCTTCAATCGTCGACAGACAATCTCCTAGGCGTCTCCAAAGCGGGGCGAAATGGAAGGATTCATAGATAGTCTGCACCTTCTCAGCATCTTCACTTTTCCGAGTCGCGTCTGTCACGGGACCAGCCATCCGAGGTGTATACATATAGTCGATGGTTTTGAGAACACGTAGAAGCTTAGTCTGGTCTGATGATGGGGACGAGAATTTCGGCGCAACGGAAGATGCTAAGACATCATCGCGTGAACTCATCAAAGCTCCCACGAGATCGCCGAGATCAGCAAGAATGGCGTGTCCACAGTCCTGCGCCTTTGTTTTGAGCTCCTGCGCGATGATATCGCGCGCGTCAGGAATGTGCGAGAGATTTTGTATCAAGGCAAGAGACTGCTGGAAGGTGCGCGACGAACATTCTCCTACCGCAAGAATGTTCACGATCAAACGTAACACCGAATGAGGGATTTGCGGGGGAACAGCAAGTAAGGGTTTCACATCTGTCTGCACTTCCGCTGGGACATCAGGTTTGGGAGATTCAGTTGACGCGCCTGTCAATAGATATCAGACTTTGACGTGGAGTCATAATTGGAAACCGACCGGTTGATTCTTGGGCCCCAGCACCCTCAGATGTAGTCGGCGCGACAGCTGCAGCAGGTGCTGCAGAAGTGGAAGTCTCGGGCGTGACATCATTTGACTGCTCCTTATCAGATGTAAGACTCGTCAGAGGTTTGGTGACCGTCGATAACAACGTCACGACAGAATCCATCGTCGAGGGTGTTTTGAGGAGGGATTGTCGGTCAAGAAGGCCTAGAAGTAATACGATTGGGAAATGTGTCTGGGACATCGGTTTCTCTTTGCCTTTACCCTTCCTGGAGGGCATCTTCCTCAAACCGGCCGGGAGTTCGTGTTCGGTCAAGAAGAATAGCGACGACTGTTCATTTGCACTGACGATATAAGTCATGGCTTCTAGGCAACGTTGCACGACGAGGTCTGGGACTGTTTCGATCTGAAAGCCGCCAATCGCCACCGGTGTGCTAAGATCCGCTGCTGTTTTCACCTTGGCAGCAGCTTTAGGAGTTTGAAGGACCGCAGATTTTGGAGTGCGAGTCGTCATTTGCGCGAAGCTCTTGTCCACAGCAGCGAGGTCCCCTGGGCCACTTTGAAGAATACTGAGAAGAAGATTGAAAAGTTCAGAACGGGTCTTGCTGTTTTCGCAGATATTGACCAAGATTTTGAAAAGCAGATTCTTCTTCAGAACGTGAGGGAAGAAGAGTAGGCGAACAAGAGTCGCTACCCCGGCCTTATCGAGGAGCTGGATAGCATCGCGGGGGGGAGGGAGTTTACGAGGTGGGGGAAGGCGTTGAGCAGCAGTAGTTCTGAGAGCTCGAGCAGCAATACCGCCTCGAGAACCATTTGCCTCATCACGGTAAACGCCAGCCTCTGCGATCATGTATGACGGTAAAGTTTGCAACAAGCCGTCGTCAGAATCCATCAGAACGACTTGTCGGAGTTGTGGATCTAAACTAGCAATAAAGCTTGCCGGATCAATATCCGCTGCAACTCCCGGAGGGCCTTGCTCGGGCGCGGGCACTGGAGCATGTCTAGATTGTTCCATCCTTTCCTGTTGAATAAGTTCGGCTCTGATCTCTGGTGGCAATGCATCAAGAAATTCCGGACTGATCTGGGAGTCGGCAGGGCGCTCGACCCTTGCTGCGCGTTGGTCACGCACATGCTGGTTGATGACCTCTTCCCGGATATCGTCAGGTAAGGCTTCGAGGAAAGTCGGATCAATGCCCATGTCAGTGATATCCACCGCACTGCCATGGATGATCACCGTAACACGCTCGGAGGGAGCGGGTTGAGAAGGCCCTGGAGCTTCTTCCGCAGCGGATATTTCTTCTCCTGTGGACGAGGCTTCTGGAGCTGCTACATTCTCGTCAGAATGCGGAGCGGACGCCTGTACATCATCCATCTCTACATCCGCATTCGAAGCGATTGTGGTCAGAGGAGGAGGATCTAATGCGGGAGGTTCGACTGGTGTATTCGCAATATTTTCCGGACTTGCATGAGAGGCCGCCACATTAGAACTTGCAGCCTCCTCGGCACCAGTGCGATCAACCTCCAGCTGCCGCGCTTCGGCTTCTTCTGCCTTGGCCTGAGCCTGACGTTTCTGCTGCTCCCTTTGTCTTGAGGCTTCGATAGCGGCTGGGAGCAACGCTATAACGACATGGTTGCCAATTCTATTTGCTCTTTCGGAAACGTGCTTGCCATTCAACGTCTTGGCTTCTTCGGTCCACCTTTGAACTGTCAACAAGGGATCGAACGCGCGGGACTCGCCACGGGGATCGCTTGTTCGAGACACGCGATCTACCCGCACACCGTCAACTCTAACCCCAGCGAATAGGGAGGCACCCCTTCGGCCAAGGAATCCTCGACCGTCCACCATGGTACCAGGAGTGACATCCACTCTTATGGCGTCCGGACCATGACGTTCTATGATAGTTTGGAAGATATGACCTGCATCACCTGCGATGATGTCTTCGATGGAGTGTATGAGGTCATGCTGAACGCCTCCGGCTGCGCCCCTGTGGGAGCGGCGAGCCACGCGAGTTAAGCCAACAGGACGGTTCGTTGCTGCAGAAGCGTCCAGAAGAAGGGGATGAACAGTAGCTTCGGGTGGTGCAGCTGGCACATGTCTGGGACGACCAAATACTTGCACATCCTCGCCCGCTTTAAGTATGGCTTAGTTTGTGGATGGGAAAGACGTATTCCCCGACTTACTGTTACGGCGCCTGCGAATGAAGGGGTCTCGGCCATCTAGCTCTCCGCCCTCGAGGTCAACAGCATCGGTGAATCTGAAGCCCCCGTCTTGGATGACGCCTTGCACATCAATGACACCCATTTCATCATGGAAACTAAACGATAGGTGAGCGATAGTATCATAGTGATACAAGGTGACTTGCTCTTCGTCATCTGACAATATATCAGGTTCCTCTCCTTGATCTGCATGAATGACGGCAACTGGCTCTATCAATGATATTCAGCAAGAGGTTTTGAGAAGCATCGACAAGTTACCTCCGCGCTCGTCCTCGTCCTCTTCGTCCTCTTCGTCTTCTTCTTCATCAGCAACTTCATCACCTTCGTCATCACCTCCCCGAATATCCTACGAAATCCGTGAGGGAAGCCAAAACATTTTCAAGTTGTAAACTTACCTGCCACATGATCTCTTCGTCATCCACCTCTTGACCAGCCGCAGGCTCATCGTCGTCCTCGCCGTCCTCGCCGTCCTCATTCTCAACTAAGTCATCTTCCTCGTACTCTTCGTCTTCGTCGTGCCATTCACCTCCGTTGCTGTCTTCGTCAATATCATCATCCCCGCCATCCTCCAATTCATCCTCAGAATCCGACGTCGCTGCGCTATCAGTATCCTCGCCATATTCCATCTCAACGTCGTCGTCATCGTCGTCATCTCCTTCGGCCATTTCATCCTCTTGTGCATAATTGATATCTTCCATCTCCTGTAATTACCGTTATTAGATGTCAAAAATGGCCTAGATATCACTTACACCTCCGAACCTATTAACCGCATTACCCTAGTCAGCGGATGTTGGGCGGTAAGCAAGGGCTGGGACTTACATGCCTAGAGCAGAAGTTCTGTACAGATCGGGAGTCTCTTCTCGATCGTCGTCGTCCACATCAATGTTCTCGTCTTCATCCTCGTCCTCGGAGACTACGCTTTGAGAGACCTTTCCATCGCCACCGTCTTTGGTCTTTTCAGATGTGCGGCTCATCTTGATAGCGATCCGTGTGCTTTGTTAAAATAATGAGCGCCTGATCGTAACGGGCGCGACTACACTCACAGGTTATCCATTGGCCTAAGGATCGACGCCACGAGACCACGGACATTGGGGTAATTTAGGTCAACTTCAGCTAGTGCGCTGGTTAGGATCGAAACGAAATTCTTCTCCAGCATGATCTTCGCAGTGTGTGTAGTACTCTCGTCCTGCGATTTGCGGCTGCCGTTGTTGAAGCGCACAGTGAGAAGTCGGTTGCATAGATCTGCCAAAGCGAGAAGGCGTCCATATCTTGCATCCAGATTGTCTTGCAACGTGTACTCCTTGATAGCGCGACTAATGGCCTCCAGGGTGAATTTGCGGACCGAGATCAAGTCTGCGGAAACATCCTTCGACTCCACCCCTGCTGAGCTGTCGACGCAGAGAGCCACAAGTACGGACATCGCACAAGTACAAAGAGAGAAGGCTTGCTTCACCTTCGCATATGGCTGGGAAGCAACAGTTCTAAAAGTTATGAGGTCGGAAAGGAAGAACTGAAGGACAGCTGCGCGATGTTTGGTACCAGGATCTTTGGCAGGAGTCGACATTTTCTTTTTCGGAGAGTAAGACAAGAACGCAAGTTTGCAGGCATCGTAGGAAAACAGCAGTTCTGTGAGGCATTGCATAATGAAGCAGCAGTACGAATGCCGATCTTCATCATTGGGACCATCCTTGCTCGCATCGACGCTCTCGGAAGCGCTCTGTGTCACATCTTCGCGCTTCGTCGTGACGTCATTATCAGAGGGAGAGCGCACATTCTTCATCAATTCGCTTATGAGAAAATGTACCATTGTCTCCAAAGCCTCTGCATCGGGCCCATGTACCTCCAGTGGTGCTGGTTGATCAACCTGCATATCATTACGCTCTGTAGTGCCAGTGTCGGGGCTCGGCTGCGAAAGCCCAGGCTTGAGGGTAATGTGCTGGACAGCTGAGAAAGGCTGCTGAAGCTGGCACAGATCCTGAGTTACCTGGACAAATGCAGACGGATCTCTGAGAGCCATTGCACTGCAATTGCGCATGTATCCTGAAACGTCGATTATCCGTGTCCGTGGCTGAGAGAAGATACGCTTGATTTCTTGCTTCATGATGTGTTGAAGCACAGATAGCCCCTCGGCGATGTGGCGAAGTATGATCACCGCATACGATTGACCACTAGGAACAGCAGAGGCTTTGAGATGTGAGAAGAGGTGCTGGAGTCCATCACGCTTGATGAGTTCAGATGCTGTACCGTGGTCCCTCGTGAGCAAGACCAGCAGGCGGAGCGTGGACAACAGCTCATCCCTTGGGAGGTCGGGGTCAGCTAGTAACCGGAGGCAGAAATCGAATATAATGGGTCGCGCATCAGCATACGTTGGGCCAACAGAAATGTCCGGAGTGGTCACGGATTCATCCTCTTTTGGCACAGCGATAGTAGAGGGCTGTTCGCCGATGGTGAACAAAGCCTCCGTCACAAGGAGGTGGGAGGCTAGCCATTTTGGATGAGATGAATCTCCGCGGACAGAATTAGACAGGAGCAGAGCCAAAAGGGTGTCCATCAAGCTCTGTCCAAGGGCTTGCGGGAGCGTAGGGGATTCAGAGAGAACTATTGCAAGTAACCGACATCTTGCAGCCAGTGGCTGTTCATGAACGTCATAAGCCGCGGGAGAGAATGATTGTATATCGTCAATCAACGTGCGAATTGATTGCTCCTGGAGCTCATCAGTTGGCTGCATGAATGCCCGATGAACCTCGAATATCAATGAAGGGTGTTCATCAACCAGTTGCAAGGCTCTTGGGGGTAACTCTTTCTTCAAACTCTCCCTTGCTTCCTCGAGGTCTTTGCGTAACTCTTCAAGACCCTTCCCTTGCTCTTCGCTGGTCGATTGAGGAGGTGGGGTGGACTCAACTGGAGGAGCAGGGGGGCCAGAATCCTCAACGTCCATCTCCTCATCAGAAAGATCCTCGTCACCTCCATCAGCAAGGGCATCGCCTGCATCGTCCTGCTCCGCGGCAGATCCGTTCGGCTGCGGGTCAGGAAGTAATGGGAAAGGCTGGCTCAGGAGTAACTCGGTCGCAGCATTGACATTATTATGAGTGCGGGCAAGAGCACGTTCGGCGGCAGAGCGAGGAAATCCCATATCGGTGAGCTGGCGGATACGATTCTCATCTGGCCCAGCAGCTCTGATATGAAAACCGCTGCCAATAGCAAGATTGGTTCCACCATTGACCACCTCTTGAGAAGGATCACCCTTGAATTCTTCATTCTCTCCAGCCGTGACCTCAAGCATGATCTGAACAACCGACCTGACCAGCGTCAAAGGGGATGAACGAAGCCAAGAAGCCTCCCAGATACTGCGCAGTAAGGGTATGCTCTCGAGGCGAAGCCAGACAAGGAAATGGTGAGGCTCGAAATAGCCGGATTCCGTATCTTTCTTGTCCCGAGTCGTGACTAGTGACGTTTGGCCGGACTCGATGAGCGGCTTCGAAGAAAGTAATGGGTGCAAGAGGTGCAATGCAACCTTCAGTCCTCCCTGCGCATGGGCAAGTTCCTGCTGCATGGTCTCTGTTCGATCTTCAGGTTTGACTGCCGTTACGCCATCGATCAAGTCAGTGAAGTATTTGCAGACTCTGAAAATAGCTTCCAAGCCCTTTGCGCGTTGAAAAGCAAGAAGCAGCACGGTATGAAGAGTGGTGTTCATCGTCCGCTCTGTGGTACATTAGTTCGAGTATGGGAAGAGAAGCAATGCGTGTTTACCGTCCACAACTAGGATCGTCACAAGACCTAACATGACGCTGTGATAATCTAGGCAACACACTCGATCGCCTACGAAGGTCGTAGTGAGCAGATAGTCAACTTTTAAGAGCAAAAATATACCTTCGACCTCGTACTTGAGATGTTCCACCATGATTTCTGCAATAGTGGCTGATGCAGATAAAATCTGCTTCTTCTGAGTCGCATCAGGATTTCGCCTCGCATAGAACAGCTTGACGATGGCTAAGGGAAGTCCGAGAATTGCATTCAGTCAACTACATCGAAAGCTAAACGAAACCGTAAAACGAACCCTGGAAAAAGGGCGCCAAAGCGCTTGGAAGACCGTGCGTTAGATGCTTGAGTGCCTTGGCATTCTTCTCTCGCGCGGTGTCAATTTTCGGTGATGCAAACGACGATGATTGCGCGGGTGTTGATGCCGATCCCAGCTGAACGCCGTTGGCAGTGACGCCAGCATTAGGCTCTGGGAGAGGCACCGAACCATAGCTAGGTGATCTCCCCAGGGGAGATCCCTGACTGCTCGTACCCACCTCCATCCCCTGTGCCACCATGTCGGCTTTGAACAAGATGTTCTCCCACACCGATGCGCGGTGGAGAGCACCTAGCTCTTTGACGACCTTCGGCGGATCGCTCATGAGAGTCTGAAGAAGTCCGATTGCTGACCTTCCGTGTGCATAACCAGCAGTGGAGAAGACGTCAGCCAATACAGTGATGCGAATGTGAAGGGTAACCAGGTTCCGGAATTGTTGATTTGCTGTGCTTTCCTGTTCCTCTGTAAAACATATTCGAGCAAGTTCTGGCTGTCATATCTGGGGAGAAGGATTACCTGACAGATCAAGGAAAGGCGCCAACTTCGAGTGGGATTGGGGAGACTCCCAGAAGCTTTGAGAGTCGGAGAGGGAATTTTCCACGAGTTTGGAAAGATGGTGAAGTGCCTCGTTGGGTCCTACGTCCGCCATCGTCCGAATAACTTGTACTAGGGAATCTGAAGCAACGCTGTTCGCATAATCATATGGAAGGCAGGGCAAGGCAGTGAGCCTGCCAATACGCTCGAGACCCTCAACGTTCCTGATGAAATCTTTGCAATGTTGCGTGTGTTGGAACAGACCTTCAAGAAACTGTCGAGAACAAAGTAAATGCTAGTCCCGGAAGGAAGTACGCGGAACTCACTCGGCATAAGACATCGATGTAAAGAACTACGCTGTTGTCATGACTCCTCAGGGAGTCCTCGTCCGTCGTGTCCTCCTGAGCGTCAGAAACGCTAATGTCACTGTCCACAACATCCATCGGAATATCGTCCTTCTTGTCGTCCTTGTCTGTAGTTTGAGAGGCGAGCACGAGACCGTACCACTCTTTCTTGTCCTCGGGGATCACGAAAGTATTTCCAAGGTCCTCGATTTTACTCAGAGCAGACTTGACGGCATCAAAAATAGGAGTTTTCAGGGTTGGATGGTGGCGGATCAACTCGTCAACGGCGGTGCCGATTAGTACAGCGTTTTCCTTTTCACGAAGGACCTTAATATGACTCTCCGAAGTGAAGATCGAGATGATGCCAGGAATGACGCTTGGGCGAGTTGCAAGCTGGTCCTGACCAACCTGATTGAGGCAGAGCGCCCCAATTGCATTTGGGATGGCTTGGATGACCTGAGAGAAGACGTGAATACGAGCGCATTGATGGAAGAATAGTACTCACTTCAATGACAGGTTCCAGACCTGCTTCAATCACTTTGTAGAACACCTGAGGCAAACCTGCTTCTTGAATTGTCGGAAGAGACGTCGGCTCATTGTGAATAAATGTTGCCATGATGTTCATGGCTTTCACCACCATCAATCAAAGATCCCGCACAAAACCAGGGTGCTCACCGAGAGGCAGAAGACTAGGGCCAAACAGGCCACGATACTCCATGATCTTCTTGATCGATTGTGGCAAGGTGGAATCAATCAGGCCGCGCAGCCCTTCGGATGTACCCGTCGACTGCATCATGCGATGTATGGAGCGTAACGTGTGTTTAAGCATGGCGGCCCTTGGAACCGGAAGTTGTCCTGCAGCTATCATCGAACTTTGTTCTACTCCTAACTTACAACAGTCACTCACCGTACGAACCAAACAGGTCCCTGGAGCGCTCGTTTCCGTACATTGTGATATCAAAGTCGACCTCGTGCTGGTCAGATTTCAGCGAGTCAATGATTGGGTGAAGGGTGATGCCATACTATGCTCACCTGGATACGTGCCACCAAAACTTCGACTCCACGGGAGTTCGAAAACATTTGGAACGCGTTTGAGAAGGCGTAGAGGACGTTATCCATCAATTGCATAGCCTTCGAGACCATCTGGAGTCTCTGAGCTAACCTATTCTCCATGATCTGAACCAGCAAGGGAATTAGTCCTGCGCTAACAAGCATATTTCCCCCGTTCATGAGTTGCGCAAGGTAGGTCACGAATGAAAGAAGAGACTCGACGAAGGTGGGTGAGATTCTGCTTTCCGGGCTGCTAACCTCCAAGATAGTCTTCCGCAGAAGGGCCATGATGATTCCATGATTGACGGCAGCATTGACGGCGCCCAACACCTCGGTCATTTTTCCTCGGTACCTAGCGATCGAGTCTAGCGCTGAGATAGCCGCTGTCTGCACAGGTATCGAAACCCCACGATCCAACTGAAGAAGCTCAGCGATGTGGGTAGTGAGATCTGGCTCATACAGGAAAAGTGTTGATGACGCCTGAGTCTCGCTGTGCGTATGGCCATAAATGGCGATGCAAATGAGTCGTATGACGACAAGCTTCTCTCTCATAATTTCGTTGCCGGGGGCAAGTGCCTTAGCGGATCGAACGCGACAAAGGAGTTCGAACTTGTCTTCGTTATTCAGCGGATGCATCTCCAATACATCCGCCATAATCTCCATGACTTCTTTGTTCTTCAGGGTCCCTTCCTCGATATGAATGGTAGATGCGTATGAGTGCGAGGTCGAGGGTGGAACGGAGAGTTTGCGAGGACTGGATGGCATGGCTTCAATATGATCGATTTCCTTCCCCTGTCCCTTCTCCTTCTGGTCAGTTCGATAATAAACGAAACTTACATCACGAGCTTCGGCAGGAAGAACATCGACCTGCGCTGGGCCGTTTGCACTGACAAGATCCAGCAAGCTGATACCATGTTCGTGCACATTGGGCCACCGCTTGGAGAGGGAGAGTAAACGAGGTGTAGAGATGCTTAGGGCTGTTGATACTGCGGCCTGAGCGGAGTATTGTTGTGCGGGGCGAAGGAGAAGATTCAATGCTAGCGTGAGCACGTCAAGATCTGACGTGAACAGCAAGGAATTAAGTCTCTGAGATCAAGAATAGTGCAACAATGATTAGACGCGGGTCAATGGTTGAATGGAAAAAGACGCACATCATAGGAATTGAAGGTTTTGCGATTGGTGGAGTTCTCCAATAAAAGCCTTTCAAACCTAAGAATATGGCATATAGTTTTCTTTGTCGCTGGAGTGAACACATTTATCTGCAGCTTGTCCACATCATAATCCCGGATGGTTTCCTCTAGGATAACATCGAACTTGTCGAGGACCTTAGTCCAGGCATTAAGATCGGATCGCGGCCATTTCCAGGAGTCAATATCAGCCAAAACATCGGCAAGATCGTGTTTTGGAGTGTTTATGAGCTTTGTGACAAGCTCTGCTACTTGAGGATGCTGAAAACGCCACGACCGTGGTCAGATATCAATTGTTCTACTTGAAGAATTAGATCCCGACAACTGACCGGAGAGACCGCCCTCTTCGATTTCTGAGCTACCTTCATTGATCCGCAGCAAATGCGGGCAGATGAGACTTCAGTTCTGAATTGAAGGCTCGTTCTGGAGAAAGATAGGAAACTAATGTGGGGGAGAGTTGACGACGTAATTTGCCCAACAATATATCAGGAAGGTTATTCCCACGAATCGCGTCTTCAGCCACTTCCTACAATTTCGACGCGTTCTAAGTCAACTTGAAGCAGAATCTGAACAGTCTATCACTCAAACACCGCCCAACACGTCCATGCCTAAGCGTAAGAGTCCCAGCGACGACGAAGGCGATGATTTCGAACAGTCCGAGGATGATCAGCCGAAAAACAAAACCAAGGCGAGCCAAGTACTGTACCGCGTCCGTGAGGTCATGCTCATCAACAATTTCAACACAAACAGCAGGCCTCAAAGGCAACAGAGCGACCTGTGACTATCAAGAAGCCAAAAATTACTACTTCAGGCAGCCAAGTGCGCATATATATATTTTCAAAATAATATTGTACCATGAACCCCTGATTCCACGACTGGTCATCAGTCTCCATCAAGCTCCAAGAAAAAGTCCACCAATGACAATGGTGTGGAGGTCTTCACCAGTTCCGAGGGTGAAAGATATATCCAACTAGGCCAAAAGAAACGCGTAACCGTCCGTGAGTTCAAAGGTGAACCTCAACTTTCCGTGTACATACAAGCATGGCGCTGACAAACAGCAGGCAAGATTCTTGTCGATATTCGTGAATTTTATGGCAAGGACGGGGAAGAAGAAAAGCCGGGGAAGAAAGGGATTTCTTTGAATCCAGATCAGGTTAGTCTACTAATGTTATACTCGAGAGGCCACCTTTAACACCCTATCAGTGGGCTTCTTTGAAGAAGAGCATGGACACCATTGACTTTTTGTTTGCCAACTGCAAGAAATGACATCTATGACTCTATCTTTACCAATTGCCACGACAGTACTTAACGACCTTCTAATAGCATGTGTATCATAAATGTAATCATGAAAGACCAGCCGCCGCATCGTGTGCTCCCGCTAATCCTCTAGAATAAAACCCACGTAACCACGCGGTCGACTTAACCAGCGAAGCTTGCCAGTCCATCATGAGCTCAATGAATGTGACTTGAGAATACCCAGTTGCGAACGCCCTGCGAGTGGGTGCAATCAAGTGTGAAGTTAAAAGCGGATTACTCAACGCACCAAGCACCGCCCAAGATGTGACGGAGGGATCTGAACCCGAGTCCAACCTCGTGGAAGCGTCTTTTCTCATCTTGCCATACCGCCTTCATGCAGTACTTTGATGTGATGAGGAATATCCTGACCTATTGATCTCCGCGTTGAGATTGAGTCATGAAGTAAAAATTAACACTGACGCTCGAATGTGTCGTTGCAAGTGAATGGTCCAAGTGCCTGCAGGGTTGGTTAGTTGACGGCAGATTTCGATGAGGTGATAGAACCTACCTCGCAAGATCATTGAGCTTCATGACCATCAGTACCCGCCTAGGCAGTCGGCGCAGGACATCCAATACGGATACCAGTATATCTTCGCGATTGGCAACAGTATTTCGGATGAGTTCCATTTCCTCCTCAGTCTGAGATGTCATATCGAGCATGCCTGTGGCTCGTCGGATGTTGGTCTTCGGTTCGTCATCTTCAAATGTACCTTCGAGTGCCAACCGGCCTGGTGAAAAATATTAAATAAAGAAACATCTGCCAGCGCGGAGGGCTTGCCAGTGATTGCTACCTCGAAAATAGGATACTGTTCATAGAAACATCAAGACATGTTTTTTCTACCAAAGGAGAGAAATATTTACCAAATCAAGTGTGATGTTCCCGACCGCCTCTGCATACCTCCGACGATCAGCATCAACGGTTGGTGACGAGTGAGCAATGAGCGACAGCCACAATCTGCTGTAGTTCACGCGTAGTTCCCGTTCAAGATCGAAGTACAATCCATGGTCTAATAGTGCGATCTCAAAGTTGTAGGATGACTTGGAGGATTTAGAGGCAGGCCGTATTAACAAGTTACCTGCATCACGTCAGTTGAGCTAAGATCATAGAACGAAAGTCATTTACCAGGGTGAGGATCCTGTAGGGAACACTGAGTCAGACCTGGCTCGACTTCTCTTATCTAAATCACCTTACCGCATGGAACCACCCATTCACAAATACCATTCGATTAAAAATTCGCGTAAGCTCCAGTGCAACTTTATTCCTGTCAATGTTGTGCTTTGCGAGGTATGCAAGGTCGTCTACGCGACCTCCTTGGATATACTCCATGATGAGAACTCGTTTGTTCGCGGATATGACCTCGGGTATGTATAATGACGTCTTGATATTTTCAAAATCCGCAACCGCACGAGCCGTATTGCGGGCTTCGTGCACAAAATCCATTTCTCTTGGGAGGTTCTCCCGCATTTCCTCACCTAACCAGGTAAATTCGAATTCCGGGAACCAGTACTTGACCCAACCTACAGCAAACTGTGAGTGAGGCTGGGCTCTAGGGGCCAAAAACACATACTCAAAGTAGACTGGACCATGGTCATGTCAATATTATAGAATTCAACCAGGTGAGGATGTTGGACCTTTAACCAAGGTAAGCGTTTCCAATCAGCACAACCTTTCGGTGCACACCTTCACAGCAACCTTCTTGCCTGACGCCTTGTGATATCCGACATGAACCTGAGCTAAACTTGCGACACCAATAGGAACCGGGTCGAAATCATCAAAAAGCTCGTTTATAGGTTGTCCCATATCGGATAGGAACAGTGCTGTAATATCCTCGTATGGAGTGGCATCACATTTGTCTTGAAGTGGGGCCATCGTACTCGTCCATTCCCTTGGTAGTACGATTCTTTTTCGAAACGATTAGAATTTCAATGGCAGATCGACGCAAAGACGAACATACAGCGACGCGATATGTTGTCCCAATTTGATATAAATGCCTGGTGACATGGATCATTTCAGCAACGGGGTCCATTACCCGACCAGCGTACTGGAACAAACCTCCATTGGCCAGCAGAGCTTTCAGCACCTTCGTAGCACTCCGGACATGGCATTGTGAGACGGCTTCAAGCCTGTCTTCCTCGGAGCCATACGTGCGCGCAAAAGTACGCTTGTAATCAATTGCTCCGGAAATCGCAGCCCCTGCGCGTTACTGCTTAGTTTATGAAACATCAATTAGTCACCGGAACACCTTACGCGCAAGTCGGGAGCACCGTACAGTCGCCAATACAGCATGCCGGGAGGGCTGGTGATTATCATATGCATAGCACCCCGCACCAGTAAGCGCTAGAAGCGCCGCCGGATAAAAGAACCATGAATTTCCGCGAGGACGCTTTGGTTGAGCTCGGGGCGCGTCGGATGAGGCCAGGCGCTTATTTGGGTCAACATTATGGCGAATGAACGACTTTTGAGACCGAAGGAAGGAACGCGAGCTATGCCAGCCAGGTGGACCACGGAGTTTAAGGATGATGTGCATAGTCTGGCGGGAGCATGATCGGCGGCTACTAAAACTTTTCGCAATTACGTTCGTTTCACACTGCGGGGGCCCTCGGTTTTACGTAAGTGTACACTTACAGTGTAACTCTACAAGCTGCGACAAGTATGAACATTGAACACAGTGTCTTAGAACAAAGTCCTGACATATTATGTATGTCAAAATCAATCTTCAAACAGAGGCTGAAACGCCTGAAGCAGACATGAATGAATTAGTGCTCGGCTCCCCATAGAATGACCATAGAATGGTAAAACCTACCTTCTTCCTGCCCCCAACGTCGTCCTGCGTTGGCCCAAACTCAGTGTTAGTATCTTCGATAAGTTCCAAGCTTTCTGGATCATCATTCGCCGAAAGCATAGCCGAATCTCCGTCTTCGACGCTGATAAGATTCTGAGACGCCGCGAACCCAAAGTCAACTTCTTCGCCCTCTCCTTCGAGCATCGCCGCTAGTTCATCCTGGTTCATGTTTTCAATGCCCAAACCAGATCCACGTATCACCTCCCTGTCTGCCTGAGAGAGTTGTGAAAGGGGATAAAATAATGGAGTTCGATCCCGTGCTGGGGCTCGCCCCACTTCAGGGCTCCCGCTTGGTCCATCCGTTAATAACTGAGAGGACTGGGTGTAGAAAAGAGGCTCGGGTTCCAAGGGAACTCCATGGGACGGATCTGGCGGCAGATTCCAAGACAGCGAGGGAAGAGGTAGATTCTGATTTTGTGGGGAACCCGGTGTGTGCCGTGGAATATATGATGGTGGAGGCATTGATCGTGCATCGCTTTTGGCTCTTGAAGTAGCAGTTGCGTCAGGTGTGTGGGCATCCGTACGCTGCACAGCTTTCATCGATTTTTTGATTCTGGGTGTTTCGCTTCGCTGTCTCGAATTGCCCTCACCTTCGTCGTTTGGGCGAGGACGTTTGTGTGCGTTAAGTTGAGCAGAGTTTGAGGGAGCGGAAGAAGCTGAACCACTTATTTGTGAGGTGGATATGACGAAGAGACATTCTGACTCGTCGCCTTCAACGTCGATGAAGAGAGGGGCTGCAGGATCCGTGAAGCGTAAATCTAGGCAGAGGCTCATGGATTCCGCGAAAGCAATTGTAGCCTATCAGATAGAGGAAGTCAGAGACTATAGGAAGTGAGCATCACCGGTGGGTGACAAACATTGAATTCTCGCAGGTGGAAACCGATAGTAGTTGGGGATGCATAGACGTCATAGACATCGAACTCATCCGCGCTGATGGTCAGCTCTGTTGATAATTGAGCTTTACCTGATTTTGGGGACACGTATGAGCAATCCACCGACTGGTTCAGGCATTCCTACCTCTGGTGTCGATAGAAGACTCGAGGCTCTTGACGTCAACATCCGTGTCTCCAAAGGTCCATACGAGTTGAGGGTCGCTCTTTGCTCCTCGAGCATTAGGGAAATGCTCCGTTATGTCTTTGATTGCGCGTGGACCTATTGTAAGACGGGATTCATTCGAAGAGTCTGGGACACCTGGTGACAGCAGTGATGTAGGAACCAAGAGAGGTAGCCGATGAGTCTTTACGATGCCTTTATGCAGAATTTGAATGTCCGTGATGGAGAGGAATTTCATGCATACCATGTTTACAGTGCATTCGAATAATCAATCTGCTCTCTAATGTGTCCTGGTCCTCATCTGGCTCATCCTGCTCGTATAGATCCGTTGCTTCAACGATTGTAAACTCGCAGCGTTCAACTGTCTTTTCGATTGTTTTATGCTTAAGAATGGAAAGGAATGTCTATGGTTGGCAGTTGCAAACAGTCTGTCACGAAGCGCACGAAGGTAACAGAGCAGGCACACCTTAGCCAGCAACTGTCCTTTGACATCCTGAACACCATCTTGTGCTACACCATCTCTGAATTTATATCTGGAAAAGAACCTGCGTCCGTACTTGAAGCGACAGTATGCAGAGAGCGAGGAGTTAGTCGCGCTCAAAGAGAGGTGCTCTGGGTCTGCATAAATGACAACATCGTCGCCATATCTTGACAGACATGTTAGTGCCCTAATGAATGCTGGAACCGAGTGAGTTCTGTATAAATGCAAATATTATGGTTGGAGCAAACGTTTGAGAGCGACAACACTGAGTGTCGCTTGCATTAACCACGGTCTAATATCAAGAAGTCACTTCGACGCGTTGCGTCACGCGTAGCCGTCGGTGGCCGGTGTCATATACTTATTCACACTGCTTAAACTCAGTCATCCACTAATTTTTCAGGCTTGACTTGCTCGACACTTGGTTAAGTTGGTTTGGCCCTTTCAAATCGCCGCTGGTTTTTCGAGATGCCTCCTCCCGTGAAACTGGCTATAATTGGTGGAGGGCCATCTGCATTTTATGTAGCCTCGCGCCTACTCTCTCTCCTTCCGCTGAATGATACAGTATCTCCTCCACTAAGGGTGCACATGTATGACCGACTCTGGGCACCCCATGGTCTCGTTCGTTATGGCGTTGCACCTGATCACCCAGAGGTCAAGGTGAGTTTTAAATTTCTTTATGCCTCACTAATCACTGAGAACCCCCTCAGAATTGCACGCACAAATTCGATATGACTGCAACTGACCCGCGTTTCCGTTTCTTCGGAAACGTGAATGTCGGAAGCACGCCCTTCCACTCCATTCCTCACGCGCTTCATTTACCCCTGACATCTATACTCAATAACTACTCTCACTTACTGTTCGCAACGGGATGTACTCTTCCTACCCTACACCCCGCGATTTCTCCGTCTGCATACTGCATACCCGCTCTGTCCTTGGTACACTGGTACACACAACACCCATCTCATTCGTCGCCCCCTGCACTCGACAAGATATCACACCTCACATTAATTGGACAGGGAAATGTGTCGCTGGACATTGCACGTATTCTTCTGACTTCCCCCTCTGTCCTTCGTCAATACGATGTACCAGAGCATGTTCTCGAAGTCCTTTCCCGCTCTACCGTCAAGCACGTCTCCATAGTTGGAAGGCGGGGGCCTCTAGAAGCTGCATTCACTACCAAAGAGCTTCGGGAGATGATCAACCTCCCGGAGGCATCGATGATTCCCATAGAACCCGCCCTGCTCACACCTCCGCCAGGCGTTACGCCAACGCGCCAGCAGCGGCGCACACTCGAGCTACTCCAGAAGGGATCCAAGAATCCACCAGGGTCGACGCCTAAATCCTGGTCGCTAGATTTCTACCGCTCTCCTACTGGTCTCGCTCCTCCATCGACCGCCTCGGCATCAGACATGGCAAGTCTCACCCTTGCTCACACTCGTCTTGATCCTGCCACTTCTCGTGCGGTGCCTACTGGCGAAACATCTACTCTTCCTACTTCTCTCGTCGTCACCTCCCTCGGATTTCATGCAGATCCAGAGACAGCCTTCTTCGATCCTGCTATGCGTCACCTTCGTTCATCCGCAGGGCGTATCACTTCTTCTGAGGGCTTAGCCTTGAAAAATATTTATGCGTCTGGATGGGCAGCCAACGGCGCCAACGGCGTGCTTGCTTCGACTATGATTGATGCATATGCGGTCACAGGCACTATTCTCTCTGACATAGTACCGCCTTCAGAAGCGGTAAAAATTACTTCCGCGACATCCGTTCTACCAATGGGGATAGCTCCAGATAAAATGCTCAATCCTCATCCAGATCTTGATGGATTACCATCAGAAATCGTCCATGGAATCAATGATGGCATGGTCATCCAATATGATGACTGGAAAGTCATCGATGCTGAGGAAGTTCGCAGGGGCGAAGCCCTGGGAAAGGAGCGGGAGCGAATGGGCTGGAAAGAGGCTCTCTCATTTCTCACTCTCTCGGCACCATCGTGATACGATAATCGCGTCGGCGGAGCCCTGGTGAGGGCTAATCAATGGTCTATTTATCATTAACGTTCCATCAAAGTTCGCTTGTCTCTACATAGATCCCCGTTCTCCATCGCAAATCCATCTTAATGCCTCAGCTCCACACTCCGAGGATCACGCCTCCTCAACCCAGTGACATCTGTCCCGTGCTTTCCGGGGCTGGGTAATGGTCGGCGTTGCGGTAACTTCGAGGCCGGTACATTCTGGAAACTTTGGTGACCTGAGGACTGTGGGGGTATACACCGATAACTGGCCTGCAATTTCAAATCATTTACTCAATCCCAAAAGGAGATGCGTGGCATTAGGCAAACCTCGGCTTCCTGCTTTTGCTTGGAGTAGAATGCGAACAGGTCCGCAATTTGCTGCTCGATCGCTTGCTTCTCTTTGTGCAGCCTCCCAACATCCTGTGTCATCACTGAGACTTCACGGCCCAACTCAGCCTTGAAATGTTCAACATGAGCTGTTCGTCAGATCATCATCATAACAGGACCGTGATGACACAGGATGAACGCGCCTTGCACATTGATTGCTGTGGCCTCTTTCATCGCTTCCACAAATCGCAGTCGTTCTCCTCGAATCTCCTCAGTCAGTTCTAGGCAAGTATCAGATAAGTCCTGCTGGAAAAAGGTAAACCCTTACCGCTCGACAACGCTCTCAGCATTTGTTCCTGGTCTACTCTTTGGCGATTGATGATTTCCATCACCGAGTCCGTCACTAAGAAATATTGTCATTTAATCATCGACGCCATACAGAAGACCCAACAAACAAACCAAGAGTTTTGCGTTGTTCATCTCCATGAGTGAGATGTTCTTGAACGACCTGGATCAACTCATGAATTATTGATCGCAAATTATCTCCACTATCCGCTTGATTCTGTGCCGCCTCCAGTAGCTGTTGTACCTGTCCGGTCAGGCCAAGGCTCGACAGTTCTTCAGACGTGTTGACACCCAGTTGTTTACAAAGTTGCTCGACACCAGTCGCGACAGCCTGTATCTGCGTTGTGCCGTTGTTGACGAATGCGTCCAACCACTAGTGAGAAATCGTGAGTAGCAATACATGTTTTGTGCTCATGAGCTTACCGAGTTCAGCTCGTTCAGGTAGCGGATGCTGTCAGCCTGCTGTTCGAGCTGCACCTTTTTTTGTTCTTCATCCGCGTTCAGGTAATCCAGGACGGCTTTCAGCTTGTGAAAGTCCAGCTAATGAAATTGTCTGATTGAAAGAAAAAAACTGACCTTGTCGTCTAGCGGCTTGTGTTCTGGGATATCTGCATCTTCGTGCGGGCTTCTTGTAGCTGGACTCAACGGGGTATTACCAGTCTTGTAAAGCGAGGTGAGCTCGTCCAGCTTCACATATACATCTGAGAGATCCACGTTTGGAAAGGGAGCTAAACTTTCCGTCGGCGAGGTCATTCCAGAGAAAGGAGGTCGCAAATTGTTCATGGCTGTCATACTCGTGCGTGACGTGGACATGGACATCTCCCGCTCTTGATTGTGATGGATAACATCGAGTTTGTCAAGAACACGAGGAAGATTCGACTTCAACTGCGTTTGCATGACGTCCAGGATCTTCATAATCGAGTTTACCTGCAGCTGGACTGTGCTGGAGGAGCTCTGCTGATGGATATCCTCTACCCTGGCGGCCAATGCCTTTACCGTAGACAGAATCGCCTCCTTGGCCTCGGTAGAAGACTGTTTTATGGTGTCAGCCATCAGCGGGGCCAACTCACTGGGAAGGTGCAAAACATCGCGTTGCAACGCAACTATTTGTTCGCTGATACCTGCTGTTTGATCGAAAGTCATTGCTGCACTTTTCTTGATCAGTTCCGTCATGGGTACCAGCTGCAGATCAATGTCGAATGTAGGTGGCGGAGAAGGTGTGGACGGTAAATCTTCCTTGGCAACTCGCGGAGTGTCAGGAAGAGTAGGAGCAGGCGTTAGAGATGTCCTACTACGAATGAAAGCACTCCTCGACCGCGAAGAATATGTTTCAATCGATGCCGGCGACCTCGGTAGTGGGCTGGGTCTACCACTGGTCAACGGCGAGTCGCTCGAAAAACCCTCCTCCTTGAACCTCTGTATTTCCGCAAACGCTCGGCGAGCACGCGTAGGCCTGATCGTCTGAGCACCCTGTAAGTGCGGCAGAGTAGAAGCGCTACTCGCTGATACTGGCGAATTTGTCTGCTCAATCTGCGCCAACCGTTGGGTGACTACGGAAAGGTTTCCAAGTTTGGCGATGGATGGGCTCTTAGGACCAGAGCTCCTTGGCGATATCTGTGACGGAGGTCGCGGAGGCAAGATGGACATCGGAGAGCAATTTTGGGGCGAGTCGTGCAGGCTGAAACGAGCTGGAGACTGACTAGACAGGGGTGATTTGATACTCGGCGTTGGAGGGAGAGACTGCTCTGTTGTAAGTGAGCTCTCGGATTCGACACCACTAGAAGATGTATATTCGGAGGAAGTATACTCTGATGCTGACGGAGGCTGCAAGTAGTTTTGTCCTTCGCGCTGCAAGTTTGTCTGTATCGTTAGCGCCTTTTGCCGAGTTGCTCCTTGTGACTGTCTCTGAAGTAACGCATCCCTGCGAGAATAGTCACATTATCTGCATCGCTAAGGGCGTATGTTTGATGACCTTACCATATGGCACTGACCCATCGTGCCCGTTCTCGACTTGATGATGCAGTCAATTTTTCTCTTCGACGCCCCTCGAAAAGCAGCTCGAATACCTTAGGCTCGGACTTGTCTGTCGAGTTTGGAAGAAGAGCCTTTTCATCAGGGTCCAGTCGATTCAGAGCAATAGAACGAACATCAGTGCACCCGTCCAGTGGAATGACATGACTCGAAGGATTGGCATGAACAGTATACCATGTTATGAGTATATGCGAGGTGTGCAAGGTAACAGTGCAGGACGTCCAGACGGGCAGGATAGGAGAAGTAATGGGTGATGATGACTTTGAAAGATATAACAGCGCACCGGAGTGAAGTGCGGAGACCTCACCAGCCGACAGTACCATAGCACCTGCATCATGGGTGACGGCAGCGTTGTTGGTGTACATTGAAGGGATATGAGCCATGCTCGGGGCGTCGATCACAACTGCAGGCACGTCTTCTTCTGAGTCATCTGCGTCCTTCCCTTTCCTTCCCTTCTGGAAGACGGATAGGAAATTGCGCAGCGAGGCACTCAGAGACCTCCTCTTCCCTCTACCATGGGAGCGAGACGATGGAGATGCGCCAAGAAAGCGAGCTGCGCTGGGTGGCCCCCGAGCAGTTGATGACTCCTCCCGTGAAATGGACTCGTATCTGTTAATGAGTTGCTTGGCTGACTGACGCCGCTGGACGGTCGGGTGGCAATGACTGGAGCCTTTGTCAAGAGAGAGGTAATGCGGTTCTGCATCGACGCGGTATGGACGGCTACCCGTGTCCATTCTCCTTGGACCAGCGACGGTCGTCCCGAAGCTTCGCACCATCAGTGCCGACTTTGTAGACTCGATAGCTGTGCTAGTCCCAGCGACCGCTGGTATATCGAGATGGTGTCGGTCGACGCAGCACTGCACATTGTAAACGGAACAAGCCATGCCCAGAACTGGGGCCAGGCCGTTTCATAACACAGGCAATATATTACCCGAGATGCCAGTCTGGTACATAACCTCTCCGCGAGGCTACCGTGCACCAGATTTATAACAATAGGCTGCAACTTATGTAAATGAGTAGATTCTTCGATTGTGAAGATGCAAACGAATATACAGTCGACGACATACTAGACGTTGAACAATCCCCGAGGTGCCTGTCAATCTGTGAATTCCACTGTTTCCCATCCCCACCATCATGTAAGTAGCATCCCCTGTGGTACCTCACACTACTGTCTCCTGAGTCGGAGTCCCGTTGCAAACCAAAGGATCATAAGAATTAAGCACTAGTATCCTTAAGGAACGACCAGATCCAAGTTCAAGCAGGAACGCACGTGACTAGACATGATGATGTCGATAAGTAGTACCGAGTCTCTAATTTTGATGCTTGATTCTCGATTGCACTATAGGAGGCTCAATCATGCATGTCTGTCTCTTACCCACAGAAATCCTGATGGACATATTCGCTCTCTTACTCTATGACACCAGTACTAGTGACACACTTGCTGCCCTTGCAAGAACTTGCAGGACATTCAAGGAGCCTGCACTTGATACGCTTTGGGAAAACATAAATGGGTTCGAGCCACTCATCTCATGCTTGCCTGAAGGTGTTAGTAGCATGGAGCAAGGAAAGTTGGTGAGCGAGACACTCAAGATTCGGATCAACACGATGTTGAACACTCAAAATTTTCACATAGACCCTCCAAAGACCTCTCTTAATCGGAGAGTGGAGGATTATTAGTCAATATGCACAACGTATCCGCTTTTTGGACGTCTCAAGCACTGAGCTAGACATCATAGACGATCGGGTCGTGCAAGCCCTCATTTCTGCGCCATCACCCGCACCGCTCTTGCCGAACCTTCGTGGGTTAGTTTGGTTGGATGACCGAGAATGCTTCTTTCCGTTATTGCGCACCCTCATTGTGTCAACTATCACGTCGATTAACCTGGGCTTTGGTTCAAATTCCCCCACTTTCGCCAAATCTGCTTTGTTCGCGTCCCTCGGAGCTCGATGTCCATCCATTCAGGAACTCAACTGTATATATAACGGTGACTCCGAAGAAAGTTCAGATGCAATATCTGAAGCCCTATGTGGCTTGCTAGAGCTCGTCCGTCTTGAAACAGGGATCCTTAACGCACAAGCACTTCTTCACTTGGCTTCTTTACCGTTGTTGAAGTCTCTGCACTTCAGCGTGAACACGAATGACATTGATGAGATGCAACCCAATTCCACTCCAACATTTTCCTCTCAACTCGATCAAGTGCACATCACCGCACCATCACCTCCCGTTCTTACTTACTGTCTCGATAACGTCCGGTTTCTCTCCTGTCGATCAGCAATCTTGTGCGTCGATCACGATTACAGCAATCTCCAAATGCTGTATGACCCACTAGATATTCCAGAACTCATTGTGTCGTTTTCGGAGTGCTTCTGTCATACTCTTGAAGAACTCCATTTCATCTTCGAGTTCGAGTTCGACTCCCTTTTCGACGACGCACTTACAGATCCCAGCTTTGCACTCGGATTTGACGTCATTGCCCCATTGCTGTCCTTTAGTCACTTAACGGACTTACGGCTCGATTGGATGTGCACTTCAGCCATTGATGACGCCTCACTCAAGACAATGGCACAATCCTGGCCTCAACTTGAGAAGTTCTGGTTTGGATGCGCGGCTCGTTGGCTGATTCCGCCATCTATCACCTTCATAGGACTCGCCCACCTCATACATCATTGCCCGCGCTTGTGCCACATTGAAATGCCCTTCTCCGCATATCCAATAGACGACATCGACAGCGAGCCATTCTTTAAAACCATTCCCAACGGAAAGATCACCGAGATTGATGTCGGGATTTCTCCGATTGTCGATCCCATCGCCGTGGCATGTCAACTGCATATGTTGCTGCCCAAGCTGACTACCGTGGACGTCTTCGACTGGGAGGACACGGATGCTGACTTCCCCGTGCCGCCGCCATTCGTACATTTTGAAGATCAATGGAGGAAGGCGAATGAGTTCCTGGGGGTGCTTACTACAAGCGCAAAAATGAGAGAGAAAATGATTCAAGTACCACAGGAGTCCATGTTGGCCTAACAGACCTTGAATGACTTGGATACCTACAAGTATGCCAGTACTTGTCCTCACATCTCAATATTCCCAGTGTAATCATTCTGCCATCATGTGAATATCACCTATACTATAGCGACCAGTCTGTTATCCAGATTTCAGTACCTGTTTATCAACCTACGTTGACAGTTATTGACAATGAGAATACCATTTGCCCAGTGATCCCCGCGAATACGAGTAGCGGCTCCACGGATAACTCATGACGTACACAACTCACAGAACCTTTTAACGGTGCCACATCTACGATAGACTCTCATGATACGACCCACTACTGCGGCTCTTTGCCCACCAACAGGTCGGCTCTCCTGAGTAGGGCGCTAATGATAACACCCTGGCTCGCTGGTGCATATGCACAACACAGGGGCGAATCTATCATCCATGCATTCCGTTGGAATCATCTATCCGTGAGGGCAAAATACGAGACCCTGACAGCGTATCGATACCCAAGGTTCCTTTGAAGCTTTGGGCAGGGTTCATCGTGACAAAGCTCCTGGCTCGGATTGAACGTTCAAGTTCGGGCGAGGAAGTAGAGACTCCGCGAAACCATGTCAAGAGTACGCAATAGCCGTACTAGAATCTGACGGTGGGGCTAGAATCTCAGTCTATCCTTTTTTTGTTGCCGCCGGCGAGAACAACTTGGCGTAGCCTGACGCGAGGAACCCCTGTTAAGTAATAAGTAAGTACTGACGAGCCGTTGCTACCAGCATTTTAGACATTCTCCCATAGTAGCCGCTAACAGAGCCAAGGTAAGTAGCATTATAACACAATGAGAAATGAGCTCACACGTAGATGGACGTGAGAGCACTGCTGTCGAAATTCGCGTAGTCGCGTCTTCGTTTGCGGTGGCACTTCAGGAAGTTCAGCGGTCACCCGCCCGTCTAAGCGAGATGGACAGGTCAAAGCTCAGTGCTCAATTGTCGCTGAACAAGGACCTAGAGAAATGTCAGACGCTGTCAGACGTCGGGTGTAGTTTGATGACTTTCAGTTGTAGCGAACTCTTGCCGAGTCAGAATTGAGTGAGATAGGCTCACTTTCGTACGGGTCGTGAGGTAAAGGGTGTCACGGATATACATCAACTCACCGATCACAGCTGATCAGCGTGACCACTGTCCTTTCTGTGCATGCTGGTACGAATTTCCTTGCAAGATTTATAGCAGTAAGATTCACATCTCAGAACCGGAAAAACCCGATGTCAATATATCATGTCAAGTTCGGAAGTTCTGACAATCAATGAATTTAGTACTATGCATTGCATTGCAGCGCGAATATACAATGAGGAGGGTAAGTGGGTGCCGTAGGGCAGGAGGAGACATCTATTGTAATATAGATTGGAAAGAGGCAGGTATGAAGCTAGTGTCCTGAGGGTTGAGGCTGGATAGTGTCTGGTACTGTGGACGCGACACCGAGGGCACATGAGATGTGATGTAAGAATATGGGAGGGAGGGGAGCAAGGGCAGAAGACGAGTGATGCAAGTGAAAAAGGTCAGTCAACGAAGTAAAACTCGACGACATTACGTACGTTGTGGAAGCTGTGGTCGTGTGCCTTCGCTGAACACACGGGAGAGAAGGACACCGACACCCTCGAACACACCCAAGAGAATGCCACACGCAATTGCAGATCCTAGTGCTGATTTTGGGCCACCTGGGATCCGATACCATGCCATCAGCAAAAATGGAGTAAATAAGAGGGGAAACTGACTTCGTGCGGCCAAACATCCACCCGTCATGAACCCCGAAATAATGGCATTCCACGCATCCTCTTTTTGCCGCCAACCTTTCACGGCACAATCGAAAGTGGAGAACATGCCTCCCCAGACACCAAAGTTTCCGCCTGTGACTGGTGCGCGTGCTTTGATGGTAGAGATAGCACCGACCAAACGTTCGCCCTGTGAGTGTCGATGTCAGGTCGGGTCGAGCTATGAAGGAGAAGGTATGAAAGAAAGATGAAAACTAACCCTAGGGGAGTTCCGTGCACCCTTGATACCGTGCCATATACCACCACCGACAGCACCCATCGCAAATGCGCCTCCAAAGTCATTCAATATGACCCATGGACTTTAGGATAAAGGAGATTAATCAGCCTATTTGTACTTCCCAATGGTTTGTTTTATACGCACCATGGATCTCTAGTGTGGTCAGCATGGGACATAGTGAGGGGTGAAGTAGTCGGGGGGAGGGGAAAGGTGAAGTAGTTAGTGAGCTAGCGGCAGGAGGTTGCGACAGCTCCTCAGGATAAATTTCATTCCCACGATATTAGTCACAGCCACCGGTATAAGCTACACTTGAATTTTTGGATTCATCCCATGTTCAGGGTCATCTATAGCTAGCTTACACCAGTTACTCTTGCTGCTGCCAAAGTACGTCTCTCTGGTTCAGTAAGAGTAACTGGTGCAAGAATACGGCGTCGAGGACAAAGGAACAGTGCCGTAGGCGCGACATCGTTTGTCGTGGGGGAAGGTTCATTCTATTGCAAGACAGTACTAGTCCAGCACCTTCTAGTGAACACGTAGATTATCACCTCGGAAGCGAAGTAACCGGAGATTGACGGAATCAAAATTGTACGCCGACGAAGTTAGCCAGGTGACCTGTGAAAAGGCTGTGAATCGTTGTTAACTACGACGACAACCCAGACGTGTATCTTAGACTGCCAGCAGCAGCAGGCCGATTGCCAACTTATCACTGACGTTGAACGCCATGGATATCTCGTGAGTACGCTCAGTCACAATGATCTCGCATCGATCCCTTAAACACCGATCGCGCTCAGCTCAATCCTCCAGGGTGGATACCAGCACCCCCTGTCGCGCTCCTGGCAGGGTCGCAGGCAGCTTACAAAGTCCATGTTCATGTACCCCATCTTCATCACAGATGACCTTGATGCCAGCGTCGTAATCCCATCGCTGCCCGGTCAATGCCGCTGGGGCGTCAATAAGCTCGAGTCTTTCCTTGGCCCATTGGTAAAGAAAGGACTGCAAAGCGTCATCCTCTTTGGTGTACCCTTGAATTGTGAAAAGGTGAGCCTCAAACCGGCGAGACTGCGCGCGATGGCCTTATAGATCTTTCAGGACGGCCGTGGTACCCCAGCAGACGACCCATCTGGCCCCGTAATCCAAGCTATTAAAAAGATCAGACTGTTATTCCCATCTGTGTACATCGCCTGTGATGTATGTCTGTGCGAGTACACTTCACACGGGCACTGCGGTCTGCTCCATGGTGACGGCACAATCAACACCAAGCCCTCCGTCCTGCGTCTCGCAGAAGTGGCCGTCAACTACGCCAAGGCCGGTGCGCATTGCGTAGCTCCCAGCGATATGATGGACGGGCGTATCAAGGCGATCAAGCAGGCACTCATGGATGCTGACTTAGCCAGCAAGTGCACCCTTATGAGCTATTCAGCCAAGTTCGCAAGCGCATTGTACGGTCCCTTCCGTGATGCTGCTGGAAGCGCACCATCGTTTGGCGACCGCAAGTGCTACCAGCTCCCTCCTACCGCCAAGGGACTCGCACGACGCGCAATAGTGAGGCTCTTTGTCTCTTGTCCATTGCACAACTCATCGTCTTGTTCCTCAGCAACGGGACATGGTAGAAGGCGCAGACATAATCATGGTAAAACCTGCGCTCCCATATCTCGACATCATTTCGGATGCTGCACAGCTCGCACCTGACCATCCCCTGGCTTGCTACCAAGTCAGTGGTGAGTTTGCGATGGTCCACGCTGGTGCTGCTGCAGGCGTCTATGATCTGAAAACCATGGCGTTTGAGACTACAGAGAGCATGGTCCGGGCAGGTGAGTAGATCAATATTGGCTTCTCGGTGCTCTGACACGACTTCATAAAGGCGCGACCCTGATCCTCTCATACTTCACGCCGGACTTCTTGGACTGGTTGGAGGTGTAAAATTTTAGAAAACAAAATCGATGCCGTATGGAGGCCATGGACGGCACTAAAAGGCACTCTATTTATCAACTAACGTGTAAACTCGACTCGTTGTGGGTGTAATATATGTCTTCTTGGCGGTGTATACTTCCTGAGCGCTGAGCTCGGTCCACTTGAAAATGAGGATGGGATGTAATGGACGCCAAAATCTAACATCTTATTCTCATTCTCAAGTGAACTCGGTCATCTAACATCACGTTCTCATACCCAAGCAATTGCATGTTGTCCCGTATGCTTCCTGGTAGACTCGTGACCACTTGCCTCACATGTTTTGAGGTGTCAAGGGGGGAATATTGCCACACGTACAGCTTATTTTCACTTCACTGAAATAAGGACGAGACTACATAGCTTCCTGTTGGCTTCCTGGCTCGTGATGATTGAGACACGCCGTGAACACGTGACCGTGCTAATTGAAGAATACTGGGTTTGTTTATTGTACGCGCCTTTTCCGATAGAACCACGATCATCATCGATGGCAGGCCAGCCAAAGACAACCGTAAGGCGTCTATCTCAAGTCTTTGTCGAAATTCCCTCTTCAGCATTGCACAAACCCAACAACAATAGTACACCAACTACCAGTAACCCCGCGCACATGTCAAGCCGCAAAGAAAACGCGTTGCGCGCATCCGTCTCTCAAAACACCGTCATGAACAAGTCTTCCAAACGCAAAGCAGCCGAAACGCACGAGCAACCGGCTAAGAAAACAAAGATTCAAATAAAGCCGGGTGATACGCGCCGTCCCCTTGCAAACGCCACTCCGGACTTTCCGAATGGCTTTGTTTATTGTCATCAATGCAACAAGAAACGCGACGCACTTCTCACCGTCCAATGCACACGTGAAGACGCGAAATCTAACCGACGGTGCATCGCCAAGTACTGCGGCCCCTGTCTCAAGAACCGCTATGGGCTCGCGCTTCAGGATGTCTTGTCTACCAGTACCGCCCCGGCAGGCGAGAAGAAACGGCATGTATCGGGCGAGGGGTACTTTTTCAAGTACGTCGTGATTCTGATGCTCTATATGCGTTTGAAACTGAGTATATGCGCGGTGCTTGTGCTCACTTAGGTGTCCCCGATGTGAGGAGACGTGCAATTGCGTTACCTGCAGGAAGGCAAAGGGCCTTGAGCCCACGGGGTGTGTACCACGCGTTATGCCACGACTTGACCACTAATTATATCGCCCCGCATAGGAACCTTACTGTCACAGCGCGCAAATCGGGGCTTCAGTCAGCCGCAGATGTCCTACTGCAAGATCCAACTGCGGCTGTAGGTGTCTAGTTCGGTGCTAACCTCCCAACGCTGACGAATGCGCACAGGGCCCGATGGCAGGTAAACCTGTATCTGAGAAGAAGTCGAGAACATCCAAGTCCGCGCTCCAGCGTACTACAAGTACCACCAGTAAATCCAAGTCCGGATTCATTAAGAATCATGCGCATATATCCACTCCTGCACCACCTCCAGCCCCGAAACCGCTTCCCAAGGCTCTCTGGACACCCGTCCGTACACATCTCTCCCTGCACGGAGCGGAAGCCCGCATCTACATCCGTGAATTTGCACTTCGATTCCTCCCCCTGTCGCGTGCACACCATGATGAACTCGAGTTTCTCTCCCGCTCTCACCGGGGTTTTGACGACGACGACGACGACGACGGAGATTTAGAACCCTGGGTTTCAGAAGGATGCCTGAAAGCACTGCTGATTGCATTGTTAGGCATGATAGAAGTAGAACCCAAGGTGTGTTTCAGTCTTCTCCCTCCGTCCCGTTCCACTCATCATTCTGGTTCCCATCAGATTCTCTCCACAACAGCCAACGCGCTCCATCAGCAGGCGTTCCTCTTCAGGATCGTCAATACCTTGAGCACCCTGAGCACCCTCCCTTCCCTTGCTCTCCCATGTCCTACACCCGCTCCAGAGCACCTCCTTGAGTCCGTGCCGATCATCAGAACCCGTTCCGCCCGCAATCCGTCTCACCCGCAGAAGGCCAATGAAAAGAGCAAGGAAACAGACTGGCCCGAAGTAGTCCGCACCTCACAGCTTATACCCGTCGTCGGTGCCCTTGTAGACCATGCAATACAAGGACAGGCAGTGAGGGATACATTGGAGGAGGGCGTAAAGGAAGGAAAAGAATTGACCAGGGAAAGCGCAGAAATGAAGAGAGCTTTGGATCGGGCTGAGAAGGAGAGAAAGGAGAGGGAGAAAGCGGAGAAGGAGCAACTGGATAGGGAGAAAAAAGCGCAGGGGAAAGACAAGAAGGCGAAAGGGAAAGGCGGCGTCACTGCCAAGGAGAAGGAGAAGGCACCGCAGGATGCGAAGGGCATAGAGAACGGACCGACGCATACGCTGACGCCCCAAACTGCCCTGACCCTTGCCTTATCCTCCTATACCCAACGCGTCGCACCACTAGGTCGGGACTCAGAAGGCAGAGTATACTGGGCTCTGACTCCAGGGCGAGGAGAGAGAGATGCTTCACGCGAATACCTTGCCTCCAATGGTGAAGTCGGGGAACGAGACCAAGGGTCCAAGATTAAGAGCCACAAAGCCAAGTCGAAATTACCGTGGACTCCGCCCTCCCTTTCAGAACGCGCGTCACACAAACGATGGAGCTGGTTCGTAGCTGTGTGGGGTGTGCGGCCGGGTCTTGAAGAGAGACTAGATCCTCCAAAGGATGAAGACTACTCAGAAGATGATTCCGAGTCCGAGCCCGAACTTGATTCTGAAGCGGATGACGAAGAAAAGAGCAAGAAACCAAGGAAGACGAAGAATAAGTCAGAGAGTTCCAGATGGTACGCCTTCTCAGACCCCACAGAAATCTTCAAGCTTGCGGAGTGGGTAGAGCGGAAGGCTGGACTTGAGTCGCGTTCGGGGAAGTCAAATCCGCGAGTTATATCAGCCTTGCCTTCTCGCGCGGCGTCCGCATCGACGTCCCATGCAGTTTCGGCCTCAAACGCCAACACGTCAGCGTCCACCTCCCGTGCAGCCTCATCCTTCGACTCGTCCGCGGATAAACTCAGTAAAGCCTCGAAATTTGCCGACTCGCTCTTAGCAAATGTTAAAATGATCCCCTCATCTGAGACCGACGAGACCGAATCTGACGCCAGCGAGGACGAGTCCAGTGATGAAGACCAGAGCGAGGATGATGATATGGATGTGGATTCGCCCGTAGACTTTGATGACACACCCCGCACACCCCAGCTCCGATCACTCGTCCGTGAACTCCGAGCGTACGCGGAGCTGTTGAAGAAACGAGCTTAGGTTGAGACATATGCGCAGGCCGGGGATTTTTTTCCCCCTTGGACTTCGCGTGCGTTCTCCCACCTCCGCATCCATTGACTTTACACATCCTGTATTGCTTCAGCTCCAACAGTAACATGCTCCGTTTATTTCCGTTCCATAATTGATCGGCATCCTACTTTGACTCTCTGACAATTAATCGACTCTCGACTGCCTTGCTCAACCATTGGTCCTATACATCATATCTTACGAGGTTCCGCATCTTCATATTCGACGCCGCCCTTTTTCCACCTCCGCCGTCTTTTACTTATCAACCGACTTTGCATCGCTTTATGCGCATGGACAGCGGTACACCTATTATACATTGCACAGACTGGGCGCGTTGATTCGTAGACTTATTCACGTTTAGACAGATACCTATCCCGCTGATATTTTTTAACATAATTCCTGGTCCATACGATTCAATCCGATCAACTGTTAGGCTTCAAAGAAACGGCGAGGAAGGGGTGGAATAGTAGATCTGATTGACAACGAACAAGGGTGATTTCATCACTGCTGCCTTTAACCTCATTCTGCTAAGGGTGTAACACATTCTGCTTCGCCACGAGATAAAGGAGGCCTATATAGAACGATCACTTGGCGCTCAAATCTGATCACTTCCGGTTATCGATGGGATGTTCCATAAACGATGACGGGCATGCCGTAGTGTGTACTGATTTATAGACTCATGAACAGTCCGTCTATGAGGCAAACCGTCGATAGACTTCGAAGTTGCTTGTCCGCACAATAGCCTCCCTAGTGTCTGCGCGCTACTAGTGCCAGATGTCATGTGGACAGTTTCCCCCTCTCTGCTTCTCTCGACCAGATGATTTATCGACTTCCAGAACCGTTACCAGCGAATCGATGCAAACGCATATTGCAACCTATAAAATGTATCGTCATCGCCCTTGACGGTTCTATGCGCTATGGTGAATTGGAGTGCGGTTTCAAATTCGTCATCTTAGGTGATGCCTTCATAGATTGTACACCCTTTGTTATCTTAGGACCGCGTTTCTCGCCCTTATGTTTCTCACTAGTGTTGCATAAGTGTGATTACCTGCGTACCGAATCGAGGCAACAGTAAGTTTCAGTAAGCAGACATTTTTGTTCGACCATGCGGTGGTATCGGAGCAGCTCAATCACTGACATGCTCCAACCCATCACCCTGGCCTGGGGCAACATCTCCTTGCAATCATGGTTCAGGCACATGTCGATCTCGATCTTTGAGAGATCTGAATGCATCAGCAGGACGAAAGTAGGAATGGTATTTTCTGCAATGCTACTGGTCAATTTATTTGTATCTAAACTATAACACGTATCATTATGTAGGTCGGGTGAAGTCCCTCCGCACTTGCCTCTGGATAAATGAGAATTGTATATTCTACGACCGTCTCACAGCTGGCAACCGGCTCAAAGGCCACAAGCACTGGGTCACATGTGCTTTCACCCGTCTCGTCACTTCTCAGCTGACAACAGGATCCATCCGTTACACACTTCCTCCATCCCTCTCGCTTTTGTTATGAGGATCTCATCAGCAGATTAAAGTTACGATACGCAGTTCTTCTTCAGCGAGCATACCAGCGTACATTCCTAGATGGATCACGGTTATACCACCAATGCTACTGAGATGCGCCCTCCTTAACCTAGTGTCCTTACCATCTCGCACACGTGTTTCTTTTTGCAGGGACGGAGCGGAGCACCATCGCAAGGCACTATAAGACGAGTCGACGACAACACTCTATTAATACTAAGAAACGACTTGCATCAAAGGATCAACGTCGGTGCAATCCGTTGACCCAGAAGCTCTTTAGTCAATGCGACAATTTTATTTATTTTGTTTCCATTTATGTCCTATGGAGAGTAATACTCTCTACGCAGGACAATACTACTCCCAGTGTCCCGGACGCATCTCTGAGTGCACGAATACCCTGATGTGGGGCGTACCCCCATCAGTCCGCCGTTCCCGCCGGCCGTCATGCGACGATTAGTACCCAAGAATGACGAGGCTTTGAGGATCAACGTTCTGCATGCCATGCAAATACGGTACAATCACCTGAACGACCGAAACGGCCTGTCGACCGTCTTTGAAGAATGCAACTTCACGCACTGGATTCAAACCCTTTTCTTCGAGGAAGTTGTAGTGGACCCTCCACCATAACCCGTGTTCAGGAAGATGAGCAGCGGAGGTCGAGGCCATCCTCAGAAAAAGTGCCAGCTGAGCTGTGATGTGAACTACAAGTAAAAGTGTCGATTCAGCCACAGGCAGAATTTTCCAAATACATACCTTTGTATGTACACCGTAAAGTGTGATGAGATGATGAGGATGAGCCGTGATATAAAGAAGCTCGAACTTAAGGGATTTAAGTGAGAGGGATGCGGCTGCTAGTGAAGACGCGCTTCATGTGACACTCAGAGTGAGTAAATGAAAGACGTGACCATCGACAGAAGAATGAGATATGAATCATTAGTTGAAGACGACATATTGCTGATTCTTTTTGTGTGTGGGAAGGTCTGGCGAGCCACCACGCTCAAAGCAATGATCCCGAGAAGAGAATATATGGCTCTATAGTGATCCCAATGAGCTGACCGTCGAACGCGAAACAACGGGCAACACAAAAAGTACATACTCTCGAGTATGCCTTCGCATATACTCAGCCTCGCATCCTTGATGACGGCTGACCTTCTAAACGATGATGTGCTTCTAGTCTCGAACAAGGAGCCGATATCGTGGCTCTGCATGGTCTGCACTTGCGGCAGTGAGCCAGTACACAAGATGTCGTCGCCATTGTACCATTTATGCTTGGAATGTACGATTGAAGATTGCGTGCTTGATTATCAGATCACGGGTCCGTCTGCGCCTGCCAGTTACGGAAACTGATAACCCATGATATAACTCTGAAGTGTCATGGCAGGCAAAGTGTGTGCACGGATACACGCTGAGGATATTTACAAAATAAGTAGGATTGAACCCGATGGGGCTATTCTTTCCATGATTAGATGACGCCGAGATGTCGCACTCCTGCGCTTCGTGTCATCGTGGAGAAACCATGCGGAGAGGTAGGTCACCAGTCCTCGCAGTGATGATCGTGCGACCGAGAAGTAATGAACTCGGGCGGGCTGTTCGATCAGGTGCTAGTTATTTCAATAAGACGTTTTTGACCATCGACTGCTAGAAATGGAGGGATATCTGCGATTGAGCTTTGCGAGCAGAACATCTAGGGAGAGACATGTCCCGTGATTTTTAACAGCAGGTCATCATCTTCGATGGGGCGCACAACACAACGGGACAGCCTATCTGCAAGGCATACCGCCAAGACATGTTTGCACTACCAGCGGCATCATGCATCAACGTGCTACTACCGTAGAGATGTAAATTCGCACCATGAGATGGTTCTCGGATATTAACACCGCATATGCGAACGAGGGGCAGGTGCAATAACTAGACACAGCTGCGGATGCAGTATGGAGGTGCGGAAAGACGGTGTAAGTTGAAGTGGTACCCAGAACTTCGTAGTGATGCCGGCCCCAAGAGGTCTTGTACTTAACAACTGAAGAGATCTGTCATTCAGCTGAAAAAAGTCAATTGGAAATATTACTCACCGCCGTCGTGATCAATAATGTCTAAAGCAGCTATAATCGTCGCATCTGGGAGGACAGCGCGAAGCATTTCAATGCCTTCTTCGACTAGTGACATGCGCCGAGTTTAAAATAAGCATATTTTGCGAGAGAAGATAGGGCATACAGCTCTCTTCGTCCGAGTCGAACGCTTGGATGCTCGCTTGTAGAACATGCCTAAGGTGTATTGGACTTTCGACGGGCATCATTGACTGGAGTGATCATAGTTAGAGCTTGCCAATTAGTGGTTACTTATGTAATACTCTACTATGGGTTTGTTTAGATCCAAAGCCTTTGCCAAACAACGCGGGTGGTACTTAAGTCTAAACGTCGATCATGTTTCCTAGCGTACTTACCAGAGTGTCTCCCTTGGCTTTGCACACTCGTCCAAAATCTTTTAAAACTCCTTTTGAAAATGGTCCTTGAATCTTTCCCTTATGACATCATTCGTCACATTTTCTCTCTTCTACAGCAAGGTGGCAGCTTGGGCACTTTATCCGCTCTCGCATGTACCAGTCGCTCAATCCATGAAATTGCTGTCGACGCTCTTTGGGAGAACCAACAGTCGCTCTGGCCACTGATTCTTTTGTCGCCATTATCTCTGCTTGAAACGGTTCCTTCACTGTCCAATCGAAGTCCAATTGTGCCACATTGGTTCACAGTAAGTATATCATGTCACGGGCTTGGAACGTTCATTATGCTAATTTTATTACCCCAGTTTTTTTCTCGAGCTCTACACTGTTCGACATGGGATAGGGCACTTCATTACGGTTCCCGCATCAGGCGGATCTGCTTCAGCGGAATCTCTCACACCGCATACAATACGCTGCTCGCAGAGAGGCCCTCGCCTCTCTTTCCAAATATTGCCCATGAAAGGGAATCCGACATACTATCGCGTCTTCAACTATTTGTTGAAGGGTCTCCGGGCTTACGATCCTTGACGGTAAAATATTGTCCCATGGGAGTTCCGGCGTCAGTTCTGGGTGCTGCACTAGGCTGCCTCACAGAAAAGTACTCTATGCTAGAGCAAGTACACATCATGATCTTCCCGTGCTGTTGTTATGGTGCCGCTGTGCTGCACGTGCCCGTATTCTCCAGTGGGCAGACCTATGTGCGCCTCACAGCTGTGGATATGCTGTCTTCGCAACATGATGCCAGGAATAGTTACCAGCCAATGCTGACGGTACCTGCAGAAATCGTCAGAGAACTTGGGAGGATGCCTTGCCTTCAAGAGGCGGATTTCAGTTTACGTCTTGACGCGGACAAGCCTTTCGAGACAATTTCGCAGGTTTTTGCTCGGGATGACCCATATTCTAGGAGGTTCGGGCGCCCTCAAGAAGCTTAGGCTACGCACAGAATTTGTGGGGCATGCCACAGCGGTTTTGGAAATGATTGATTCCCGATCAATGCAGGACCTCACGCTTTGGGTGGATGGACCGGTGTCAGTCCTTGCCTTCTACTCAATTGCGGAGCTACTGTCTTCCAATCGCTCAGACAGGTATCAGCTGAACTTCATCGACATCAAAAACCTTAAGTTCATCGCACAGAAATAGTTTTGGGAGCCATCCGACACCGTAATCCTTGGTCAAGGGACTCCAGTTTCTATGCTCTCTCCTTTATTCGCATTCCGTGCCTTACGCAGCTTCAAGATCGATCTCATCGATACGGTAGCTGTTGATGACGCCATCGGCGGACCGATGCCAGTGATTTGCAGAGACGACCTGGAGATGATTCCTCAAGTATGGAGGGATATCGAGGAACTGGAGATACAGTGGCTCAGAAGTGGCACGGAGACAGACACGCGTATCGACGAGGATGGTGAAACATGGGAATCAGAGGCACCTACACTGGTCGATGTTGCGCTATTGGCCAGCCGGTGTGAGAAGCTTGTCTCACTAGGAATGTGGTTTAATGCCCTAGATTGGTTTGATGACGATCCGAAAATGGATTCCATCGAAGAGGTGGAAGTGGAGGACTTGGAGATGTCATACAAATATCAAGAAACATACACCAACAGCCCGGGTACATCGCCTCATGCTGCTGCCATCAGCGCACATCTGGATCACTCGGACGAAGGACCGTTATCTAGCACACTTCGTGGACTCTGGGTTGGATTGTCCCCAGTCTCAAGTGCAGCAAGCCGGCGCGTGTCCAAATTTGTTCACAGCCGATTCCCTCATGTGGCTGGGTTTGCATGGCCAACCTGGCATGCGGATGAATGGTCACTCGTAAACGATACTTTCTTTGCGATGTATCCCCGCGAGAAGTTCGACTTGACCTGGTTATATAGTCGTGTGTGATGTAGTAGACGAGTCATGGAGTCTAATCGTCGCAGCATACTCATGTATATGAACCATCGCCAGGCGCCAAAGTCCGGTTGTTCCGTATACTTGCTGTATACCTTGGTCAACGACTGCGTGTTTGGATCAAAAGCTCTTGCCAAACAACACCTCAAATATCAAATATCAAAAGATAAACCTCTTTTGGAAATGACGCATCCAGAAATATCGTCCAATGCCTCCAATGGAGTACCTTTTCGTGTTCGCTCAATCACATGAAGAATTCCGTGTACCCGAGCTACTCTCTATATCGGAGCTTCATGGGTTTGCGATAGGCTTTGATCGCTACGCCAGTGTCCTCGAGGAAGCAGTCAAACGACCATTCATGATCCTGATGCTCGACAAGGAAGAGCATGCAAAAATTTTGGCTCAGAGATGTATCATGATAAAGTACGTATCCGTAATCCTCATTAATGGTCTGCTCAAAAGACGTCTAATCAGGTCTATTCATGAGTTTTACGCCGAAGGCACATCCTATGAGGCGCTGCACGAACAAACGCGACGAGCTCGCCCGCAATGGGAGCGGTACATCCCAGACACATCGTTTAAATTTTCTGTTCTAGGATACAATTTCACAATCGGTCAACGTCGCCAGCGTGAGATCATCGAGAGCTTCGCATACATGGACTTCTTGGGTAAGATTGACATGAAGAACCCAGAAGTTACTCTCACAGTTTTTGAGGAGTGTATGTTTTCGATGTTTTTATGTAGCATTGTCGCGCAACTTAGGCTGAAATTTGCGTGCGATCATCAGACGAGAGTAGCCGAGCACCCGATGGTGGACTGAACAAGGATGGGGAATTCAAGCAAGTCTACTTCGGCAGGTTGGTACGTTCCATACACTTCTTACCCGTTCATTAGCTGAAATTGTCACTCATCTTTAGGTTGCAGATGGAACTGCACGCACACTGATGGGAACCTTCGACGTCAAGAAACGCCAGTATTTCGGGAACACCAGCATGGAGGCTGAGATTTCCCTCTTGATGGCGAATCAAACGCTAGTATGTTTGCCCCGTGCTTGCTTATGATGGCATCGGTTTACGCCGCCACAAGGCATCCCCTGGAAAACTGATCTACGACCCATTCATTGGCACCGGTAGCATGGCATATGTTGGTCAACTATTCTTCGCCCGGAATTGGTGCTGATGATTTCGCCAGACAACAGCCTACTTTGGCGCTCTTGTCTACGGTTCGGATATTGACGGGAGACAAATGCGTGGAAAGGGCACGTAATCCACTCTTGCACGCGTCTTTGTGTGCCAACACCCATTCCACAGATAAAACTCCAGGTATCCTTCGGGCTGCTGCACAATACGGCGTAGCATCCCGTATCATGGATCTCTGCACGTTTGACGTCACAAATCACCCGTGGCGTTGTGGCAGCCTCTTTGACGCCATCATCACCGATCCACCCTGTATGCGTATTCCTCATCGACAGCATCAGTTCTTTAAATGACGTGCGTGTTGCAGATGGTGTTCGCGCAGGAGCAAAACGCCTCGGACGCAAAAAAATCCGTGAAGATCGGCTCCAACCCGCCGGCCCACGACCGTAAGTTCTTGACCTCCGATATTTTATAGGCTGACAGCATATCTCTGATGTAGAAATGAGCCTTACATACCCCCAACGAAGCCTTACGAACTTTCTCAGCTCATCACGGATCTTGTTCAACTTGCACGGTATCTCCTCCGCCCAGGCTGGACGTCTCGTGTTCTTCCTGCCTACGGTGAGTGACGAGTATGCCCTACCCGACATCCACGCGATGCTGTGCGAGGGGATGGAACTTGTGGCGAATAGCTTGCAAGATTTTGGAAGCTGGGGGCGGAGGGTAAGTTAGTAAACCTTCTTATCTTCAGGTTGCTTGTGGTGTTGATGTACTTGAACAGCTGATCACGATAAAGAAGACCGCCTATGCAGAGTACCTGCCTCCGTCGTTTGATTCCGTGAAGGGAAACGGAGGTTGACGGGAACATGTACGTTCCTGCGCATAAAGATTTTAGAGAGAAGTATTTCCAGGGTTTCAAGAAGGACGGCGAGAGATGAGCCTTGTTTGTACTTTTTCCATTCGCACAAATCAAGCCCTTGCAACAACCTCTGCTAATACAAGTCTGTCATACACTACAATCCGTCTCACGACTTGAGCCTGAAGAAAGGAAATGCAATGATAAAGAGTGTCTGGCGGCACTGGAGAAGCGCACGTTCGAAACTTCTTAAGCTGCGTCGTGGCACTCACTCTGTAGTGGGTTGTGAATATGGGTCTAAGTCTAATGAACACAATGAGACAACGCCCAAGGAAAACGTCTCGAAAAAATGTTGAAGTGCTTGACAACCTAGCTTGCGATCAAGGAAGGGGATGATGAGATCCGGACAAGGTTCATGATTCGCAAAAGATATATGAATCAAAATCACAAATAAAATCTCCACAATCCACGAGAATTGTCGGTCAGCGACCGTCCGGTCTTGGTTCTGATAATTAGAGTGATCAGTTTAAGTCTTGTTTGCTGAAATGTCAGTACTTACGTGACCACTGTACGCTCAAAATCAGATTATCATAGCCTTTGCCATTTAATTTTTCCATCGCCCGCTGCGCAATAGCGCGCTCTTCAAAGGACACAAAGGCGAATCCTTTGCCAATACCCGTCTCTCGATCACGGCCGACGTAAACCCTCGCCACACGGCCAAACGTGCCGAAAAGCTCACGAAGATCGGACTCTTGTGTGTCTTCGGAGATGTTGGTGACACGGAGCGTGGGGAGGTCTTCACGATTGCCGCCTGGACGTCCCATGGATTCGCCAGGACGAGAAGCTCCGCCACGCATTGATGGTGGTACATATTTGCCGCCAGTTGCCCCGCTGGCTGCGGGAGCAGGCGCGTCAGCCGTGTCATCAGCAGGTGGTAGGTCTGTGCGTGTCGGTGTCAATGAAATCGAGGATAAAGCATGCGGAAAAAGTACAAACCAGCAGTTTCGAGACCGGCCAGAGAGTCCTTATACGGACACTTGGCGGTAAAGTGATCGCCTTTGCAAAGACGACACATAACCTTGCCTGCACCAGCCTTTGCAAGTTCGGTTTTGATGTTTTGCTCGGGCGTTACCTCCGGCTCGGAGGACTTATTCCCTGCACTGATTTTCAAAGCCACATTCTCCCCCACTGTAGTTGTCGCTCGATCTGGTCCTTCCTTGTTCCCTCGTTCCTTGCCAAACTTGGCCCACTTTCTTGCGTTCTGCAACTGTGTGCTCGACTACAGATTTTTGAAGGGTGCGTTTTATTTTGCGGGTGATCTTACAGCAAGTACAGATGAGATAGCATGCAGACCACCGGAAGGTGGGCAGACGTACCTTGACCTTCTTTCCTTCGTCATTTATAGCATACTCGGTGGTGACACGGATACCATTTCTCATCCACGTAATCCTCGATCTTCGGTTGTTCTACTTGAGAACGTCAGACTTTGATATGATTGTGGATCCAAGAATAAGCGTTCACCAAGCTCGTCAACATCATCCTGCCCAGGACGTTTTCGGTATACTGTGGAAGACTTGTAAATTGAGAGCCCGAATATGAAGATCGGAATCCCAAACCTACGTTGCTGCCGCCATGTTATCGTGAATATGTTGCTGGTGGTGAGCAGCTGCGTGCAAACTTCAAATTGTGACGCTTATGTAAGCGCCGCCGAGTCGTTTAATTATTTTAATACTTTTACGCTGTTCTGACTTGAGGACGTTAACCTCAGCAACCGTCCGATGACAAGTGTGTGCTAGTGGTGGTGCGCAACGAAAACCAAGTAAATTTCCCGGTCAACAGTCTCACTTGCACATTGCACAGAGCAAAGAACTAGTCATCTTCATGATGGCCATAAACGCGGTAGGGTAGACTTCGAAATTGAATTTGTTCGATGTGCTCTTGACTGGGGATCTGGGGTTCACACCAGCAGGCATGCAGCAAAACCACTAACTATGGGCTTGTAGGAGTAAAGAGCCATAGCATAGCATTCCTTGATATGAAGTACTATTTGTGGCCAATGAAACAAACCGATCTTTTGTTGGAGCAAAGACTCGCCCCAAAGTGATCTTACGTCCAGGAACCTTTGTGACCAGCTGCTGGTCAAAGAGATAGATGATAAATATGTCGCACTACTTCTCAGCTCAACATTTGCACTTCTTTTCGGTTAACACAGATACCAGGATGCAATTGTAATCTCCATTCACTGCACCGAATACGCCGACACATTTTGCCAGTAGCTACACGCGTCTAGCTCAGCACTTCGGTAAATTGCAAATATGGTGCAGTACTCACGCGCAACGCTCTAGTAAGGCCATATCAGTCTTGAAAGTGTAAACGTCAGGTACTCCCGCGGATGTCTCGTTGAACATCATCTCTGTGAAACCATGTCGCCAAGAATCCCAGGAAGGTGTGATGTCTCCTGGGGTGTATCGGTCGTCAGGAGTCTCATGCATGGTCATAGCCATGAATGAGTTCGAGAAAGCAGTGATGAACTGGGAATTGTTGTACGCAGGACCACCCCTGAAGCAGTATGAATCAGAGTAGGGGTTGACCCATGGCATCAACTTACGAAGTGAAGTAATATGCAATATCATTTCCATGCAGGCCAGGTGGAATTGCAAACTCGGCCTGCCTTTGTTGAGCATACATAAATTAAGACTTGTCTCGAGCTTACCTTCCAAGCTCGCTCTCCAAATGCTTTGAGGAGATAATAAGTAGGGCAAACAAGTATTGCTGATTCGACTCAGGATCAGGGACAATGATGAATTCCCTCGAAGGACATACGTACATTCACCCATCGCGAGATTTGCCTGATTGACGTTGCTTCCCTGGTTCTGGTACATCATCACTGCTCCTGCAGCCTGAGCAGAACCGAAGTTCGGGAAAAGCGTTTTGACATAATCTGCGATATCCAATGTCGTTGATTGGTCCACGAAGATGTTCCCCTCATGCGAATTGGTTACGGCAAGAAGGTAGTTCTAAGGGGAAAGGGCGTGAGTTTCGTTGATGCGATAGAATTCTTAGACCATACACCATTCAAGCGACCCTTGCTAATTGTCACAGTAGGTCTCTCCACAATGAAAGTGCCGTCCACAACAGGGACGAATACGAACGTGCCAGAGAAGCCGTTGATGTTGATGTTGTAGTTCAAGGTTTGCAGCGTACTGGTGTCTGCAGCGCGCAAACAAGAGAGGGTATCCGAACTTGAGCTACAGCTGAGTTGAGTGTATTAGCTCGGGAATGGATATATGTAACCTTTGAAAGGACTCGCTTTGTTCCATCGACGACCTCGCTGTACAGCATCTGGTAGTGGCATTCAGGACGCCACATATATTGACCTCATACAAAATTCACCTCTGGAATTTGGTCATCATAGTTATATTGTGATGGCAAGAACGTGGAACTCGTCATGGCAGCTCTGAAGAGGGGAGGCTGCGTGTTTCCCCCATGAGCAACAAGATGCTGCAGCACGGAACCAGCACCTGAAATGACAAGTGTAATAAACAAGGGCTGACAATGACGAAGAGTACATAACGCAGCTTACCAGCAGACTCTCCCCAAATCGTTACCTTCGTGGGGTCACCGCCAAAACTACATATCTATCCAGGAAAAGTTTCCTATCAGCTGAGGTACAACACTCAAGTAGATATTTTGCTCACGTAGGCCTGGACCCACTGTAACGCATAATTTTGGTCGACTTTAGAATATCACGCTCAGCCGAGTCTGAAGAACTGTCAGACCATGATGATCACGTACGTAGTCCAGCATTGAGTGCACCCCCTTCTTTGACCGCTTCTCCAGGTAGGAAACCTGGCAGCAGTGTATAAGTTTGAAAATACGAAGAAGTAGCGAAGCCATACCGAATAAACCGAGGCGATACTGGACTAAGACCGTAATGACACCGTGATTCGATTCCATAATTAGATCTGCGCCATTGAATGTGCTCGCAGCTCCTTCAATATACCTGTACCGACATTGATTTATCGACAGAGGAACATTGAACATGCTACTCACCCTCCTCCGTGAATCCATACGACAACTGGGAGCCCTGCCGACGGGGTGGCCACCACTTCATTTCCGGGAGTGTATACACTACCGGATGCAACCACCAATCTTAAATATCATCATCATCGTTCCATGGCAGGGCTTACTTCAAGAATAAACAGTCTTCTGACTGACTGATAGCCCTTTTCCTCATAGAGGCGCTTTCAAAGGGATTTGTCGAAGAATTACCTACGGAAGCTTGATAACATTCATTTGGTTGTGTGGTAGCTTGTTGAACCCCGAGGATGGTCGATGGGGGCTGAGGGGCTGCCCATCTGAAGTTGCCTATGTGTTTAGTGCGTAAACTGAGATTGTATACAACACACGAAGCTGGACGCACCAACTGGAGCAGCCGCGTACCGTATTCCAAGAAAGCTAGTGATGTTTGTTACTGTGTCCACTGATCCCTGGTATTGAGCATAACCTAAGTCGATGGTAGGTGCAGATGTGGTGGTTGCCGGAGAAGATAATGCTTCTAGTGCAAGTAAAACCTGTGACAAGGACAATAGTTTGGCTTTAATCGACATTTTCAATCTCATATATCGCGCAGTGAGAGACAACTCCGATCAGGGTGGCGAAATTGCGCTACCTGACGCATGTGGCATTATAAACGCTACGAGGGCGGGGTCCGAGATGACATTAGGTGCATGAAACGTTTATTCGAGGATATCCGGAACGATCGCGTACGAGCGTAGTGTGGCACGGGACACGATTCGTCCGTTCACGGTGCGGATTGGGTGAGGGAGTGAATCATGCTGAACAAATATATTGGCTAGCACTATAGTGGTCGTGCTGACCGTGGACTCGTGAAGAACGCTTCTTCGAGTACAACACTTCTGGCCCCTGGGTCATCCGTCCCTAAGACTGATCTCTCCCACACAGTTCGGGCCGTCCGCTACGTAGAGCCTGACGAATGGATGAATAGTTACACTGTCACTTTTGAGTTTGTTTCTCAAGTTACAGAAGAGGTGAAACCTACATGACGGAGGGCATTGATTTAAATTTGACATCAGTGTTATCACGGTACGTACGGTACATACCCAGTCGCCGTCCCGAATCCTTATATACGAGAGGGATCGCCATGGTCCCGTGGATTGGAAGATTTGTATATCTAAAATGGCCGGCGGGAACGGCGGACCGAGAGAGGTCAACCCTTCATTGCCGCATTCGCAGAATCGGAGACGCAGTGAGGGACACATATGACCCCTTTCCTAGATAGCAATGTCCTACATAGGATATCACAGTCCAACAGGTTACAGGACATATTGATAATCTGATTCAAAAAAAACATGCCCAGTCAATCAATCCAGAAGTATGCTCCACCTCGTGAGAGACTAGGGAGCCGTGATCGTAATGCTTGTATACCTTGAAGGCCATTATTACTACGAGTGGTAGTACAGCGGCGGCATAACGCGGATTGCATATTTTTTGACGATTTCGACACCGGGTGCACCAAGGACCAAGGATTGTTATGAGCATGGTTGAACTGGGGGTATCACAGGTCCTAGGAGGGGTGCGTTGGAGTGGGTTTGCGAGGGGAACAGGACACAAACCTGAGAATGTATAACCGGCGAGTAGAATAAGACAGAGAAGATACAGCTTGAAGGTTGTTACTCACGTAGTTGACTTTGTCGGCCCCAGTGAGTATCAATGCTTAGTACAGTACTTCCTGACACCGACAAAGTCACGACGACAGGGACCCTCCCGCCCTACTCCGCATCTTTTATCTGCTGAAGAAGTATTACCGTAAGAGTACATGTGATGTGCCGTCTTTAAAACCCTCCCTCATAGTAGCAGTTCGACATCGGGATACGGTTTGATTCTGAATCCACCTGCTTTTCCGTTACTACTAGCGGTACCCAGAAGTTCAGAAGTTACCTCTTGCAATTGGATCAACCGAATAAGACTCCCAGAACAATGTATTGAAGAGAACTTTCCTGTCTCAACCGAAACCTTGTTGAAGTTCTCTACATCGCACAGTCTTCAGTACCACGTGCCAAGTCATGACACGTTCCATCAGCTTCATTGGGAACAGTGGAATTCCGAGGGACGTGTATCCAGGTTCCTGCGACAAAATATGCTCCTCGGTGTCGATAGATGCAGCATTCCTCGTTTGACTAGACCGGACGTTCAAGCATCTCGAGGGATTTGGATGCACTAACTTGCAAAACATCAAGGAATGAACGAATAGATCGTGAAAGTGCAGCTCACCAAACCCTCCTGCCATTCGGTTCGAATTGATGATCGACGCCAACGTGGCTGCTGTAAATCGCGCTCGGCTGGAAGGACTGAGAAGTAGGAGTCCAATCGATGTCACATGCGGACGGACTGATGTGGGAATGACATTCCTTTTAGGCTGGACAGTACTATCGGTTACGGTCTATTCGTGACGAGCCTCCATTTCGTGAGTCACACTTTTGGGCATGGAAACGTGATGGCTTGTCACATGGTGTAACGGTATGTCACGAAATTCACCGCGAAAAAGCGTGACTCACGAAATGACGGTCCATCACGAATATAGATCGTAAGGGATAGTGGTAAACATATCGTTTAGACGGACTGCAGGTGAGCAGAAACCCAATTACATGTGATAAACATTCACACAGCCTGATCCTCATCCTGGAAGTGATGAAGATGACCACGCGAAGCGGATGCGACATCACAAATTTCCCTTTCTTCTAAAACAGCTTCTGCAGCAGATCATCCGGCAGCCGAACCTCCGACTCAGATCATATCCTCGCTATTCTCGTACAACCCTGTGCCATCCGCTCACAGGGCACCCTTTAAACCAAACAACGCACCATTAACTAGCTCAGCCACGTTTACAGACCTGGGTCGTCACCCTTTCCTCGCCGCTCACCTGCGTTCTAAGATGGGTATCACGAAACCATTCAACGCGACTGCCCTTCCTATCTGCACGATCTCCTCTTTCGAGGACATAAACACACTGTATATCCATAAAATCCCAAAGTGGCTCTGGAAAGATCACTTCAAGATCTCCTTCCCCTCAGTACGCACTCTTACATCGACCCCTCAATAGGAAGGTTTACCATCATTATCGCGCCTACTCGTGAACTAGCGAAACAAATCTCTGATGTTCTAGAAGCGCTGTCGACACTTAGAGCTACGCCAATAACGCGAGCAGGAGGATGTAGAGAGAGCTCTGCACGTTAAACCTGATCCTTAGTTTCAGGATTGCTGAGTGGACGTGTGCACAAGAAGGCGCGTCCAATACTCATTCTTGTCTCGACACCAGGTCAATTATTAGATCATCTGCAAATACATCTTCTTTTAATGTCGGGTAATTCAGATGGCTAGTTCTGGACGAAGCAGACCGTTTAATGGAGCTTGGTTTCGAAGACACTATCAAATGGATCATACAGTGTCTGAATGGGAGGGGCTAGCTCGCGTGCCAAGCTGTCCAGGAAGGTAAGAGCTTCGAAGTAGAAGGGTGAGATTTGGATCGGCGGAGATGGACAATCCTTTGTTCAGTTACTATCCGTGAAGACGTGCAGAAACTGGCAGGCACCCAAGAGAAGGCCGAGGAATTGCCTGGATCGAGACCTGAAACCGAGTCAATCACCGGAACATCTATCGAGAAGTTCACCCCACCGTCACAACTCTCTCAGAAATATGTAATGTTCCCCTCAAGATGCGTCCTGTCGCACTGACCGCACTTCTCCGCTCTTTGCTCGCACAGACACAAGGACAAAAGGGGTCGAAAATCAGCACAGACTCTGTCGATTTTCACTGGCGCTTGCTAGAAGATTCATCAAATGGACGGTGAAAAGCTGAACGTGCTGAGCCTGATGAAAACAAGAATGACGATAAAGATAACAAAACAGATGAGTCTGCTGAAGAGGGGAAAGACAAAGAGGATGATAAAATCGCTGCCCATTACCCACCCCTTCCTGGCGCCTCAATATGTTATCTTCACGGCTCCCTACCCACACCAATTCGTCTCGCTTCTCTTCGCGAATTTTCAGCTACTTACTACCTCTACAAAGTCTCAAAAACCTGCCGCTGCGTCTTCTATTCTCCCTTGCATATCCGTGGCATCTTGTGGTCTTGACCCACCCCTAGTTCACGCTGACATTGTGGCGAAAGCCTGGAGTATTGTCGCACCCAACGAATAAGAATGGGTAAAATGGGTGCAGGGCAAGATGCGGGGCGATATAACGGGAGACAGTCAACATCACTCTTGAAGGCGCAAGCATCGAGGGCGTGCTGGCGAAGGGCTTTGGTGGCATTAGGCAAAGTCACTGAGTACAAGGTACGTGCGACAAAGTACGACTTTCTTTTGAACATCAAGTTTTGCGGCGCAAAGAGGTGAGTTTGATTTGGTGAGGAATTCGAGCGTGCGTTGACATTGTGTAATTTTACAGAACACTGAACTCGCTCGGAGAGAGTTAACTTTGTACATGAGCATATGCGACCCACCCACTCCTCGAATGAGAAGCACATCTTTCATGTTCGACACCTCCACTTCGGACATCTGGTAAAACATTCGCACTACGTAAAACACCAAAGACGATTACTGACGGAAAGAACAAAGCATTCAAAAGTCTCAGCTCGTGTCCTGCTAAATCTTCAAAGCAGCATGACGTTGGGGCGGCTGTCAAAGAAGGGCAGCAAACTGATTAGCAGTGGGACAGCCGAGTTTCAGATTGCACAGGCGCTGCTTTGGGCTCATTTGTCTACGGCTATCATGCACTCAGGGCTAGCGACGTAAGACTTATTTACAGTCTATGGAATACCATGTGTTATAACAACCTGCCAAGAATGTGAGCACAAACGGGTCGTCTGGTACTGATCGGGATATGAAGATCGGTAAATGACATGTGCTAATAGTGCCACATATCATAAAGAATAAATATGTGACGACTGGTCAATAGAGATATAAAGCTGCGTGGAGTAATATAAAACTTGATAGCGAGCGGTGACTAAATTACGGTGTCAGACTTAAATGAGAGAAAAGAGAGGGACCTCATGCCTCCTCATGCTAGGGAACTGTAACAACTGCGTTAATTTATTTATGGGCGCTGTTGCTAGTTTCGCCAAGCTCCCGGCATTTTGATGGGGCTATCGGGGTTACGCTGCATGAAGGGATTCGGATGTCAAAAATCAATATTATTGATGGGACCGCGAGAAGCGTTGAAATACACACACCTTAGCGAGTTTCTGCCCTTCGGATAAAATAACGAGGCAAGACGGGAGACCCTTCAGACACCACTGCCTCGTGAGCCAGGAGAGGAGATGACATTCCAGAAAGCCTGGAATTTAGAGTTGAGTTCATCATCCCATGGATTTGAAGCATGTGAGAGATGGATGACCCAGTTTTCACAGGCATACTTGAGAGCATCGGAAGCTGCTTGACTTTGTTGTTGTGCTTCGTTTGCAAAAGTCGTGAAGGCATTCATAGCACAGATGATCTCCCTGTCTGATGACAAAAGATGTCTCGGTAGTGCAGAGTTGGAATGGTCATGGTGCCCTAATGCCACGAACACCGGAAACATCAAGAAGTCTGGCAAGCTCTTGAACTGCTGGACTGCTTGGAAAGCGGATGGTAAATGTAGGTTCTGGAACAATGATATGCTCTGAGTCACTGATTCCTTGCAGTATCCTCAAGAATTCTTCCATTATCGCCCAGACAGATGCCACAGGAGTTGACTGCCATGCTTGGCCATGGGGTGTCTGCAGCCACTCTTGCCCCCTCTGGGTCAGTAGCCACTCTCGCCCCCAATGGGTCTGCAGCCACTCTTGCCCTCCAGGTGTCTGCAGCCACTCTTGCACTCCAGGTGTCTGCAGCCATTCTTGCACTCCAGGTGTCTGCAGCCATTCTTGCGCTTTAGGTGTCTTCAGCCACTCTTGCCCTCTAGGTGTCTGCAGCCACTCTTGCCCTCCAGGTGTCTGCAGCCATTGTTGCGCTTCAGGTGTCTTCAGCAACACTCCCCCACTCCAGGTCTTCAGCCGCCTTGGCTGGGTCTTCACCCACTCCATCACTCCCAGGGTATCCAGCCACTCTCACCCTCCCAGGGTATCCAGCCACTTTTGCCCTCTCAGGGTATCCAGCCACTCTCGCCTTCCTTCGGTCTTCAGCCACTCTTGCCCTCCCTGGGTATCCAGCCACTCTCGCCCTCCCTCGGTCTCCAGCCACTCTTGCCCTCCCTCGGTCTTCAGCCACTCTTGCCCTCCCTCGGTCTCCAGCCACTCTCGCCCTCCCTTGGTCTTCAGCCACTTTCGCCCTCCCAGGGTATCCAGCCACTCTCGCCCTCCCTCGGTCTTCAGCCACTCTTGCCTTATCCTGGTCTTCCACCATTCTCGACTACTCTCAGTCTTCCACCACTTTCACCCTCTCAGGGTCCTCAGCCACTTTCGCCCTCTCTCGGTATCCAGCCATTCTCGCCCTCCCTCGGTATCCAGCCATTCTCGCCCTCCCTTGGTATCCAGCCACTCTCGCCCTCCCTCGGTCTTCAGCCACTCTCGCCCTCCCTCGGTCTTCAGCCAGTCATGCCCATCCAGGGTCTCTACCCAGGGTCGCAAATCTGAACTGCGATCTCCGCGAAGCCACAGCATACCGATAAGAACTGACATGGGCTCTGGCGGTCGAACCAGGAAGGCTAGTGAGTCTTTTAATCTCTTGGGATCCTGGGATTGCATCGCCTGACTCTGTCCTTTCAACTGTGAGAGCATATCAAGAAGGGCCGTGCTTTCTGGTATCTCCCTCGTCATCAAGCAGAGACAGGATTCAGCGAGTAGGGAGTGGGGTGACGGGATATTGCATACTTCACTGAGGCTGCAGTTTGAGGGGTTGGAAATATAGTCGCGAATGGATGAGTGATGTATATTCACGGGGAGATTGTCATCGGTAGGAATATCCATGACAGATCGTAGTTGCATGAGTGCTGTCTCCGCATCCCTCCCTTGGCCAGCGCCAAGAAGTTTCGAGATTTGTGACATCGGCAAAGGGTCTGCAAGGGTAGCTACATCAGACAAGTGCAGGTATGCCTGCTTGGGGTTGGCACATGTGGAGAGGATACGGTCGTAAAATCGGTAAACCTCTGTCCCCGGCAGAAGCTCATTCGTCAGCTTAAGCATCAGCTGCAGCCTACTGTGGGGATCATTATATCCATCATCAATAAACTTTATCATCGTGGCAGCCACGATGAAGCGCCTGCCCACTCGGCTTGCAAGCTGTGCAAATTGATTCAGCGTTGGTTGTGGGAAATCAGGATGGCATCTCTGCAGTTCTCTAAAGGAATGCTGCAAGAAGGTATAGATGTCTTCGTCGATGTCTGCACCATCTAATGAGATGATGGTAGCAATACCTTTCCCAGAAATTTTCACTGGTATCTCGCACACCAATGGGCACACCTCTTCTTGCTCAAAGGCCTCAGAGATATGCGACTCCAAGCGACTCGTGAGGAGAATGTGGGTCATGGGCAGAGCAGGTTCACGAAGTGCCTGTGCAAGGAAAAGGATGAGATCGGTAAGCACAGTTTTGGACGTGCACTCATCAAGGGCATCGATGACAAACGTCAAAGGCAGACACTCGCTCAGCCTGAATTTAAGCCTCCAGAGAGGTCGGAGAAAAAAACGCCTCCATCTGGTCGCAGAGAGAGTTGTTGGGGTCTAGGAGAGCGGGATTCTTGCGGATGGCTTTGTTCACGTCCGACCAGATGCTGGGGAAATTGCTGGCAAGCTGGTAGACAAGCGTCGCAAAGAAATATCCAGTTGTGCAGCATTTGGTATGCTTGCGCAAGAAAAAGAATGTTCCTGCGAGCCGCTTTTCGACTGTCGACTCCTCTCTCGCTTTCAGATTTCTCATCATTTCAGCTACAGTGAACGCAACAGTGGATTTTCCGACGCCTGTGGTGCCATGCAGCCAAATAAGCTGACTCTTCTCCCGCTTGTCTAATAATGTGTAGATGTGTTTGAGAAGGTCTACCCGGGTCCCTGGCAAACACTTTGGATGCGGATCTCGTTCCAGGGAGTCAGACAGCGACCTGGGACAGCCTCCTCCAAATTTCTTCTGATGATCGGGGATCTGTTGATGTGGTCAGAGAGCGAGAGAGGGATAAGAGATGAAATACTGACATTGATCCTGACTCATTGATGGCGGTCATGATACAGATTGTGTGATGGAATGGAACAACTTGGGGAAGTAAGTAATACTAATTTGGTTCGAGGTTATGGTTAGCAATGCATCTGTGCAACGGTTATATCAAGGAACAACGTACGAGGATTTGAATCAAAGGATCAATGAGTCCAAACTGTTACTCGGATCTATATTGATCCTTGGAGCCAACTCGGAGGTAAGTTGTAAAAGGCTCCAAATTAGGTCGCAAAACAACAAAGCTGAGGAATGATGGAGAGTGCAAAACAAGATATATAGAGATGTTATGTATGTGTGGATGTTTCAACCTAATGATTCTGCCGAAAAGCTCGCTGAATGGTGGTGGAATGCCTCAGTTGGCAATGTTGAAAGACGAGTCACGAGTGGGTGCTTGTCTGGTTGCAGCTGGCCATGAGGCTGCTAAGTAGTATGAGTGTCCACACTGCTAGCCCACATGGAACGTTCCGGCTGCACAGCCAGATGGCACCTGCAATGGGTTAATCATTGGCCTCTCCAGGGGGGGTGCTGGCAGTGGTTAGAAAGATATGTTATTTACAAGATCATCATCAAAAGTTGAACCCTCCTTTGAGGTGAACAGGTCAAGTACTACTAGTCCACACCTTCTGTGTTGTATATAATGTAAATTTTGGGGGCCCTTGATCTCGTACCACTACCATGGTCGAAAATTCCCACGCTTAAAAATGCGGGCAAGGTAGAGCTGTTGCGGCTCTCAGCACCATCTGGCCTATGAATCACACAAAATCTCTTAAAAAAAAAACAACAGAAATAACGACCCGACCTTGAAACACTCAAGAAAACAACATTGACCAATCCCTCACCCCAAAAAAAACAACGACACGAGGAAGCAACCCAATAATAACAACAACATACACATGCGCACCCCAATAAAAACAATATAAAAACACAATAAGTGAGTGATTAAGACTCCCGACGTACGTCAAAAAGACAGCATGAAGATACCTACATAGACATGCACGTAAAAAACCAAACACACTTCATTTTACACTGACCTTACTGGCACTAAACCCTCTCCTCATGAGAATACACACTCACTGGCAAACCCAAACTGACCACAGCCTATATCGACTCCCGAGATGAAACCGGCCACGATGCCCTCACCAAGCCACCCAGAAGAACCAAAACGAGAAAGCTGCGCAGAGAAAGAACAATATAAGAACCCCACCCACCCACCAATATACTCCCCATCCAACCAATGATGAAAGAAAAAGAACCCACCTCCCTCAAGGCCATCTCCCAGGCCACACACCCATATCCCACCACCCCCCATCCGCCATCTCAATCATCCAAGTCTGGGCCAAAAAACTTTCCTCCTAACATCCTACAGGAAGATGACCTAGAGTGTGCTATGGATATGATCCCCTACATACCTGATCCCCGATCCCCGATCCCCGATCCCCGATCCCCGATTCCCAATCCCCGATCCCCGATCCCCACCTTCCCCCCCAAACTCACACTCTCCCCCTGATACACCGACTCCTACATGCCACACAAACCGCGTCCACCCCCTTAATCCCGACCTCCTCGTATATCAGGAATTCAGTGTGACGTCACACAATCCCAGCAACAGCGCAACCCCCGCAAACAGTCTCGCCAATTCTATCCACACTCCAAGTAACCCCACGATAGACCAAAAGATGAATGACCTCCCGAACCCCACCGTCAATCACACTCCCACATCCAAAGAACAAGCTATTCTGGTGCATTTGGCGCTCGCAGACATGAACAGATCCGTGCTAAGTCAAAATGGCACGAACCACAGCACTACCCTCCCCCAATTCACCCCAGCTTCAAACGGGGACTTCCCAAAAGTGCACATGTTGCACTCAGCACAAATCTTCAACCACCTTGAAAATAAGGTTCTGCTCACCTGGTTCCAGGTCGAGCACCCTAAATTCATGATCCGGGTATTCGATCACTCCGGGAAAGACGTTGCTGAGTGAGCAGCCGTCATAGCGGAACGTGTACGCGCCAACATCACCACCATAGCAGAATCCATCCATCACGACACCCCCCCCATTCGTGTCTCCCCCCCGCAACCCCAAGGCAGCAAAGGAGCAAAAAACTTCCCGATCGGTTTTCTAGTCCACAGTGTATCTAACGAGACCAAAGACCTTCTCTTGAACCAATGAATCTGGTCCACAACTGACCTCACTTTCGAAGCTCTTCCCTTTAACTGCACGCACCCCCCAGAACTTCTTTTCGGCTTAACAGGTTTCATGACCATAGATGTAGCAACCATCTTACAAGCTGTCACGGAAACCTGGACCCAAGACGAGAACCACGAACACATAGAAGAACTCTTCTCAAAATGCGGCCTACCCGACGACAAGTTGATATATAAGGCAACCCGAGACTTCATCTCATCATGCTGTGTTGAGCTTCTCAACTTCAAGATAACAGGCGGTCTCTCAGTCCCCTGCTTCAATATCCTTGCAACCAGTCCCACAAATGACGCGAAAACATGGACTGATCTCAGAAGTTACCTAAGCACACTCACTTACCCAACCAGCCTCAATGGCTGTGGAATTGCAACGGCACTCTTCGCCTGTCAAATTTGTCACTCCCTCGCTCACCCACGAGGTCTATGCCCATTCCCACTCATCCCTCATTGGAACAGCCCGAGAGTGGGCAACAGAAACAGCACAAATATGTCTCGCCCAACTGGAAGGGCTAGAGGGGGCAGACCTGGACAAAACACCTGACCTAATTTGATCCAATTTGACATAATGCACTAATACATATTTCGATGAAACCAGCACATATTCGACCGAGAATCATCCTTACATACATCCAAACCCCCCCCTCAATCTATGATCTAGATACATCCCTACATTCCTACCTAACTAACTCACCCTAGTCTACGTACAGCAATCACAGTCCCTTCCACCGAAAAACTCACAGGAAAACAATCACAAGGCAACTCTCCCGTCTTAGGCCCGATTCCCTAAGAACAAGCGAGCTGTTGATAAAACAAATCTGGTTACAACGAGATATGAACCGGAGGACATTAAACCTTGGCCCAAATATACTGACCGTTCATAGAATGGGACAGGAAAGCCGTGGTTGTCTCACACAAGCATGGTGCACACCAGACCACGGAAACCTATTTAGGTTCGGATGAGCCGTGCCGAGAGGCTCAAGTTTTCAATAGTAGATGAAACCAGTGTCACAGGAACTGCATTTCATCAAACACGCTAACATAGTCCACTGTTAAACGGGCCAGGATAAGCCCTTTCTAAGTCTACATAATGATCATAACGTAGTCTTAGTAGCACAATCACCTCCAATACACAACAAAACCTCCCAACATTCGGTCTTTCTGTCGGTCACAGTGCTTGCCTCCCAGACCACGGAGAGGGACCGCCTCGTACCACTGGGAGGTCCCCCCAATGACCAGTCTGGGTCTTTTGGAAGTGGAACTGCCTACAACTGGCAACCCCAACAGCAACCACAAAGCCCCACCAGGCGCACTCAAACACGAAACACACCCCCACCCCCACATAACCCCAACAACACTACCCAAGAACCAACACCAAACGATCTTCCCGACAACACACAACAACATAGACCGAACTGAGAGAACACAACCCTGAACGAAAAGAAAACACAAGCCAACATTAAAATAGCAACACTAAACATGAAAGAGCGTACCTCCGTCAACCTCACACAAAATCCAACATCAAAATGGACCACTGTAAACCAAACAATGCAAGATCAAAAAATAGGTATACTATGTATACAAGAAACTCACCTGACAAATGAGCACGAAACACAAATAGACACTTTATTCTCCCGCTGCCTGAGAGTTCTGAACACAAGTGACCCACTGCGCCCCGGCAGCTCAGCCGGCATTGCCTTCATCCTGAATAAAGAACTAACAAATGCATCAAACGCCAACATGGAAATATTAATACCCGGGCGAGCAGCTATCCTATCCCTAAATTGGCACAACAATGAAACAATAAGGATTCTGAACGTGTACACACCAAACAACGCAAACGAACACCACGACTTCTGGAACAAAATAAAAACAGAATGGTCAAGACTAAACATCAGCGCCATAGACTTCATGTTAGGCGACTTCAATCTCACCGAAAATCCAATCGACAGAGCCCCCACGAGACTAGATAACAAACCTGCAATAAATGCCCTGAGAGAACTACAGACAGCGATAAACGTACACAACACCTGGTGGAATGAACACCCACACCACCGCCTATTCACCTTCAGCAGCAACTGCCAAACACTGTCGCGACTCGATAGAATCTACACATCAGAACAACACACTGAGAGCATGCTCGACTGGAACATGAATGTAAGTCAAATACCATCAGACCACCAGATGGTGTCAGTAAGATTTGCCCCACCAGGCCTACCACACATAGGCAGGGGAAGATGGACATGGCCCATAGGTGTGATGACGGATAAGGACCTAATCCAACAAATCATAAAAATAGGAAACGAAAGTCAACAAGAGATAGACGCACTAAGTCCAAGAAACAACGAAACAAACCCGCAAACCATATGGGAATCCTTCAAAAATAAAATCACAGCAACAGCCAAAGAAACTACCAAGAAACATCTAGCAAAGATAAATCAACGAATCCGAGCGCTAACAAAAGACTTACAAAGAACCTCCAACTCAAAAGACATAGACTCACCTAAAGATACCAGGATAAACAGAGTGATAATAGAACAAGAAATTGACCACCTACAAAAAAACAAAATAAGCAAGCGCAACTAAAAGCAAAAGCAAAATGGGCAACCCACAGAGAAACCATCAGCAAGTATTGGTCAAAGATCAACAAACAAAAGAAACCACGAGATATAATCCACCGCCTCAAAATACCAGGGACAGTAAGATATACAACAAAATCTGAAGAAATGGTGGAGATAGCGAAATTGTACCATAACGACATCCAATGGTCCGACATACCCACAGACGATACTGTAAACCAGAAACATGTAAGAGAAGCGGCCCTCAAGGAAATACCTGAACACCAAAAACTCGACGCACCAACGAACCAAATGAACAACCTTTTGAAAGAAGAACACGTATTACACGCACTTTTATCATCAAGATCCAGAAGTGCAACCGGAATTGACAGAATCCCTTACGAGCTATGGAAACACCTCCACAACAATTACAAAGAAGCATGTAAGAACGAGAAAGTCCAGTCTAACTTCACATTGGGATGGATGTGCCCCCTTTATAAGAAGAAAGACCGCACACTAATTGAAAACTACTGCCCGATAACCCTACTTAACACTGAATACAAGATACTAACAAAATTGCTAGCCATACAACTAACAAAACACATTAAAAAAATAATACACCCTAACCAAAGCGGTTTCATCCAAGGAAGATCTATCTTTGACCCAATCCACCTGACACAGGTAATGACCGCATACGCCGACCTAATGGAAGAAGATGGAATAATAGTGGCTCTCGACCAAGAAAAAGCTTACGACAAAATAAACCATGACTACCTCCTCGAAACTCTAGAAGCCTTTGGAATCCCACCTATGTTCATCAACACAATCAAAAGCCTATACAACTCAGTGTATACCAAAGTAGCCATAAACGGGTTCTTAAGCTCACCCTTTAAAGTCTCCCGTGGTGTATGACAAGGAGATCCCCTATCGTGTCTGCTTTTCGATATCGCCATCGAACCCTTGGCATGTGCACTCCACAACTCCCCAAAAATCAACAGTTATCAAATCCCTGGAATAAATGAATGAATTGTAGTTAATATGTATGCAGATGATACAACAGCATACCTTACCCATGAAGATAGTTATGCCGACCTAGAGGATCTGCTACAAAACTGGTGTAAAGCATCAGGCGCAAAGTTCAACCTCGAAAAAACCGAAATATTACCGATAGGAACCACAGAACACCGACAACACGTGATCCAAACAAGAAAACTAAATGACAAAGATAACCCGTGGCAAGAACAAATCCGCATAGCACAAGATGGTAACCCCATACAATCACTTGGCGCATGGATCAGAAACAACGTAGAACACGCAACATCATGGGAACCGATCCTAGAAAAAAATAGAAAAGAACTTTAAAAGATGGGAGCTCAGCCACCCATCCCTGGACGGAAAAAAACTGATCGTCCAAATGGTAGCTGGTGGCATGACGCAATTCCTCACAAAGGCACAAGGAATGCCAAAATCTATAGAAAACGCAATCACAAAACAGAGACTTCATCTGGAATGAAAGAAGAACCCCACCAATCAGCAGCAAACGCCTAGAAAGACCGATCGCAGAAGGAGGCCTAGACCTTCTAAACATTAAAACACGAAACAAAGCGATTAACATCACATGGTTGAAAACTTACATGGACATATCAACTCACCGCCCACATGGATATTCGTCGTCGACACAATGATTAACAGTCTGAAACCTGATGACCCAACTAAAACAACAGACACAAGAGCCTTCCTAACATCATGGGCCCCCCCCGACACAAGGCAAATGAGCAAACAAACTACCACTGATGGTCACGACAATGTTAAAGACCACAAAGAAACACTGCACCAGTTTCGCACCCTTAACGATCTCAAACGACCTAAAAGAACAACTCCCAGCCTGGCTACACATCGGCGGTCCACCTAAGACATATCATAAGAACAAGAACCTCTGCCTACAACAAACACACAACGCGAAATCAGTAAAAGATCTGAGAAACATAACAAGACGACTAACAAACCAAGATGAGCACCAACAGCAAGACTCATGCCCATGCAACGACTGCATAGATGACTGATTAAAAGGCTGTAAGAACCCACACAAATGCGCAACAACAGGAGAAAAGATACTCCGCAGCCTCCTACCCAAATACAACCCATACTCATCACCAAAAAGGGACGACCTGACACTAACACACAGAAGGTTAGAAAAAAACGCTCAAGCAAGACGACAACCACAACAAGGAACCACCTTCAACCCTTCCATCACGATAAAAAACAACCTATCTGAGGGTTTCCGCATCTTCGTCAACCCAACAAGACCCATCCACATACCAGCCTACCGCCTGCGTGCACCACAAAACAGACAAACCGCACAAAACAAACCACTCACCATCTTCACTGACGGCTCCTGCACAAACAACGGGAAACAAAACGCGAAATGCAGAGGAGGAATCTGGATAACAAACAATCACCCACTAAACCGCGCGATAAGCATGCCCAGCACTCACCACTTCAACCAAATAGGAGAACTTGTAGCTGTCCTCGTAGCACTACAATCTGTAAGCCCACTAACACCTGTTAAAATCGTAACAGACTCCAAGTATGTAATAAATGGTTTAACCACTCACCTAAATGACTGGGAAGACACTGACTGGATAGATGTGTCCAACGCCCCTCTATTCAAGGCAATAGCATACCAACTAAGACAACGACCAACCCCTACATCCTTCCAATGGGTGAAAGGACATAGTGGCATCAAAGGAAATGACAAGGCTGACCGCCTAGCACAAAATGGAGCAGCGAAAACAGAAACCAACGCCATCGACACATACGTACCACGAAACTTTGACCTACAAGGCGCAAAACTATCGTGTATTACCCAAAAGTCAGCATACAGAACACTCATGAACGACACACACCTAGAATACCATAGACAAACCCTCGTCCTGCTAAGCACGACCAGAGACGCTATTGAAACAATAACAACCACACTCGAAACTGACGAAACAATATGGAGGAGCTGCAGACACAAAGACATTGCGAAGAAAATCCAGATGTTCATGTACAAAACACTAAACAACGCTTTCAGAATAGGTGAATTCTGGCTACAAATACCCACCTTCGAACATAGAGCTAGATGTAGCACCTGCGGAGAAACTTCGGAATCAATGGATCACATCCTCACACAATGCAACAACCCAACACAAAAGAAAATATGGAGCCTAGCCAAAACAATATGGCCCAGGAAGCACAGACACTGGCCAGACCCCACAATAGGACTAATCCTAGGATGCGGTGCGCTATCCCTCCCACAGCCCCCTCGAAATCGCGACAAAGAAAACCAAACAACCCAGAAATACATCAAAGGAGCATCTCACCTCCTCAGAATCCTAATATCTGAGTCGGCCTATCTTATATGGACGCTAAGGTGTGAAAGAACTATCAAAGAACAAACACATACCGAAGACAACATCACAAGTAGATGGTTAAACACCATTAACCGACGCCTACAGTTAGATCGCGCGATAGCAGCTCGAACAAAAAGATCATCTAAGACCACTGCACAAGTCCTCCAAACTTGGGCCGACATAATCGAGATAAACAACAACAAAACAAACCATAATAATAACGATTGGGTAACCAACCTAGAGGTTTTAGTGGGTATCAAACTACCCAGGCCCTCGCAGACCGAGGCCACCAGGTAGTATACAGAGCCCCACACTACTCCCAGAAACGGAGTGTGCATAAGTAGCATTTTCCCTCGGACGGCGCCGGCGCGCCGATATAAGCGTTTTACGTAGGGCTAGACAGCGTCAGTTGCTTCGTAATTAACTCGCTTTTCCAAAAAAAAAAAAAAAAAAAAAAAAGTAAATTTACGACATAGTGTGTTTCAGCGCTGTGGCGTTGGCTATTTAGCGTGCGAAGCTCGAAGGCAACGACACAGAGAGAAGAATGCTTTCGGTCGAATGACAGGGTAAAAGTCTGGGATTCGGGGGTCCAGAAAACACTAAGGTAACTCTAGTACTCCGACTCGTATATAAGTAAGTACGGCTAAAGCTATATGAGACTCGGGATAAACAGGCGAGGGGTAAAGTTAAAGGGCAAAGAAAGATAAACAAATCAATAGGACCTGGTACGTGCGCCTAGGCGCAGTCGTTACAAGCGCTTTCCACAATAACAAAACAGCTTCCCGCAACACTTCCGCCAGTCACTACATGGAGGAGCGAGGTACCAAGGCCTGAAAGTTGTCTATTTGCCAACGGCTCGTACTGACTGTGGCATGCACAAATTCCATTTCGTGATGACCTTTCGCGTCTCGACGTCCACAACTTTGCATTTCCATCACGGCTTCCACTTGCAAGAGTTGGTTCCTTTCCTTTGAATTTTACGATGTAGAGGTAGGATCGATTTAGCGAGGCGTTTGAGCTTGCATTGACATTATCTTCACAGAACGCTGAACTCGCTCGGAGAGCATCCACTTCGCATATGCGACCCACCCCTCGAATGAGAGCATATTTTTCACGTCCGACACCTTCACATTGGACATCTATCTGGCGAAAGCATTCGCCCTGCATGACGCGCTGAAGACAAGAAGAACAAAATCTCCAGCGCATCCGAAAGTCGCGACTCGTGACCTCCAAAATTTACTAAAGGAGCATGATGTCAGTGACGCAGAGCAACGGATGCAAGATATCGTCCGTGCGCAGGGCCGGTCGTCGAAGAAAGGCGGAACGAAAGCCAAGTGAATTTCCTGGTCAACGGTCTCACCCGCTCAGAGCAAAAGAACTGATAGTCATCTCTGTGATTGCGGTAGGGAAGCCTTCGAAATTGAATTAAGCGCAGACGGCGATCTTGTTCGATGTACTCTCGACTGGGGAATCTGGGGCCACCACCGGCAGGCGGAGTATTGCATGCAGAAAAACCACTAACTATGGGCTTACAGGAGTAAAGAGTCGTAGTATTCCTTGATAAGAAGTACCATTTGTTACCAATGAAACGAACGAATGTTTTGTTAGAGTAAAAGGTGATCCTATATCCGGGAGCTTTGTGACCAGCTGCTAGTTGAAGCAATGAATGATAAATATGTCGCACTACTTCTCAGCTCAACATCTACACTTCTTTTCGGTTAACACAGATACCAGGATGCAATCTCCATTCACTGTGCCGAATACTCCGTCACATTTCGCCAATAGCTACATGCGTCTAGCTCAGCACATTGGCTCATCGCAAATATAGTACAGTACTCACGCGCAACGCTCGAGCAAGGCCATATCGGTCTTGAAAGTGTAAACGTCAGGTACTCCCGCGGATGTCTCGTTGAACATCATCTCTGTGAGGCCTTGTCGCCAAGAATTCCAGGAAGGTGTGATGTCTCCTGGGGTGTATCTGTCGTCAGGAGTCTCGTACATGGTCATAGCCATGAATGAGTTCGAGAAAGCAGTGATGAACTGGGAATTGTTATATGAAGGACCACCCCTGAAGCAGTATGCATCAGAGTAGGGGTTGAACCATGGCATCAACTTACGAAGTGAAGTAGTATACAACATCTTGTGCGTGCAAGCCAGGTGGAATTGCGAACTCGCCCTGCTTTTGTTGAGCACACGTAAATTGAGACTTTCCTCGAACTTGCCTTCCAAGCTTGCTCTCCAAATGCTTTGAGGAGGTAATAAGTTGGACAAACGAATATCGCTGAATCGAGTCATGAATCAGGGACAGTAATAGATTCCTTGAAGGACATACGTACATTCACCCATCACAAGATTTGCCTGGTTGACGTTGCTTCCCTGGTTCTGGTACATCATCACTGCTCCTGCAACCTGAGCAGAACCAAAGTTCGGGAAAAGCGTTTGGACATAATCTGCGATATCCAATGTCGTCGACTGGTTCACGAAGACGTTCCCCTCATGCGAATTGGTTACGGCAAGAAGGTAATTCTAAGGGGAATGGGCGTGAGTTTCGTTGATGCGATAGAATGCATAGATCATACAGCATTCAAGCGACCCTTGCTAATCGTCACAGTAGGTCTCTCCACAATGAAAGTGCCATCCACGACAGGGACGAATACCCACGTGCCAAAGAAGCCGTCGATGTTGATGTTGTAGTTTAAAGTTTGCAGCGTATTGACGTCTGCGGCACGCAAACAAGAGAGGGTATCCGAACTTGAGCTACAGCTGAGTTGAGGGTATTATAGCTCGGGAATGGCTACATATAAGCTTTGAAAGAACTCACTTTGTTCCATCGACGACCTCACTGTACAGCATCTGGTGGTGGCATTCAGGACGCCACAGAAATTCACCTCATACACAAAATTCACCTCCGGAATTCGGTCATGATAGTTATATTGTGATGGCAAGAATGTGGAACTCGTTATGGCAGCTCTGAAGAGGGGAGGCTGGGTATTTCCTCCATGAGCAACGAGATGCTGTAGTACGGAACCGGCACCTGAAATGACAAGCGTAATAAACAAGGCTAACGATGACGAAGAGTACATATCGCAGCTTACCAGCAGACTCTCCCCAAATCGTTACCTTCGTGGGGTCACCGCCAAAACTACATATCTATCCAGGAAAAGTTTCCTATCAGGTGAGGTACAACACTCGAGTAGATATTTTGCTCACGTAGGCCTGGACCCACTGTAGCGCATAATTTTGGTCGACTTTAGAATATCACGCTCAGCCGAGTCTGAAGAACTGTCAGACCATGATGATCACGTACGTAGTCCAGCATTGAGTGCACCCCCTTCTTTGACCGCTTCTCCAGGTAGGAAACCTGGCGGCAGCGTATAAGTTTGAAAATACGAAGAAGTAGCGAAGCCATACCGAATAAACCGAGGCGATACTGAACTAAGACCGTAATGACACCGTGATTCGATTCCATAATTAGATCTGCGCCATCGTATGGGCTCGCAGCTCCTTTAATATACCTGTACCAAAATCGGTTCATCGACAGAGGAACATTGAACATGCTACTCACCCTCCTCCGTGAATCCATACGACAACTGGGAGCCCTCCCGACGGTGTGGCTACCACTTCACTTCCGGGAGTGTATACGCTGCCGGATGCAACCATCAATCTCAAATGTCAACGTTATTGTTCCATGGCAGGGCTTACTTCAGGAATAAACAGTCCTCCGACTGACTGATAGCCCTTTTCCTCATAGAGGCGCTTTCAAAGGGATTTGTCGAAGAATTACCTGCGGTAGCTTGATAACATGCATTTGGTTGTGTGGTAGCTTGTTGAACCCCGAGGATGGTCGATGGGGGCTGAGGGGCTGCCCATCTGAAGTTGCCTATGTGTTTAGTGCGTAAACTGAGATTGTATACAACACACAAAGCTGGACGCACCAACTGGAGCAGCCGCGTACCGTATTCCAAGAAAGCTAGTGATGTTTGTTACTGTGTCCACTGATCCCTGGTACTGAGCATAACCTAAGTCGATGGTAGGTGCAGAAGTGGTGGTCGCCGGAGAAGATAATGCTTCTAGTGCAAGTAAAGCCTGTGACAAGGACAATAGTTTGGCTTTAATCGACATTTTCAATCTCATATATCGCGCAGTGAGAGACAACTCCGATCAAGTTGGCGAAATCGCGCTACCTGACGCATGTGGCGTCATAAACGCTGCCAGCGAAGCGGTTAGTTACTCAACGGCTTTCCACTTTGGAACATTTCAAATTACATACTGCTGTTCGAACAAGGTTTAACCATTCCGGATCCTATGACTCATGAACAGAACCGCCTGTTGCTTGGACTTGGGGCTGGACTCCGGTTCGGGTTGTTTCGGACTGAACCCAGTTGAACTACCACCACATCAGCACTCAGGCAAGATGTTTGTATAACTTTCAGTGCATTTTTTCAATATCTTTTTGCACCCAACCCAACCCACTTGCGTTCAACCCCGCAGAGGTACGTCGAGTCAGCCAACTGGTCGTTGCCAGATCTTGATGCACTAATTATTTTCTCAGTCAGCCCATCTTATTTTCTTCGGTCACGAAGCTGCTGTATCCTCAGTCGCTTACTAACTACCGTTACACTCCTGTCGAGTTTGAGAAGGATAATGACACTGACAATTACTTCCGAGAGTCCAAATTATTACCGCATCGAAAGCTTCATGTGCTACCGATCGTCACACCGCGAAGCAGATACCACCTGTCACGTGATACCCTGCGGTAATATCACACAAGTTGGCTTATTTCTGATTCCAATTTATATCCTATCACTCTATTTCTAGCTTTACACATGGTATCTCACATCCACTCTTAGGTTGTATGGCACATTTGATAGTTGTGTTGCACACCTGTAAGGTTGTGTCGCGCACTTGACAGTCACACCGCCCACCTTGGGATTTGGAGCGTCGTATCCGAGCACCTAGTCTGGCTCTCAACGCTCGCCGGGCACCCTTCAGTGAGAGAAAACAATTTAGCAGCGACACCTGCAGGGTCCCGAGAGCCAGGAACACTAAGAGGTAGCACAAACGATCTTCGGGGAAGGTAGGACGGTAATGGAATAGGAAAGGTGGAAAGCTTCCCTTACGGACTGGTATACCGTTCAAGGACTTGTGGCTCGTTGATGGCCAGGGTGAGCATGTGAGCACTGAGATTTGAGGCCTGGCCAAGTCTTGCGGCCAAAATTCTTGTACTTGTGTCACTGAGTAAGTTCACCCTTTTGTTTTAATATAATATGTTGTCGACACCCTCTTTCTCCTTGTGACAATATTTATCTGTGCCCTTGATTAAATGCTCTCTACGGTAAGTGAGAGAAGATCCTGCAAAGTGACGAATGGAAATTGGCTGTGCCATACGAGCGAGTGAATACACACAACTAAGCCTACGATACCAGAACAGTACACATCAGTAACAGTAGTAACTTTAAATATCATAAAATGTCCAAGGAGGGTGCAGATATCATGAATTTGGGTGCACAGTAGCGTCGATCACCTCCATCCTGACATCAGCACTTTTCTCAGGCAACGGTATCGAATTCTCTCTCTCCGGTATCGAGCCGTCCTTCCCCGCTCCCTTTTCTATCGACCTGCGGGATTGACCCGAGTCAGTCGCGCCCTGTTTATCCATCGGTACGGCCTCTATTTCGACGTGGCTCGAATGTAGGTTCTGTGCCATGCGCTCATCCATCTCCCGCCGCGCCTGCTTTGCGCGCACGAAAAACACGCTCGAGCCCAGGACCATCACGAACACGCCGTGCAGTATGAACGCTGCGTGCATATTGTACGGCGGGGACGCAGTCCACGACGCGCGCAGGGCGCCTTCCGCTGTACACAAAGGGCGTCAGATAAAGCAACTCGTTGCTGGATAATGACGTACCGAGGATGAATATGATGCCGAATGCGTTGCCTCTGAGAACGCAGAGTGAGCATGAAGAAATAGGATACAGAAAAAAGACTTACACACACCACAAAATGGCGGCACTGCCGTGTGCATTTCGTGTAAGCTCGGCTCCGAGCTCAAGGGCGATTGGGAGCATCGTTATGGAGCAAACACCGATGATGACCATGATCGCGAAGATTCCTCCGGTGTTGTGGGGTTTTACTGGGTGGGTGTTAGTTCACATATATATCGAGGACGGGATAGAATGAGATCGACATGATCGTCAGAAGATGATCGACCACGAGCTACAAATGATCTGCCACGTCATCGATTCATTGCAGAAACAGTCAAGGTTCCCTACTTCAAAGCAATTCGCAAGACCGCGCAAAAAGGCGACATCGTCTACCAAGTGAACTGAACCGCACTCACCAGCCCAGATCAAACTCAGCCACGCCCCTGCAGCCATCGGGACAAGTATCTTTAGTGTTATGCCCAGATGATGGGTCAACACCCAATCGAACAGAGGCGCGGTGACCACACTACCAAGGATCCCGCTCGATAGGAGAGTTGCACCAAAGAGGCCTGAAGTAACGTCATCATATCCCTCAGGTTCCTGTGAATGCCATGTTTAGCGGCCATATTTGATACTGAGAAAGACTCACGAAGTACTGCGCAGAGAGGATGGTAAGTGCGTTTGTCCTGTGCAATTTTTCGTATGCGCGTTTATAAAGCAAGGACAAAACACTCACGCGCCAACAAGCACACCGAAAATCAGCGTAATGATGGTAAAGTCCAGCCGTTCGTGAGGAGCCATGTAAGCAGGGTCGGAGGGGCGAACTTTCCCCACCATCGCAAGCAGGAGAGAGTAGAGTGATTGTGGGGCCTTGGAGCCTGCATATGCTGCTCAGAAAAGTTAATAACCTTACACGTAGAAGGTTTTCGATACGAGGCACGCCAGACGTACTTGGTGGGCTTGGTGGTTCACTCTCGATAAGAAAGAGGGCAGGTGCGACTGCGGTAGATACGATCGCTAGGACCAGAACCTGTTCCAGTGCACCGTCAGCCATTCAACTATAGAGAAAAGTTCGAGGAGACTCACAGAGTGCCTTGCAGTACCTAGGGGACTAAGTAACTGACCAAGAGCGCCGCCGATGGGATTGGCTGGCGGGTCCAAACTGAAGATGATGGTTGGAAAAATTTGACGAAAGGTGACTCACCGATGGCAATCACCATTGTGGCTGTCGTTCGGCCTTTGAGGTCAAACCACATCTCGGAATACTTCGGGCCGAGGACTTGGAAGACAGGTTGAGATATTGCCGAGAAGAACTGCATGTGATCAAGACACAAGGTGGACGGGAGCAAGAAGCGATTAAGTGACACGCAAATACATGAGAAAGGGGTGCGCACCTGTCCGAGGAAGAGTAGCGCATAAGCGCTCTCAGGGGACAAGGACGTGATGCTGCCTGCATAACGCACCCAGCCTGATACGAGGAGCATCACCACACCCACATCAGCCTTTGGGAAATTTCCATATTAGTTGAAGCAGAACAGGTGGAAGGGACTCACACATCGGCGAATACCGAAGCGCGTACAAAGGAGGGGAACGAGGAGGGAAACAGGAATGTAGACACAACATATAATGTTGCCGAGCCAGTTCACTTGGTCAATGGAAATGGCAAATTCCCCAGAAGCTATTTAAATACTATCAAGTAAAACTATTGTGCACTGAGGATGGATACGCACTCTCATTTGATATGGGCCCAAACCATGGCCAGGGCATACCGGTCACGAGGCCAAGTAAAATCTAGGCATGGATAGCACTGCTCAATATACTAGAGCACGAAGTCTGATGGGCTCACAAAACCAAAAAGGCCAGCGAAGCGGCGCCTGTATAGGCGGTAAATGGGGACTTGCTCCGCGTCACTGTTGTCCGGGCCCTGTTTCGCTTCTTCGACATGACTGATGCTGATTTGGCGAGCTAATTGTATGGTATCTGCGATTATGGTACCGGGGTATGATTCAGACTGCACTCTTGAGATGGACAATGCACCGGTACGAGGTTGTGAAGTTGAAACAGGTGCATGGTCCTGTGGAGCCATGAGACTGGTAGGGGCCCTGCCAGTGGAATTGAGTAGTCGCAGTAGTGAAATACTACGGACTATAAAGACAGCACACTGAATATTATGTATGGACCTGGAGTATGACAATCGATAAGAGCAACATGACCCAAACTACAAAACAAAGTGACGCCACGTACGACACTGAGCCCGATGATATGACATTCAAGACAGCTCCTAGATCCGGCCTTGCATACATGCCAGTTCCGAAAGGTGTTGTACAAAAACATATGCATGCATCCTAAACAAGGGACCGCGGGCCAGCGCTCCAGCGCTCCAGCTGTGACTGTATCTTTAAATATATCTGGTACAGCTTGACCTAAAGCTTACGCACTATTACTTAATACTTCAATTTACATTCACACATGTGACATCAGTGACGAGACTTTTCATGACTTCTCTCGCTGGCGGCCGCTGTACACGTTCGTGACGTTCATCGTATACTTCCTTGGACGGTCGCTTCCAACATACACTGGAACCCTTCTCAGAGTCACAAACTTGAAGCTTGAAAGCCGACCGGTACCATAGCAAGAGGATACGACTCGGACAGAGATGGTTATGAGTACTAGACTAGTTTATAACGTGTACAAGTAAGGCTGTAGCCACGTCGTTGTGAGGACTGTGACGAGCTTGGAGATCATTCAAAGTAAAGGCGGGCATTTCAATCTCCACCAAACGTTGGTCCCTCCAAGCAGAAGTTAGTGCTGAACTCGCATATTTGCGGAGGGTGCAAAAGTTTACGGAAAATTATCGTGGCGGAGACTGCCATGGCTGGTAGGAGTCAGGACGTTTGAGGACTTCCTGAGCTCGCTTGTCACGGTGTTCGTCCAAGGCACCCAGTCTGGACTTACTGTAGCGACTTCGACAAATCAAAGACACGAGTAGCTCAATCGGGACCTCATTTTCGAAGGTTGTTCTTGATGGTCTATTGAACATGATTTGCATTTGCACTGACGGAAAAGAAAACAAGGAAAATGGACAATGATATGATGCGAATATTTGGTGTAATGATTGAATGCTCTCTACCACGGTAAGTGAGAAAAGATCGAAATGACCACCAACGAATAGTAATAGGCTGTGCCATACGTGCGAGTGAATACACACAACGAAGTCTACAATACCAGAACAGCATACGTCAGTAACAGTAGTAACTCTGTAGATCATAAAATGTCCGAGGAGGGTGCAGATATCATGAATCTGGGTGCACAGTAGTGCCGATCACCTCCACCCTGACATCAGCGCTTTTCTCGGGCAACGGTATCGAATTTTCCCTCTCCAGTGTCAAGCCGTCCTTCTCCGTCCCTTTGTCTAGTGACCTGCGGGATTGGCCTGAGTCAGTCGTGCCCTGTTTATCCATTGGTACGGCCTCTATTCCGACGTGGTTCGAATGTAGGTTCTGTGCCATGCGCTCATCCATCTCCCGCCGGGCCTGCTTTGCGCGCACGAAAAACACAGTCGCGCCCACAACCATCACGAATACACCGTGCAGCACGAACGCCGCGTGCATGCTGTACGGCGGGGAAGCGGTCGATGATGCGCGCAGGGCGCCTTCCGCTGCACACCAAAGACGTCAGACAATGCGACCCGTTTACTAAATGAAGACATACCGAGGATGAATATGATGCCGAATGCGTTGCCTCTGAGAACGCCGAGTGAGCATGGAGAGATGGGACAAAGAAACAAGACTGACGAACACCACAAAATGGCAGCACTGCCGTCTGCATTTCGTGTAAGCTCGACTCCGAGCTCAAGGGCGACTGGGAGCATTGTTATGGAGCCAACACCGATGATGACCATGATCGCGAAGATTCCACCGGTGTTGTTTGGTTTTACTGGGGAAGGATTAGCTCACGGATATCAAACACGGGATAGAAGGAAGACCAAAGAAGGCATCGTCTACTAAGTGAATTAATCCGCACTCACCAGCCCAGATTAAACTCAGCCACGCCCCTGCGACAATCGGGACAAGAGCCTTTAGCGTTATGCCCAGATGATGGGTCAACACCCGATCAAACAGAGGCGCGGTGACCACACTGGCAAGGATTCCACTAAATAGGAGGGTCGCGCCAAAGAGGCCTGAAATGGCGTCGCTATACCCCTCAGGTTCCTGTCGATTCCATTTTTAGCGATGATATTTGGTGCTGAGAAGAAAAACTCACGAAATACTGCGCCGAGAGGACACTAAGTGCATTTGTGCTGTGCGATTTTAGTACGTGTGTTCGTACAGCAAGGAAAAAACACTCACGCGCCAACAAGCACGCCGAAAATCAGCGTAATGATGGTGAAGTCCAGCCGTTCGTGAGGAGCCATGTAAGCAGGGTCGAAGGGGCTAACTTTCCCCACCACCGCAAGCAGGAGGGAATAGAGTGATTGTGGGGCCTTGGAGCCTGCATATGCTGTGCAAAAAAAGTTAGTAACTTACACGTAGAAGATTTTCGATGTGAGGCACGCCAGACGTACTTGGTGGGGTTGGTGGTTCACTCTCGATAAGAAAGAGGGCAGGTGCGACTGCGGTAGATATGATCGCTAGAACCAGAACCTGTTCCGGTACACCGTCAGCCATTCAATATAAAAAAGTTCAAGGGGACTCACAGAGTGCCTTGCAGTACCGACTAGGGGACTAAGTAACTGACCAAGAGCGCCGCCGATGGGATTGGCTGGCGGGCCCAAACTGAATACGATGGTTGAAAAACTTTGAGGAAAGGAGACTCACCGATGGCGATCACCATTGTGGCTGTCGTTCGGCCTTTAAGGTCAAACCACATTTCGGAATACTTCGGGCCGAGGACTTGGAAGACAGGTTGAGATATTGCGGAGATGAACTGTATGCGATAAAGGCACAAGGTAGGCAGGAGCAAGGAGTAGTTGAGTGACATAGAAATACATGAGAAAGGGGTGCGCACCTGTCCGAGGAAGAGTAGCGCATACGCGCTCTCAGAGGATAAGGACGTGATGGTGCCCGCATAGCGCACCCAGCCTGATATGAGCAGCGTCGCCACACCCACTTCAGCCTTTGAAGAAAATTCTCCATTAGTTGAAGCAGGACAGGTGGAAGGGACTCACACATCGGCGAATACCGAAGCGCGTACAAAGAAGAGGAACGAGGAGGGAGACGGGAAGGTAGACACAAGATAAAATGTTGCTGAGCCAGTTCACCTGGTCGAGGGAAATGGCAAAGTCTTCAGAAGCTATTCAAGTTGAATGCTATCAAGTAAAAATAATGTGCACTGAGGATGGATACGCACTATCATTTGATATGGGCCCAAACCATGACCAGGGCATACCGGTCACGAGGCCAAGTAGAATCTAGGCACGCTTAGCATCGCAAGGGATTAGAGCACGAAGTCAGGTGAACTCACAAAACCAAAAAGGCCAGCGAAGCGGCGCCTGTATAGACGGTAAATAGGGACTTGCTCCGCGTTGTCCCCTTGCTTGACTTCTTCAACATGACTGATGCTCCTGCGGCGAGCTAATTGTCTAGTATCTGCGACGATTGTATCGGGATATAATCCAGACTGTACGCTTGAGATGAACACTGCATCGGGAGGTTGTGGAGTTGAAACAAGTTCATGGTGAGCCATGAGACTGATAAAGGGGGCCCTCCCAGTGGGATTGAGTAGTCTCTGTAGTGAAATACTACGGACTACAAAGAGAGCGCACAGGATATTATGTATGAACCTGGTAGTATGACAATCGATAAGAGAACTATAAACATGACCCGAACTGCAAAACCAACTGACGCCAAGACACTCATGTATGCCGTGTCTTATGACATGACATGGACTTTCCCGGGCACCTCCTAATCTGGCCAAAGGAATGGCATATGTTCCGGTTCCGAAACATGCCAATCTCAACTTACATGTGATCAGTGACTGTCATGGCTCTGCCTAGTACCGGCAGCTTAGCCTAAAGCTTACTCCCTATTAATACTTTAATTCTAAAGTGGCTTCTATCGTGGTATATCCTTCATTGGTCGCCCCACAAAACACATCGCAGCCTTCTCACAAACTTGAAAGTCCACAGGTACCATTGCATGCTGCGCAGAAGGATCATCAACCCTGCGTCATACGAATACATAATCGTAAAATGTCCCCTTCCCCGCCTTCTTCTCCACTTTCTTCCCCGCCCTTCTCACAGGCGATGGTTTCTTCGCAGGGGACCTCGATGGTGACGACCCGCTCCGAGGCTCGTTCCACGCACTAAATCGGGTGCGCGCATTCCGCACGTATACATCACTGCTCCCTCGCACGCCGTCTGCGCGCAGAGTGCCATTCAAATCATTAGTTTCCGCGAACCCTTCGTCAAACTCAAAGTCTGACCCACCGATCACAGACCATGATCAGGGTGCCTCCAAAATCGCTGAGAACCCTCTGACGGGTGCTTTATGTTCTCTGTCTGACGCAAAGCCTGACTTTAAGTTAGACATGTGAATGTCAGACAGAAAATCTGATATGGTACCAAGTTGGGATGTATCTGTCGGTGGTTTCCATGTACCTGATCTAATTGCCAGGGCCCAAGGGATGTGTGCCTGGGAGTATTTGGCACCTGACGGGTGCAACCGTACTCACTGGCCCACAAAGTCAACTTCGTGAGTATCAACTTTCAAGTTGTGTCTTCGTCTACTCCGACTCACTCGCCGATCGTGCGGCATCCTCAATGTATCCTGTTCTGATATCGTCGAGAAAAATATGCGGTATGCTGCCGTTGTACTACCGCTCGCAGTAACAACAGCCTTCAAAGTGCACAGTCAGTAGGATCGCGGCTCCCTACCCTGTAACATGCTACCTCCACCATGTAGGTTTCACCTTGTCTGTAACTTGAAATAGGGACAGCTCAACTACCATTCACTACTTCTTTATTCTTTGTTACGGACAGACTGAACTGTGTGAGAGAGATCAGTCATGAAGACGGATGACGCGTTGTCCTCCAAGAAGCGTTCTCCACGAGTCCATGGTCAGTACGATCACTATCGTAAGCCAATTTCGACGTGAATATGTTTCCATCATGTTTTACTCACCTGATCCGTGAACGTCCCTTGCGGTCGTGCCAGCACTGCGCCTAGTGATCGTCTCGATATCCTCGAATCAATGTTTCATGCTGCTAGCATGAACCCCGCTCACATCCATAATGCTATATGCATCAGGTCGCGAAGCTATCTCTCACTGCGCGAGATATGAGAATCGAAATGTCGATCAAAGCCAGACTATTGAAATTATCGCAGGCTTTGCTTTCACTAGAAGCATTATCTTCCCCGGCGACCACCACGTCAGATGCACCCATTATCGACTTCAGATGGGCAACTCCGCAGCCTCCATCAACTATCTCTGGGGTTCAATAAGCTACAACGCAACCAAATGAATGCTATCAAGCACTCGGAGGCAAGTCTTCGAGAAAGCAGTGTTCATGATGAACTAGGAATTATTGTGTCCAAGACTACCGCTGAGGTAGTATGTATTAGAGTGGGGGCTAACCCATTGCATCAACTGACAAAGTGAAGTAGTATGCAACATCTTGTCCGTGCACGCCAGGTGGAATTGAAAACTCGGCCTGCTTTTGTTGAGCATACATAAATTGAGACTTGCCTCAAGCCTACCTTCCAAACTCGTTCTCCAAATGCTTTGAGATAATAAGTAGGGCAAATGAATATTGCTGAATCGACTCATGAAATCAGGGACAGTAATGAATCCTTCAAAGGACATACATACATTCACTCATCACGAGATATACCTGGTTGTTGTTGCTTCCCTGGTTCTGGTACATCATCATTACTCCTGCAGCCTGAGCAGAACCGAAATTCGGGGAAAGCGTTTTGACATAATCTGCAATATCCAATGTCGTCGATTGGTTCACGAAGGTTCCCTCATACGAATTGGTTACGGCAAGAAGGTAATGGGTCTGAGTTTCGCGGATGAGAATAAAGTTCATAGATCATACACTGTTCAAGCGACCTTTCCTAATCGTCACGGTAGGTCTCTCCACGATGAAAGCGCCATATATGACAGGAACGAATACGTACGTGCCAAAGAAGCCGTTGATGTTGATGTTATAGTTTAAGGTTTGCGACGTCTGCAGCGCGCAAACAAGAGAGAGTACCCGAATTGAGCTACAACTGTAAGTTAAGGGTATTCACTCTGGAACATAACCTTTGAAAGGACTCACTTTGTTCCATCGACGACCTGACTGTACAGCATTTGGCAGTGGCATTCAGGACGCCACAGACATTCACCTCATGAACAAAATTCACCTCCGAAATTCGGTCATTATAGTTATATTGTGATAGAAAGAATGCGGAACTTGTCATGGCAGATCTGGAGAGGGGAGGCTGCGTGTTTCCTTCATGAACAACAAAATGCTGTAGCACGGAACCGGCACCCGAAACGACGAGAGTAGTGAACAAGGCTAATGATAATGAAGAGTACCTAACACAGCTCACCAGCAGACTCCCCAAATCGTTGCCTTCGTGGGATCGCCACCGAAACCACTTACCTATCCTATCAGTTGAGGTACACCACGCAAGTAAGTAGATACTTCTGCTACGTAGGCCTGGATCCACTGTAACGCATAATTTTGGTCGACTTAGAATATCAAGTTCAGCCGAGTCTGAAGCACTGTCAGACCATGATGATCACGTACGTAGTCTAGCATTGAGCACACCCCCTTCTTTGACCGCTTCTCCAGAAAGGAAGCCTAGTCGACAGCGTATACATCAAGTTGAAGACCCGAAGAAGTAGCGAAGACATACCGAATAAACCGAGGCGGTACTGGAGCACGACAGTGACGCCACGATGATCTAATTCCACGATTAGGTCTGCGCCATTGTATGCATTCGCAACTCCCAAAACACACCTGTGCCGAAATCGATTCTTCGACAGCGGAACATTGCACATGTACTTACCCTCCACCGTGAACGTGAATCCATACGACAACTGGGAGCCCTCCCGACGGTGTGGCCACCACTTCACTTCCGGGAGTGTATACACTACCAGATGCAAGTCAACCACCATTCGTACATCATCGTTCCGTGGCAGGCTTACTTCAAGAACAAACAGTCTTCCGACTGACTGACAGCCTTTTCCTCATAGAGGTGCTTTCATAGGGATTAGTCGAAGAATAGCCTCCGAGTGCTTGATAGCATTCATTTGGTTGCATTGTGGCTTGTTGAACCCCAGAGATGGTCGATGGAGGCTGCGGAGCTACCTATCTGAAGTCGCCTATGTGCTTTGTGCGTAAACCAAGACTATATACAACACACAACGCTGGACGCACCAACTGGAGCAGCCAGGTACCGTATTCCAAGAAAGCTGGTGATGTTTGTCGCTGTATCTACTGATCCCTGGTACTGAGTGAGCATAATAGAAGGTGATAATGGGTGCATCGGACGTGGTAGTTGCCGGAGGAGAGAACGCTTCTAGTGCGAGCAAAGCTTGTGACAATGCCAATAGATTAGCTTGAATCGACATTTCTAGTTTCATCTGTCAGCACAGTGAGAGACAGCTATCAACCAGGGTACGAAATACTTAGTGCGACCTGACGCATAAGGCATTATAGATGTGAGCGGGGTCCGACTTAGCCGCATGAAACATTTGATTTAAGAGGATGTCGGGAACGATCACCGGGCACAGTGCTGGCACGGCCGCAAGGGACATGATTCTTCTGTCACGTCATAGATCAGGTGAGTAAATCATGCTGAACGAATATTTACATCGATATTGGCTTACTACAGTGGTCGTGCTGACCGTAGACTCGGCGTGGAGAGCGCTCCTTGGAGGAAAACGTTCTAGGTCATCCTACAGACCTATCTTTCCCACACAGTGCGGGCTGTCCGCTATGTAGAGCTTGAAGAATGAATATTTGAATACGTAGTGAGCGGTACTACGCTGATCGCCATTTCAAGTTTCAAGTTACAGAAGAAGTGAAACCTACATGATGAAGCTGGGTGCACGTGCTAATTCCCGCTACGTAAGTAGTGGGTATTAGGCGTAATAGCTCAAATTTTACAACGCTTTCAAGTTTTGGCAGAGAAATGAGTATCCGTACGTTTTAGTGCTCTGTTCCCACAGTTTTTCTCACGGTTTGAAGTTTATGTCTTATAGTCAGTTTAATGTTCATGCCGATGCTCAGCGAGCTCTCTCAACGTTTCAATTATCTACTAAAGTTTTTCGCCGATGTATTGGCGATTGTGCGCGTTGACGGATTTCAATCGAAATCACAAGTTTCTTCCACTTTTCTGCATGACCACAATATTCCACGTTCTGTTGTGGAATCCTCTTTAGGACTTGTTCGCGTGCCTACCATCGATGGCTGGTATCTCTCGCGGCAACCATTCCAAGAGACTTATCTTCGTGATTGCGACGTAATTCTTGACTGTGATTGGTTGCAGTCCATTCGCCCTGCATTTCCACGTGACGCGTATATCACCTGAAAGAAAAAACGTAGCGGGCTCTGCCGCGTGCGGCCCTTCGCGTTATTACAATTTGACTCACCAGCAAATATTGTCACGGTACGTACAGCAAAATGTTGCCCTGGCAGTCAATCAATGCAGGAGAAAGCTCCACCCAGTTCCAAGCTATAGTCTTACGTAGCCTGTTTGAATGCATTATAATGACATTACAGCCTGGAGAGGTAGCACAGACGATCGCGGAAGGGAGGGCGTTAAGTAATGGAATAGGAAAGGTGGAGAGCTCCCCTTATATGAGTTCGCCTGGTCATTTATATATATTGGTTCACTTTGCATACATCGGATTTCTGCCAAGTTCGTGCCAGACTGGTATACAAAAACTCGGGGCTCGTTTATAGCCAGGGAGAGCGCGGAGCACTTGCAGCCAAAATTCTCGTTCTTCAACTTCTTGTGTAAGTCTGTGTAAGTTCAACTGTTTGTCTTACATGATATAATGTTGTCAACACACCCTTGTGATAATGTCTGTGCTTTAATTGAGTGTTCTCTACAGTAAGTGACAAAGGCTGAATTAAGTGCGGACAGAACGGAAAATGTTCCCGTAGTAGTACATCTCGATTCTTCCTAGTTCTCCACGATTTCAAATCCTGCGAAATGACCGCCAACAAATGAAAAGAGCCTATGTCATATGGGTAAGTGGATACAGATATCGATTCTGAGTCTACAATACCAAAACAGCACACGTCAGTTACAGTGATGATAAGGTCGTAAATTGTCCAAGGAAGGTGTAGATATCATGAATCTCGGTGCATGGTAGTGCCGATAACCTCCAGACTGATACCAGCACTTTTCTCAGGCAACGGTATCGAGTGCTCCATCTCCAGTATCGAGCCACTCTCCTCCTCCCCTTTTTCTATTGACATGTGGGATTGACCCAAGTCGGTCGTGCCCAATTTGTCCATCGGCATCGCCTCTAATTCGAACTGGGTCGAATGTAGGTGCTGCGCCATACGCTCATCCATTTCCCGCCGCACCTGCTTTGCGCGCACGAAAATCATGGTGGCACCCACAACCACCACGAACACGCCGTGCAGCACGAACGCCGCGTGCATGTTGTACGGTGGGGAAGCGGTCGACGATGCGCGTAGGGCGCCTTCCGCTATACACAAAGGACGTCAGACAAAGCAACTCCGAGTCGTTGCTGGAGGAGGACATACCGAGGATGAATATGATGCCGAACGCGTTACCTCTGAGGACGCAGAGTGAACGTGAAGAAATGGGATGAGGAAACAAGACTTACGAACACCACAAAATGGCGGCACTGCTGTCTGCATTTCGTGTGATTTCCACTCCGAGTTCAAGGCCGACTGGGAGCAATATTATGGAGCAAATACCGATGATGACCATGATCGCAAAGATTGTGCCGGTGTTGTTTGGTTTTACTGAATGGGGATTAGTTCACATACAAGTATACCGAGGACGGGATAGAATGAGATCGGCATGATTGTCAGAAGATGATCGACCACGAACTACAAATGATCTGCCACGTCATCGATTCACTGTAAAGAACAAGACAATTTCTCCCACTCGGAAGCAACTCACAAGAGTTGCGAAAAAAGAAGACATTGTCTATCAAATAAATCCACACTCACCAACCCAGATCAAACTTAACCACGCCCCTGCGGCAATCGGGACAAGTATCTTTAGTGTTATGCCCAGATGATGGGTCAACACCCGATCGAACAGAGGCGCGATGATCACACTGGCAAGGATCCCGCTAAACAGGAGGGTCGCACCAAAGAGGCCTGAAATGGTGTCGCTGTACCCCTCAGGTTCCTGTGAATGCGGTGTTTAGCGGTGATATTTGGTGCTAATAAGAAAGACTCACGAAATACTGCGCAGAGAGGACGCTAAGTGCGTTTGCCCTGTGCGGTTTTCGTATGTATGTTCGTACAGTCAGGAGGAAATACTCACGCGCCAACAAGGACACCAAAAATCAGTGCATTGATGGTGAAGTCCATCCGTTCGCGAGGAGCCATGTAAGCAGGGTCTGAGGGGCGAACTTTCCCCACCATCGCAAGCAGGAGGGAGTTGAGTGATTGCGGGGCCTTGGAGCCTGCGTATGCTGTTCAGAGAAATTAGTGACTTACACGTACAAGGTTTTCGATTTGAGGCACGCCAGACGTACTTGGTGGGCTTGGTGGTTCACTCTCGATAAGAAAGAGGGCAGGTGCGACTGCGGTAGACATGATCGCTAAAACCAGGACCTGTTCCAGTAGACCATTCATAGGGCACGAAAATAGAAAATTTCAGGGGACTCACAGATTGCCTTGGAGTACCGACTAGGGGACTAAGTAACTGGCCAAGAGCGCTGCCGACAGGATTGGCTGGCGGATCCAAACTGAAGACAATGGTTGAAAAGAAATGGCGACAGGGGACTCACCGATGGCGACAATCATTGTGGCTGTCGTTCGGCCTTTAAGGTCAAACCACATCTCGGAATACTTGGGGCCGAGGACTTGGAAGACAGGTTGAGATATTGCTGAGAAGAACTGCATGCGATGAAGACACAAGGTAGACGGGTGCAAGAAGCAGTTGAGTGACATGGAAATACATGAGAAAAGGGTATGCACCTGTCCGAGGAAGAGTAGTGCATAAGCGCTCTCAGAGGACAAGGACGTGATGGTGCCAGCATAGCGCACCCAGCCTGATATGAGGAGCATCCCCACACCCACATCAGCCTTTGGGGAAAATCTATATTAGTTGAAGCAGCACAGATGGAAGGGACCCACACATCGGCGAATACCGAAGCGCGTACAAAAAAGGGGAACGAGGAGGGAGACGGGAATGTAGACACAACATATAATGTTGCCGAGCCAGTTCACCTGGTCAAGGGAAATGTCAAAGTCCTCAGAAGCTATTCAAGTTGAATATCATCAAATATTGTGCACCCAGGACGGACACGCACTATCGTTTGATATGGGCCCAAACCATGACCAGGGCATACCGGTCACGAGGCCAAGTAAAATCTAGGCACGCTTAGTATCGCAAGGTATTAGAGCATGAAGTCTGGTGGACTCACAAAACCAAAAAGGCCAGTGAAACGGCGCCTGTATAGACGGTAAAGGGGGACTCCTTGTTCCACGTGGTCCCCCTGCTTGACTTCTTCGACATGACTGATGCTGATGTGACGAGTTAATTTTCTGGTATCTGCCACGACTATGGTACTGGGGTACAATTTAGACTGCACGGTTGAAATGGACACCCGACCGGGAGGTGGAGTGGAAAAAGGTGCATGGTCCTGAGTGCCGTGCCAGTGGGATTGAGTAGTCATAGTAGTGAAATACTAAGGACTACAAGGAGAGCACGCTGTATATGATGTACGGACCTGGTAGGATGACAATAGATAAGAGAAGCATGACCTGAGCTAAGTATTGAGTCTGAGTAGTGAAGCACACACTGATGGCTGCGGCGGTTGCGCTGGCATGACACTGATCAATGACATGGCAGTGATGGCACAGCTAGTACTATTTCCAGCTTCTAAACTCGGCAAGTGCCGCCTGTGTTGGCAGATCCCAATCGATTTCACCATTAAATCGGAACGGCGCTTGGCCGCGCTAGTCCCCGACTCCTGTTTGAATCAAACTGTCCTACATGTTAGACTAAAGATGCTGTGATATTGACTGGCATCTTACCGCTGGTGTGTACGATTCGGACGTAAGTATGTACTCGTGAGTGTATTTTGTAACACTAATGAAGTGGGAGTCGGGGATTTCAACTAGAAGATACTGTAATTAGAGTGTCATAATGAGTTATCGATATCGAAGTAGGAGGGTCGCAGTGGACAAAACACGAGTGTTGATCTGCGCAAAACCTGTAGAAAGATTCCAGTTGTGTGCATTCCAACGTAAAAGTGAAAAGCAAAGACAACAGAACATCCCACAAATTCACCAGGACTTTCGGGTTCGCGTACAAGAGCATCCGCATCCGCATACAGATATACAGGTCGTTATCGTCGAGGCCAAGCTGGATATCCCATACTGGCGACGGCTCTCGCGGAGGTGGCCGGGATTCGGGAAGACCCAGTGGGCGGAGAACTTTCAAGGGCGAGTTCTACGTCCCATGCTGGGCTCTGACCGCGCTGGGGAGCTCTGCGTGTGTAGTTGAATAACGCTTTCGAACTTTCTTTCAAGCTCCGACGTCAGCTCCAGAACGTCTGGTTTCGAGACAAGAACTTTGCGGGAAGAAGACCCGGGCGGCAGAACCTGGCAGAACTCCAGGCTTGGCAGCGCAATGCGTTAGAACCAACTCAGTGTCGAATCCCTGAAGTTTGAAGACAACTGCTACAATAGGACTTCCCACCTTATTACGGTCCACATATCTGAGCCATTTCTCTAGAGCAATCCTAGTACTACGTGGCGCCAGCCATGAAACGATGCAGATTTGAAAAGGTTTGCTTGTCTTGTACCTTATATGGGTGGAAGATGGCATTCTTTCGTCCGGGTCCAAGCCACCCACAGCGCAATTAAATCATCATGCCCGAACAGCTGACTCTATACCTTCTCAAGGTGAGGAATGATGGGGAGTAAAGAGGAAGACTTGTCTGACCCATGACTCCGCAGCTCTCACCTTTGAGCCAGAAGGTGACATTACTACTGACACCATTTCACGAGTCTTTGACGCGCATTGATAGATCGAACTGGCTCTTGTCGAAGCCAATGCACCCTACAAGGCATACCAGGTCGATATCTTTAACAAACCAGAGTGGTTCGCAAGCAAAGTAAACCCTATCGGCAGGGTATGTGTATAATGACGTTCTGGGTCTATCGCAGACAAATGCGTATCACATAGGTGCCTGTTGTGACGTACGGGGGACCCGATGTCGACCCCGAGGATCCTTCGCCCCTGTCCGCTAAAATTTCAGAATCGAATATCATACTCGAGTTCGTAGCGTATCCAGACTCTGGCCTCCTGCCGAAGGATCCTGTTCTGCGCGCCAATGTCCATTTCTTCATCAATGCGACTACTAAACACATTGAAGATCCGTTTTACGCCTTCCTCCGAGGACTGGAATCGTATGAAAATGGAAGTGTCCTGAAGGGCATTGAATTTATTCAAGGACTTTTCAAGGAAGGCAGATATTTCGCGGTTGGAGATCATTACACCATTGCAGATGCGTGCATCACTCCGCACCTCGCAAGGCTCAAGATCGTCACCGAAACTGACATAGGTAGAGTACTCGCACTCGTGCCTTTTCCCGAGAGGTTGAAACTGGTTAACGGAAACAGGGGATTTCCCTGTCGGTGCGGGATATATGCTAGGCGAGGAGTTAAAGGGACCCAAATTCTCCACATTCATGAAATACGTTAAGCGAATGCTGGAGCATCGGAGCTTCAAGCAAATCCACGATGAGGCGTGTATACGTCTATGCTAAAGACTAATGACTTGCTTATACACGTTTAGGAGTCCGTGATCGCATTCTTCAAGAAGATTTTCATTAAGCGCGTACAGTGAACATTTACACGATAATAGATAGTTAAGTAGATAAACCGTTTCTCGTGCTACTGGCAATCGTACAGCATGCGAGTTCTTCCATCAAAGTCAGCTATAATTCTCGTTCGGTGCCCCTTACATTCAATTTTTTTTGTCTTCGTATGATGTTCAAGTCAAACCCTCATTCTCCTTATGAAAATGTTTGTGACCTTAATCGAACGCTCTCTGCGGTAAGTGAGAAAAGGCTGAATTGAGTGCGAAGAGAACGGAACGTATCTCGGACACGTTCCTAATGGCCTAGTAGTATATCTTGATTCTTCTCGAATTCAAGTCCTGCGAAGTGACCCCCAATGAACGATAATAGGCAAGTGAATACACACAATTAAGTTTACAATTAAGTTTACAATAAGTACCCAGAACAGCACAGGTCAGTAACGCTAGTAATTATGTAGGTGATGGGGTCGTAAATAAGAGGGTGCAGATATTAACTTGGATGCACAGTAGTGCCAATCACCTACACCCTAGCATCAGCACTTTTCTCAGGCAACAGTATCGAGTTCTGCAATATCGAGGCGCTCTTCTCCTGACCAGAGTCAGTCATGCCCATTATATCCATCGGCGCCTCCTCTAATTCAAGGTGCTGTGCCATGCGCTCGTCCATCTCCCGCCGCATCTGTTTGGCGCGCACTAAAAATATCGCTGCGCCTACAACCATCACGAATACACCTTGCAGAATGAATGCTGCCTTCATATTGTACGGCGGGGAAGCGGTCGACGATGCGCGCAGGGCGCCTTCAGCTACACATCAAGAGCGTCAGACAATGTAACTCGTCGTTGGATAAGGACATACCGAGGATGAATACGATGCCGAATGCGTTGCCTCTGAGGACGCCAAGTGAACATGAAAAAATGGAACAAAATAAACAAGACCTACACACACCACAAAATGGCGGAACTGCCGTCTGCATTTCGTGTAAGCTCGACTGCGAGCTCAAGGCCGACTGGGAGCATTATTAAGGAGCAAACACCGATGATGGCCATGATTGCGAATATTCCGCCGGTGTTGTTCGGTTTTACTGAGGAGGGATCAGCTCGTGGATATAGAAGACGGAATAGACGGAGATCGGTGTGATCGTTAGAGACGATCGACCACGAATTACAAATAATCTGCCACGTCATCGATTCGTTAAGTCAAGATCTCCGACCCTGAAGCAATGCACAAGGCCTCGCCAAAAGAAGGCGTTGTCTATCAAGTGAATCCGCACTCACCCGCCCAGATCAAACTTAACCACGACCCTGAGACAATCGGGACGAGTATCTTTTGCGTTATGCCCAGATAATGGGTCAACACCCGATCGAACAGAGGCGCGGTAACCACACTGGCAAGGATCCCGCTAAGTAGGAGGGTTGAGCCAAAGATGCCTGAAATGGAGTCGCTGTACCCCTGAGGATTCTGTGAGGGTTTTAGCAGTGATATTTGGTCCTGAAACAAACGACTAACGAAGTACTCCGCAGAGAGGACGGTAAGTGCATTTGTCCTGTGCGATTTTCATATGTGCGTTCGTACAGTGAGAACAAAACACTCACGCGCCGGTAAGTACACCAAAAATCAGCGTAATGATGGTGAAGTCCAGCCGTTCGCGAGGAGCCATGTAAGCAGGGTCTGAGGGGTGAACTTTCCCTACCATCGCAAGTAAGAGGGAGTAGAGTGGTTGCGGGGCCTTGGAGGCTGCATATGCTGTTGAGAAAAGTTGGTAACATGTACAAGGTTTTCGATTTGAGGCACGTTAGACGTACTTGGTGGGCTTGGTGGTTCACTCCTGATAAGAAAGAGAGCAGGTGCAACTGCGGTACATATGATTGCTAGGATCAGGATCTGTCCCAGTACATGGTCAGCCATTTATAGAGCACGATAATCATAAAAGTTGAAGGGACTCACAGATTGCCTTGTAGTACCGACCAGGGGACTAAGAACTTGGCCAATAGCGCCGCCGATAGGATTGGCTGGGTCCAAATTGAAGACGATGGTTGAAAAAATGATGCAAGGAGACTCACAGATGGCGATAAGCATTGTGGCTGTCGTTCGCCCTCCGAGGCCAAACCACATCTCGGAATACTTCGGGCCGAGGACTTGGAAGACAGGTTGAGATATTGCCGACAAGCACTACATGTGTTGAAGAGACGAGGTAGACGGGAGCAAGAAGCGATTAAGTGACATGGAAATACATGAGGAAGGGGTGCGCACCTGTCCGAGGATGAGTAGCGCATAAGCGCTCTCAGAGGACAAGGACGTGATGGTGCCCGCATAACGCACCCAGCCTGATATGAGGAGCGTCGCCACACTTACTTCAGCCTTTGGGAAGATTTCATATTAGTTGAAGCAGGACAGGTGGAAGGGACTCACACATCGGCGAATACCGAAACGCATACAAAGAAGGGGAACGAGGAGGGAGACAGGAATATAAACACAAGATGTAATGTTGCCGAGCCAATTCACCTGGTCAAGGGAAATGTCAAAGTCCTCAGAAGCTATTCAAGTTGAATACTATCAAGTAAAAATATTGTGCACTGAGGATGGATACGCACTAGTATTTGATATGGGCCCAAACCATCCCCCTGGCATACCGGTCACGAGGCCAAGTAAAATCTAGGCACGCTTAGCATCGTATTAGAACACGAAGTCTGGTGGACTCACAAAACCAAAAAGGCCGGCGAAGCGGCGCCTGTATAGACGGTAAGTAGGGACTTGTTCCACGTTGTCCCCTTGCTTGAACTCTTCTACATGACCGATGCTCCCGTGGTGAGCTAATCGTTTGGTATCTGCGACGATGGTATCGGGATCTAATCCAGACTGCATGCTTGAGATGGACACTGCGCCGGGAGGTCGTGGAGCGGAAAGAGGTGCAGGATCCCGAGGGGCAATGAGACTGCCCTGCCGGTGGGATTGAGTGGTCATAGTAGTGAGATGCTAAGGAAGAGCACACGTATGGGGCCTGGGTCTGGTAGGCCGTAGAATGTCCATCGATAAGAGAAACATGACATTAAGTACTAAGTACAAACTGACCGTAACACCGCCGCATCAACACAGATGACCAACTTCTAAATCTGTCCGCATAAATTCCGGGAATGCGGTTCGAGGAATGCATATCCCGAGAGGTGTTCTAAAAACACATGCACTCTGAGATCTGAAGGACCAATTGCGTCGCAACAAGCTAACTGTCGTCTAGCCAGATGTGTCACAATATCAAACTTTGATCCACAAATCTTACGCACTATTAGACCGACTGGTACGGTGGTACCATACTAAGTGCGCTGCGTACAACGATACCAATTGTACGGAGTCCGGACCAATTCTTCGACCGCGCCTATCCCCGAAACTAAAGGATGGGCAGTGTAATCTGATGGTGGAGTGGAGAGCTCCCCTAGTACGTGGGTGTCGGAGAATTCAAAACTTGAAGTAGCAATGACATTGCAGGTTGCAAGATTCCAACATTTCTCCAGCTGTACACGCTCACGCATGTACTTTGATAAAGAAACATCGCAAGCCTTCTCATAAATCGACCGGATACGGCGGTAGCATAGCGTACTGCGCAGAAGAATATCAACTGAAAAGTCCCGCTAGCCTTCTTTACAGTTTGGTGTTGTAGGCAGAATGTCAAACCACAGGGGATCACGTTCTAATAACTTTCTTCGCCTTATATGGCCATAATAACCTTTTTCAATCAACTCCACTTCCTCACTTGTAGAGTAGAAAAAAAATTCAGTTGTATAGCCTGTACTACGTACGTAGACAATCGCACAATGTCTGCCGCCGCACTCGCCGGCCGGACGCCTTGTCTCATCCGGTTCATAACCGACAATTTCAATCGTGGCGAGAAGGTCGACAACAAATCTGGATACTACCGGTCCTGCAAACACTGTCCAGATGCTCTTCGCATCCAAGGTCATGACAACCAACTCCCAAACCACCTTATTCACAAGTGCAAAATATGTCCAGCCGCCGGCGGAAATACGAAAATAGGCATGCATGTTTGTTATGGGCAAGGCTGGTCGCGAAGATGCCATAGAAATAGAATTCATTAATTCTGATAAGATTAATGCTTCTCCTACCCCACAAGGCAGTTCAGAACCGGTTGTAAACGCAAAAAAATGTGCACTTTGAATGGCTTTGTGGAGTACCCCTTGACAATTGAGGAGCATTCTCGTGCGAATGTCAAGCTATTATGGTATCTACTCGCACCTCAGACTCAGAATATCGATGATGATCTTGCAGGTCTCGAATCTATATCACTTGATGAGATCGACGCCGCATTTGCGCTACTGGAACGCGAGAAAGAAGTCATGGAACGAGAGCCGGTTGACGGAAATGAAGTGTGGAGGGCCAAGTCTATGCGTGTCGGCGCTAAAAGCCACACGAGAAGTAAGTGGCGTGCACTCGTGACCAGTGCAGTCAGAAGTTAGTGAAAGTTTTTGGGAAAAAACCCGGAGGGTTTCTTCGGCCCAAAACATGCACCCGAACTGGGTAGCAAGGTGAGCTGTGATGGGGCGGGTGGGCTCCGATCAGGTCACCGACATTGCAAGTGTCGAGTGCAGTGCGTCGGACGAATCGGATGTGGACGGGAGCAAAGAGCGCTGCGCCACATCGCTTACTAACACATAGACTAAATTCTACGCCGCCTCGTTACTCGGCTCGCTTAGAAAACCATTTATGATTTTGCAGAATTGGGGCATGTTGACCAAGGTCTTGCGCCGAAATTTGTTGACGACGAGATCATGGTAGTTGATCACACCTCACACGACAACGGACTGTGGGATGTGGACGTGCTGATGTCTTCTAATGGTGTTTCCTAGTGACACTTACCATACATTGTCATACACATAGCCTTGTAGCGCTTTGAAATTTTGCCAAGCGGCAGAAGTGGCGATTCTGCCACTTCTGCCGGCACAATTGCCCATCAAATAATTCTGCCCCCGGCACTACAGGCTTTACTACACGGTGTAGTGGATGTTTGCTCCAACGCCAAAAAAAAATTAGTTTCGCACGCCGCCGTTGCTCGTTCAAGTCCAGGAGTTTCGTTCTCGAATCTCGCACTTTCTGCTAGACTGCTACGGCTTTTTCAATGACCATATGCTGTTAGTTGACACGGTCGGGCTCTTTCTTTCCATCCGATTCGACTGCCTCAGTCGGGGACTGGACTGCCAGCACTGTGGTGTGTTGGCTATGCTGTATGATGCGCAACCAAAATTCATGGAACATTCTTCTTTTATCATTGCCGAAGTGCTCCTGTGGAAGTCGTAGCTGTCGTGAACTGGATCTGTCTGTCAATTTCTTGATGTTGTAACTTGAGAACTGCTCGCGCAACTCTGGAACTTCCGCCTCATCCAGTTGCAGGTAAACTTCTTCGGTATGATAGGCCTCGTTTTGTAGGCTGCTCATTTGAAGAGCATAACATCAGCAGATCTGCCCAACAACCTTTACTAATCATGACCTATGCAAGAGGTTTACGGATCATTCGGGGCATACTGCCCACAGTCCGCTGGTGCCAATCTGAGAACGCTGCCAGTTCCATGTTTAATTCTCGGCCGCGCCTAGAAGTACTGAACCGCTACTTCTCGTTGCGGTGAGCATGTCGGCTGGTCGACGAACGAGGCCGAGCCGATATGATTGCCTGCGTCAATGCACTGGCCTAAGGCCTCACTAGTGACTACATGAGACTACACGACGTTTTAACTTTGGGTACCGTCTGTTCTCTGCGCACGAACGATTCGCCTGTAGAGTAAGTTGGATATCCATACAGATGGTACATGGTGGGCTCTGCCACCGCATGGGGGCGCTACGATTGTCTAAAAGGACAAAGTAGTAAGACGCGGAAAAAGAAAGGCTCATGCAAATAAATAATCATAAAATGACCCCTTCCCCGCCTTCTTCGCTTTCTTCTCGGCCTGTTGCTTCACTGCCCTTCTCACAGGCGGTAGTTTCCTCGCCGGGGACCTCGATGGTGACGACCCGCTTCGAGGCTCATTCCACGCACTAAATCGGGCACGCGTATTCCGTACGTATACACCACCGCTGCCTCGTACGCTAGCTGCGCGCGGAGTCCCTTCCAAATCATTAGCTTCCGCGTCCAGGGACAGCGACTCTACAGATGCTGCGAACCCTTCGTCAAACTCCAGGTCTGACCCACCGATCACAGACCATGCCGTGGGTGCCTCTGAAATTGCTGGGAGCGCTCCGACAGGTTCTTCATGTTCTATGTCTGACACAAAGTCTGACTCTAAGTCAGATGTGTGAATGTCAGACAAGAAATCTGATTCGGTATCAACTTGGGAAGCATCTGTCACAGGGGGCGTGTCGAGTGTCGAGCCGGCGGCTTGCGTGATTTGAGGGCGCAGAAGATACGTTAACCGTTGGCCGTCGAGCTCTTTGCCTACATAAAAAAACACAATGGTTCAGCTCACCAAGATATTCCAAGGCCAGTCGATTACTTACTGAAACTAACAATCCCATACCACCGAGCCAGACAATGCACCACATACCTCTCAAACGCACCGTCCACACCATCCTTCCCAACAACCCACACGAGAGCGACGGCCCGCCTGCTCACCTCTAGCACATCTTCTCTCCCTCCTACTTTCTCCCCCGGGAAAACCATACCCTCTTCTTCACCCGGGTACGCCCCTCCCTCAAGCCAGGTGCATAAATGCTCCTCAATCGCGCCTACTATATTTCGGGCACCTGGTCTGGCTCTCAACGCTCGCCGGGCACCCTTCAGTGAGAGCGAAAACAACCCAGCAGCGGCACTCGCAGGGTCACGAGAACCAGGGACACTAGGAGGCAGCACGGACGATCGGGGAAGGTAAGGCGGTAACGGAATGGGAAAGGTGGAGAGCTTCGAGGGAACTGGCACCGCATGATCACCGCGCGAGGGCGGCGTGATATGAGGGTTGTGCACAAACTTAGCTAGGAACAAAACAAGAAAAATGTCAGAGCGTGCGTTGGATGAGCACCTCGTGGGTACGCACCGTTTTCCCTCCTGCGTATCCAACGCTTCCCCTCATGCTCATCCCGGCGCGCTTTAGATATCGAGTTATTGTGAGGCGCAACTGCAGGGCGCTCACGAAGATGGGCATAACGGTCTGCGAGCTTTGGGTTGCGCAGAATTGCAGGGAATGAAAGCGGGACCGGGCCGTTGTCTGGCACCTGAATTTCGGTTCTCCCAGAAGGCTTCTGAGAGGAAACATCACCTATTGACATTGAACTTGGAAGTACAAGCGATGGTACAGCTAACGATGGAAGGATTGGCTCTATGGCTGCAGGTTCTGCGATAGGGAGCTGGACGGTAGTGCTCGCTTCAGCCATACTGTAGCAGTTCTTATCTGTGATGTGGTCGGGTTATCAGCCTGCGCAGCCAGGATTTTAGTTCCAGACTCACTATTTGTAACTTGAGGTGAATTGAACAATTGGACTTGGAGACGACTCAAGTACTCAAGAGTGCAGTGATACAGGGAATTCGGGACCGTACGTGGGCGAGTCAGACGCCGTCACATGCGCGAAAGATAAGATTGCATAACTTCGGATGCAATTGCAAGCACTTGCTGGCACGACATGCTATATTACTAGTACGACAATCATAAATCCGTCTTGATTTCAGGTCAACGTCAAGTGAAGCTAGGTCCCTCGCCTAACCCTGCTTACTGCCAAACGTAGGAGAATCAACACACTGCAACTGTCATTCAGAATGAGTTGGCTAAGCCAGTGAAAAATCCCCGACGGCGCGAAGGGTTGGTGGGAAGACTCATCCACCCGAGACAAAATTGGAGTAGCTGGGATCATGTCAACCGTGCAACGTTAAGTCACAACCGCCCCAGGCACTTCGGGCCACTGGCGAGAACACTGCATGTACAGTAACATCGCATAATTGATTCTCGTGCAATAGAGCGGAACAAAATTGCTAACCTTGTACAGCTAGGGCTATACATGCACTTGTAGCAGGTCGGAAAGTGTCCGTCGTGCGGGAGGGAATCCTCGCCGTTTATGTGCATGCGGCACGCGATGCCAGCTAGTCGATGGGCACTGAGAAAAAGTGATCCATCCATCGTGTACTACAAGCAGTGTTGGATCAAATATGACGTCCAGTTCTCCTTTCTACACTTGTAGAGAGTTAACATATATACAAAGTGAAACTGCCTTACAGACCTTGAAGACAAGCAATGAGCATCCCTCTATGGACTGATAAAATCAGTAATCAACGCCTCGTGGGTAACTTGCGTTTGCGAAAGAGGCTTGTGGGTGCGGGAGCCTCCGGAGAACGGGGAATCTCTTCTTCCTTTTTAACGGGTTCGGGTGGTATTTGAGGCTCTGGTTCCGCTTTAGCATTGACAACCTCTTCCTTGACAGCTACAGACTCCTCGACTTTCGCCTCTGGAGCATCTTCCCCACTGGAGTCTGCCTTGACGCCATCAGGGGAAGGCTCATCAACTGCCGGTTGGAAGGCTGCGCGCTTCCACTGTATCTTCATCTTTGGGGCATCAGCAGGTAGCGCATCCGCTTTCAAATCGTCGACAGCAGCCTTCGATGAAGATGATGAAGTAGGCTGTGGTTCCGCCAACTCCTCTTTCTTCACTTTCAGCTTGATATGTAGAAGTCCCGGGTCGTATATCTCTCCCAAGCCAAGGTCGACAGTCTTCTTTCTCAGCTTGAAAACACGCTCGTCCTCTATATCCTCCACCGGGGCCTCACGTTTCTTGCCACCCTCCGAAGACCCTACCGTCTCCTCGTTTCCATCCTCGGACGCGCTTGGAACCTCACTCTGTACCGGCGCAGGAGATGCCGACGTGTAATGCTGAACAAACTGCCACTCTCCTGCGACACCCATCGTCTGTCTCATATCTGCTTCAGCTTTCGCTCGCTCCGCGTCAGGGTCGGCATAACCCAGTGACGCAGCGGTTGAGTAGTTGGCATACGGATCGCTTGGTTTTGTTGGAGGTTTCTTCGGCGCAAGTGCTGCAGCGGGAGTCGCACTTGAAGACGAACCAACTCCTCCCAGTCCAGCACCTACGTCTTGAGCAAATGCCGCGGCTGCAGCCTAAAGTATAAGTTAGCGTATGGATTGGAATACTGTAGACAAACACACCCTGTCAATCCTCTCCATCTCGCGTTTCTCTTCTTCCTTATCCTTCACGGCTTTCTCGCCAGCCTTGTACAGCCCGCGGATGAAACGTTCGACATTGCCTTTATGGCGCATTCCATTCTCATGATGCTGTTTGGATGGAACATCATCTGCTATATAAATGTTGCAGTACTTGCAATGGTAGCGTTTGTGAGACACCCAGTATTCAGACATCGCAGTCGGAAGTGAAGATGACCCGTGATACTGTGACACCGCGTGACAAACCCTCACATCATGCATTCCGCACACAAACAACGCTTGGAAACAAGAAGTAACTAAGTACTGGTGATAATACACCTTTAAGGCCTTCTAATTTATGCGGTGAAGATTCTTGTTAGCAGATACAAAGTTGAGCCGACAAGGCGCTGCAATCCAATGAGTGCCTGTCCAATTTAGCGAAGACGGAATACACACCACTGAATTGGTGATGGCTGCAAACGAAAGGATGAATATTAGATATGCCTTCGTCCGTGATACGCCTGCGTCAGGATTGAAAGTACTTGATGAATCGGAACCAGAGAGAATAAATAGCAAGAGTACGCCCTGCCAAAGATTTAGACACTGATCAATACAAGGTCTAAATTTCGGTCAAACTGGACTCACATTGGATAACACCCAGGCCAACAGTACCTATTAAATGTTAGCCTCCGATCCATAAATAAACGAAGACATCGCACATTGGTTCTAACGTTGGCGTAGTAGTCGATAGCCGCCATCTCTCGCTCTCGCTCCGTAATCACTTTATCCTTGTCTTTATTTGCAGGTTTCCGGTATTTCAGGTTATCGATCGATTCCTCATAGATACCATTCACGTCTGCAGCTTCGGCAAGCATGGCAATATCGACCTGAGAGTGAGAGTCTTGCACTGCGGCCCCGAGGTCTGCGTCCGGAACTGCGTCTTGTTTTGTGCCCCAGGATATCTGTGGCGCCAGTCAGCTATATGCCCTAATAATATAGACTCTAACCTACATCATCAAGGTTCGAGAACGCATATCTTTGAAATGAGTCAGTGCTCATTGCTCTCACAATCGAGTCAACAAAAGGAGACACACATGCTCAAGACGTTAACGTATGTCGGACTGAGTAGAATGTACTGCACGAAGCTGGTGAACATATGCCATGGGTCGAATGCCAGGAGGCTGCTCAGCATATATACTGCGCAGATTGATATTGGTGACAAGCAAAAGGACAGCGTGACAAATAATACTCACCTCCATAAGTTATGGCGACGCTCAGAAGGACCACGCCTCCACCGGCCTGACTATATGCAGCTATGCCACATAGTACAGATGCAATGATGAGGTACACCATTAGGATTGCGAGGAACAGTGAGGCGAGCAGGTATTTGCGATGAGCCCTGTCTAGATGTCAACATCAAAATGGCTTGGACATCGAAGGAAACATCTACGCTTTAGGCTTGTTCCCCATAGACAGAAGGAAGCAGGCGATGATTATCGAAGCCAAAAAGTACTGAACTATGGCGTTGAAATATTTGATAGAGGGCACACCAAAGGACTTGTCTTCTAATGACGAGCTCAGGATGACCTGTTAAAATCACTCAATCTCTGCACCAATCATTAATGGCCTTGAAACTAACGAAAAACAGGTAAAAGTTGCCCTGGAACTTGTCAGTCGACGTTTCAAGGCAACTGCGAGACACTCACAATCCCGAACCATGAAAATATCATGTTGATGATATTATAAACGGTCTCGATCATGAGGGTCACCTTTCGACTGAAGCTGTGCCCGGACTGCATAATTTGCCCTACATGTGCGACAGCATACACTGCTGCAAAAAACGAACCATTCAGCCATCGCCGACGCTGGCTGATAAACTCTGGTAGCGCATCTGGCACATCGGTTTCACCAATGGCACCCTTGACATACTTCAACACCCTATTGAAAACACCAGTTAGAAGTGCAAACCCGTGATGGATTGAGCCTTACCAATTTGAATTTGCTTTCGCTATGAGCTCAAAACAAAGGATGCGCTGGGGGTTGAAACAATCTCAGCACGCGGTATTATCCGGAAGCGGGGAGACATACATCTTCTGCAAGGTCTGCGTTCGGACGTTAGAGAGGTTACAAAGGAGACTAAGGCAAAGACGTACACATGTTTGATGTAAATATGTCGGTGTCGTGGCCATGGAGGACTTCGCCCTTGAAATAAGAAGCTAAAGGACCCGTTCCGTCCTTGTTGTTTGCCAATGCGATATACCTATGTAGAGCTATAAGATCGGCGTCTCTGATAACTGGTGAACCCGGTATACCTATAGGCAGAGAAAGCACCAGGCTGTCGTTATTAGTTCCATCATTCGCGGTAGACTGGGCACAACAACATACCAGGACACTGATGTAACCAAACATGCTTTCCGTTGGTTTATCCAAAATGTTGCTCAGCTTGTACTCAAAGTTCTGAGCCGCAACTGGGAAGACACTAGATGTCAAGAAGCATCGTTATCAAAGGAAAGAAATATCGAACCTAGGGGATTCAGCAGGAACTGCCAGTTCTTGCCCTTGTAGACTGCGATCTCACCACACGCGCCACCGACGTTTGAGTTGACGTCGAAAGTTTTCCACAACCGATATATGCTATTATTGCCTGGGCGTGTTCCGACGTCGAGCAACACGCAGATATTGGGCTGACAATGGAGTGAGTTTTGCACTGTTTTTTTTGGGAATCTCATCGCATACCTGCAACATGGGTGCAAAGGCATTGAAGAACCATCGATGACTGTTGATCTTTTTCTGATTCTTCTCCTTCATGCAAAATATGATCTGCGTTGGCACGATGCCCTTGTCTGGATATTTGAAGTGAAGGTTCGGATCCAATGCAAAGGAAGTTGTGTACTCGAAGAGATGCGCTGTGACCTCTTTGTTATTAACTTTGTTCTTCATGTGATCTCCAGGCTGGTAGACTCCAAGGAGTGTCAAGCAGTCAAGCACACGCGGATGAATCTTCTTGCGACCATCCGCTACGATACAGACAACAACCTAGAGGATATGAGAAGAGGAAAGCAGCATGGAATAGCAGAATGCTCGCCTTTTTCCAGGCATCAGGTCCCCATGTTTGGGAATTCTTGCGCGAGCAAAGGTGTGCTATATTGCGCATCACCCCATACAAGGTCCTACAAAAGAGGACCTCATCTTCCTACAATAACAGGTTTAAAAAGTAGAAACCTAAGCCATTGTTGAACTCACGTTATACATAGTGATAACAATAAATAATTCGGTTGTGCGTCCATTCTCATTCTGTCGTAGAAAGAACTTCTCTTTCTCGAAATCGTCGGGATCACAAGTGACCGCTGTGTACCGCGTCTTGATCATCTCTGGTTCCCCCCTATAGGGGAGGACGAGCTTTGGAGGCACATTAAGGTCTACGACGAGATTGCCGTTCGTCAGCTGCACCCGTTTCTTCTTCAATCGTCTACGAACGCGCCCGACGGGTGCAGGCCCAAAGTGACGGGTCTCGATAGGCGTCTCGGGTTCTGAATACCCGACTGAAACGCCAGGTGTCTTCTCACCGTCGTAGTACTCTTCGGTGCCGGGAACGTCAGCATACTGCGAGATATCGTACTCGTCGTTGTATGCGGCCTTCTCGTCTTCGCAAGGGTTGTACTCGCGAGGCTGAGAGTATCCTGTGTAATGTGTAACGTTGTTGGAATCAAGTTTGTAGTCCTCGTCCATGAACGGAGTGGGCGATCGTGATCTCGGGGGGCGGTAGGAGGAGCGGGTGAAGTTTCCAGATGCGTATGCCTCTGTGTCATGTTGGAAATGATCTACAGAGCTGGTAAACCCAGGTGATGGTCCCGTACCATAATTTGAGTAAATGGTAGGCGTGGAACTGAAAGGAGTGGCGACGAGGTGTTCGTGTGATGTATTCGATGGCGGTTGAGGATGTACTCGTATGGGGGATTGTTGAGCGTACGGAACTTGCTGATAAGGGTGGGTGGGAGCATGGCGGTCCGAGAAAGGGTCATGGCCTTGTGCGGACGTATGTTCATCGACTGTGGGCTCCTCAAGATCCAATGTTTCTCCAGTCATTATGGTTGGAAGTAGCTGTCCCGGTTGATACCTTTCTGGAGGTGGACGAGAATCAGCAGAACGAGGCCTGTTTGTTGCTGCATTTTGTGCAAAGTGTGCTTCGCTAATTTTGGGCACGATCAGAATGTGATTCGCGTACGACTGGCATGTCATCACCTATTTGCAGATTCATACGAACTGACTGAATAGCGATTAAGCGTTTCATCCACTCCTCGACTAATGTTTGCGTATGACGCGTCCGCACTAAGCATATACATCAATATGTGTGACCGAAGCTTCTTCGTTTGTAATTGCACTCACGAGTTGTTTGGATTGATGAATGGTTGCTGAGATTCGGCATCCTTGCTGGCATCGTCTGATAGACTTGGGGCTGGTTTCCTACGTGAATTTGCGCCCTTCATTTCTGGCGTATTAAATGGTCGTTGAGCGCTAAGCGCTCTGAGGGCTGCGCTGCAAAGGTTCAAGCTCAAGGATGATGTGACACGACATAACGCGGCTGTGACCGGTTCGTGTCGCGTTCTGGTCACGTGATCGCAAGTAAGCGGCTGGACAACTATTGAAACGGAACTCTGAACTAGGAACGGCCCACTTCCATAGGTCTGGCTAGAGGATAGTAGCTCCGAATGGTGACAGCGCCAGCCCGCTGCTGATACGTATAGTGAAAACGGACTTCACGGTTCACTGATGCGTGATACCGTGCTTTTGATGCCGCTTCTTCTCGTCCTCGACTCGTAGATGCTTCCATCGCCACTCCTTTTCTGTGCATCTTTTACTGGGATATAGAATCCTGCCCAGGGCCAGCTTATCTTGCTTGTATATTACTTCCCAGCGCTTGACAAACATCAGCCGGTCTCCGTAAGCCTGAGCGAACCGACTACCCTTCCTCCTCGCTCGTAGCACAATATGTCTGACTCGATGGAGGCTCCCAACCGATATTTTGCGAGCTTACGGTGTGACTTGTGACTATGTTGTCAATAACTTGAGTGACATATAAAAACATCCCCTATCTCACAAAATTCAAATTGTCTACCACTCTGAAGTACGTCGTTCAATAAACTGTCTTGGATCCGCCCAGCTTGGCTCAATCATGAGATACCCTGGACGGGATCTCAAAAGTTAATGAGGTGCGGGATCTAGACCAACAACCTCCTTGCGCACCCGGTTTCGCGGCTGTGAACTTGATACATGATGTGCCTAGCAGTTGGTATTAATATTGTTGTACTCACTATAAAATACACATTTTGCCTTGTAATGAATTTACAAGTTGAGAACAACCTGGATAAGAACGGCACGGTCGTCATTACGTAGGCTGTTATTAGACTCTCATGACTGCTGACCGCGAGCGGCGACATTTCCAGCTTTTTTAGATCAGGTTCTACCGCTGTCATCTGTCATTCAGATTTTGGTCTTGAATTAGGAACCGGTGTGTCTATCATACCGACACTCCCATGGCACCCACTTCTCCTCTCCCTCTGAACTTCACCCAGATTCCACGATCCCCATATCCCCCCCCCCTTCTTGTCACCACTCGTTCGGCCCATCTTCCATCCTCCTTTTCGCTTGACATCTACTTCGGAGCGCCAATATTATGCCCGGTAACTTACAGGGCCGATATATCAAGCTCGATGGTAGGCCACCGTGTCTATATGCCCTTCATATTTGTTTCGTGATCTTGATCCTCTATCTACAGTCATCAGCGGAAAAAATATCCAAGCCTCCCCCTTCCGCATGCCCGCAGGCATTTACGTGTTCATCAAATTCGACTCTAGGAGGTGCTGGAAATCAGCCGTCCGAGTCCTATCATCCGACGGCGCTGTAGCGTGGGGTGATATTCTGACCATGTAAAGCCTTTTACAGAGACTCTCAGACATGATTTCAGTACTCATCATCAGTTTACAGATCACCAGATTCGTCAGATAAGTTATCACTGGAGATAAGGGCATCCTTTGAACTCGGTCGAATGCTAGGCAACGGGGAACTCGTTCGAAAATTTGAAACGTCATGGAATGAGCTGCTCGATCATGGAGATGAACCTTTTGGTGAGTTATCTGCTTCCTATTCATGGACGTCCGCTAACTTTTGGTAGACCTGTCCTTCCTACTCATTGATGATATCTGCCCTTCTCTCACCCTGAAGGTAGCTTTTGTAAACGCTTGCGGATACGACGACAGTGCGCTACTTGATGTGAGTGACGCCAAACTCTATGCTTCTGGCTTATCTGAAAGAACGCAAACTACAGTCCATCGTTGAATGCGAGATAGCTCGGCGCACAGATGCAGGCCACGCGCAATTTTACAAATACATGAGGAGCAAGCCTGAGAGTGGTGTCTTTCATCTGAATGGCGCTGTGAACTATTTTTGGTGGGTCGTGGCCCGGTGTCCAGTCGGCCATCCTGACCGTGCTGCCGCTCTCACCAACCTCGCGTACGCCTGCCTTCAAGGTTACATTCGCAACGATCTCCAGGACATTGACTCTACTACTTCTCTATTCCGTGACGTTCTTGCATTGCGTTCGCAGGGACACCCCGATCATCCATTATCTCTCCATTATCTCGGTCTAGCGCTGAGCTGGCGCCACTACTATCAACGTGCCCCCGCTGATATCCACGAATTTGCCCTACTCTACCATCGGCTACTGCCTCTCTGTCCAGAGGGCACATATCTTCGGAGCATCGTGGTAGGGGCGAACATTGTAGATCGTGTGATCCACGAATGCAACGATCTTCCTGACGACGCGTCTGATCAAGGGATACGCCTGCGACGAGTCGTGCTCGAGCTGTGTCCTGCAGGCCATCAGGGCCGTCCGCGATCCCTGGATAGGCTGGCATCAGTATTCAGAGCACGCTTTGTCCGACTTGGCAATGTTGATGATGTTGACGAGGGCATACAACTTTATCGTGAAGCTGTTTTTCTGTGCCCCGAGGGACACCCTGACCATGATTTCTACTTGGATGGCTTGGCCTACCTACTCCGATGCCGTTTCGAACACCAAGGTGATCCTCATGATCTCAACGAGGTCATCTTTCTGCTCGAAGAAGCACTGCGCCTGCGTCCCGTTGGGCATAACTCTCGTGGTAGATTGCTGGGAAACCTAGCGGGTGCCCTCATCATACGTTTCAAAAGATGCGACGGTGACATCGATGACATAAACAGAGCTATCAGCCTCAATCGCGATGTACTGGTGCTGCACTCACCTGGGGATCCAAATCGCGGCCTGACGCTTAACGACCTCGCCGCGGCGCTGCATATGAGATATGATTCATTGCATGCCAGCAAGGATGATCTTAATGAGTCCATCGATCTGCACCGCGAGTCTCTTCGGTTATCACGGCAGCGTGGCTATCCACAGCGCCATGCAAATCTGTACAATTTGAGCGCGGCACTCTGCTCCCGTCTCGAGGAAACTTGGAAGAATGAAGATGTTGAGGAGGCCATTGATCTTTGCAAAGAATCATTAGCAGTTTTTCCCCCACTGCACCCGGATAGATGCACCAGTTACGCATGGCTGCAGGAGGCTTATATGTGTCGTTACCGAGTACAGCACAACCCAGCTGATTTGTCACTTGCAATGGAGAACTTCGAACTAGCATCAAAACAGCCCACTCAAGGCTTCCCAACCCGCATTCAAATAGCCATGGGCTGGGTTGATGAAGCTGAGCATTATCAACACGAATCTGCCCTCGAAGCATACCGCACGTGCTTGGATCTTTTCGACAACCATGTAATGACGCGATCCTCGATTATCTCACGGCGCAATGCTGCAACCGCTTTTCGTGGTTCACAATCACTGCCAGTGAATGCAGCATCGTGTGCTGTTCGTTGTAATGATCTGCGACAAGCAGTTGCAATTCAGGAGCAGGGTCGCGGCCAGCAGTGGTCATTGGCTTCTCGACTCAGGACCCCGCTGGATGACCTCAAGTCAACGAATCCCGACTTGGCTCACAAATTCTCAGAGCTCAGCCTGCGTCTTTCTGATATTCAAGGTTCTACAGTCAGCACAGACAGTGCTGTTGCCGATAAAGCAGCAATACAGTACAGGAGACTTACGAAACAATGGGAAGCTGTGGTAGTTGAGATCCGCACTCTGCAAGGTTTCTCGGGATTCCTGCTCCCACCATCATACCAAGACTTGCAAGCAGCAGCACGCGATGGCCCAGTCATCATCCTCATTGGGAGCCAGTACTCCTGTGATGCCATCATTGTCCCAACATCAGGCGAGCCACATCATGTCCCCTTGCCGTCTCTCGCTCTTGCAGACCTCGAGAAGCTCAAAGATGACTTCGCGAAGGCGATACGGCACGCGGCTGTTATGGCCCCAACGGAGACAAGGACGGGTCTGATAGCACTCTTGCGGATTGTATGGGACGAGATCATGCTACCCATCGTCAATGTGCTCCAGTGTGATCTGAAATTGAAGCGCCGGTCTCGAATATGGTTGTGTCCGACAGCAGCCTTCACTTCCATTCCTCTCCACGCAGCTCACCCATCGCGAACGATGGCAGATGGTTCTGGGCGGGAACTATGCCTGGAGGATATATACATCTGTTCTTACACGCCCACACTTTCGGCTCTGATCCGAGCGCGACAGGCAATGAAGACGCGTGAGACTCCGTCCTTCGTGGCGATCGGGCAAAGTGAACCGGGCGCAGGACAAGGCAAGGTACTCGCCGCTGTCGACAGCGAGCTCGAACTTGTCCATAAACTCGTTCCCCCCAACGTCAAGTTCACTAATATTTCTGGGCACGAAGCTACGCAGGCAGGCGCCCTCGAAGCTTTGCGACGCAACACCTGGGTGCACCTCGCTTGTCATGGAAAACAGGACCGCGAGCAGCCTTACAATTCGCGTTTCGCCATGAGAGACAAGCCTCTCACGTTGCTTGATATCATGGAGAACAATGCTCCGCAAGCTGAATTCGCATTCTTATCGGCGTGTCATACCGCTGTCGGTGATGAGCAGACGCCCGATGAGGCCATCCACCTCGCCGCTGGTCTGCAGTTTTCTGGATTCAAGAGCGTCATTGGCACTCTGTGGGTGGTCGATGATGCTGTTGCAAAGCACGTCGTCGAAGCTTTCTATGGGAATATGTTCAAGGATTCGAAGGAGGGAGTCGTGGACTGTACGAAGGCGGCCCGCGCACTCAACCATGCTACGTACACGGTAAAGAAGGTGCCGCTGGAGCAGAGAATTGTTTTCATTCATATTGGTGTGTAGTTCCACGTTGGGTTACTTTGACGTGGTACGGCCTTTCTAGCCATTGATATCAGAGTCTCTTTCATTGTACTTGTCGTACGTTGTGCTCTTAGCTGTCTTCGTTTGCAATCGGTCCCTCGTTGTTGTCTGCCCTAGAGTCTTTAGCAAATTGATCGGATTCAAAGACAATGCTGGTGTATGAGAATGTTTGAAGTAGTACCCAGAAAATAAGACTTCCAAGCATTTCCGGCAACGAAAGGAAATCAGACCTAACAAATATGCTCCCATCTTTAGTTACTTCATCGCCAAGCGTCCGCACTCTTCCCGTTCGTAGCAGAATGGTGCGCATTTCCCCCATGCTCAACAATGGATTCAAAGATCCGGTTGAGGTGGGAATGTCATCAAAGTCGACTTCGAATCCTTAATAAACGTTTCTTGCCGTTGATCTGGGAGAGCGACGCGTCTTTTATTTGGCTTATATCGTTGGAGATCGTACTTGAAATTGATTGCCCAACTCTTGGGCTCTCTCTGTGTGACTCCCTAATAACCGATTTGACGGCGTGGTTCCTCTTCCCGTTCGAGACGGTGGATAACAGTCTTTCGTCATCATCCGCAGGTCTTGCGGGTGCAGGTTCCGTCATTTCGTCTGCCGAGATTTTCTGGCGCTTGTGAAAAGCGAGCGGCGGCGAAGGTGTGGGCGATGTCCTTCTTCTCTTGTACGTCTCGTAAGGCCTCGAGCGCTGTTCTGCAGCCTTGCCTTCACCCTTCGAAGCGGTCATGAAGCTCGGCGCCTTCCAAGCCTCCACATCGTGTATCGGAACACGGCTCGTTGAAGCGACCGGTTCGACTAGATGTGGTGAGGTTGCTCGAGATTTAATGTGGGGAATGACTTCGGACTGGGATGTTGCAAAAAGGTGACATCACTTGATGTCTGCAAAGACACTGCTTCCAAATTCTCGAAAGACGCCGACGTAACTGCTCCATACATAGTCCCGACGCCGTCATGTGGGTCAGGATTGAATTTCTGTAGGTAGGCTTCTCGTGAGCACCTGCTGCATATTTGATAACAAGAGTAGAGTAGTACTGACATTGTCTCCAAACGGTAAGACTCTTGCAATCGGAAACTGTGATGGAAAGACGAAGTTGTGGGACGCCAAGACGCGAAAGGTCGTCACGAAACGGAGATTGTGCAGTCAGCACTAGTGTGCTGCACTACTTGGAGATGACGAACGAATTCGAGGAGCGTCAGGTATATTTGGTTGTGTTAGGAATAGAAGCTCTACAACTACACTGGGGAAAAAAAGAGATTATGGACCGGTGGGAATGTCGCACGAACCTTAGATTCTATCAACATCATCACTGTATTTTGACTACAGAACCGCGAAATGATAATATGGTGCATATTCTCACATCCCTATATCAACCACGCATGAGAATACCTCACTCATGCACATGCCCAGCACCCGCATGTAGTAACTGGCGGAAGTGTTGCAAGAAGTTGGAATCCATGTTTTGTTATTGTGGATTCAACAGGATCGTAGGAGTCGAGGCTGAGTGCTGAGTACTGAAGCCTTAGGGGCAGTGGAAACACTATGCAATTGACATTGATCTACGACAGAGTCGTGTCACAGACTCGGAGGACGCGGAAGGTGGTTCGAAAATATATGTGGTCCCAGCTAATACAATACTGGGTACACGTGCGTTCAACTTTTGATGATCTTGTCCACACAACATGTCTTTCTCGATTACCTCTACAGCAAGGCCACTTGAAGCCAACGGTTATCTTATCTCGTTGCCGGTGCCGTCTGGCTGCGCAGGAAAGTTCTATATATGTGGACTGGCAATATAATGTCAGCATTCATAGGCTTAGCAGCCTCGTGCCCTCCTGCGACCAGACAAACACCCACTCATCCTTCGACTACGGTATTCCACCACCATCCAGCGAGCTTTCCAGCAGCATAGGTTGAAACATCTGTACATCTATCACATCTCTCTCGCTTTGGACTCTCCATCTCTCTACAGCTTTATTGTTTCGCGACCTAAGCTAAAGCCTTCACACCTTACCTCGGCTCCAAGGACCAGTATAGATCCAAGTAACAGCTTGGACTCTTATTGATCCTTTGATTCAAATATTCGTACGTCGTTCCTTGCTATAACCGTTGCCCAGATGATTGCTAACCGTAACCTCGAACCAAGCTAGTATTACTTCCCCGAGTTGTTCCATTCCATCACATAATTTGTGTCACGACCGCCGTCAATGAGTCAGGATCAATGTCAGTATTTCCCCTCTTATTCCTCTCTCGCTCTCTGACCACATCAACAGATTCTCGATCGTTGGAAGGAACTTGGGAGAAGCTATCTCAGGTCGCCGTCAAGGGGGCTCAATATGACTCCCCTGAACGCCACCCGCATCCAAAATGTTTGGCAGGGACCCGGGTGAACCTTCTCGACCACATTCATACATTATTAGACAAGCGGGAGAAGAGTCAACTCATTTGGCTGCATGGCACAGCGGGCGTCGGAAAGTCTGCTGTCGCGTTCACAGTAGCTGAAAGGATGAGAGACCTGAAAGTGACAGAGGAGACGACAGTCGAAAAGCGGCTTGCAGGAACATTCTTTTTCTCGCGCAAGCACACCAAACGCTGCACGACTGGTTATTTCTTTGCGACGCTTGTCTACCAGCTTGCTAGCAATTTTCCCAGCATCCGGTCGGACGTGAAAAGAGCTATCTACGATAATCCCGCCCTTCTGGACTCCAGCACGCCACTCCGCGACCAGATGGAGGCGTTTTTTCTCCGACCTCTCCGGAGGCTCAAATCCAGGCTGAGCGGGTGTCCGCCTTTGACCTTTGTCGTCGATGCCCTTGATGAGTGCACATCCGAACCCGAGCTCATCGATCTCATCCTTTCCCTTGCACGTGTTCTTCGTGAACCTGATCTGCCCGTGACCCACATTCTCCTCACGAGTCGCTCGGAATCGCATATCTGTAAAGCCCTTCAGAAAAAAGAGGTCTGGTCGTTGGTGTGCGAGATACCAGTGAAAATTTCTGGGGATGGTGTTGCTACCATCATCTCATTAGACGGCGCAGATGTTGACAATGACATTTGTATTTTTTTGCAGCATTCTTTCGGAGAGCTGGAAAGTCGTCATCCCGATTTTCCGCAGCCATCGAGGGATCAACTTGAGCGGCTTGCCAGTCGAGCAGGCAGACGTTTCATCGTGGCATCCACGATGATTAATTTTATCGACGATGAAGCCAATGATCCCAACGATCGGCTGCAGCTGATGCTCGAGCTAACGAGCGACCTGCTACCAGGAACGGAGGTGTACAAGTTATACGATTGTATCCTCTCTACATGCGCCAACCCCAAACGGGCATACCTGCACTTGTCTGTTGTAGCTGCCCTTGCAGACCCTTTGCCGATGTCACAAATCTCGAAACTTCTTGGCGCTGGCCAAGGGAGGGATGCGGAGACAGCACTGATGCAGCTACGGTCTCTCATGAGTATTCCTACAGACAACACACTCCCCGTGAATATATATCACTTGTCCGTTCGCGACTATGTTTCCGACCCCTCAAACTGCAGTCTCCCTCAAGTACACGATATCCTATCACCCCACTCCCTACTCGCACATTCCTCTCTCCACTTGATGATGAAGGAGATACCAGAAAGTACGGCCCTTCTGGATGCGCTATCAGAGTTGCAGAGCCAGAGCCAAGCCATGCAACCCCAGGACCCCCAGAGATTAAAAGATTCACTAGCCTTCCTCGTTCGGTCACCGGAGCCACTGTCAGTTCTTATCTGTACGCTATGGCTTCGGGGAGATCACAGTTCCGATTTACAATTCTGGCTAGCGACTCTGGACGGCCATGCCTGGCTGCAGACCCAAGGAGGCGGAGACTGGCTGGGGACCGAAGGAGGCGGAGATTGGCTGGGGACCGAAGGAGGCAGAGATTGGCTGGGGACCGAAGGAGGGGCAGACTGGCTGGGGACCAAAGGAGGGGCAGACTGGCTGCAGACCGAAGGAGTGCGGACCAAAGGAGTGGCGGACTGGCTGCGGACCAAAGGAGGGGCAGACTGGCTGCAGACCGAAGGAGTGCGGACCAAAGGAGTGGCGGACTGGCTGCGAACCAAAGGAGGGAAGGACTGGCTGTGGACCGAAGGAGGGAAGGACTGGCTGCGGACCGAAGGAGGGAAGGACTGGCTGCGGACCGAAGGAGGGAAGGACTGGCTGCGGACCGAAGGAGGGAAGGACTGGCTGCGGACCGAAGGAGGGAAGGACTGGCTGCGGACCGAAGCAGGGGCAGACTGGCTGCGGACAGAAGCAGGGGCAGACTGGCTGCGGACAGAAGCAGGGGCAGACTGGCTGCGGACAGAAGCAGGGGCAGACTGGCTGCGGACCAGAGGAAGGGAAGATTGGCTGCGGACCAAAGCAGGGGCAGACTGGCTGCAGGCCGAAGCAGGAACAGAGTGGCTGCAGGCCGAAGCAGGAACAGAGTGGCTGCAGACCAGAGGGAAGGGCTGGCTGGGGACCCAAGGAGGGGAGGACTGGCTGCAGACCCGAGGAGGGAAGGGCTGGCTGGGGACCCAAGGAGGGGAGGGCTGGCTGCAGACCCGAGGAGGGGAGGACTGGCTGGGGACCCAAGGAGGGGAGGACTGGCTGACCCAAGAAGGGGAGGACTGGCTGCAGACCCGAGGAGGGAAGGGCTGGCTGCGGACCGAAGGAGGGGAGGACTGGCTGCAGACCCAAGGAGGGGAGGACTGGCTGCAGACCCGAGGAGGGGAGGACTGGCTGCGGACCCAAGGAGGGGAGGACTGGCTGCAGACCCAAGGAGGGAAGGACAGGCTCCGTGAGAAACACTGGTTCCAGACCCTCAAGAGGTTGCCACCATATCAATCCTCACCCACATCCCCCCAAGCATCCTCGCCACCACCCCTCAGCAGAGCAGAACTCATGCAGACCCGGTGGGATGAATCCTGGCTGCACATCCATGGTGTGAGAGACTTGCAGACCCTGGATGGGCAAGACTGGCTGCAGACCCAGGCTGGACAACACTGGCTGCAGATCCAGGCTGGGCGACATTGGCTGCAAACCCAGGCTGGGCAAAAATGGCTGCAGACCCGAGCCGGGCGAGAGTGGCTCCAAACTGGGTGTGGGGAGTTCTGGTGGCTGACTCCCCATGGACGATGCTGGCTGCAGACCCCAGGCGGGAAAGACTGGCTGAAAAGCCAGGGTGGGTGCGACTGGCTGCAGACCCAGGGCGGACAAGACTGGCTGCAGATTCTAGGTGGGAAAGACTGGCTCCAGACACAGGACGGGCGAGATTGGCTGCAAACCGAAGGTGGGCGAAGCTGGCTCCAGACTCGGGGCGGACGAGGCTGGCTGCAGATCCTGGGCGGGGAAGATTGGCTGCGGACTCGGGGCGGGGAACACTGGTTGCAGACCCAGGACGGGCGAACATGGCTGCAAACTCAGGGCGGGCGAACATGGCTGCAGATGCCGGGCGGGAGAGACTGGCTGCAGACACCGGGTGGGAGAGACTGGCTGCAGATGCCACATGGTCAAGCATGGCGTTTAACCACACTCTGGGTGACCGTGGAAGAATTCTCGAGCACCTTTGAGGCAATCAGAGAGTACATCATTGTCCCAGAATTGCATTCGCAGCCAGCTTTTCAAGTAATCCAGCAGTTCAAGAGCCTGCCGGATTTCTTAATGTTCCCAGCGTTCCTAGCGTTGAGGCACCAGGATCATTCCACCTCTACATCGACACAAGGTCATTTTCCACCAGACATGGAAATAATCCATGCTATAAAAGCCTTTTCAAGTTTCGCATACGAAGCACGGGAAAGAAGTCAATCAGCTTCTGACACCCTCAACTATGCATGTCAGAATTGGGCTGTCCATCTCTCGCGGGCTCCGAATCCATGGGACGAGAAGCTCACTCATACATTTCAGTCTTTCTGGAATCGTAATCTCCTCTCCTGGCTCGAGAGGCAGTGGTGTTTGAAGGACCTGCGGTCTTGCCTCACTATTTTATCTGAAGGTGCAACATTGGCAAAGGTGTGTATATGTTCCAAATGGTTTCCTACTAGACTCGCAGCCTGACCTGCGCATATAGGAACATGACCTCTACACACCAGGGTCATCTCTCTGAAGTTGTCGGCTTCATGCAACATGTCACACAGTCTTGTCATTGCACGTAGATCCCTTGCTGTCGCTTACAGTCCTATGTCGGTACCACCCGAAGTAGTTATAATTTTTGGATTTGCAACTCACGGAGTCTTACCCATACTCTATGTTGAAAGAAATCACATGTTAATCTGAGTGACGCGGATTTCGTTGTACTTGTCGTAGGAATTAAGTATTCTGATACCGTTGCCCTTAGCTGTCTTCATTCGCAATCAATCCTCTTTGACAAATTGATTAGATTCAAAGACAACGCTGGTGTACGGGAATGTTTGAAGTAGTACCCAGAAAATAAGACTTCCTAACAGGAAAACATCCTCGACAACGGTTAATCAGACCTAACAAATATGCTCCCATCTTTAGTCACCTCATCACCAAGCGTCCGTACTCTTCCCGTTCGTAGCAGAATCGTACGCATTTTCCCCATGCTCAACAATGGATTCGGAGATTCGGTTGGGGTGGGGATGTGATCAAAGTCAATTTCGAATCCTAGTAAACGTCTCTTGCATTTCTTGCCGTTGGTCTGGGAGAGCGACGCGTCTTTTATTTGGCTTATATCGTTGGAGATCGTACTTGAAATTGATTGCCCAACTCTTGGGCTCTCTCTGTGTGACTCCCTGATAACCGATTTGACGGCGTGGTTCCTCTTCCCGTTCGAGACGGTGGATGGCAGTCTTTCGTCATCATCCGCAGGTCTTGCGAGTGCAGGTTCCGTCATTCCGTCTGCCGAGATTTTCTGGCGCTTGTGAGAAGCAAGCGGCGATGAAGGTGTGGGCGACGTCCGTCTTCTCTTGTGCGTCTCGTAAGGCCTCGAGCGCTGTTCTGCAGCCTTGCCTTCACCCTTCGAAGCGGTCATGAAGCTCGGCGCCTTCCAAGCCTCCACATCGTGTGTCGGAACACGGCTCGTTGAAGCGACCGGTTCGACTAGATGTGGTGAGGTTGCTCGAGATTTAATGTGGGGAATGACTTCGGACTGGGATGTTGCAAAACTAGGGGAACCAGAGAATAACGAATGCATAGACGGTGAGGGTGATGGTGAGGTGGCCCTTGTGGGTTCGGGCTCGTTTGATGGCTCTTCTGGGGCTTCTGAGAGTAAAACAGCGACATCGGCCGCATCGGCCGCGTCAACACGTAGGTCTTCAGCCGCTGCTGCTTCCAGGACTTGGCGCGCATCTCTAGTACAGGATGGTTGGTCATCGTCATCGTCGAGTACCTCACGATCGTCCAAGGAGGTGAAACGCGGAGAAGAAGATCGATCGCCGCCCCAATGAGTCTCGTGCTGGTCACCTGGAAGCATCCGCGAGGCTGCGGAGCCTTTTCCTGAGACGCCCTGGTTGATGGCGGGTGTCGAAGTCGGTCCGGGCTTGAATTCTTGAGTCAGTTGTGATGGAAATGGGGGTTGATGTGGTTGAGACTGAGAGAATAGTTCAGAGAGTAGTTGAGATGACATTGGTTGAGATTGAGATTGAGACTGAGAAGTATCCGAGTTGGGGACGAGAATCCGAGTTGGACCTGAGCTATGCGTAGGTGACGGTGGCACACCCGGGTGAGGAACCTTCCGCTTTATGTTCCTGCGAATGAGCACAGAAAACGAGGAAGGTGGCGCCGGTATGAAGGAGGAGTCTGGAGTGGATGGAGGCAGAGTTGACCGCCTGGCGCGCTGTGCGGGCGTGGGTGGGCGAAGGGGCGAAGTAGTAGGGGGTGTAGATGGTTCGTGGAGAGAACTATTTTGCTCCGCCGAAGCTTCCACGGTCGCGCAGTCATTTGGAAGCTCATCGTCTCCGGTGTGAGCTGAGGGTTGGACGCACGGCAGTACTCCAGCAGGGCTACCGGGTACAGATGAAGGCCATTCAGAAACTTCGGGTGTAGTCTGCCGTGCGGGCGGTGGGGTACAGGGTTGGGACCTGGTGACTATGTGTCGGCTCAAATCAATGCTCCACTCAGATGTATTTTGGAAGGTAGGGCTTACCGACGATCACATCATCCGGAGGTACACTCTCTTGGACAGGCACCTTACCCATTTGAGGTTGTTCTACAAGTAAATGAAGCATATGATAAAGGTATCAAACTGTACACGTACCACTGACAAGTGTTTGCGCCTCGGCGTCGTCGCCGCCAGGCTTCATGACGTATTTCCAGAGGTCTTGCTCGAAATGCTGATAGACACAGTTCAATATATGAATTTTCACAAATTGCACCTACTTACCATCCAGCGCTTGCGATATTCCCTCATCGGATCAGGACTTCGGACAGGATGTTCCAGTGCAACGTGGGGTGAATTACGTTCGAGTTCCTGAGCTTGAGGCCTCGGAGGTGCTTCGAAATGGTTGGTAACTGAATGAATTTCTGGGCGCGGCGAATCTGCATCTGCTGCATCAAGTTGCTCTATATGTACTGCGTTTTCTTTCGCATGCTTTAAGACATCCCTGTTACTTTTCAGGCAGTGCTCAATCGAAGATTCATCATGGACAACTCACCCACCGTCGCCACCTCGTCGAAGTCCACGGATCCATGCCCTAACTTGAATGTTCGTTTCAACATCCTGCGGGGAGCCGTATACACCACAACCAGAGCCAATGAACTTTACTACACCAGCTTCTAGAGCAATGTGAAATTCCTCGCTCAACTTCGAACGATTGTTTCCAATCGGGATCCGTACGAAAATGGGGCGGAGTTGCCCAATACAAAAGATAGCATGCTTGGCTTCCGTGAGCCTGCGACCTTGTAGATCCCTGCAACAATGAGTCAAACAGCCATCTGCAAGAGCGAAACATGAAACTTACTTCATATATTGCGATACAGCGTCTTTAGTGAAATATACGGGAATAACGGATTGCTTGTCAGAGACTCTCCCCCATATTGCTGAATCTTCATTGTATGTAAGAAACTGCGGCCGTCAGTGCTGAATGCAGAAAATAAATAGTAGAAGTACGAACTTCAATTATTTGAACTCTCATCTTCTTGCTCGGTGTTATAGCTTCAATTGCGACATCAGCGAAAGCCTTTCCAGACGTTTCGGCGACTTTGATGAGGTATTGTGATATCCATTGGGTCGGAATGCAGTCAGACATCGTGGAGCGCCCTCCTAGGAGAACAACAAAACGCGGTACGTCACGCGTCTTGTCACTTCTCATTTTGGTCACACCATCAGTGCACCACAGTCCACCATTGACAATGCATTAATGTCTTCTTACCCCGATTTCTAATACTTACTGTCTCAGCGAACTCTCCAATTCGACGGCCCTATATTGATCCTGTACGATTTTTCAGCGGTCTCAACCCGAGCGCCTAATGGAATCTAAGAATACCATTATCGTACATGATAGCGTGAGGGACTTTCCTCTAAACTTAGGTTTCAGTTGCACTTCCCTCTTGCACTCCAATGAGTCTTTCCCCTGAGCCTTTCTGCTGCAGTGCGTAGGTTCCCGAGTCCCCGCGTTAGCGTAAGTAGAACTTTGTATATTCAGAATTCCTGCGCTGATGGGTGCATTCAAGTACTCATGCAAGGGTGGAATGCGGAAAGATCATCTCTCGCCTCCATGTCGACGGAAATGTCTTCAGTGCTAACAAGGCTTCATACGCCCAATAAGAATCCCATCAGATGTTAGAACGAGTAGAAATGGATTCGCATGCATGGATCACTGAAGGTGGTGCACGCCAGATGTTGTAGCAAGCCATCGTACCGCAAAAGGCATTGGGCATGCCGCGCAAGCTACTGATGCAATAGTCGTCTCAAGTACTTCCAATCGTATTTTCAGCACGCTGATCAGCGCAGAACAGACTACATACTCAATTTGTATAACGACTTGGGTTTTAGTGGGGGAGTATTGGACTAGTCCTCACTGAGATCTTCCCCACACATCCGCTCGTAGAGGATGGTGTTCTCAATATTGATTGACACATTCCTTTCAACGGTGGTATTCCTCGAAGCAGGGCCAAATGCGCTCTCCAACATCAGATGGCAACATTATGTGATGTTCATCTGCTTGATTGCGGTTCATATTACGATTCTGTGATATTTCCCTGAGATAATTAATCCTACCGCGCTCAATGATTTCTACAATTGGTTTATTTGACGATGAAATAGACGAAGTGGCTCTCGCTTGAAGAAATCAACATGATGAGGTGGCGGTTCACATATCAGACACAGGAGATGATGACTCGCCAAGGAATCACGTCAACGAGTCAAACATCGCTGGAGAAGGAAGACTACACATAGGATGCTCCTTGCCAGGTACTAACAACTTGATCGAAACGCCGCTGTCCTTTTAAATTGATGGATATTCAGAGTTCAGAAGATCGTCAACGAGGCGGTTGGCAATCTTTCAAAATACGACTATCTCAGCCTCGACATTCCCAGAGGGGAGACAAGATCGAACAGCACAGTAGATTAATGCAACATCAATGATCAACATCAATCTAGAACTGCGTACTTCCTCAGACTGTCTGGTATAGCATCTGCTAGCTTCTTCGACTCTAGCCATTTCTTGGAGAATAAACGGCTCTGGTATCGGTATGCGCCGTCGCACAGTACAGTTACAACTGTGGAGCCTGATAGATGAATTGAGCTTTGGCTTGGGCATTGAAATGGTATTGATGGCGCGCTTACCCTTGCCTAGCTTTTGTGCGAGTTCCACAGCTGCAACCACGTTCAGTGCTGAGGAAGCGCCTAGGTACAAGCCTTCGGTATCAAGAAGCTGGTATATCATAGATATTGACTTCTCGTCTGGTATATGCAGCGCTCCCGACAGGTCATTGATAAAAGTGCCCAAGTTATTTGTGACACGGCCCTGACCGATACCTGTGTAGATGTGGAATAAAACGTTCAGCCGTTAGGATTTGTGGTAGACGGGAAAAGTACAACCTTCTGTGATAGAACTTCCGGAACGATCGACGAGCTTTCCACCAGAAGAGATGTATTTATACAAGACACTGCCGGGTGGGTCGGCGAGCCATATCTGCGTCTTGGCGCTCTTCTCCTTCAGATACTTGCCAACACCAGCCAGAGTACCACCTGTACCGGTCGCGCAAACGAAACCGTCGATCTCACCCTGCGTCTGTTCCCAGATTTCCGGCCCGGTAGAGATATAGTGCGCGTATGCATTGGCGGTATTATCGAATTGGTCTGTCCATATAGCATTCTCGAGCTTGTTGGCGTACTCCTTCGCCTGGTGGTTATAGTTCAGCGGGTTCTCGTAGGGGACTGCGGCTACTGGGTGCACTTCGGCGCCGAGCATTTGCAGAAGGTCAATCTTTTCTTGGCTCTGGGTACGAAATCGTCAGCAAAGAAAACAATAGCCAGATAATTGTCTTCACTTGAGTGTTGGGCATGAATATAACACACTTGTAGCCTCTGGCTCTGCAGACATGGGCAAGACCAATACCGGTGTTACCTGCAGTACCCTCAACAACGGTTCCACCAGGTTGTATGCTGCGTACATAATTCGACTGTTAGCACTTGGTGTGTCATGACGCATGTTACTCCCACTCACCGACCCTTCTCCTCCGCGTCCAGGACTATGCCAACAGCAGCACGGTCTTTAATGCTTCCTCCAGGGTTTTGGAATTCAGCCTTCCCGTATATCTTGCATCCCGTCTGCTCCGAGAGTGTCTTAAGATAAATCTGAACATGTATAGTCGTCGTCAGAGATGCATATAAGTGCCTTCACACGGGCGGACCTCCTCACCAATGGTGTGTTTCCCACTGCACCGGTGAAGCCAGCAACAGCGATGTTGCTTGTAGCAAATCCTCTAGTTTGTTGGACAAGAGTCCGTCGTAAAACTGATAGCATGGTAATTCAAAGCAAGAAAATATTATGCAAGAGCTGGAGAACAGGGCAAATTTAAGTCATGAACTTGCGCCCGTCGGAGCGAGCTTGGGGCAAACCTGGAGCAAGCACGACATTTAGAGGTCATCATGTACCTGCTGGGAACTCACTCGGCAAACCTCAATCCAAATATATCACCGATCATCCTCATTGCTCATTGTATTGAGCTATCTCCGAAAGCGAATTATACGGTAATAACCATGTATGAAGAACGTATCGTCACATCAAGGAGCAAAACCATCCATTAAGATGCAGAGATAAAGACATCAAGAAAAACAGAAAAAGTGCTCAGATGTATCTAGTACCCACGAGCAAGGAAAAAGAAGAAGAAAAAAGGAAGAAGACAGCTCAGACATATAAGGGGTAGTCTGTCATACATGCAGAGTCGTGCAGGCCATAAGAGAGAGCATAACGTGGGTGTCAACGAGACGAAGACCGAGTTGTATCGAGATAGGGCGGTACGGACGAGGGTATCACTAGTCTTGCGCGTTCTGCTGCATCGTTCATGGTTGGCGTTTCTTCACGTTCTGGTTCAACCATTGGAGGCCCTCGAACAGTCCTTCACCCGTCGTGGCACAACTGCAGCACATAGAGTAAGTAAAATACTATTTTCCTGGAGTGAACGGAATACTGACCTTGGGTGAACATACCAAGAACGATCCCGCATGCGGTGGAGACCCAACTTTTCAGTCACCTCGGCGGGTGACATAGCTTGAGAACATATGAGCTCTTATCTAAAAGTGTAGAATGACTCGCTATACCTCCTGGAAGATCCTGTTTGTTCGAAAACACGAGCAATAGACATTCCTTCATTTCCCTGTCGCTCAATATGCGATGCAACTCCTGCTTTGCTTCATCGATTCTCTCTCGGTCTTGGCTGTCGACGACGAACACAAGCCCTTGGGTACCTGTGTAGTAGTGTCTCCACAAGCGGTCGAATCTTGTCTTGGCCTCCGACATCCCAGACATTGAACTTCACATTCTTGTAGGTAACGGTTTCCACGTTGAAACCGACTACACGTCTACCATGAGTTTTCAAATTGGTCATAGCGCATGAATACTCACCCGTAGGTATGGTTGTCACAGACTGGTTCAATTTGAGTTTATAAAGAATAGCTGTGGCAAACGTTCAGCACAGCAAGAGAACAACAACGAAGTCAGCTCACTTGTCTTCCCTGCGGCATCAAGACCAAGCATCAGCAACCTCATCTCCTTGTTGCCGAACAATCTGCCTGTAAGACATGCCGTTCAGTGAAATTACACACGATAGACGGCATTTCGACGACGCCCAGCACGAAACACTCACCGAGCGCCTTTGACAAGTTAGCTCCCATGATGATATATAGATTCGAAGGTAAGGAGCGACAGAGGCGGGTTTAGTGCCACAAGTAATGGTATTGAGAGACTGAAGTAGGCAAGCTACGAAAAGGAACGCTCCAAAGAACGCTAGAAGTAAACACACGCCATTTTGGACCCCGAACACCTCATTGCAGTGCTTCTCCGCTTCGAGTGATGAAATGAAAAGGCGTTTCTGATAAAGACACTGGATATTTCTTGTTCAATCGTGCTTCCTGCCCGGAAATCACTGGAAGAACTTTAAATATGATGCGACCACGACCCGTGTAACAATATTATTAGCGATATGAAGCGGAAGTACAATGCAAATGGTCCAGGATGAATACATGCGGTCAAGATGGGTATATCCTACTAAATCACCAGCATGACAGGAATACCTATGAAGCGCCTGAAGGTCTAACCCGCAGCAACTCTCGGTGATGGCGTCTGACTCTGGCTGAATACCTTCAACCACCCATCTCCCATGTCAGAGCGTAGAGCTTGCATCCGCGCTCGATAGAGCTCTGCATCCCGTATCTGACTCTGACTCTGACTCTGGCCCTCATCTGGTGGCTCAAACACCGTGCTCACTCTTCGATGTCCCAACTTGCCATTCGTCGCATGTGGGCGTGGTATACGAACGCTGGCAGGTGGTTGGCGCAGCAGGCTCGAAGGGCGAACAGAGACCCCTGCTGTTGCTTTATTGGAGGAACAAGACTGTCCATCTAAAAGCACGTGTTAATCAGGTGAATGGCAAATGTTGAAGAATGCCCCTTACCTGTTCCATCCATTGGGGTCAGGTCAACGATGCGCTTGACCTTGCGCTTTCTCGCCTTTCTCGCAACAGCACCTGTTAGCAGAGGAGAACCACTGGAGGGTGACGAGGGGGCCGATAGCGGAGTACCCATAACATTATGTGTCCCCGTTGAAGAAGGCACCTTCGGACTGCCTACTGGTGCAACGGGTGGAGAGGGGAGAGTCTCGACGGGGTTCGCTGATAACGGCTGGTCGGGCAGTGTAGTGAGAGACCGCTTCTCATAAAATCCTGGTGATGACCCATCAAGCCTGATGTTCTTGTCCTCCTTCCAGAAAAGCTCAAAGCATGTGGTGCGGTAATTGTCCTCGTACTCGGTGAGCGGGTTTCCCTCAATCCAGACCTCCACAATGTTGGGTAGTGTTGCTAACCGTCCAATTTCAGCACTCTCCTCTATGTGGTTGGAGCGTAAGTCGACGCGCTCCAGCGCCATAAGACGCTCTAAGCCACAGATAGATTCGAGGCGATTGCGGGAGAGATTGATGTTAAGAACTTGACCAAGATGGGTGTAAATACCAAGGACTGAATCAATCATGTTATCGGAGAGGTTTAGGGAGACGAGGTTGTGGAGCGTGGCAATACCATGGGGGACAGACACAAGAAGGTTAGACGACAGGTCGAGATGGGTGAGGGAAGTGAGGTATGGTAATGGGTCGGTGGGAAGAAAAGTGAGAGCATTATCCGCCAGCGACAAGTGTTTCAATAATGACCATTTATAGGGCGAGAGTGGAGCAGCAGGTGAAGGCACGGGAGGCGTCAAGTCGTCTTCATCGTCCTCGGGAACAGACTCAGGCAGGCGAGTACTCTGGAAGGAGCGTTGTCTACGGAGTATGTGTCTGCTTCTTAGGTCGCTCGTGGTGCCATCTCTCCGAGCTTGATCGTCCAACACGGCACCAATGAAGATATCAGTGACGTCCTCCAGGCCACTGCGCTGAACTGTCAGGACTCCGTAGGCTTTCTGCCAGCCTATCCCACCCAAGCAATGTCCGTGGATCTATGTCGACGCACTCCAGGGTCTGAAGATTCTTGAACGCATCAAGTGGGAGTGCGTTCTGATTGGGTGGTTCATCTGCAAGCTCGGCGATGACTTTAGGACCTGGTGCCCTAATGGAAAGTGCAGGAAGCTTTGTAAAAGAGCTGTAAATATACTTGAGCTCCGCATCAATGCTTTGGGGTTCCTGTCTTCCCCACCACCCTACTCCAAGCGACAACCCAGATACGGCTGAAAGCGATGAGCGAAAAGAGGCGAGAGACAGCGTGTCGGATTTGTCGGAATTAGGGTACAATGTCAATGTGCGTATAGTGCATTGGCTTTGAGGGGTTGTCGACCCTCACATCTAATGATCCAATGTCAATTCCGAGCGCCTCCAAGCGCATAAGGACATAGAACAGCCTGTGCGCATCGATAGCGAATGTGACAGGTTTCGGAGGAGCAGGTGATTGTGCCGTAGAGTCATAAGAAAACCAACCAGCGAGATTGAAGACAGAAGTATTATTAGTAGAATGCCGACGCTGTATACGCCTTCGTCGGACGAAACCAGCTTCTGCGAGGCCCTTGTCATTGTTTCTGATGAATGTCGCAATTCTGCGCAGATAATCATCGCCTGGTTCTGGTTCCATGGTGACTCACAGTTGGAGGCAGTGAATAGAAAATAAGCCTGCAGGCAGCTGGGCGCTGGCAGCCTAGGCTTATTATGTGTTGCCTCCTGGCTCCGTGCAAGCCTTGCTGAGTTACAGCGGTAGCTAACCGGCAAGGACCCCAACCCCTCCTGTGACATAACACCGTGACAATCTATAGTCACAGACGGGTGACAAGATTAAAACGCGTCAGTCCGCCCTTGAAGCTGTAGCCATCACCATCGGTGAGACATCGACAAGCTCCATCCTAATCGTAGTTGTATCGGATTATTACCCATCATGAAGTTGACGATAAAGACGCTCCAGCAGAAGATGTTCCAGGTGCGTAACTTCACCTCCTACCGTCTACAATTAATCCCATATATGAGTAACAGCTCGACGCTGAGGGGTCAGAAACCATCGCAGATTTGAAGCAGAAGATATCAAATGCACAGGGTCATTCTGTAGAGAGCCAGAAGCTCATATTTTCCGGTATAGTCATACAGTCATTTCGCCAAATCACAGTGTTCATTTAGTATCACAGGCAAGATTCTTTCGGACGACAAGACAGTTGAATCGTGCGAGATCAAGGAAAAGGACTTTTTGGTATTGATGGTATCAAAGGTTTGCATTGGTTTGCATCTGTCTAGGACGCTAAAGTTCACCGTGATCTTCAGTCTAAACCTACACCAGCTCAACCTCCCGCGGCGACTGCCTCAACGTCGACGCCACAGCCAGTGAACGCTGCACCCGCCCCTGCACCAGTAGCACCTCAGATTTCAGCGCCAGCGCCAGTTCCTTCAGCGCCAGCACCTGTTGCCCCTTCTACTGCCCCCGCACCGGGACCTGTAACAGCTGACGGCAGCTTTTTGACTGGAGAAGCGCTCCAGTCGACAATCAATAATATGATTGAGATGGGCTTCGAACGCGAACAAGTCATTCGCGCGCTGAGAGCCAGTTTTAATAACCCTGATCGTGCCGTCGAATACTTGATGACGGTAGTTTGAAATCACTCGTTTCATTGTCTCTTAATGATTAAAATCACAGGGCATCCCTGCGCATCTCATGCACGAGGCAGCAGGTCCTGCTGCACAACCAGCACAGACGGGGAGTGCTGCAGCTGCAGCTCCCGCCGCACCCACTCCCGCCGCACTTGCGGCCCAACCGGTCCCAGTTGCCCCAGCTGGCCAACCCCAGAATTTGTTCCAAGTAAGTATCCTAATTTGTTTTTGAATTGGATTTTCATCAACGCACGTGCAGCTTGCGCAACAACAGCAACAACAGCCTGGTGGCAGAGGTACAGCAGCGACTGGTGCGGGAGTTGGAGCTGGCGATATTGATATTGAGGCTCTCCGAAACCACCCCCAGTTTCAGCAATTGCGCCAGCTGGTCCAGACTAATCCAAATCTCCTCGCCCCATTGGTTCAGCAAATTATGGAGCAAAATCCCCACCTTGGACAGCTATTTGAGAGCCACCCTGAAGCTTTGATGCAATTGCTCAATGGGCCTGACGATGAAGGCGATGGTGCTATACCACCTGGCACGCAGGTAATACATGTTACGCCGGAGGAGCAGGCTGCGATTGGTCGGGTAAGTTCGTCCACACCCATCCTGAACTTGCACTCAATTTTTTTTTGGCGTGGCTGTAGTTGGAGGCTTTAGGGTTCTCGCGTCAGAAAGCTGCCGAGGCATATTTGGCGTGCGATAAGAACGAGGAACTCGCAGCCAACTATCTGTTTGAGACCGGGTTTGATGACGAGGAGGATCAATGATGGTCTCTGTGCGTTTGAGGAGTTCTTTGCATTGTTATAATTCATGTACTCGAGGGCGACTCAAGCTACCTAAGTAAGTTACGACTGGATGGACGCATGTAAGACCCTGCATCAAAATGAAAAACACTATATGATGAGGTCTAGATTCAGCTGGTTGACTAGCGAGAGATTTGATTTGTTCGGGCCCCGGGGTGATCAGCATGATTAAGCCACGCTGTTCAAAGTCAAGGGCACCTATGAGAGCAGGCGTTTCTCGTATGTAAAATTGATGAGCAGAGAACTCGAGGTGCCCTAGCCCTGAAGATCTCGAGAGTCGTCACGACAGTGACACGGGCCACGGCCATTCCCGTCACGCGTCAAGACTAGTACTCATCCTCGAGATACTACTTAGCTTACCTTCAAGTTGGAGTCATCCAAGTAACATATGTCTATCTCAATGCCACGTCTTAGATATGCTATTGTCGTACTATATACATTGTTTTTATGCGTGCGTTGGGCCGCGTGTGAACCTGGATAACGTACAAGCAAGTCAGTAGCCGCATGTTGTTGTGGTGTGTTGCTTGGCCGTCTTCTCCCTCGCCTCGTCCTTCATCCTTTCTCTCTTCTTCCTTTCCCCAGCATACCCAAAAGCTTTTTCAATACCGCAAGCATTATTACTCTTATTTGACTCCAAAACTGACCTTTTATTTTTTTCAGCTTGTTCAATTCTCCATCCCATGGCATCTCAAGACCCGCCACCAGCGGACGACAAGGACGTTCAGACGCGCGAGCAGGCGTCTCACAACGTTTCTCAGACGCCAGCCATCGGGAATGGCTCTGCAGTCGTAGACACTAGTGCGCAAGCGCACGACCTCTCCCCCACATCCTCCTCGGAAGCGGACAAGGATGTCAACCCAAACCCTTCTAACACCGTTTCAACCTTCGTTTCGCCAGCGGAACGCGAAAACGTAAAGTCTAACGACAAGGAGAAAGACAAGGACAAGGAGAAAGACAAGGACAAGGGCTCCCTAGCTACAACAACGCTGACACAGCCGAATTCTACCAGCGCTACATCTAGCACCACTCGCCGCTTTTCCAGGAAAGCTAAACCTGCGTCCAAGACCACTAAGTCTTCGACTGCGTCTTCTAGCTCTGCACGAGAAAAGACTACTTCCAACAACCATTCCAGAGACGAGACTAAGTCCACGGGAGGTTCTCAGAAGAAGGAATCATTCATAGCTAAACTCGTGCGCAAACTTGTGCCATGCGTCGCTCCCAGCGATCGTACGCATGTGATTGAGGTCGATGTTGACGACGTCACGCGACACAAGGCCACTGACGCGGTCAATGGTGCCTCAGCGCCCGCAGCCGAAACCAGTGTCGCCGGCGAAAAGCAGGTTGAAGCCAAGGAGCAGGAACGGGAAAAGCCGACTCTCGTGGTAGAGATGCCCCCTTCCTCATCGCAAACCAACCCCGCAGAAGTTGAAATCATCGTCCCCCCCACACCAACCAAAGCCCTCCTACCAATAGCCGAGACAGAGGGGGTGACCAGCGGAGCAGTTCAACCTCCAGGATCGACTGGGGTAGACCTATTCTCGCCCTCACCGTCATCTCCTGCAGATGTATCGCACACACCATCTGGGAGTATCCCATCACATGCTGGAGACACCTCACGTACAGCAACAGATTCCGAAGGCAGTTTCACTGACGAAGAGGGTCACGGAGAATCGGAGGAGCCCGAAGTGGAAGAAGTAGAACCGATGGAGGAAGATGACGAAGATGCTCTAATTCTCAACGGAGGTGCAGGTATTCCCATAGGGCCTGTGAGTCTTTTTTAAGATCATCTCCGTCGATATCGCTAATTACTAATGCTATTTCACAATCAGGATGGTGAACTTCGTCCACTTTTGCCCCCAATAGCACCCCAACACGTGGGGCGCAAATGTCTAGTTCTCGACTTGGATGAGACCCTAGTCCATAGTAGTTTTAAGGTGAATTTTTCGGCTTCTCGCTCTGATGCCGCTTCTGACTCATTGTTTCGGCCGCTCAACAGTCTATTCAACACGCTGATTACGTCGTGCCGGTGGAAATTGAGTACCATTGGCACAATGTGTACGTCATTAAGCGCCCGGGGGTAGACAATTTCCTGAAGAAGATGGGCGAAATTTACGAGGTGGTGGTATTTACCGCTAGCTTGAGCAAGGTTAGAGTTATTTCTATATCCCTCGATATTCGCTAATTTTCATCATGCGCAGTATGCGGACCCAGTTCTAGATAAGCTGGACATTCATCAAGTGGTGTCGCATCGACTATTCAGAGAGAGTTGCTATAATCACAAGGGGAACTACGTCAAGGTAATGAAATCATCTTTCCTGTTCATTTCGTCGCTAACTTGCTCTATGTAGGATCTTTCCCAATTGGGTCGTCCTATTGCAGATACCATTATTCTGGACAACTCTCCAGCATCATATATTTTCCACCCCAACAATGCGGTCCCTGTGTCATCGTGGTTCAATGACCCACATGACACGGAGCTCACCGACCTTTGTCCTTTCCTTGCGGACCTTGCGGAAGTGAGAGATGTTCGGGGCGTCTTGGATGGTGGTCTGTAGGGGGTAGTGGGTACATGGGATACGAAGAAGAGGGGCATTACAGGAGAGCAATAGGCTCGCGAGCACAAATTCTCTGAGTGTTGTGATGCTGGTCAAGCTCTCCTGTTTTTCATTATAGGTCAATGCAACGCACGTCATTCCCCAATGTTGTGCGCTACCCCACAAGTCTGTCGCATCCTTCTTTGCTTCTCGATGGCGCCTCTGGCCGATTATGCGATCTCTATTTCTTCCACCCTCTCCGCATTGCGCTCAACATGACCTTACCCATTCTGCATCTTTTACGCTTCCCCATGCCCAATATACCCTACATATCTAACATGGCTCTCGACGCTCAAATGTATTTGGCCCGACTTTTGATGACGATATACCCTTGTCTCTCATCTCACTCCACATATGTTTTCGCATCGAAACTCTTTTCTTTTTACGTAATGGCATCTGCGTTACAATTTGACATTACTACCTCCCTCTATTCTTCTTGTTCCAGTGTAGCTGACTCTACACGAGTAGCCACTCGTACATTCCTCGCATTCTTTCCATCCATTCCACTGCGGTATGGTCGTATGCCTTCATGGTACGTCGTTTCGTTGTACTTAGCCCTCGACTATATATCTGACCATCCCCAGACAGTTTTTCTCCCATTCCTGAATGCATTCATACGTCGACCGTCATTGACAATCTCCATCTTGCAGTCAAAAGTAATCATTGCGATACATCCCATTTTTTACCTGCGTCGCTGTAGCATTTTCCTTCCTTGACCTGTTTTATTGAATTTTTATTGCACTCGGCGACGCACCACTTTCCTTCCTTTCCCCTTCCTTCCATTTCTCCTCTATCTTCTTTACACACAAAATCACGATTTCCTGACGAACTACTATGATGATGTTGCATATTCACGACTATTTCTCTCTTATATGTTATATTTTTCTCAGCTCTGTCATGTGTGGACGCGACTGGTTTTTATCACGTGAGGACTCGCGACGCGTCGTGTTTGGGCAGTTGGAGTTTCAGTCGGTCAACCTCCCTACGAGTTTGGACGAAGGCAGTCGAGCAAGAGCAAAATGCGTTACGTGGATCCTTGTGACAGCGATTGTTGTGTCTCCCGTCTACCTGCTGAGAGGGCAATGAAGATCACACAAGAAGCGCTGTCACCATGCATTTTCCGACGCTCTAGGATAAAAATGCCTAGAATCTACCACAAGGCACGTAGCAGCTGCATACTGAAATCATATGATTAGCTATGGTCTATCCAGGTAACTTGAATCTGATGGCCTTAAAGTAGTAGCACACATGGATGATGCACCGAAAGCTTCGCTGAAACAATTCGATGTCATCTGAACAATTTGCCAGCAACGATCGACATGCAATCATTGAAGAACATGAAAATGATAGAAAGGGTGCATGCAATTGCGCGTCGACGGTAGGATGATCCAACCAATGCTCCTCGAACCTCCAACAGTCCCGACCGACATCGCGGACCGAAATCACACTGACAAATGAAAATGTTTTTCGTTGCTTGTGTCCGTTTTATGCGGATCTACATCTCACTCCGAGTCAAGCTTCACAGTACGTAGTATCACTCCCTCAACATAGAACTGATGCATCGTGGTGCGCACAGCAGTGTGTTTGAAAGTCGTGCCACAAAACAATATCACCAGGGTTCAGGCCTCAGGATAAAATGATTCGGGAAATATTAACTAGCTTTTTAGCCAGGTAGCCCGGAACACTCATACCCCAAACGCGGCGGTCACGGACTTGACCCCAGGGGTGCGTCAATGATCAGCCCGGAAGTGAGATCGTTGGCCTCATTAAGATCCTCGTTGGCATGAAATTCATATCTGGCTTGGAGCGCGAGGGTAAGGTTATTAAGCGGGGTGTCACGGTTCGTATGCCCAGGTGGGCATAACAACAGCGCCTCGCGATAGGGGCAGATAGCGTTATTGACGTCATTAATGTCACCGTGTTGGTTGGAACGGTCGAGAAGGGCGCGCCCTAGGTTGTCCAATATGTAACAAAGTTTGTGCCCAACAGGGCAGGCGCAGTGCTTCTTCATACAGTGATATGGCCTGGTTGAGATTATGTTGATGACCAAAACGGCATCCGAGCGAGAACACCAAGTTATTCAGGTACGTATCACGGGAAGGATGTGCCTGGGGGCAGAGAAACAGCGTCACGACAAAGTTGTATGCTCTCGTCACCATCATCAACATCGTCATGTTGGTCAAAGCGTGTTCCGAGTTCTGGTGACAGCGGATCCAGGGATTGTGGACGGTCCTGGTGGCCTGCAGGACACAGCTCGAGCACGGCTCGTCACAGGCGTATGGGTGCATCAGAGATATCCGTAGGAAGGTCGTTGCATTCGTAGATCATATAATCTATAGCATTGGCCCCTGTGGCGATGCTCCGAAGATAGGTGCCCTCTGGATAGAAAGGCGGTAGTTCACTGTAGAGTTAGCGCCAGTTCAGCGCTTCGGTGTGATGAAATAGAGATAATGGATAATCAGGGTGGCCCTGCGGACCAAATGCAAGGGCGCCGCGCAATGAAGAGGTCGTAGAGTCAATGTATTGAATATCCTTGCGAACATAACTTTGAAGCGGGGCTCACGCGAGGTTGGTGACAGCGGCAGCACGATTAGGACGGCCGACCGGACACTGGGCCGCAACCTACCGAAAGTAGTTTACATCGCCATTCAGATGAGAGACACTACTCGTAGGCTTGCTCCTCACGTATTTTGAAAATCGCGTGTGGTGTGGTCTGTACCTGGAGTGCGCCCGTCGTCGTGGCGACTGTTTCACTGTGTGAGAAGGGCAGATATCTCATCAATGGCCCATGGGTGGGAAGGACAGGTCTACAAAAAGTTAGTGGACGTGCATGAATAAGAAGCAGATCACTCACCAAAAGGTGCATCTCCTTGATCGAGCAATTCCTTCCATTATGTTTCGAATTTTCTGATGACTTCCCGTGGCCAAGAATTCTACTGATTTCAGAGGACGTCCTGATCTCCATTGATGACTAGCTGACGGATCTGATGGTGATCTGTAATCTGATGATAAGTATTGGAATCACGTTCGCAAGTCTTTGTAGAAGGCTTTACATGGTTAGAGTATCACCCCATGCTACAGCACTGTTGGATGATACTATGAACTCAGATAGTTAATTTCCAGCGTCTCCCGATTTTGACGGAGACGTAAATCACTGCGGGTATACGGAAGGAAGGGGCTTGGATATTGTTTCCATTGATAACTGTGGATAGAGGTGATGCACTGATGATCACGAAACAAATACGAAGACCATATGGAGTGGCCTACCTTCGAGTCTGATATATTGACCTTGGAAGCTACCAGGCATGATGCCATGTCAAGCGATACGGAGGATGGAAGATGGACTGCGTGGTGGGCTGAATGAGTACTTGGTTGGACAAGAGGAGGCCCCTGTAGGGATATAGTGACTGTGGAATCTGGATGAAGTTCAGGGTGTGAGGAGAGCGTGCAATGCATTGGGATGATGGGGCATGATAGACACTGGTCCTGATTGCACTAATGCGGGACTGAGGTGACAGCGGTAGAGCCTGTGCTGAAGAAGCGGGGAATGTCGCCGCTCGCGGTCAGCTACTAGTAAGTGCTAAGCGGCAATCATGCTAGACACAGGCTGATGATGATGACAAGCAAATCAGGTGGGCGCGATGTTGCGGACAGACATTCGACTCACTCGAGCAGAAGAACGTATATGCCACTTTGTAAGCGTCCTTGTGGAGATTCGCATTCTCGTGCTTCGGAACGAGAATGGCACTGGTCTGTGCGCCCCCACTCAAATAGTGCTCTGCTTCGAAGATTCGCCGTTCGTGTTTCTCTCCCCACAAATAACCAAATCTTCTAGCTTGTTGATTGAGCCCCCCGAAGATCTGCTTAGAATTCTCACTCACCGCAATTACAGACATTCACTATCACTACTCAGTGAATATCAGTCCTCTCGGTATATCTTTCGCTCCACCTTAACGGTATCATACAAAGGACTTACTCATCTCTGTACTTATTCTCTATACTTATATCAGGCACGACTTGCCGCCGGGCGTCATCACCCCTGGTATATCAATAGATTCCAGCCCGCGGAACATCAAGGAGCCTGAGTCTAGTACTGATTGATCTTTGGCAAGTCGAACTCTACGCATCGTGTCATGCGAGGGGACTTCATGCGAGCATCCGTCTTGCCTCCTCTATATGCTGATTAGTTCCTGCCATCATGGCTTCTTTCCTGGAGGGATGGATGGGGATGAATTATTCATTACAATGTCGGACAGCGACAAGGCTGTCAATAGATTTGGACACGCTCAAGCAACACAACGAGGGTGAAACGCCGTTGGATGAACTGATATGAGGCGCAAGACGGTGTGTATTGATAATTATATCGACCTTGTGGAGTTCATGCGAGCATGTACATTGCAAGTTGGTTCATTCCTGGAATGATCAACTGATTCCGAGCCCATACATAACAAATAGCGCGACTCAGGGGTATATAATGACTACAGCAGTCCGAGTCCAGCACAATAACTACTTAGTGTCCCGTGATACAACATGAAGCTTGAAGCCGAGCATGTAGTGCATGTCGCAAGACATACAGTGATGGCCTCGACTATAATATGACAGCCGAAGATTTGAAACCGTGGGGGTCATGAGATCGACATTCGACGCGGCATCTCCAATTCCAATGAGTGACTATCGTAATACCTCCAAGGTTCGTCGTCCTCTCGGAGCTCGTGGACACGAGAATACCTAGACTTGCGTGCTCTCCGCTTCCGCCACCAGAATCTACGTCAAATGACTGAGTCACGACGTCAAGCTAGTCGTATGATCACTCACATAAAACCAACAATCCCTGCAATAGCCACCACGACAGCAACGATGCAACCTGCTAATGCACCCTTGTTGCGCTCTAACCACTCTTCCACCTTCGTCAGACCACCCGGATCAGGGTTCACGAATGCAAACTGTCTGCCAGGGAGTTCCGAGCTGCTTGGAGGATCGGTTGGATCGTAGCAATACTGGGTAAAGCATTGTGAGCAGAAATCTGAGCGCGAGGTAACTGCGCGATCGATTGCGGCACATTGCAAGCATTTGCCCCAATCCGGATCCGCAGAAGTTGTGTTTGGTTTGAAGCCACCTAAGGTATTCCAGAATGCTTGATTGATGAACACGGCTGTGAACATGGATGTGTAGGAAAATTGTGTGTCGCCAGTGCTGCAAAACAATTTAACAATTTATTATCTTTGGAGAATGCGAGATACTCGGCGTACTTCGTAGCTGGCGCGCTTCCGTCCAGCGGAGGCGCATTAGGAAGGTATATAATCATCGGGTAGGTTGGTTGACCCTCAGTGAGATTGCAGCCAAAGAACGTTGGGCGCATATTGACGCCTGTAGAAACAAATTGAGCGGCAGTTCCAGGTATGGGCGGCATCGGTTGATGCGAAGACGAGAGCACTGATGATATACGCTCGAAAGTAGTTAGCAGTGATGTACCGCTGGCAGGAGTTAGTACCAATTACTTGCACATTGCTAACAGGTGCTCACTTTGGCCAGTAATTCGAGTCGTCCGCACTACCGTCTATGACAACTACGACATCCAGTCCCCTAGCCTTAACCATTAGGCTACTGAGGGGAGTTTTCTCGAGGTTTGAACCACCGTCGAGGAGTTCAAGCCAGTCTGAAGACGAGTCTTGAAATGTCACAGGATTGATCCCTTTAAATGGCTGTAAATATGTCAAGTGGGTGTTTCGCATCGAAATGATAGTACGAACGTTAGGCCAATTAGCTGCATCCTTCACATCGGACGACGGTGTATGTGATGATAACTGATTGAAAAGAAAATTCATGCCGTTTTCCTCTTCGCTGTTAGCATCGAACCCGAAGTTCCCGTCAGTAACATTCAAGACAGCCTGAAATAATAAGTCAGGTCGAGACTGGAGTAACTCTCAATTAATAACATGACATACGTTGAAGAAACTGGAGCTAGTACCCATAACAAAGCTTGCTTGATCGAAACCGGTGACGCAAGCCGATTCGTTAGCCGGCAGACCATTTGTCAAATACGTTCCAGCAAATTGCAGTGATAGCATCGCTGCAAGGTCCGGATCCCATGACCCAAACTCAAAAGGTGTAATCTACATGATTCTAGGTCGAGATGTGTTCCTTCGCTCGTAAGTTAAGTGCTTACCTCATAAACAGTCGAATTTAGAGGCACAGACGTAGTTATCCCTGAGCCCGCTTGACGTGAGTCAGCGGCTACAATCGGGAATGGCATTGTGTTACTCCGAAAATTCGGCAGGAGGGATATCTGGGACCATAGTTGACCAGCGCCGTGGCTGGTGTCATTGGTATAGAAATTGTCTCGCGTTGTTTCATTCAAGAAGTGATATGAAACCATCCGACCCCATAGGTCAGTCACGCTAGTGGGACTGAAGTGGCAAAGAGGTCAGTTTGATAATGTATGCGTGATGGTCTGATAAAGGAACGTACACTCCGTTATTTGCTTTTGATTCAACACTCTCCAGGACACTGCCCCAATATGCCTGGTTATTACTATCGTCGACTGATGGCGCTGATGGCACAATCAAGTCAAGGTCTAACATCCATGATGAGAGATCACCCCCATTCCCATAAACCAGTTCCTGGAGTGACGGCCAATCATTCATAAGAAGTGACCCGAGCAGCCATGAACCGCCTAAGATACCGTTGGTTACATCATGAAAGCTTACAGCGAGCGTTGGTTGGATGGAGCACTTACCAGATGAAGCTGAAAGGTAAGATGCGACCTGCAGCAGACCCCCGGTCCCCTTCTCTCTAGCAGTATCATTTCTCCCATCTAATCCCGACAATACACCTGCGCCATATTGTGCTGTACGATATCCCTCGCCCCCGATGACGATGCCAATTCTGGGAAATTTGCCCTGTAAAGTTTCCAGGTTGCTGACAATGTCCGACGCATTACCAAGCCAGTTGGACCATGCGTTTGAGATTACATAGGACTCCCTGGATGCAATGTAGTCTGCTTCTGACGCGTTTAAGACCTGACTTTGTGGTGTAAAGATTCGCACGAGCGAGGATGTCTCCGGACAGTTCACATTGACTGTTGGAGCATACGTATTGACCGGGTTCTGCGCAACGGCGACACGGAGGACACAGGATAATATTATATGGAGAGCAAGCTGGAGAGGGAGGAATAGGTCGGGAGTAGTCATGGACGTGAATGCTGCATCAGGGCAGCAAGCTCAAGGTTAATGTTATTCGAAATCTAAAGTAAGCTGTGTCAGATCGGCTGTGTTGAACTAAGTATATGTATCCTAGTCCTTGAAACGGTGATATTCACAGCACACAACCTTCGCTTGGGCTCAACCAAGGACCAAGGTTACCCGAAGACGATTGAATATTACTACGGTGGATAAAAACGTCCGCGTCATGGATGGCTACAAAAATGTAAAGAACCAAACGTTTTGGTTCCGCGGAAGCAATTTGCAACTGACTAAGCCACAGGGCTACAAAGTTCTGTTTAACTCTAAGTAGAAATTTACGAAGCAGTCGGCATTTAACCGCCATCGTTGAACGCTTTGTTGACCGCTAATACCATCTTCCCAGTGTCTCGGCGACAACCTGCCTAACATGCCAACGAAGCAACTTGTGTGTCACTTACCTCCCTCATGAGTCTTCTAATGAAGGACTATCAACCTAGTGGTCTGCTGATCAATCTGAGACGGATCTGGACACCAGACTTTATCGAATCTATCTAGCTCATTCCACAGTAACCCCCCTTGGCGGTTCGAGTCGTATCAACCTCACAGATGCGCCAATATTTCAATGGCAGCGGGTGACAGAGTCGAACGCCATGGGTGCCTCTCCGGCATTTCTCCCGCAGGACGTGGACATCACCCATCTATTGGAGCCCTTCACCAATCCAAGTTGCGGATTGCTAATGGTTTGGCAATATTCTGGGTCCAATAAGAAGTCTTCCGCTGAGGTTGATCGCCTTGTTCATTTCCTTCTGCACCCAAGTTTCAAACGAGAAGAGCTTGTCGGCTTCAGTTGCGCTCGCGAGGAGACACTATTGGTCAAATTTTTACAAGATCCAAAGTAACATCGAAGGAATTGCATCGAAATCAGTGAGTTTGCGGTGTAAATGACACGTGTGGATTAATTCGAACGCGAGTTGTGAAGATGCAATCACAACACGGGTCTTCATCGGCTGGGAGAAGGAGTGTGTTGCCCGCGGGGATCCGTATTCGTGTAGGGCATTCGTGTAGGTGGATGGAACGCGCACGGGGTTGAGATAAAAGAAGAAGTTTTTAGACGAGTGTCTGGTCATCCATAGACGCACGATTTTGCGCGCTTAATTGGTGCTGCTGCGAGCACATAATGCTAGAGGACTCTCAGGCCAGGTAAGTAATCTTAAGTAGCTCTGAGCAGGTTAAATGTTGGGTTGCGGACCGCAAGCGGACCGGCTAACGATGTGGTGTCCATACACTGGTGGAAGTTCACCCTACCGGGCCGCCCAGCCTGGCATTCCCCTCTGGCATATGACCTGCTTGTGGTGGTGGGACACTAATTAGAGCATCGGGTATCGTCGGTCAGAGCAATTCTTAACCATAGCTCACCACCGAACGCGGTTTAAAACAAACCCGAAGTTGCTACATTAATAGCGATACCCTTCAGACCCCCTTCAGTAGTCCAACGACCCAAGTATCATGTCCACCATATACTCGTTCAACCAGCTGATAGCTGAACGCACTCGTGAATACCCAAACCTTGAGATACTGGGCATTCCAGATAAAGACTTCAATGTGAGTACGACGTGCTGGCCAAATTCCGTGGGGGACACTTACAGCAGCCACAACTTTGAAAGTACACCAAGTATACTGTTGCTCAGCTTGATGCTTCAGCGTCCCTGCTTGCTCACCATTTACGGGACAACGGACTACTGAATGGACGTTCCAAGGGGGATGCCACCAGTAGGATGACTGTTGGACTTCTAGGAATCAGCAACATCAATTATGTAGCTACCGAGATGGCGCTTTATCGGATGGGCTATTGTTGGTGGACGACGGTATTCTTGTTCTAATTTCTGCTAAACCTTGCACAGGCGTACTTTTCTTGTCGCCGAATAACTCCCCTCCCGCAATTGCCCACCTGTTGACCGTGACAAATGCAACCCACATTATAGTGCAAGACGTGCTATTACCTTCCGCAACAGCTGCTCTCACCCATCTCAGTAGCCCCAAATCCGTGACAATCATCAACCAGCCTTCATCTGAAGTCTTCGGCTCAGCGGCTCGTTCTTTGTACCCAGAGAAGACAAGATGGGACCCTGTACTGGCCTGGGAGGACGAGTTTCTTCTGCCGGTCACGGTCATTCACTCGAGCGGTTCCACTGGTTTCCCAAAGCCGATCATTGCAACTAACAAAGCAGCTGTCGGCAACTGCCTCATGAATTTCGGTCTTACAAGCTTGACAACCTTGCCCTTGTATCATGTATGTCACTAGTTCGTGATACCCGAATTCGCTCATTTTCCCTGGAACAGGGACACGGTCACTCCAATCTATACCGTGCAATCTATGCTGCAAAACCACTGTACCTCTTCCCAACTGGATCAATTCCATTGACGTCCGCCAACGTTATCAAGCTCCTCAAGCAAGCTCCGGACGTGGAAGCTCTATATGGTGTTCCTCTTGCATTGAAACTCATGGCTGAGACCCCTGAAGGTCTGCGGGTCCTCAGGGATCTCAAGCTTGTCATGTTCGGCGGTAGTGCATGTCCTGACGAGCTCGGTGACTTCCTCGTCAATGAGGGTGTGCGCCTTGTTGGCCATTATGGCCTTAGTGAGTGATATGCAACGGGTCGAGAGAATTTTGAATTCAGCATATCTTAGCCGAAATGGGTCAACTCATGACGTCTTTCCGGGACTTCGAGACTGACAAGGGTTGGAACTGGCCACGTGCTAAAGGGCCCTATGTGAAGACGAATGTGAACGATTACCTGCGATTTGAAGACAGGGGCGGGGATACCTATGAACTGTGTGTTTTAGACGGCTGGCCGATGAAGGCAAGTACTTCTACTGCCATTGGATTACATTGTCTCACTTACTGGCGTAGATTATGACCAACCAACCCGATGGGTCGTATGCCTCGAAAGATCTATTTATCAAGCATCCCACTATCCCAGATGCATACAAGTTCATCGGGCGAATTGACGATACTCTCGTTATGGTGTGGATATTAACCCACATATTGAACACCTTTTGTTTAACAACATGCCCAGGTTAACGGTGAGAAGACGAATCCTGTCCCGATGGAGCTCACCCTTCGCTCGTCACTCTACATTGCGGACGCTATTATCTTCGGTGCTGGCCGCACTCAAATCGGAGCTCTTATTCTTCCAACCGAAATTGTAAAAGACTGCTCTCCTTCGGAGCTCGTTAAGCTTGTAGCGCCTATTGTCGCTCTTGCCAATGCCGAAGCTCCCTCGCACTCGCAGCTTGCTACTGAAGCCCTTGTCTTCCTCCCTTATGGCACAGTGATTCCTCGTGCTGACAAGGGTAGCATTTTGAGACCCCGGGTGTACAAGGAGTTCGAGAGTGTCATCAATGAGGTCTACAAACGACTCGAGGGTGATGTTGACGGGGCTGGGAAGCGACGACTGAATAACAAGGCGGAGGCTAGAGGAGTCATCAGAGATATAATTGGCAAGACGATCGATAGACCCATCGACGACCTAGAAGATGACACTGACCTGTTCAATTTTGGGCTAGACTCATTGCAGTCTAGCAGAATACGAAACACCATTCAAAGAGTCAGTTCAAAATCTCCAATGATTCCTTCTTGTGCTGAATGACGATGCAGGAGATCGACCTAGGTGGCAAGAAGCTGTCGGCTAACGCAGTTTTCGAACATCCTTCTATCGCGGAGTCCGTTCGTCCTTTGACTTGTAGGCAGTCTGAACTGAAGCAAATATGTAGGATTGCCCAACTCCTGGTCGCAACGTCCTCTGGCAATGAAGGCGCTTTAACGCAGCGAAGTCCGCTAGAGATTGTGTTGGAACTTGTTAAGAAGTACAGCACGTTCGCGTATACTCCGAAGACTCACGCCAACGGAACAAATGGAACTGCGAAAGGGTTGGTCATACCTCGTGTTGTGAGCCCATTGTTGTACTTTCAAATTTTATATCTGATTGCGATATTGATGTAGGTTGTGTTGACTGGTGCGACTGGGTCGCTGGGAGCATACATTCTAGATGAACTACTTTCGGACCCTTCTGTGGTCACTGTGTACTGTCTGTGCAGAGCAAAGAACGACTCAGATGCGTCCAGTCGCATAACAGCTTCCATGAAGACAAGGAAGTTATTATCTCATAATTTCCTTGCTCAAACCCGTGTCAAAGCTCTCGCTTGCGACCTGTCTGCGGAAAAGCTTGGACTTCAGTCAGACGTGTACAATGAGATCGCAACACGGGCAACATTGATCATCCACGTAAGTATATGGAACACTACTCATTCCATTTTTCTCAATCATTATGTGCAGAACGCCTGGGCGGTCAACTTTAACCTTGGCATTTCTAGGCAAGTCAGACTTAGTTCGATAAAAACCAACTGACAGAGCAATAGCTTCGAACCCCATATCCGTGGAGCTGTGAATCTCATCAATCTTGCCCTTGCATCGCCTCATCCCCGACCAGCAGACTTTTACTTCGCGTCTTCAATTAGTGCTGTCACTGCTTGGCGCGGACCAGAGCCGATCCCAGAAGCCATTACGGACGATCCGTCTGTCGCGCAGGGGTTGGGCTAGTAAGCTCATACTTCGTGCAGTTGACAACCAGATTGCTAACTATTTGGTTAGTGCCCAGTCGAAGTGGGTTACCGAGAAGCTTTGTCAAGCTGCTTCTCAGCAGACACCTATTCGTGCGGGCGTGCTGCGTAAGCCATGCGCTTTCACTATAAGCTGAACAGTCATTGAAGTACATACAGGAATTGGCCAAATGGTGGGGGACTCCCAGAATGGCGTGTGGAACGAGACAGAGGCTATTTCACTCATCATAAAGGTAATGAATCTCATTACCAACGGTACATCTGACTGTCATATTCCCTGACAGTGCGCAGACACAATCGGAATTCTTCCCAATATTGAAGAGTCAGTCTCGTGGCTCCCGGTGGACTACGCAGCAAAGACTATCATCGATTTGGTCAATGTTCCCCCTCAATGTGGGCCCCTGGGAGAATGCCCGGTTTCAAATGTGATTCATCCGAGGCTTGTGCCGTGGTCATCCATCCTCTCATCTCTGCAGCATTCCGGCCTCAAATTCAACGCCCTCCCGCGGCACGAGTGGATCAAGGCTCTACGTGCTAGCCCTATTGATGAAGTCAGCAACCCAAGTCGGAAGCTGCTGACCTTCTTCGAGAACAGATATGGGCAAGAGGAACTGGATACACGATACCCGTTCTTGACAGTGCAAACTGAGAAAGCAAGTGTGAGTCTCAGGAGTGCGCCTATCGCTGATACCAGACTGGTGGGGAAATGGGTGGCTGCTTGGAAAGAAACCGGTTTTTTGGCTTGAACACAGTTGCTTCAAGTTCTGTCGATGCCAATGCTTTATTATTACCAAGCCACGGATATATCTACTGCTGACAGCAACAAAACACACTCATTAGCCGATCGTCGTGTCTGTCTATTTTGACGTGGCTCCCCCTCACCTATGCTAGAAGAGTCCGCCAAACAATCGTTGTCAACCGGTTAAATGCCTTGATTATCGGCTGGTAAGGCTGTCCTGGAAAGACGGACTGGAGGACATAGTGTCATTTCGGCGTCATCTAGTCTGGAGAGTCAATACTCCAAATAATCCCGGTAAAATCATCCTAGTTCCCAGTCCACAATTGCAGTGATAGTCGAACCGTCCACCATAATGTTTCTGGGGAGCAAGTCGCCATGTGACAAGATGACGTCCACGTCAAGGGGAAACGGAAAGAGCACGTCGTCGTAAATCTTGGAGTGCAGAAGAGCATTAGGACTTTGCAATACTCGTCAATGAATTGAGCAGCGTTATCGAAGGCGCGGTCGGGGGCGACGTTATCAGGAAAGTAGGTATTACGGTAAGGGCCTCCTGTCACAGATTCGGCATCTTGCAGCGAATGAATCCCATAACACGAACTTCCTCTTCGAATTTGGCTCCGCCATATTTGACGACTACCCCAGGGGCACTTCGAACGACGGTACGAGCACCACCTTCGGATCTGTAGATGAGGTTATTTACTACAAGCTCCCGTAGCTCTGCATATGACTTTGGCAGCCATAGTGCCGGCGGAGTTGCAGAAGTTGCAGGAGCATGCTCCATTTTAAGATACACAGGCAACTACAAGGAAGGGAGAACATTGGACAATTTGGATTTAATAGATCAAACTTGAAATGACCTACGTTCAATGGAGGATTCAGGGGGTATAAGAAATTGAAGGTTCGATAGAAAAGAGGAAAACATTAGACTAAAGGCTTTTGTAATAATATGACCAGGATGTACAACCTGCGTTAAAGGGATCGAAGAAACTTGGTAGGAAAGATTGACAGTCCGCTCGTACTAGAGATAATCGAATAAGTAGTTGAACCGCCGGCCCGCACCGGCGGTCTAACGTTGCTAACTCCTTCATGATTGAAGTTCTGATCAGCTGGGTCGACGTCGTGCATCTAAGCTTATATATCTGACCACCACTAGAGAAGACTGCTACTTCTATCAATCATTCCAGACGGGAAAAAGTCCATGGGAGGTTACCGGCAAAAGGAATCCTTTATGACCAAACTTGTCCGCAAGCTCATGCCATGCGTCGCCCCTAGCGATCGTACACATACGATCGACGTCGATGCTCATGACGCCATGCGAGACAAGACCACTGACTCGTCCAACGGTGGCTCAGTGCCCGTGTTCGACATCAGTGTCTCCGGCGAAAAGCAGGGTGAATTAAAGGACATGAAATGGGAAAAGCCAACGCAAGTGGCTATGGAGGTGTGCCCTCCCTCAACGGAAACCAACTACGCAGAAGTCGATGTTATAGTTACCCCTACGTCAACCATGGCTCTCCTCCCAATATCCGAAACAGAGGGGATGACCAGTGGAGCAGTTCAACCTCCAGGATCGACTGGGGAAGACATCCTTTTGTCCTCACCATCATCTCATGTTGATACATTGCACACTCCATCTGGGGGTACACAATCACATGGCGGAGACATTTCGCATACAGCGACAGATGCTAAAGAAAGCTTCACAGACCTTGAAGTGGACCATGGAGCAACAGAAGAACTTGAAGTGGAAGAGGTGGAACCGATGGAGGAGGGTGACGAGGATGTTCTAATTCTGAATGGAGGTACAGGCATTCCGATCGGGCCTGTGAGCTTCATATAATTTCCATGAACTACGGCTGATCGTTGGTGATTTTGCCATCAGGATGGCGAACCGCACCCACTTTTGCCACCAATATCACCTCGACACATGGGGCGCAAATGTCTCGTTCTCGACCTCGACGAGACCCTTGTTCATAGCAGCTTTGGGGTGAAGTATTCAGCTTCTCAATATCATGCTGTTTCTGACACGTTCGCTCGGCCGTCCAGTCTCTTCAACAGGCGGATTACATCGTGCCAGTGGAAATTGAGTGTCTCTGGCACGATGTGAACGTCATCAAGCGCCCGGGCGTTGACGACTTTCTGAAGAAGATGGGCGAAATTTACGAGGTGGTCGTATTTACGGCCAGTGTGAGCAAGGTCTCGTGGAGTGCTATGTACGTTGACGTCGTCGGCTGATCATCATCATCACAGTTTGCGGACCCCGTCCTAGATAAGCTTGATGTCCATCAAGCTGTGTCGCACCGACTATTCAGAGAGAGTTGCTATAATCACAAGGGAAACTATGTCAAGGTAATGATCACATATTTCTTGTATGTTCCGTGCTTAACTCATCATGTGTAGGATCTCTCCCAACTGGGCCGTCCTCTCGCAGGTACTATTATTCTGGACAACTGTCCAGCATCATATATTTTCCACCCCAGCAATGCGGTCCCTGTGTCGTCCTGGTTCAATGACCCGCATGACACAGAACTCACCGATCTTTGCACTTTCCTTGCGGATCTTGACGGCGTGAGAGATGTTCGTGGGGTCTTGGATGGCGATCTGTAGGGGTGGTATATAGGTTTAAGGAAGAAAACCACCAGTAAGCTTGCGGCTCCTTGACTCCACGAGCGTACCTTCATTGCGCGTTGTTTTGCTAGTCTCCCGATTATCATACTGACATTCGACGTTTCGTTTTCTGCACGATTTAAAGCTACCATAATGATAATGTAACATATTCACCACTGTATCTCTTACTTGTATATTTGGGCCTAATCTCTGCATGCGAGGGATTAATGATATTTTTGCTGCGGGACGCGACTGCTTTTCATCACGTGAGTATAGATTCGCGACGCGTTTGTTGATCCGTGTATGGCAGTGAGACTCAACTACGTCCACATACCACACTTTTAACGAGCACCGAACACCTGAATCGATAGCACCACCATCAAGTCGACCGACACATGTCATTTCAAAAGGGCCCACGTTTTGTGCCAGAGAAAAGTGCGTTCCCTGGCTCGGTGTCTTTGTAACAGCGCTCAGTTCAACTTCATCATTCCAACTCTTACAGTTTCCGATGTTCCAGGACCAAATACCTATAGTCTGCCAGAAGGTATGTAGCATAAATAAAATATTGATATCATTTCGCTAACGCCAATGACATGGTAAGATCAATTAGATACCTACAAACGAAGTGCATTTCTGGAGAAAACCGATCGTTTCTCAAAGGAAAAGGTATCTGATGCCCCAGGTAAGCTTGACAGTTTTGTAGTAGCATAGCGCTAATATGTTTACAGGACCAGGAACATACAACTCTGCACCAAAAGCCCGCCCCAGAAATCATCCGCTGCTAAACATGCAAGTGACGATCGATACGCAACGCTATTGAAGAAAATAGAAGAGTTGGAAAAGGTACATATTGATGGTAAGAAGGCGGTAAGAGAAATCTCGATTCCTTTTCGAAATATAGACCTCAAATACTGTGTTATACAGCACCAAACTGAAATGGACCGCTCTAAATTCGAAGTCGCCCGTCTTTCAAGGCCAACTTGAGCAAGGGGAGAGATTGGAGAAGCTGAAGAAACACAACGAAATACTCGAGTTGCGAATCCAGGAGTGCAGAAGAGGCAATGCTGCTGACCAAAGCGACCTGAGGAGCTGCGTATCAAACTTCGCATGTCCGAACATGAGCGCACACAACTCGTCAGCAAGCAGGGGGAGAGCAGTGACGCAAAGAAGGCACTACAGAGTCTCGAGGCAAGAGGAGGAAAGACGAAGTACGGGAACGTGGAGAGGAAGATTGGGGAATTAGAAAAGGCTGTATCTGCAGAGAGAAGAAGAGAGAATTGCTGGAAAGCCTGGTCAACGAGGTGAAGGGAAGGCAGTGAAGAAACTCCGGAAATCACGCGACATGATCAAGGACCATTCAAGAAAAGCTCGACACAGCTAACAAGGACTCCCAAATGCGTGCCAAGCGCTTTCATCTCTTCGAGATCAAGCCGAGAACCAAGAAATCGATTTTTGCAGCCCGTACCTGGACCCATATCGTTCCGTCCTTTCTCGAGTTGCGGAGGAGTACGGCCGCTTGGCTACGACATCCATAGCTGCATCCAACCATGCCGCACTCGTGAAGGACCATACCACACTTCAGTTAAGTTCGTTCCGATTGGACGAAAGCTAGCAAACTCAGAGGGTCAAGTCGTCGAGCTCGCAAACCTCATCCGCCACACGCAGGAAGAAATTATGCTCTTGCGCCAAGAACCTGCGCGACATACGGGAAGAAGTGGCTTTCCACTTGCAAACCTTGCAGGACCCACCGAGCCACCCTTGGATAGCTACTCCGAGCTTCATAAACTCCATTGTCTGGAGGGAGACATCTACCAGAGCGACAGAAGCATATCTAGAGACACCATGCAGCCCAGGAAATTGCTCTGACATGCGGCTAGGACCACATCCGACTTCTATCACTCCTACAACGACGAGCTACTTTCAGAGTCTTCTCGCCTTCCATGGCGTTCTCGAGAAGCAGCATGAAGTTAACCGTGCACTCATTGACCAACTTGCTCGTAACTCGGCCGAGCGGAATATTCTGCAAGCAGAACTCGCGAAGGCACAGGTTGAAATCACGGCTGGACAGCGCGCGCTGGCCGATGTCCAAATTTCGTTGACGGAAGGTCGTGAAGAACAACATAGGTTGCAACGTCGAGTGGAAGAACTCGAGAAGGATTTACGAGACACGGCAGCAAGTCACAAGCAAGCTTTACAGAGGGAGCGTGATACCTCTCAGAAGCTGTCTGATGCGCTTCACGTCAACAAGATAGCCGAGGGAGCTCTCAAGGCTGACATCGAGCAGTGCGTCTCCCGCAGCCTATTCCACGGACAACTGACCTAAGAAACTTACACAGGTTGCACGCAGAATTGGCAGATGTATCACGCTTCCAGGAAGCCTACTATAACCTGGGGATGAGAGACTGAAGCACTAGTTGCGAGGAATAACCTCGCAGAGGAAGAGGCCGAGAATCTCAGCAAATTCAATGCTGAAATTCTTAGCCATAACAATCCCGCTCAGAGGATTTTATACGTGGATAGGATTCGTCGGGAGCTGGCCGAGGTCAAGCAGGTGAGCATCCTCATTGTCTTGGTTCTTCCTTGACTCACGGCTACCAGACACTACTCGTGTGTACCCGCGACCGGGACGTCATGTCTGCAGCGAACGAAGATTTACGGCATGAAGTCATGATGTACAAGTCGGTCATGGTACCGAAGATAGCAAGCCTCGAACGAATCTAACCCGTGTGACCCGACCTCCCCTCACGAGCCAGAACATCAATATCGTGGCGACGACTTCCATCCCGCCTTGTGTTGCATCAGATGCAGTAATTAGTAAAGCAACCGTTCTGGAACACATACCAGGAGATATGACTTTGGATGAGCTGATATAAGGTACAACATATTACTCTATCTACGATGTATGTATATTGGATTGATAGCTGCTAGTCTCGAAGTCACCGAGTACTCATCCCAATCCCATAGCATGACAGTGTAACTCATGATGGATACACTTATTCACAACAGCAGTCCAAGAAAAGCATATATGTCCCGTCGACGTCGTACGAGATGTGCAAATAGACTATGTACATAGTACAGAAATACGGTGACGAATCCGACTGATAGACAAGTCCGCGTTCAAACAACAGATGATCATAATATTTCTAAGCCTCCTGATCAAATCACTGAGCCATGACGTCCCCATAATCACTCACATGAAACCAACAATCCCGGCAATAAATAGCACAACATTAGAATCATTCCCGGACCAGTTCGCATGCACAAAGGGAGCTGAGGTGTTTCCCCATCTCCTGCAGGCGCCTTAACCACTGGAATGTGGAAACCACTCATGTTCCAATAGATATCCTTCACGTGCCCGTTTTCGTCCGGTTCTGACGGCATGGAGAAATGGATGTCCTCGCACAAGAGTAGCCAGTACATCCTCTGGCAGAGAGCGCTCGTCACTGTGAAGAATTACCGACAAGTTAGAAGACTCACTCATTTCCATTTCGGCAAATTTGAAGCCTCTGAGAGCGTATGATTAGAACGAATTTAGATTCAGGAGAAATCAACAACCGTACATGCAAGCACGATTGCCCGCAAGGAAGGTCATCCTAAAAAAAGTATGGTTAGATGTATGCGACAATTGGATTGCTGTGACACACATGGATGAATAAACAACCAGTATATCTCACTCCATCCTTGACCCCAGCTGAAAGAATCATGAGTAACTACCTTTCTTGACACACATAGAAGCTAACCTCGAGTCAAATCGAGCCATCGTTCGGGTTTCCATTCCGACGCATCCTCGCCCCAGACAGCTGGTTATGATTCGCAGCAAGGAGGGATATGATGAATCTCTGATGTTTAGGCACAGGAATCGTATCGATCTCTTCACCAGATGGAGACCGAACCGGGAATTGTAATGGCACTGATGCAGCTTCTGTAGTTCTTCGGGAGAGTCAGTAAGAAACGTCTCTCTTCGACCAACTTACCTTCGAGTGAGGACAGGAAGTGATGGATAGAGCCTCAGCGTCTCTCGAACAACCGCGTCTAGGAAAGGAAGACCCATCAATGCATCGTATGACAGTCTGGCGGATCCGCCTTCATCTTTGGCGTGCGAATGGTCAACGTCAGAGGCTTCACATGCAGTCATAGCATCACGGATCTCCGCTCTCAGCTGTTCCTGAATATGAGGATGCTTCGCAAGCATATACAATGCACGAGCCACTGCAGCCGTCGTGGTATCGACACCAGCAAAATCATAATGCTATTTGGTAGAGAAATCAGTCTTCGCCACAGGTAAGCAACCACAACTGACTTCATCTGCCCTAGAAGCTCGGCATCGCTCAGTCTATCTGCCTCGGATGACGAGGCGTTTGCCTTGACTGCGCGTGTCTCACGTGAGGAAAGACATTTCATGAGCAAATAATTACGCACTCATGATTGACATGATATCCTTTCCCCTCGTTCCTCCCGACGTGTCATGGGACCGCGACGGGGTAGGGGAAGGTATCTCCAGTGCAGCCTTCTTCTGTTGGAAAATACTTCTACTGCTTGCGTCCGTGACTTCGACGATGCGGCGTAGCTCTCTAAAATCTCGCATGGTTTGCGTCGGCAACCAACTTATCGTGAGCCAGTCTGCAATTTTTCGGCGCCAGTAAGGAGAGAAATTGCGCATAAATAGTGGAACGAAGGGTCGAAATAACGCGGTTTTACTGATGTATAGACTGTGAGGGCAAGGATGTCAAGGGATGTTTTCAACTGGCAGACTAGTCTACGCACCCTAGCATTCGTAGCGCCGCTGTGTACTCGCTCTCATTTCTTGAGTCCAATGCAGCTGAATGGTAGCCTAGCACGCCCCTCGCAAAACACAATCAAGAGCGCTGCGAGAGAGCCAAGGTAAAAGATCGAGTTCTACTGAATCTGTACATGCCAATGGTGAAGTCACGGATGATGACGCACATAAACATGCTTACTGTCGGTAGGGATATTTGACACGAGGATGGATTTTAGCTGGTGGGAAATGTTTTGAATAACGGGCAGAAGCTCCCTCAGTTGGATATGGAGAACACTGGATTGAGCATTTTGCGCTGCTTTCGGTGCTGTTCCCCTGTGCAGCGATGAATACAATCCACGGCAATTATCAACAGGTTTCACCTAGCGTAGAAATAAGACCCTCGCCGAAGACGAGCATGTTGGAGCTCAAGAAGGTTTAATGAAGAACATTTGAACAATGCCTTGACGCTTACTCTATGAAGGTATCATTTTCCTCAAATATATGTGGCTCCTTGACAAGCATATGATGAAGCGCGCGTGGGTCTGATACGAATAGACACTCCTCCTGGTGACCACATCAATGATCACGCCTGATGCAGGGTACTGTGAACCACGCACTCCAAAGAAAACATAGACTTTAGCAACTCCACCATAATCTGCAGCGACCTTTAAGGTGGATTCAAAACTGTCCAGGAATATTCTCTCTATGTTGCCTGCATCCATGAAGTAAGCATCCAATATGTAGGACTGACAGTCAGAGAAAATCAACCTTTCAACCAATGATCTTTTGCTGGGCCTGCAACGTTTAGGGCGTTTGCCTTTCTAGAGACCTGTCTCTGAACGAGCTTGCATACTGCAAGGGTAAGGACACTGTATCCAATCAGTTGAGGGAAGGACATCTTGCAAGATTAGTAGGTAGTACTGGCACGGCCACCGAGCACGACAGTGATTACAGTAATGGAACACTGGAGTTTGAAAGCAGCTTGTGAATGATAAAAAGATATGGATGCCAGTCGGGACACGTACTAAGTGCGAGCTTGTGTACGTACTGTTTATCTTACTCGGGCTCGACTCGGGTTCGGGGGCAACGGGGCCGGCTTCGATTTCTCTGCGCCATAACCACAAGCCTGGGCTTTTCACATGTACCTCTTACTAAAGTTGCCGTGGTGTGGTTCAGGACCGGTTCGAGATACGACTGCCCGAACCCGCACCCAAACCTGTTCATGATATCTTAAGACTGTCGAACCCGAACATTAGCCAACGGTTCGGTCAAGAACCAGTTCTATATGGTGCTGTTCAGGTGCGAACCGGTTCGAACTTTTTTTACTACCAAAAAATGAAAAAAAAAAATAGGAATTATAGCTATTTTGCACCCAACCGCACTTCATCTACAGCGTCGTCGAGCCAACATTGTCTCCGTGCAGCTTCTTTGGCTCCCATTTCAGCTTCACGGTGTCTCCTCTCCTTCTTGTACTTATTCTTTACAATTTGAATATCACCGAAGTTTTCTGGAAGTAAACGTGCACGACGTTTACTATCTGTCAGCCCAGCATCCAAAAATGCACGCTCGCAAGGCACAGAAGAGCCTTGGATAGGAAGGTAGTCGAGGGCCATATGGCTGAGATCGGGTATCGCATAGCATTGGCCTTCCACCACTCGAAGATATGCTCTGCCTGGCGCTCTGGAGATGCCCGTTCGTCATTGATGATGAGTGGCTCCTCGATGTACAGTTTGAGCTCTGCACGGAAATCCTTAGTGACGAGCTTTTCACGGGCACGCCGACCTTCAGTAACCCTACTCATCAAACTGCCGAAACTGTTGCTCGAGCTACTGAGCTCTGGTGTTGGTATAGGATCCTTGCAAGTAGCAATTTCCGTGGCGTGTTTTTGGCAGTACTTATCAAACTAAAAGTATGATGAGATACTGAGTCGAGTGCAAATTTTTCACAGAAGCTGACACATACCACTTTTTCCATAACAGCGAGGGCTTGTTGTTGGCCGTCTTCGGTCCACGCGACATTGAAATACTCATCCTTGATACAGGGATTGAGATCTGAGATAAAATTTAGCTTTCAAGTCAAAAGTCAAAATGAGGGGTGTTTGAACGAACACATAGAAACAATGTGCGCAGGGGAATTGTCGGTCTTATTGTAGTACTTTTCAAGGTTCGCGATACCTGCCTGGATTGCATGTCGAAGCACAGCCATCCCTGGGGTCTTCAGAGAAAATTTGCCACTGCGCAATGAAGTCTTCGTAAAGAGGAAGAATTCGCCAGATTGTTGGATAGTATTCAGCCGAAAAGGCTTCTTGTACATTAGCTGCTGCCTGAAAGATATGTCAATGTGCCCTCCCAGTCCTCGATACATGAAATACATACAGCTAAAACCTTCCGAATCATAGCAAGTAGATCCCATTCAGTCTCCGAAACACGATAACTTGCATACTTCTGCTGGTGTTTGTCAACGTTAGGTACATCATCTGAGTCATCTGCGGTGTTGATAAATATCTTAACAGCCTGAAACAATTGAACTGTGAATGTAACATCTGAATGAAAGGAAGTTCAACTTACTTTCTTGAGTAATAACATTCGGGCTATAACACCATTCCATGAGCCCCATCGAGTTTTGCAGTACGGGAGAAGCTCGAGCTCTTGCTGAAGTGCATCTTCACAGCACTTCTTGAAGTACTTCTTGGCTTATGGGGACCGTCGAACCTGCCTGTGACAATAAATTAAATAATGAACAACAACCCTCGATAGTTGCCTTGAAGGTACCTGTGCAATAAATCCTCGAACCTTCAGTAGAAGCCCCGAAACTACTTTTACCTGTTCCAAACCAGCAGGCAGGTTTGCACATGCAGTCTCGGCATCTTGGATAAGAGCCTCAATTCCTTCTTCCATGTCTTCATCATCAGCACTGGCATCAATCTCGCCCAAGGTGTCTGAAGGAGGTGGAATCACAGAGGCATCTTCGACTGTTCCCACAGAATTCTTTTTCTTGATGCTGGGAGATAGCTTCGTCAAAAATGCCCCTTCGGCAAGGGCCACTGCATGCGAGAAGCAGCTAATGCAACTTAGTAAAACAACAATCATGAGATTTTGACAGTACCAACTGCGAGCGCTGCGCTGTTGCATTAAAGTCAGTGTGACTTCGCCCTCAATTTCTTGCCCAGGACACGCAAACTTTTATCGTTCACAGAGACATTGTCAGCCATGATGTTCTGTACCTAATATGCACCATGAGCAACACACAACATAGCAAAACTCGAATCAACCTTATCGGAGATGCCAAACTTATCCAAAATATCATATAATTCCTCGCCAAGGTTCTCGCCAGTATGACTACCCAGAACCTCTGAAAAAGATAACAATTCGGAATGCAGCTGCCATTCTCTTGTCATCCAATGCCCCGTTACAGCAAGATATGATGTCATTATCTTTGATGTCCACCCATCAAAAGTCAGGGAAACACGACCAGGAGATTCCTGTTTATTATATATAAATTATGGCCCTTGAAAAAACACGTCTCGTACCTGTAATTCCTCGGCAAGATCCCTTCGAATTTCATCTGCATGTTCGAGAACACAGGTGGTAATTTTCGTCCGATGCAGGATATCAGCATCTTTGGTTTTGTTCCGGCTGTTGTAAGTGAGAAGGTCACGAAACGACTTATGGTCGACAAGTGATAGTGCCTGTGCAGATATTGTCAATGCTGACAGGCGAATTATGTGGTCATTCACACACCTGATCAGTCTCCAAAATGAAGCGAATGATATGTTCTTGCAGACCATCTTTCGTATATTGAGGCTCTGTTGTAGGTTTCACCGTCTCCGCAAAGTCAATAATGCTTTGTTGCCTATCAAAAAACAAGTCAGCATCAGGTAAAGGTATACTCGACAATTCAAAATGAATTGTGTGTAATTTACGTATTGGTTGCCTTGCCTTCCAAACGGTCCAATTCTTCCTGTGGAACACATCGTTCGTCCATGTCAATGTCTTGCTGCACGCACTTCTCACGGTATCGACGGTAGTGAGACATGCCCATATGTTGGATGTGAGTGCACATAGCAGTGTTGTTGCCTTTGAAGATAGTTTGCAGTTTGCCATGCTTTTTTGGATTGGCTTCACGAAGCTCGTTAGTACAAGCCAAGTGAGTCTCCAACAAACATGAAACATAAGTTTGGTACTCACACACAAGGCTCGCAGACATAACCTTGTGAAGGATCCTCGTCGTCGACCAGCTTGAAGATTGTCAGAATGTCCATGGCACCATCACCTCTTTTGCGTTTTTTCTTGACCAGCTCGGATGCTGTATCATCAGCAGTCTCATCTTCGACTGACGTAGATGACCCTGTACGATGAAGCCCGTTTTGCTTTACACGTGCGATCGCTGGTGTTACAGGAGCCCCTTCAGTGAATTCACCCGTCTGAGACGGGCAGCCGGGCGTGACAATGTACCGATAGAGACGAGCCATCCGGTGTGGGCCGGTGGCAATAATTGTACCGTGATAGACGAGTGGGCCGAGGGTGTGGTGTATCCGAGGCAAACGGATGGGCCGGGGGTATATAGTATACATGGTAGTATAGCAATGTACTATATAGGTGATTATGAATGGTGGTGAATCCAGTGTGTGATAGCGAGTGGGCCGGTAAATAAGGCACAATGGAGACGAGGGGGCCGGTAGATGAGATGCAATGGAGACGAGGGGGCCGGGGAATGGGGTGCAATGGAGACGAGTGGGCCAGCCATATGGGGTGCAATGGAGACGAGGAGGCCGGGGAATAGGGTGCAATGGAGACGGGTGGGCCAGCCGTATGGGGTGCAATGGAGATGGGTGGGCCGGTGTTACAGGGTGCAATGGAGACGGGTGGGCCGGAAGATGAAATGTAATGTAGACGAGGGGGCCGGTGTTACAGGGTGCAGTGGAGACGGGTAGGCCGGTAAATGGGGTGAAATTGAGACGGGTGGGCCGGTGTTACGGGGTGCAATGGAGACGGGTGGGCCGGAAGATGAAATGTAATGTAGATGAGGGGGCCGGTGTTACGGGGTGCAGTGGAGACGGGTAGGCCGGTGAATGAGGTGAAATTGAGACGGGTGGGCCGGCCGTATGGGGTGCAATGGAGATGGGTGGGCCGGTGTTACAGGGTGCAATGGAGACGGGTGGGCCGGAAGATGAAATGTAATGTAGACGAGGGGACCGGTGTTACAGGGTACAGTGGAGACGGGTAGGCCGGTAAATGAGGTGAAATTGAGATGGGTGGGCCGGTGTTACGGGGTGCAATGGAGACGGGTGGGCCGGTAAACGAGGTGAAATCGAGCCGGGTGGGCCGGGGTTACGGGGTGCAGTGCAGACGGGTGGGCCGGTAGAACAGGTGAAATCAAGACGGGTGGGCCGGTAAAGGAGGTGAAATTGAGCCGGGTGGGCCAGGGCTATGGGGTGCAGTGGAGACGGGTGGGCCGGTGGACCAGGTGAAATCAGGACAGGTGGGCTGGTCAACCAGGTGAAATCAAGACGGGTGGGCCGGTAAAGGAGGTGAAATTGAGCCGGGTGGGCCGGGGCTATGGGGTGCAGTGGAGACGGGTGGGCCGGTGGACCAGGTGAAATCAGGACGGGTGGGCTGGTCAACCAGGTGAAATCAAGACGGGTGGGCCGGTAAAGGAGGTGAAATTGAGCCGGGTGGGCCGGGGCTATGGGGTGCAGTGGAGACGGGTGGGCCGGTCAACC